ATTACATTTTAGACTTTTTTTTATATTTTACAATGTTTTAATGAATAGAGGCAAGAAATGGCAGACTTTACAATTGACTAAAGCTGGCTATGTGTCTTTCTTTTTATTACAATATAAGTAATATATTGACTTACAATATAAATATTATATTGTAAGTTAAATTGCTGGATATTGTACATCATAAGACTATAGATTACAACTTTGTAGCCTAATGTTTGTAGGTAATGAAAATAGCTTTTTGTAGTGATATTACTTTACAATCTCATCAAAAACATGTTGTTGTACATTAGTTATGCCCAATTGTATTAAGTTGTTCAAATAAATCTGAGCCTTTTTTCAAAGCAAATTTGTTGGGTTTAGAGGGAACAGAATTATTTGAACAAGCTAATACAATAATATGTTTTTATTATTGTACAACTAGGCTCTACTATCGTACCAAGCTGTAACAATACTTTCATTCTTGATGTAGCCTAATGTTTATATATACAAAACCTTAGATTCGTCGTTTACTGGCAGTAAATTCACTTGGTAAAGTTGACGCTGAAAGTGTAAATGAGAGAATATTAAGAAAGAATGTTGAAAGTTTGGGTCTTTATTGTTTTATGCGTCTTTATTACTCTATTCCGAGTATCATATTGCATTTTGTAAGCAGAGTATCACATAGTATCTTATTTACCGTGGTTTTGCAATATTCTTAGTCTATCTGTCTATGAAGAAAAAAGATAGCATATACATGTTTTAATGTGCATAAACATCATTTTAAAATACTATTTTAGTTTTTAAAGCTATGGTTTTAATTAGGTTTGAATAATAATTAGCTTTTAATTTTACCATCTCCCTCCTCTTCAGTAATGACCGTACTTCCTTAACCACAATGGCAATCTTCACCTTATACGATAATATATTATAGTATATCAAATTCCTAATAGTATTCGTCTGAAAAAACAAAAAAATGTTTTATTTACGTCAAATTATGCAAATTGTGGAGAATGGCCGAGGTTGCCACGCTCTTTATATTATCATAGAGACCTCGTCTAAAACTATGTCTATTAAGTATGTAATCATGTCCGACAATGGTAAGTAAATACATGTTTCAGAGAATAGGTAATGACGTTTTGGTTAAAGCATTTTTTGTAAATTTGAATGTTTGTATAGGTAGATATGATTAAAATTGGTATTATTAGGTATGTTCATGTATGTATAGATATATAAGTATGTCTATACATGTACATGTAGATATTCTTTCATAAAAACATTAAAAAAGTAGTAGATAAACTGTTGTTATACGTTAAGCTTCTGAAGGCATAAACTATGTTTTTAATACCAAAAAACTGTAAATACTGTTAATCAAGCGTCTCAAAGATATCCTACCTTCTCAAAACCTTGTCTATGTAATCATCTTTTTACATTGAATGTAAATAATCTCGAAGATACGAGGATTTAGGCCCTAATCCATACAATTTAACGTTCGAATGTCTTCAGATAGCTCATGTTCTTCACGTAACGACAGTGAGATGTCAGCGGCGGCCCGGCTGGGCATGTTTGGCCTAGCCAAAGACGCCACCAAAGTCACATTGTATTCGTCAGTGCGTAAGTCGCTTTACTTTTGTAGTTTTTGGTATGCCTAATTTGGCAGGGGTTATTGGGGTAGGTGGGGATGTCGAGCTGACAATCAAAGTACCCACCCTGTACAGCTCAGAATCAGCTCAAAATTTCTATATGAATCTTTCGTACTACAAATAGTACCTATAAAAACTTTTAGCTCACACGTTTGAGTTTTACAATCAAAATATTTGAATTTGGCATTGTGTTTCAAGCACTGTTTTCGACTTTGCAGTCAAGCCACGCTTATAAATTTAAAAGTATTCTACTAGTACATCAAAGAAAAGTTCTTAAAAGTCAAAAAATGGCAAAGTTACAAGCTTGAAACATAATGCTAATTTGGCGGCAAATTCAAAACGCGGTTTCTTGATCTCGATTTTCTCAAGATTGACTGAGAAGCGCGATTTAGTACTTTGCTGAAGATCTTATATTTACATAATCTTTCTTTTTAAAAAGTTTGAATTCAATCAGAGCGGGGCAGGTCGGGCACTTTATTTGTGCGTTAGAACCAGGCTGGGTCGAATTCCTAGGCTTGCCCAGTTTTAGTCAGCATTATCTTTGGTGTTTGCCGATTTCTGATTAATTTAGTCTTTTTTCTACTTTCTTTTCTCGGGGCTCAGGTAGTATAGTACCCCGTGATATTATAATACCCCAAGCAATATTATAGTACCCCAACTCGAATTTATTTATTTTAAAGTCTATTTTGTGGACAAAACGGTCCAAAATATCTTAGTGTCATTTAGTGGGGTACTCAACTACTTAGTATAGTAATAAATTAGTAATATACTAAGTAGTTGAATACCCCACTAAGTAGGTGAGTACCCTACCACAGAGTTTGGTACTATCCTAAGTAGTTGAGTACCCCACTAAGTAGATGAGTACCCTACCATAGAGTTTGGTACTATCCTAAGTAGTTGAGTACCCCACTAAGTAGATGAGTACCCTACCATAGAGTTTAGTACAACACTAAGCAGTAATATGTATAAACGTATTAAACTTACCTAGAAAATTCGTATTTGTGAGCAACGGTGCGATAATCACTAGTTGAAGGTCCGTTTGTCACGTATGTCGATCACTTCTATTTATGCCACACCTCTACCAATGCACAAACGTAGTATCATGCGCTCTACATCCGAGAGTCGACCGTCCATGGGCGCAACGCAAACGAAACCGTGAATAAAATGAATCGGATTTCCGACTACGCAATTTAAAAAAAAAATAAAATAAAAAATTGTTGGAAAATTTGTTTTTTGGGGTACTATAATGCAGTAAGTTGGTGGGGTACTATATTACAACTTTTGGGGTACTATAACTCTTGAGCGCCCTTTTCTCTATATCTTTCCTTATTTTTACTGATATATTCTTTTATTTTTACATTTGGGCCGCGATGGCATAAAAATCATAACGTAAAACCGCCTTTCTTCTCCTCTGTTCTTATTATAATATTAAAATGACAAATTTTATAACGCAGTAGACACTATAAGCAAATTTTGCATAACATCTTCTGTGATTTCTCATTGTCTTTCTTTTCAATATTTACTCTACAATAACATCCGTATATGTCACCTCTTATCTTTACAAAAGGACAGTATCTATTCTATTGTCATTAGCACGTAGATCATTACATTATCATTGCTATTGCCTTTCTATTGTCTCTACTGTTATATCATTGTTCGGCGCTCAAGAGTTATAGTACCCCAAAAGTTGTAATATAGTACCCCACCAACTTACTGCATTATAGTACCCCCAAAAAACAAATTTTCTAACGATTTTTTATTTTTTTTTCAATTTGCGTAATCGGAAATCCGATTCATTTCATTTATTGTTTCGTTTCCATTGCGGTCATGGACGGTGTGAGAGCTCGATCGCATGATGTTTGATGCATTCCAGGAAGAACAATACAGGTCAGGCGTGGGTACAATAGTTTGGATCAAATTATGATCATTCCGTTGCTCACGAACACGATTTTTCTAGGTAAGTTAAATTCGTTTGTACATATTTAATACTTAGTGTTATACTAAACTCTGTGGCAGGGTACTCATCTACATAGTGGGGTACTCAACTACTTAGTAGGGTGCTCAACTACATAGTATAGTACCAAACTCTGTGGTCGGGTACTCATCTACTTAGTGGGGTACTCAACTACTTAGTATAGCACCAAACTCTGTGGACGGGTACTCATCTACTTAGTGGGGTACTCAACTACTTAGTATAGTATCAAGCTATGTGGTAGGGTACTCATCTACTTAGTGGGGTACTCAACTACTTAGTATAGTATCAAGCTATGTGGTAGGGTACTCATCTACTTAGTGGGGTACTCAACTACTTAGTGTGGTGTTCAACTACTTAGTATAGTACTATACTAAGTAGTTGAGTACCCCACTAAGTAGACACGAAGACATTTTAGACCGCTTTGTCCACAAAATATACTTTAAAATACATAAATTTGAGTTGGGGTACTATAATATTGCAGGGGGGGTATTATAATATCACGGGGTACTATACTACAGATCATTACATTATCATTGTTATTGCCTTTCTATTGTCTCTACTGTTATATCATTGTTCTAATTACTATTTCCTTCTTCTTGTGGTAGGCATTCTTATTGTGCTAAGCACTAATTTTATACCAAATGTTGTCTAAAAGGATGACGTTGCCCGACGTCCTTACCTTGTAATCTTACTGTTTTCGTGGACACATCCTGTGTATTAACATAGTATTCTTGTGTATTAACACAGTATTATCTGCGAGATACGATTATGATTAGCTCATTTGTTTGACTCTCTCTTCTTGTTTCCTGTTGATGCACAAATTGTTTAGCAGCTAACGACCCGGGATCTATTTAGTGCTACTACAAAGGTATTGGCTTTACTTTGATATTTTTTATATTATAGTAGACTGCGTATGGTTTCTGGCATTTCAAGTTGTTTTATTTTGGAAAAGATAAATGCACGTTTTCTGAGGTTTTTAGTACTATATTGCACTAAAATATAAAGCTTTGACGCTATAAAAACTAAAAAAACGGGTTTTAATCTACTACAATATCAGTTTTGGAAGAAATTATTATTAGGGTATCTGAGACAACATTACTCTAAAGATACTTTCTAACACTTCTACTAATATAATATTGCTTCAAAAGTCTATATTCTACTACTTTTTATTCCTTATACCTACTACAATATCCTCCCCAAACCTCTTCCTTATCTTTTTATAAACCACCTTGTCATCCGAAGATACGAACATGTTCACTCGAATGTGAACACCCTCTTTTACCTCCAAATTAACAGTTTACCGCCGCAAATCCGGGGGGGGGGGCACGTCACGGCCAAAGGACGGGCGTTCTCGAGAGCTTTCGGATAAAAAGGCAGTTCGATGGTCCTCGACCAGTGCCGGAGGCATGGACGATGAATCCGGCTGGTTTTTATGTTTCTGGATTCCAGCGCTACGCTCCTTTCGCGACGACGAAGACGACAGTGAGGCGACGCCGCTGAAGCGACGGACCTCGTCCAGAAGACAGAAGTCGAAGAGGTATGGCATCAGTATCAGCACCAAGGAGACCATACACGAGCGCTACCTGAGAAGACAAAAGTTGTGTGAACAGAGGCTAAAGGTGGGCAATGAGGATTTGTATACTATACAGGGTGGTGAAAAAGTTTGTATTAAATTTTAATACAGGTTGATATTACAGTAGATAAACTATTATTGATTATATTGTTGTAGGTACTATAATATATTGTTAGATACAGGACCTTTGAATACTTTATGTTAGAAACTGTATTATCGGTTACATTGTTGTAGCTACAGATGACTTCCTCATCCTTTTTTAACAATTTTCTATTGATTATATTATTGTAGATATCAGACTGGTGTGTGTATCTAGCCTTGGCTGGCCTAGGCCTGGGTGTAATCGATGTCGAGTACTCCGTGGCCATATTCGGCCGGTCGGAGATGGCCAACGAGCAATCGGTGCCAGGAGAGTTCGTATCTCACTTCATCCGCATATTAATCATCTTCCTGACCTTCGCTCTTGACTTTCTGGTGTTCTGTCATCATTGGACTGAAGTGGCCGTAAGTGCTTGTTAAGTTTCTGATTACTTTTAGGTATATTTTTGCTTCAAAAAAATTTGCGAGAATGGAGGTTTTTCGCTTTTATTTGGTACTATTTATGCTTCTAGAACCCTGTTTGAACAAGCTATTACAATATCATTACAAAAACAAAGTTATAAACATAATAGTATAGCCTTATAATCTCACATACACTTACTTTCAGATCTTATCAGCAGATACAGGTCATCAAGTGATAGGAATGAGTATAAAGCGGAAGCTGAAGTTGTGTTTGGAGCTGATGATATGCTCCTTGTGTCCATTCCCAGGCCATTTACATGTTGATTGGCCGGTGCTAAATCAGAGTATTATTATGAACAAACGTGCTCACATTCCGCTCAACGTTCTGCTTACCGTGCCAATGTTTCTGAGGCTGTACTTGGTTGGTCGGAACATGATTTACCATTCTATGATCATTCAGGTATCTTTATATTATTGTTTTAATGGGTTTTTGGTCAAAAAGTACGAAGGATTAAGGATTTTTTGGATATTTTTTGGACTTCTACGTACCTTTTGACCAAGCATAAGATATGGTATATGGTTTTGAAACCCGTATTTATACTCAAATATTTTCATACTGTAATGTGCTTTAAAGTCATTGTCTTACCATGTTATAGGACGCAGCCACTCGTGCCATAGCCTCATTCAATCGAGTATCGGTCGACTTCCCTTTCGTACTCAAGAGTATCATATGTGATCGACCACTGACCTTTGTGGTTACAGTATCCCTCACCTTCTGGGGCTGTGCCAGTTGGATTATGACGCAATGTGAGAGGTATGCCTCAGGCAATCTCTACAATACGATCCATTACCTAAGTGATTATGCTTGGTTCGAAGCTGTGGTAAGTCGTATTGTACTTGATTTGTATAGTATTAGTTTGTTCAAATAATCCTGCGCCTCCTCTCAAAGGAAATTTTTGGGATTTGGGGGCACAGAATTATTTAAATAACCTAATAAAATGGTTGTGTAATAGAGTGTTACATCTAAATATGGTTGCTCTACAAACTTTTTGACCGATTTTATGCAGATTTTTAATTATTTTCGACTAAATTTTTTACCAAAATATAGCAATATACAACATGTTATGTTATGTATGACCAACACAACTATTGATAACAAAATATTTAAAGAATTTATTTTCTATGTTTGACATTTGTGATGAATGACAAAGACACGTCATGTTCGTACATGCTCTTTTTTATATATATCTGCGAGATTATATCTATAACTTTTTACTGTGATATATATCACACACAACATTCATAGCACGGAAAGCATAGAACGAGGCAGAGAGTAATACGTGTAATATAATAGTGCATATTGAGTCAATATACTCTAAGTATATGCATGGTAATAGAAAGTATAACAAAATAAACCACGTTCTAGTGGTCTTATGGTTAGGTTTTTAATAAAGGTTTAAAGACTATACGTATAAAACATAAGTATATTAGGTTGTTTAAATAATTCTGCGCTCCTCTCAAAGCAAATTTGCGAAGTTAGGAGACTCAGCATTTTTTGAACAATTTAATATAATATAATAATATGTATACTATCTTAACATATATTTAAGCAAAGCGTTACAAGTTACAATTTACTAACGATAAGTAGTAAGTACACATATATAACTCTATAATACATTACAGACATTCTTCGCCATTGGCTATGGCGATCTACAAGTTCAAACCTACTGTGGCAGGTCTTTGGCCATCTTAACTGGTGTCGTTGTGAGTTTTAAGTAGTAGTATCAAGGCCTGATTGAAAAACATATTATTATAGCTATATTTAAACTAGGGCATGGGGATGAGAGGGGGTAAGTAGCTTTGATTAGGGGAGGATAAGCTTAATAGTTTCCATTAGAAAGTATATGGTATTTGTTGTGTTATGTTAGGTACAGTATACGCTGTGTTAAGTGTTGTATTAGGTACAGTATATGTTGAGTTAGGTAGATATTATTTTAGGTTAGATAGTGTCTCAAAGGCTTTATGGTATATTTTTGCGCTTACAGGGTGCCATCTTTTCTTCATTGATTACCGTACTCCTCAGTCAGAAGATGTTACTGTCATTGGCCGAAAAACGTGTAAACCAAGTTATCGCGGAGAGTCAGTTGGCTAACAAGTAAGGTTACATTTGGGTATCTACATCAACTACTTTATATGGTTTTTATAGCAGGATACTGTAATTTAAATTCTATTTGCTTTCTCATCTTCAAGGTCTTTGCTCAAGAAAAATATTCACGTAGACTTTTATGTTATTATGCACTATACATACATATTATTATACCATGTATAACTATATATAAACTAAATACATCTCTACAGCCACAAAAACGCGGCCGCAATAGTTCTACAGTCAACATGGCGAGTGGTACGATGGCAGCGGAGAGTGGAGTATCAGAAGAATGCGTCGAAGAAGGACTTGTTCCACCTGAGACTGGCTCAACGGAACCTGCTACAGTCAGTTGTCAACTTCAGGAAGTGCAGATGGAAGTTGAGGATGCGACAAGAGGAGGAAGATGATGCCATTACTATCAGAAGGGTGGGTAACGTCAATATACGTATTTTATAACTGTAGTAGTTACTGTACCAAAATGTCTGTGTATTCATCCTAAATACGTTAGTGTACCCATCGTATCTTCAACAAGGTGCATTTCAGGCGTTCACAGAAACCGAGGAACGACTTCGGATGCTGCGTGCACGCCAACAACAGGTCGCTTCTCATCTTCAAGGTCTTTGCTCAAAAGTGGATCGCCTCTCACGGCAGTGCACTCGGCATTACGGTACTCCGGGCTACAGTAATCCCCGTCCGAAAACACCTCAGTCCAACGGTTATTACAGAGAAGAAACAGGTCTCGCCGTCTAAGGTTACGGTAGTTTGTTACGGTAATCTATGTTAAATTACGGTAATATTCGATAGATAAACTTATTTTTACTGTAAAAATGGCTTATGTTTGTTGATAGACACTTTATTTTGTTGTACACACAACGTATCAATTCGTACTTACAGTAGACAGTCAATACGTAAGTATAATATGCAGTACAGTATGCCTTTTATTGTATAATAGGCAGTACAGAAGTATATAAAACTAAATAGTAAATGGTTACAGCTCCTTCTTCTTGGCCAGTATCGTATCCTTCATGTTCCGTAACCGCTTCAAGTTCTTTTCGTTAATAGAAGCCCATCTGGGAGGTGCTTTTCCTATGCCCGTACCATTGTACATCTCGATATAAGGCTGGGCGCACTTGTCCAAGGTCAGGATACCATTGTCTTTGAAGCCTAAAACGTATAATCATGTTTACTATGATCAATAGCTATGAAAATAAATTTAAATTATGGTGCCAATTTGTATATGTAGCCGATTACTGTAGTATCAGTTATTTAAAAATACTGTAAAAAAGTTATGTGAAGATACTGTAACAAAAATTATGTAATGATAAAGTAACTTTACCTCCCACAAAGTATTCCTCATCGACTTCCAGATGTGGTACTCCACAAAGAACGGCTCTACTCATGGTCTGAATCTTCTCTGGTAACGGCGACTTACTAGACTGTAAACAACGTTTACAGCATCGTATACTATTATATGTAATGGTTTCTTGATTTATATAGTCATTGACTATAATATCTTCATGAAAATGAAAAAAACTTTTTTAAATGTACATAAAATATGTAATAAACGTAGTGATCATACGATGTGTGCTTACCTTGAACTCCTCCAAGTGTTTTACTGTGTATTCCAAAGGATCGCCAATGGTATTTCCTCGTTTTACATCGACTATCTTGATATGGGAAGCTGTAACAATAATATATCAGTCTCATAACTAGTGGTAAGCACATACATAAGAGAGAGTTAAACCCAGACATCTAGTACAATATAATAGTAACAAATATAGTTATGACCCAGCAGGTCTAATATAAAACCCCAGTAATGTAACTGTAACCTACCCCAATTGCACCACTCCATCACATTGTCAAGTGTCATATCTTGGCCACAGTTACATGCCAAACACAGTTGAAGATACGAAGCCACCAAAATTACCCTTCGCATAATGTAAATTTGCATATGAGCTGCGACGAGGTACCTTTGGCTTATGTAGGACATGACCTTGCTATATTGTCATGGTAACATGTCGCGGTAAAAGGAAAAGCGAAGAGTTTGTCGCCAAACGAAATAACATAAATTCCGTTCAAAAAGTACGTAGAAAATAAAATATAAAAAATGTGCTGTTATTGATCACAAGTATATTTTTTTAAATAAAAACTTTTTGGTGTAGATAACCTAATTTAAACGAAAGTAATGCCTACACAATATTATCCTTTACATTCTATACCCAATTGTCAAGATACGATTATTACAACAGCTCAGTACAACAATATTCAACATAACAAATCGCTGATCATTCAATAAATAACACATCACAACATGAACCATAACTTATCACTTCACAATACGGTCCACAACATAACAAATTATAACACAATCTCTAGCATATCCCATCTCAATACAATCATTCACAATACAACCATAACATAATATTTATTTACTGCAAGTAAAAGAAGAGGAGAACGGCAGCGACCAGAGGTAGACTGACTCCAAAGCGAATGCCAGACTTGAACTCGAACTCGAACCGGTCGCAGCTACACTCCTGACAAGTGGAACCGTCAAACTTTGCCGTTTCCTTCTTGTCTTCGGTCAAGTGAACAGCGGCTTCATCCATGGGCTTCTTCTCCTTCCACAGGTTCTGCGTGTAGTACAAGTTGTTCTGAAAGTGGTACCGTGAATGTGAATTTGAAATTTCAAAAAGTTTTTTAATTTAAAAAAAATTGTTTTAGAAAAGTAACATGACATTTAAAACCTAGACATTACTTACCAAGACAACACTGCCACACTCCTTGAACTCGAGGTTGATCATCTTGACCTTATCCTTTCTGCCCGCCATGTACTGGCCCGTCACTTTTGGCACTGGCAATTTGCTGGCGATCTTGACGCCCGTGATCAATGTCTGTCCACATTCAAGCTCCAATTCAGAGCCCTAAAACAATCTTCGATGAGACACCGCCTTCCACAACATCAGAAAGACAAAACCAAACTCACATCCACCTTCAACAGCACATTGTCACACTGAACCGATGCGAATGAAGTCGCTTTGTTGGTTTGCGGGTCCAGGTACTTGACCACACCTTTACTCTTTTCGGGAACAAAGCAGACAAAGGCATAACCATCCTTGCCGCACCACTAAAATACTCGTACTGTATAGGACTATCAAAGAAAACCATGCATTACATTATGACATTTCATACTGTAAGATCTCTAATATTATGATATATCATACTGTAACATCTCTAATATAATGACATTTCGAACTGTAACATCTCTCTAATGCAGCGCATTAAAGCATAAGTTGAGGTACTAGTACGCCATTTCAAAACTAGTACTGTTCTAATAAAACTAGTACTAATGCTACAACAAGTCAGCCACAGTTACCGTAATCAACTCACATCCTTTGAAGGTTGACCACTGCCCTTCGTCTCGTAACACAGACAATGCTTCTTTTTAATTTGGTATTTCGGATTCTGGCGACAATTCTCGAGACCGAACTGGATTCTATATCTCTCCTTGATCAGACCGTAGTAGCCAGACTTCTGGACCGCGTAGCCAGTATTGTTCTCATCAAAACGGCTAAAAACAATAGGTTTTAATACAGTATACTACAGTAAGATTATCAGGAATTATCTCTCAAACGCAGTATGCTACAGTAACATTATAAAAAACTATGTTTCAAATACAGTATGCTACCGTAACATTATCAAAAGTTCTTTCAAATACAGTATGCCACAGTAAACGTCCCCAAAACCTTCAAAACTCACAAATATCCTTCGGTAGTGACTTCTGGCGAAAAGTAGTAGGAGAATTGTTTTTTGCTTCCCGGCTCCAGCTCGACGTGAACAGCGGATAGGCCGAGCACGTTATGACGTTCAAGGTGTTTCATTCGCCTCGGCTGAACAACCGACAGTTCCACTCCTTGACATATCGACACGAACAATGCGAGCAACACCACAACGAGACCGTTCCGTGCAATCATTTTCTTCCCAAATGACCAGAAATGGCACGATCGCCGCGTTTTCGCTTGTCATATCAAGATATGCAAATTTCTCAAATTTTTTTGAAATTTGAACCTAAATTATGCAAATCTTTGGAATTTTTTTGAAATTTTTTAAAATCAATTGTCAAACATTCGTATCGACCAGAAAACAGTTTTTGGTCGATTCTCAGCGTCATGTCATCAGTCGGTACTGAGCTCCTGGGCCTCGAAAATAAGATCAAAAAGTAAGATTTTTTACAGTGTACTCGGTATATTACTTTACCCAAACATAGACATGAGCAACGGGCCGGGCCTAAATTTTAGACCCGGCCCGTTTTTGATTTTGGTCAGGCCCGGCCCGGCCCGATCAGAAAAATTCTAGGCCCGGCCCGGCCCGTTTTAAAAAATTTTAAAACTTAAAAACTAAAGGGAAATTTGGCTTTAAATTGTTTTTTAGGTCATGTATGGATCATAGAATCCAATAAAATCGAAAAACATAAACGGGAATTGAAATAAAAAATTTTAAAAAATTAAAAATTTTTTTTTCGGGCCCGAGCCCAATTTTCAAGCCCGGCCCGTTTTCGATTTTGCTCAGGCCCGGCCCGGCCGTTGCTCATGTCTACCCAAACAATTTATTTTTTAAACAAATTTAAAAACTTTTGAAATTTTTTTCGGTATTGAATTGGACCAAAAGGTTGTGGAAGATAGGACCATTTCAAGTTTTGTCATTACTTTAACTTTTCTCCATTTTCAACTTTTCTACAAACTTCTTGACCGTTTTAGTGAAACTTTTACCATTTAGAGAGTTGAACCCTCGAATCGACGCATTCAAGTTTTACGGAATTCTGGAGAAGTACTACGACCGTGACAATGCCCCATCTCAGGAGTACCATTTGGTCGAAGACAAACGATTCAAATGGCAAGTTGGCCTTCGGATCAACGACCTCACTGACGAAAGTATTGTACAGCACGTGGTAGGTCCAAGTGTCTAAAATTATTTTTTTAAATGTTTTGCTAATTCAAAGCGAAATTTCAATATTATACTGCATCCGAACACTTACTTCAGCTATTTGTTACCTAAAAACAGAAAAAAAACTAAAATAATGTTACCATTCCTTGTAATTTTTCCGGTATTTGACTCGCAGAAACATTCTGAAAATTGAAAAACAAGTAAATAAAAGAATAGGTAATAAAAAACTGAAAATATTTAAAAAATCAATTTACAAATCAAGGAAGATCATAGTATGATTTATCCATGAGAATATGAATAGAAAAGACTGACACAGAACGATCAAAAAATTATTTTTCTAAATTTGACATTTCGTTTTCGAATTTTCATTTACAGCAAAGCTAATTATTGTGCAGCAATTTTTTTTCAGCTGAAAGAAGTTGGGATTTTGGAGAAATTGGAGTTACACAAAAGGATTCTGAATCTTCTGGGCATCTTCAGACACCGCCAGTATGTTGGTCTGGTCTTCCCCGCCTTTCTTACGCTCAAGGAGAAGATGGAAGCCAGAAAGGTGTAAGTTTTTAATTTTTTGTAAACTTCCTGACCAACCTACTACTTACACTTTTACCGACAATCGATTATAGTAGACATAACATGTAAATTTGAATTTGTATTTAGAATCCAAGCAGAAACCAAACCCAACGCTCCAGCTCTGTTCCACCGTGATTGTGTAGCCATGGTGTTGAGACCAGTGATCAAAGCCCTCAGATACATTCACTCTAAAGGCATTGTACACACCCAACTCCAAGCAATTAATGTGTACATGAACGAGAAGTGCTACGTCAAGTTGGGTGGATTTGGTTATGCCAGGTCTATTGGCAGCAGGTAAGACAATTTTTAACAACAAAGTTTAGTGTTTTTATTTAAAAATTGAGTTACTGCAAAATTTTGTTGTAGTACTACTATTATTGGTACACATAACTACGTATAATAGTCAAAAAAGAAAGCTCAGTACGCGAATTGTCACCTCAGTAATTGTCAGAGCCCAGTGCTCGCGTTAAATCGTCATAGCAGCCGAGCGGCCTCGAACCAGCGTGCTTTCGAGCCGAAAGCGAACGCTCTATCCCCGTGGCTATTCAAACAAACCTCTTTCTTTTCAGAAATCGCGTTTTTAATGCGGACTACAACCTGTACCCACCTGAGGTGTTACTCGAGGAAGGCGAGGTGACTGCCAAATTCGATTCTTGGGGTTTGGGAATGTTGGCCATTGAGGTTATATCGGGCAAACGCTACAAACACAGCCAGCCAAATGCGAAAAATAATCTCCATGACTTTGTAAGTCTGCTTTTTTAATTTATTTGAAAAGCTTTACTGTAACTATAGTTGTGGAGTAAATGTATCTTTAAAATAGGTTTAAAAAGCTTGTGTTTTCGTAGGTATTTTTGTAATCTTAAGAAGAATTTTTAGCTGTCAGAGAGGGCAACCCCACCAACTTTGAAGGTCTTCGCTCCCAAGACATACGATTCTGATGACAAATGCATATACCACGATGATGTCGAAGATTTCTTGTCTCAACTGTTGGAGGTAGAGCCACGTAGTCGTATGGATTTGGAGAAGGCTCGTGCTCATCCATTCGTCGGCAATACTCTGGACAAGAAGCGATGTGCCGAAGTGTGGAAAGGTGAGATCGCATAGTAATGTTATAGTATGGTAATGTAATAGTCATTCATTTATTTTTCCATAAAAATACAGAAGGTTAAACTTAGTATCAACGTGTTTTAGTCAAAACGTTCTTTGTTAACGAAGCCGAGGCCGAACGGTCGCTGCGACACGAGATGGAGATGGTCAAAGGCGATACTCACGACTTCAAAGCCGACTTTTTGAAGCGACTGGTAAGGTCTTCTCGATTGGCAGCCAAAGAGTTTTATCCTGTGTTTGATGTCGAAAGCGACAAATCCCTGATGGAGGACTACTATCTGGTACAGTTGACCATTCCGATTCCACCGATGGATGAAGGATGGAGTCGCGACGTTCTGGACATCTCCCAAGGACCAGACGGTATGAACACGTCGGTCAAGGGTGAAGAAGGTGGTCCGAAGGTAGTGTTTTGTTATTCTGAACAGTGTTGAGAGGGTGACTTGCGTTTTGAAGGGGTAGATAATTTTTTTTAAATTTTTTAAATTTTCATTTTACAAAATCTTTCTATGATATGTTACAAAGAGCACAATTTTCAGTACGTGAACAGAAACGATCAGATTTTCTTTGTGAAGAAGGATTGGACTGAAGAAGAGCGACAAGTCTTTATCGGACTACAGGTCTGCCGTTGGTATCACCGTGGCTTCATAGAGTAAGTTATTGTTTTAATCATTTTATAAATATACTTGTCTTTAATATTTATATACTATACTATAAGAATTCAAAGAATATTTGTGTCAAAAACTGTTTCAAACACCTTATCCTTCAGATTCGGGGACGCCGTCAAGATTGCTGATGACATTGACGACTTGTTCAACTTTTACATTTCCGACTTTGGCAACAACGCCAAGACTGCCAAAGCTAGCGACATCTACTTGTACACTCCGCTCAGGTTTGTTTATACCAGAAGAACACCGTTGGTGGACAAAGATCGATCCATCTACAACGCCTACATCAACATTGCTGTAGCGCCGGAGTCGATGAAGTACCTCAAGAAGAAGTACGATGACATTGCGAACGTGGACAAGAGTACTATTCCGGAAGGCCAGACGACCTTGCATCAGTCTGTCATCTATAGAGAGCTGGATCTGAAGAGATTTAGAAGAATGGAAGCCGCGGTTTTGGGCGAAGAAAAGGCGAAGCAGTGGGAATCGATGGCATTTGATGTTGATGAACGCAGAAACACCATTCTGTAAGTGACTAGAAGAGAAGAAGAGAAATGTAGTTTTTTGTTATTCTATAGACGTTGTGCCATGTAAAACGTATATATTATCTTTTAGGCCTCTTGTTTACGAAAGAAGATGCAACAGAAATGGTCAGTACAAGAGTGATGCGGCTCAAGATGAACTGGCTGATGAACATGATCACGACTTTAACCAGATCAGAACTGCCAAAATCTGGAGCGAACTGGACAGAAAGTTCTTGGACGAAAAGTATGGAGCTCAGTTGGAGGTATGTTACAATCATCATGTTCTTGATTTAAAATACAATAGAAGTTAAGAAAAACTAAAATACAACTTAACAAACTTTGACTACCTTTTTTGGATCCACTAACCCTTGAACAAATATACTATTTACTTGACTACTGTAATATTACAGCTACACCACCCAGACGCCATCAATCTGTTTGGTCATCCGTTCGAGAAGACGCAAGTGGAGAAGACCTTGGATGCGGATCTCTACAGAGGCCAAGTGTACCAAACTGAAGACTACATCAGTCCATTTTCGGCCGCAGATGCCGAGCGTGACGTCACCTGGGCCAAGGGCTACTACGCCACTACCACGCCGAGCAAGAGAAAGGCCAAGCCCGTGACTGGTCAGGCCGACAACTTTGACCAGAGCTTCGACGCCTCCCAACATGTCATGCCTAGTCCAGCCCCCAAAATGAACCGTGCCAAACGTGCCCCCAACCCTTGACTACTTCTTTAACTTTGGGTTGATTTGACTAAAATAAAGTTAGTTACATTACGGATTAAGTCATCTTATCTTGTGCTAATTTTCATATATAGAACAATAGACTTGTAAAAATATTACAGCACTTTAATGAAAGCTTTACGGTAATCGAATGAAAGTGAATTTGATTATATTTAAAGACTTGTCAGGTTTGCTGGTAATTGTTGTCGCCGGTTGTCGTGTAAAGAGACGTTCTAGTTGATCAGCAAAGTATTGTTTTACGTTTTCGGCCAAGGAATCAAAGTCAAACATATAGTTTTCGCTTAAGAACGTTTCACATTTTTTGCGAATATCCAGAACGAACGGTGCGTCGTCAAGAACGTTAAAACCGTTGATTGTTCTCAATTTCAGTTTTCCTATAAAGAGATATACTTTAGTAATTGCTGAAATGACTATTCACTTATATTGTTGAGTCTTACCTGTTGGAATAGAAAGGGTTATTCAATTCTTCATGAGATTGGCAAAAATCCAAACTTCTGTATCCTTCTTCTCCCCCCCCCCAGTTACGAAATTGCACAATTCTTCTGTGGGTTTTTTTTTTCATGCACCTCCGGGTGGCGACAATCGATCCATCTGGAGTAGAATTGTTTCTTTTTAAAGTTGTAAACAATACACTGAAAGAAGTGCGATTAGTATGTTTTTACACTGTTCTTGAAGTATAAGTACCCGACTTGAAGTTTAGTATGCCAGTTATGCTTATTTCGCCAGTATTACAAATTTGTACAACGTAATTTGAAAACGAATTCCAAAAGTCTTCATTATTATCCACTGAACGTTCGTAGAGCTTTTGTTTCGTCTTCAAGTCGTAATACTCAATGTTGTTGTAGCCGTATGCTCCGTTAGCGTTATCTGAAGTTAACTTTACTAGGAAACCGTAAATAATGGAAATCGAGTAATAACAAGTGGTATATATATAAATGTAGAGCAAAAAAATCTAAGATTCATGGTGTAAAAATTATTTGCCAACAATCTCTAGTTTTTGAGATATGGCAGGTCAAAGTTTGGTTTTTTAAATCCTTTCGTCTCATGTTCGTTTTTTTGAGCGAAAAGCGCAAGCGCTTCATTGGTAGCGAGGGAGTGAGCCCGACTTGGACTCGGAAGCCCAAACTAAACATACGTAACCTTTTGGACTTAAGAAAAAAGAATATAGCAAAATTTAAACCAAAATAATTGATAAAAAAAAGAAAATTTCAACAATATTTCTTCATAACATTTGTATTATTTCACTTTCACCGTTATGGTGGACATTAACGTTATTGTCGGCTTATTGGTGGCGAAGGTGCCGCCAGCTATTGATATTTCTAAAGCTACTAGAAGAGAAAAAACCTCTTTCCAAATTCTGTACAATAAGTTATTAATGTTGAAAGACTCTGATATCTTGTTGCCAGAAAATGATGAAGATATGAATGAATATTGGGATGGTGAAGTACAAGAAGGCCCAGATGAACCAAATGATCCATTTGAAGTCGACGAAAGTAAGTTGATTAAATTTTCTGGGGGGTTTCAAACTGCTGATACTGTTATGAAAGCTTTGAAGTTGTATAGGAAAGTTTCTGGGAAACAAAACCAAGTAAATGGTAAAAAAAAGTTTACAAATAGGTCTACAGTTTCGAAAACTTTTAGATTTTTGAAAACTAGCTATGACTGGAAAAAATTAATTGAATTTGAAAAAAATATGGGGAAAAGTCTAGACAGAAGATTTGCTATCAGTCAGTTTTCGGATAGGCTCAAATCCTGGGTTTTTGCGTGTATAGATGAAGGGTTGAGGCTTTCTGCCGATGACATTTACTGCCAGGGACAAACTTTGTTAAAAGAGTTTAATATCCCTTACTTTTCGGCTTCTTTGCGGTGGATACAAAGTTTTAGTGTGGAAATTGGGGTAGTTAGTAGACGTATTACTCAATTTGTAACTGAAAAGAACAAAAGAGATGAAGATGAGATTAAGGAAAACGGTAAAAACTTTGTTGATTCTGTTAAAGAAATGAACTATCCGCCTCATCTGATTTTTAATTCTGATCAGTCAGGGTTTAACAAAGAACTTGTCACAAATAGGACTTTGAGTAAACGGGGGGCTAAAAAAGTTGAGGTTGTTATTCAGGCTACAAACGATGTGAAGAGCAGTTATACCATTATGCCTACTATTTGTGCTAATGGTTCTCTGTTCGGCAATTTGTTTGTGGTCTTGAAGGACGTTTTACCCAAAAGTTTTGTGCCGAACTGGCATAGGTTTTCTATCCATGCCGGTTCTACGCACATTATGACTAAGGGGCTAATGTATACGTGGTTTGAGGAATGGTTTAGCGCTCCAGAATGCCCTACGGAATTTATTTCCTTAGTGGATCCTTGGCCAGCCTTTACCAAACACGAACATATACATGAAATTGCATCAAAGCATGGTAAAATTGTACATGTTATGAACATTCCCCCTAAGGCTACGGGTCAAATCCAACCATTAGATAGGCACTTTTTTCAGTATTTCAAAGGGTATGTTAAGTAAATTCATGCATTTGTTTTAAAAGAGAGAAGTACTGTTTACAAAATTTCAAAAAGAAATCATATTTTATATGTACTTGAATTTACATATAACCAGTTTTGCGCCCCAAAAGACCAAAACTTTCTGTCATATTCATTTCATTGCACTGGTTACATTGATCTCGGAGAAAACCGTGAAAGATACCTGTCCACGCCCGTTGAGTACAGTTTTCCAAAAGGTAACATCGAAAAGTGCCATTCCTGCGACAACCCTTCCCTTCTTCGCTGCTCATACTGCGAACATTTCTTTTGTTTCGACCACGTTTTGACAGAAAAACATATTCATTATTAGGTTTTTTATTATGTATTTTAAAAAAATAAAAAACAAAAAAAATTAAAATTAAAAAACGAAAAAAAAATATAAAATGAAATAACAAAAAAAATTTTAAAATTAAAAAACGAAAAAAAATATAAAACAGAAAAACAAAAAAAAATTTAAATATAATTAATTTAATAAAAATTTTAAAAAATAAAATTTTATAATATTGTAAAATTAAAAAAAATAAAAAAACATTTTTGAGGCTTTCTAGCCTTTGGAATTCGGCGGGAACCGAACCCTTGGGCTTCCGAGTCCAAGTCGGGCTCACTCCCTCGCTTCAAATATACAATAATTATATTGCCTAGCAGTAACTTTGCAAAACTTGATGAGTTGGTCAGTTTTCATGTCCTTTAAGTACAATTCCTCCTCTATTGGGTCCAACAATGCTACATAACGGTGTTCACTAAACCTGTTCACGTATTGTGGATGTAAATATTGCAACCCAGAAGGCAGTAAAAATTGTTTGTTACTAAATGGATCGTACACTACGTTGTTGTCTTGTACTTTTGGGCACAGTCCAAAGAAAAAGTTCGTGATTTCAAAACTTTTCATTACTTTTTTTGATTTTATATCGTACAGGTACGCTTGTTGACTATCGTATGGATTCGAGCGTTGACCTGCTGCGAGTGCCTGGACTGATGTATTGCAACAGATGACAATCAACCGCTTTCCCTTGTTTATTATACTAGTTTGCTCAATTTCATCCTTGATGAAAAAACGACTAAAGGCAATCAGTTCAAATATTAAATACGAAAAGTCGATATGAGAAAGTATGACATGGTGTGGTCGCAAACAAAAAGCCAGAGTTCCACTATAAGGACAATTGGTTACACCGAGGGTAGTTAGATCGAAAGCGCGATGTCCAGCCCTAAAAGATTTTCAGTAAGTTTTTTACGATGCAGAAGTACATTTGACCATATTCAGGTTCAACAAGCAAGGTAAGTAATATATTACAAGCTAAAAGCCACCACCCACGTTCCCCCAGTGAATCTGTAGATGCCGTCACGGTAACACAATGTTTTGAAGTCCGTGTTGGCCAGTTCGTAAAAATGTTTATGCGTCGCAGCCAACATGGCCAAGTTATCAATGCTGTTCAGTTAAGAAATAATGTTTTTCCATAATACACAAAATTAGTGTAATTTACAAAAAAAACAATGCAATATACCAAAAAATGTTATTGACGAAGTAAAAATTAAACAAACAAAATGAAAATGGAACAAATCTTTTTGATTTTGCTGTTAGCACAACATGTATGTATATAAGTTATAGACACAATTGCTGCAATATGTATTTAAGTTACTCTTGACGTTCTTGATCCGAGTTGTCACCCGAGTCGTTGTTATCCAATTCTGGAGACAATGGGAAGTTCTGAGACTCGTCTTCCGCCATCATAGTCATCTCTGCGTCGGGATCATCCACTCGTTTATCGTCCACAAACTCTGACGGAGGTTCTAGACCAACATTATTATCAGCGGAGGCTTCTGTCTGTAATCATGGTTTATATAACAGTTTAGGTATAGACACAACAAAAACGAAGCCACAATCACAAAATTAACTACCTGCGGTGACGATGCATTCTTTTCTTCTTCTGAATCGTCCATCACATCTTCAAGGTCATCATCATCGTCGTCCTCATCATCTTCATCGTCATCCATGTACTCAACTGCAACTTCCAGCACATCGTCTTTAACAACCTCTTCTTCTGAATCCGAACTCTTTTCTTCTTCAATGAAGTCGTCTTCATTAACTTCAGAGCTTTCGCTTCCACTGCTTTCTGCCTTTTCGAGTTCTTGTGCTTCGTTCTCTTCATTGTCTACAAGATCATCATCGTTGAATGTTTCCGTGAATTCTGGTTTTTCTTCTTGAGCCAACTTCATTAGCTTCATATGCTTTTTGAGGGCGTCCTCTCGGCACTTGAACTCTTGTCGTTTGATTTCTCTGTCTGTTAGACGTCTGTTTTGTATAATATTGTAGGACATAACTTTATCTAAAATAATTTAACGTCATTTAAAAGTTGAGACAACAAACTACATCTAAAATTCTTGAAGCCTTTATATTGAAATAACAATTTAATTTAATAACATAAAGTAACCTACGTTCAGGAGGTGACAATGATGAAGAAGAACATTCTGGCACTATCAAATCCAATTTACATTCTTCTAACTCTTTGTGAACTTCAACTGTTTTTGTTTTTACATTCTTTAAGAGCAACGTCAGCCTCTCAATCACACCCTAAAACAAGATTAACCAAAATTAAAACACAACAAGGTCAATATAAACAAAAAACCTTAAGCAAGTCAATAACTTACAGCTAAATCCTTGTTCTGCTTCTTCATCATCTCCACCAACGTTTCTCGCGCTTGAACAGGTCGATGTTCGTTTATAAGATGATGCATATTTATAAACAACGTCCTTATAGTCTCTATCTTCTCCTTTCGATCTGCATGTTGTGGATTTCTAAAAATCAACCCTTAAAAACAATTGAACTTACTTTATCAAGATGTCTAAAAGATCTAGGAAAGCAGCAACAACACTAAAGTTCAGTTTCTTCAACTCTGACTTCCAAGGCTCCTTCGAGTTGTAGTACTTGGTAATCTCCAGATCTTGAAGTGCGGGCATCATTGGCTATAACAACATAAATGTTTATACGATGATAGCAAACATAAAAATTTTAATTTAAACCACTTACCCCATCCAAAGTGTACTCTTCATTGAAGATCTTGAACTTTGAAGGCACAGGTGGAGGTTTAGGTATGTTTCCAGCTCTAATGTTATCATTCGTGTAATTGAGCGAATACTCTGGAGGCGTAGGATAAGGACTAACATTTTGTTGCATATTTCAATAAAATCAAAAAATGTGAAATAATTTTACAGAAATTTTTAGAAAAATATTATCTACATCCGCATATTTTTTCTCTCTCGCATGGATAACAAGAGCCAAAATAGTGTGGCATAATGTCATTTTATGAAAAAATGTAAAAAATTACGAAATATGACATGATACAGAATTTCGGGTTATAAATAAGTTTCATGGCAACTTCAAATGCTGCTTTCACCAAGAAACTGAGGGTATGTTTATGTCCATTATGTTTATATTATTTTATATTGTAATTGCAACTTTTTTCTAGGGGATCTAACGTGTTTAAAAGAGCTTTATTAATCTAATTTTTGTTGTGGTTTTTTAATTAATTAATATCTACTTTTTAAATTATTGGTTCAGCTAGCTATAAAAGCAAAAATAAATGAACTTGGGGTAGATGCTGATGATGAACTCCCGGACTATGTTATGGTGTTGGCAGCAAACAAGAAGGATAAGAAGTTGATGCGCGATGACCTTAATATATTTTTGGGTAAAAGTACCACGACTTTTGTAGATTGGTACGTTCTAGACATCTTTATTGGCTTTTTATGTAAATATATTAATTTTTGTAATTGTGTATTCGATCTTGTTATAACATATCTTTTCAGGTTGTTCGATGCGTTTGAACGGATACAAAAGGGTGTGGGAGCGGCTAAACAGCCTGAACCGGAAAAGTAAGTTAACATGTTTTAGATTTATTTTGTTTTTAGAAAGCTGTCAGATAGCATAAAGAGCCTGCCATCAGAAGAAGGAGATGCTATGTCAAAGTTTAACAGAGGAAAGAACCATCGAGTAGAAGAAGAACACGAAGAGGACAAAAAGAAGAAGAAAGCAAAGAAAAAGAAGTCTAAAAAAGAAGTAGGTTATCAAATCTTTTTTGATAATCAGTAGACGATTTTATGATAAAACTAACTTATTATATTGCTTATAAGTAAACTTGGTCTGGGAGCTGTTGCTTTCTTTACAGTTTTAGGAAAAATATTTTAAAGCTTCAAAAGGTTTTTAGGAATCCCCAGAAGGCTTCATGAACACATTTGAGCAAATTCAAAGTCCTAAACGAACGAAACACAAGAAACATACAGTAGAAGAATCCCCAACACCACCACACCAGCATAAACATCATGACAAAGAGAAGAAACATAAGAAAAAGAAACGAACGCCATCACCGATCTACAACGAGGAAAAGAAAACACTAAAATATGACGTGATTTCGGATGCAGAAGACGAAGTTCAGATTTTGCCCCGAGAAGAAAATGCGGAACAACAAGAAAGGCCGAAATTCAAGCAACGATTGCAGTCACAAGTAGGATTAGTTATCAATAGCAATACTGGCAGCGAGTTTTCCGAAAATCATCATCGAAAACACGAAAAACATCATAGAAAGGAACGAGATTCAAAGTAAGTCATTTTAGGAAAATATACATTATAATTTTCACTATTATTAAGAAGTTGTGTCGTTTCTCGGTTTTACGATTCACTAAATTATAATTTTTAGAGTTCACGTTAGCAAGAATGCTATCTTCAAACGTGCTGTATCATCCGCAAAGTTAGTTGTAAATGTAGATAGTATTACTTCCAAAGCCGACAACAGCCAGACGAAGGTTTTGGTGGAAACAAAGGAAACGGCATGTCAGGCTGATTCTCCAGATCCTACGATTCATCACGGTACAGAGAAAGAAGAACAGAAGCCTGTCAAAACGGTCAGGAAGCGACGAGCTGATGATCCTTGTAAGTTTTGTCTCAAAAATTCTATTAGGTAACAACTGTATTCCTTTTAGTCGACAGTTTTTTGAAACATATTTTAATTTGTACATCTTTTGTACCTAATTATAAACAAATCATATTTTTAGTAAGAACGGTAGCTCGTTTAATGGGAATGGAGCTTAATAAGGTCAAGAAAAAGCCGGTAGAGGTGCCCGAAGTTGTCGAAGAAGAGAAAAAGGACATAGCCATAAGCACGGAAGAGGGTTCTGTAAGTCATAGTATTATCTTTGACTTTTTTGCTGATTGTGCGAGTTATTTAACATTTTTCATTAAGGAAAATTTGTTTTAATTCAAATTTTCTTATTTTTAGAGTGGCACTGTTTCGAAAACTCCATCGTTCTCTGGCTGGAACGGTCAAATCACATTGGGCGAAACGAGTAGCAGCAGCGACGAAGGAGAAGAAGCCGAAATAGATGCTCTAGTAGCAAGTGCAATTCAAGAGCGTCAGGTATTAGGCTCACAACTTCCTCCAACGGCCGCTCTTTCACGTCCTCAATTATATGCATCACAACAGGAAACAATACAAACTTTGTTGAAACAATCAGTCATTACTCATACTCAGATCACTCAACAACAAGTATCAGTGGCAGCACAACCGTCGCCTGTCATCCCAGTCAACGAAAGATGCCGATTCTGGCCGAACTGTACCAAAGGACCAACTTGTCCTTATATCCACCCAACACAAACGTGCTCAAAGTTCCCTGGTTGCTTCTACGGGAACAAGTGCGTCTACATTCATCCATTATGCAAGTACGGAATCAGCTGTACTCGGCCTAACTGTCCTTACACACATATCGAGGCTTCGGTGTAAGTTGGGTTTAGTTATGGATGATATAATACTATTAGTATACTATAATATAAAATCTCTTTTTACAATATTTTCATGACATTATTTACAGTACAACGCCCACCAAAGTCCCTCCGCCTCCTCCAAAATCGACGATCATGTGCAAGTTCAAAGGACGCTGCGAGAATCCAGGCTGTGAGTTCAAACATCCTCCACCGTGCATCTACGGAATGGCATGTAGAACATACGGATGCACGTTCCTGCATCGAAAGCCCGACCTCAGCAAGTTTAAGTGGTCGAAAACGTAAATACGGGTCCCTTAACACTTGTTTTGTATCTAAATTATTGTACGGGATAGGTAATGTCACATTAGATTGAAGATTTTTACTTAAAGTATTAACATTCCGGTACGATAGGTAATTTAATAAAAAAATATGATTTTTTGAATGAAATTTGTGATGTTTTAACAGTATTAGTATATATTTGAAGACATTTTACTTTATGGAAATATTAATATTGTAATTTCGTTCAAGAAAAATATTTTTTGACGATTTCGTTGACAAAGAACTCGTTTGTGATGTGAAGATGGTCAGCATCTACAGTAAGGAAGTGCAGTTTTCCATTGTCATCCAATTCTTTCAGACTAATCAGGTCCTACAAAATGTTTGGTCGTTTTTAAAATTAGCTTTATATTATACGCATATTCACCATGAGGTCAGAAGTGAATAATTAATTAAATTAAGCCTTCTACACAATTTTGGGCTTACTGCAGCAAGTAATGTCGTATTAAAACCAAAACTTACGTTTTTATACAAATCCGAATCTCTGAGCGTGACCACATTAGTGACATTGTTGTCAGGATAGTACCCAAACCATTCTGTTTCCTTTGGCACTACCATAGTATCGCGCAAAAACTTAACCAGTACCAAGTTCTCTAGCCTTACCAAGTTCTTACGGTATCTGTCTTGATCGCATTCCTATTATATAATGCTTTTATTGTACTTTTATATGAAATAGTTGGGAAAAAACACTAAATATGAATCAGAGGACGGAAAACAATAATACTTAGTTCTTTTTAGAAAAAAAATTAGAGACTGTGTTTTTAATACTTACTCTAGCGCAGTTCACATCAGCCAAGAAGATGCTTTTGTTTCTAAAGTCATCGCGTAGGTATGGGTCATCCCAGTATTGTGCTTGTACAAGGCTGTAAACAGCTATTATAAGAAAAATTGTATGGTATAATAATTAAAGTTATTCCTTAATTTAACAACAGATATTTTAAAAACACTATTCCTAATGTAAATTATAATTAAAAGCACAGTAAACGCCAAAAGCAACTCAACTTACGCATTTTGAACGAATCCCAGATAGGCGCCAGTGTTGAGTAGCCTTCGTACTGTGTTACAAATTCCAACACTACCAGGACAATGTGGGAAGCCATAAACACCATGTTGAGGACCACCAATCGAAACAACTGACTTGGGCACAGGGTAGTCACATCGTTGAGCCAGTGCTCGTCTATATTGGGAAGGTCAACATTATTTTAAAACCTACAAGAATAATCCTCCTTGTGAAAAGCCGACGGAATGGTAACTATCACCTATTTTGGGGTCTTCCTTCAACTGTTTACAGGCATCTGCCACTAGATCGTTCATGTTGGCAAAGAAGCCTTTTTCAGTGTCCTAAACTTCGATGTTAGTTACGACCTGAGCGTTGATTTAAAAAAAATTAATTTTGTAAAGCTGAGAAGATAATCTCAATCCTCAAACTTATGTTCAATAACTTACAGTCACAACATTACTGCCGAACATCAGGCTCTTGACATAAACGTTTTCAGGTCCGTTTTCTTTGATTATCTTCTTAATTCGGCCCATACTCAGTGGATTGCAACATGAATCTCCTGCAAAATAGTGACTTCTAACGAACCCAACTTTATTTTACAGTTTTTCCGCTTGCAATCATAGAATTTAAGCTGATTTTACTCTCTTTCGGTTAATTACTAAATATTTTTGCTGTAACACATACCCATGCCGTGCCATATTACAATAGGCGTAGGCTCAGATGCAATATTAGCAATAGTAACAGCAAATATTACCGTTACTAGCCTCCACATTGTTTTAGATGAAAATGAATCAAAATTATTTATATTTGAAGATTGATAACAATGATAAGGTTTGAATGCCCACCAAATGTTATATCGACGTTCAAATTGATCCAACTTTTGTTTACCTTACACAATACCATTTTTTTAATGTGTAAAAGTTTGTGAAACTTTTAATTTATCATTATTTTGTGTTGATGAGACCCGCTTTATTTTACAAAGTAAAAAATAGTTTACAGAGTGAAGTAATAGCTAAAATGATTTAAATTCGGTTAAAATCATGCAATATTAAAAGGTTAGTGTTAACTGTAGTAAATTTTTCGAAGGACAATGGTTCCAGTATTCACACTTCTTCATCGTCTTCTTCCATCGCTTCGTCCTTATTCTGATTCTGGATGATTTGTTGGCTATTGTACATCTCTGCCACTTGTTCTGCACTGGTCGAGTCTTCTGGGCCCTTGTCTTCTCTCAACTTCATGTAGCGAGGGAATCTGAGAGATATACCTTTCTCCTTGTCAATCATACCAACAGCAGCAGTGTGTCTGGGCGATATTGACAAGTCGGCAGCTTTCACTTCCCAAACGTATTTGGGTTCGAACCAGTGATCTGGAGCCAATGTTGAGTCGAATCGGAGGTTACTTGGTGCCTAAAGTATTGTAAGTTAGAATAAATAATCAAAAAAACACGTAAAGCAATTAAAAAAGTAAAGAATATATAAAAATTAAGAACCATACCTTCTCCGTCCTAACACCTTGTAGGTATTCATATTGACTCTTTAAATCCTCGTCTGAGAACCCAGTACCAATTTTACAAATAGTCTGATACTCGTCAAAGTCTGCATTGTAACAAGCCAGCAGATATCCACCATACACAGCTGTTCTCTTCCCTGTTCCACAGTATCCACCAACTACTACGAGATCGAGGGTGTCTCCCACGCCTTCCAGGTAGTCCTTCTTCAACTTGAGCCAGCTGTGAGATCTCTTGGCAATCTCGTAATTTGCATTTTCGTCCAAAGCCTTTACCATTAGACCTTCACAGTTTCCTCTGACGGCATCTTCCAAGAATTGAGCTATTTCATCCGTATCTTCTGTGTCTAGGTATGTAGCGTACATAAGATTACCTTCAACTTCTTTGAAGGTCTGTTTTAAGAGAGTGCGACGTTTTCTAAATGTTCTTTTGACCAAGGATTCTCCATTGAGGTACAGTAAATCAAACAAGAAAATACACACTTGAATCTTGATCTCAGCGCCTTCTTCCAGCTATAATATGACACAATTACAATTTTATAAAACATAATGTTAACTTAGTTCACAAAAGTCAAAAAAAGTTTTTACATAAACCACTTAAACCTTCGCTCCAAATATAAACTGACCTTTCTTTTCCGTGTACTCAACAGTTGGAACGGCAAGATGACCTTCTTATTCACATCCCAGGCCACAACTTCACCATCAGCGATAAACTCAGTCTTCAGGTCTACCAAAACCTCAGGAATCTTCTTGATGATGTCAGGATACTTTTCAGTATTGTTCTCCATGTTCCTACTGTATACCTTCATCGTTCCGTCCTTTCGTCTGTGAATCTGACACCTTTCTCCATCGTACTTCCATTCACAAGCAAACTGTGCTGTTCCAAAACGTTTCATGACTTCTGCGACACCAGTTGTTGGATGAGCTAACATAGGCTTCATTGGTATTCCCGGTTCAATTGTCACATGATTAGGAAGGTCTGTTATACCGTACTCCAAGACCGTGTTTATGATTCGGTCAAAGTTTGGACATTCACTAAAAGAATAAATTTTATAAAAGCCTCCTGAAACTTCAAAATTCTACCAAATAATACAGATTGAAACGGAGTTAACCTACCAATAAGCGGTTTTTAAGATGAGAGCATCAGCTGCCTTCTTCTCCTTCAACTTGTCTCCAGCCAGCTTCTTTTCTTCTTTATGTAGCTCGTAATCAGTAAATGCATTCGCCAACGCCACAATAAGTGACTGTTCAGCTAAACCTATCCTCAGCTTTCCACCCAATCCTCTGATTAAAAACCTGGCTTCGGATTCCTTACAAGCCACAAGTAAGCCTTGAATTGTCTTGATTTTACGATCTTGAGACTAAAACAGCACCATTAAATGTCGTGTACAAAAAATAAAGAAAAGATATTTCAATTTCTTCTAAATATGTTACCAAAATACAATCACTAAAGCTAACAGTACTTACATTGCTTCCCGTTAAAGTCGAAAATTCTTTCAACTTTTTAAAAACATCAGCCACAAACAGCGGTTTTGGCTTCGCAAATCCCAACATAGTTTGGCTTGATCTACTGCTTTCGGCTACCAATCCAAGATCTCCTTTGGCCACCATGTCTTGTTTTATCTTGTCCACCTTTCTTCCTGTAGCTTGTGCTAAAGCTTTCATCAATACACCTTCAGCTACTCCCAGTTCCTGCCCTTCGTAAGACGGTCCCAGCTGGTTTATACAAAGGTAAACGCATGGGGCCAGGTCTCCTGGTGTTGCTTTGATTACAGATACGAAGAACTTTGCCAAGTGGCTGATAATTTCAAGCCGAGATGAAGTTTCCTCAATCTTTTTCAACGTTCTTGTCAAAGCAAGATAAGGCACTCTGAAATAGATGAAATTAAATCTTTGCTACCTAAATATTACTTTAGCAGCATTCTTCGTTTCAACAAACCTAAACAAACAAAAAAACAACAAAACAAACTTACTTTTCTCCTGGTACAAGTTCCGATATACTGTTTTCTACCATTTTAAACTTTTTAGTACTTGCACAACGAAAGACGAACTTATGCGAGCCAGGAAAGAGAAATCCAAATCGAGTAAACATAAATTTCTACTTTCTAAAAATAAAATTAGCGCGTAACGAAGTGTCACAATCGACTGAGCCGATATTATAGTAGAATTTTGTCAATCCATTAGTCTCGACTCTTTCTGATTCTTAAATCGGTTATTATGTGAATCTGTGAGGGGCTTCGGGGTGGCGGAATCGGAAAGATGGAGATTCGAAATATGAGAGTAAGATAATATTGTAGTAGATGATGTGTTTTTCTATATAATTTTCAATTTTTTTGCAAAATTAGCAAATAGAAATTGCTGAAAATAAAATGTCAATAACTTTTGCAATTTTCAGTATCGAAGCGTGCTTAGAGCCAAGTATCTTATTGTAAAGAAATATATAAATGGAGAGGAAGTTGAATGGAAGACCCTGATACCCATAGCACTGATTGACAAACAATTTTATTTGATTTGCAGAGCATTTTGTATATATAACAATGTGGATCAATTTCTGGAAAGATTCAACGACGAAGAATTGGAGCTGAGCTTCAACACTGTTCGTCTTGATGATGTCATTAACAACATCGTGAATGGCCCTGACTTTGTGATAGTTGAACCGATATTGCCAAATGGATTTATTGACGACATAGTGGATGTACTTTTTTTGTGATTTATACTTTCTATTGTTATAAGAACTTACTAACTGCAATACTTAAAAGTTTTAAAATCTTATAAAAAATTTTTTTATTTCAGGTGTTTTTACGATTAGAAGATGCAAATGTCAACTTATCAGCTGTGAATGTCCCTGTTCACACGTACCTTCATCGTATTTGGAAGAAGGCGGCTTGTTCGGAAATCAGACCTCGAAAGCAGTTAAGTGGCAAGTTATGTAATAGCGTGTTCAACGACATTTCATTGCAATGTAAATGTTCGAATGACTATTTGATGGACGTTTTCATAATCTACAACTACACGATCAATAAGAAAATGAATGTCGAGATATACTACACCAAGAGGTTTCTGAAGTTTGCCGTCAGATTTGTCAGGATATACTTTTCTAACATGGAACCACTTTATGTCAGGTCAAGGTAAGACTGTGGACATTAAATATTGTACTTTTAGACTTAAAGTTGAGTGACAGCTTTTATTACATCATCGTCTATTAATTAACGATTTTTTATTTACGTTATGACAAAAATAGTGTTATAATCAATTCCCAATTTATATATCTTAAATTACTTTTGTAACAACGATTATCTCTAGGCCAAGATTACTTCCATTTGACGTGCTGTTTGATATTGGAACTTTTCTGACAAGAACTGACCTTGATATATGTCAACTTGTTTCTCGAGAATGGTACAACATTATTGAAAGCAACAGAAATGGATTTGCTCTACACAACAAGACGTCTGCCAAGCTGGTTTCAAAAGGTGATCTCTTTTGTTTTGGAGTGTTTGATGAAGACGAGTCAACTTCGAACGTGGTCGATTTTAGAGAACGAAGGTGTAATTCTGCTGTTATTGTAAGTTTTTGTCTTGGATTTCGTAAAATTTAGGAAAAGCGACAAAAACATATTTACTCTTTAAAGGTTACTGAACAGGTATTTTTCAGGAAAAACTGTTTTACCCACTAATGCGCAACTCCAGCATCGACAAGTTCCACATAAAACGAATCGACATTAAAGCGGTATTTGAAAGTTTTGTAGATGGTATTAGCAGATGTCTCCCAACCAACATCAAACGCCTTGTCTTCTCGGCTGCACTTGTGGATCGGCTGGAGCATGTTTTTGATTTCTCGGAGAACACGTTGAAGATAAAAGAATACGAAGTCGAGGTATTCAGTGAAGAGCTATTTAAAAGACTTTTATCAGAGCCAGCTGTTCAACGATGTGATCGACTAGTACTCTATGAGGTGAGTTCGTCTATGTGACCTATTTAAAGAAGTCAATAACACTTTCAAATATGCCTAAAAGTCTAATTTCAGCAATACCAAAGCAACCAGACCATTTTAAATGAAGTTGCCAGCTTCTTCGGTGCCGTACCACGTCCAGCATGCACGTTTGTTATGCGGAACGTGATTAATGAACAAAATGTGAATGCCATTTTATCAACCGTAATCAGAAGCTTCCAAAGATCAAAAAAATCAGCTGGATTCATAAATCCTATGCTTCTAGTGCTACACAAACAACCAAACGAACTGCCACAATGTTGCACCAATCCCGTACATGTCAATGTACCTGACGCCTTTTCTTTCGAAACACCTACTGTGTCAAACATATATCATTTCGAGAATTCTATTGGAGAAACTATCACTTTTTGTATCGGGCAGACGGTTTATCATCCGGTTCGGCGAATCTGCCATTTCCAATATGGCAAAAATTAGAGACTTCTAGAGGACAAACAACTAACATAATGTACATAATTTTACTGATTTTAGTCCGATTTAGTGAATTTTAAAAATAAACTGCTGACCAACGAATTTTGATCTATTATTAAAATTATTGTTCGCCAATATGTTTATTAATATTAGCTTATTGCCTAATGTGTAATTAGAGCACGGCGAGCCCACTTTTATTTATTTTCTAGATGAAAGTGGAATCGCGGGCGCAGGTCGGAAAAAAGCACGCTTTCAAGTCGCTTTGAAGTCTAGAGCGATATAACTGTTAAACGATAGGAGGTATTATCAACAAAACAAAATTAAAAGATTAAGTAGTTATTCTACTTTACTTTGTATTAAAAGTTTTTTTATATAAACACATTTATAATTGAGTAAATCAACTTTAGTTAAATTTTAACTTGTATTTACGTTTACCGCGTTATTATAAGACATTATTATTCAAAAAGCTGAAGAAAACATCAGAAATGCTACAAACTTGGATAATTTTCAATGGAAAAAATAAAAATTAAGAATTAAACTTGACGCGAAATGAGAAACTTGACATGGTTTCTGCAGCCTGCGCAAAAATCGAAAAGATCATTTATTTCTAGCTTTGGGCTCGCCGTGAGAGCCATTTTTTACCAAAGCAAGCCAAAAAAATAAAGAGGTAAACTCGACCCAAGTGTTCGTTTTTGTGTCAAGCCTCGTTCTTGTTTGTCTGATATTTATAAAATGTAATCAGTATGATTTATTTTGTGAACACGGTAAACGGTTTTTTGTTCGAGGACCGACTGTAAAGCTGGTTATCGTTGTGCTTGTTTGTATTATTTTCGCGGAACATATGTTTACGTGACCTTAACTTATGTTAGGTTTTAAACGCTACTTTTGTTTTTTATTTGTTATTTTTTACCCAACGAAGTTTGTCTGATTGCAGAATATTTCAGGAGAATGGCCGCGCAAAGTGTGCAGATTTCTAGCCTTCTGGAGAAGATGACCTCCGTGGACAAGGACTTTAGGTTTATGGCGACGAACGATCTGATGGGAGAGTTGGAGAAGGAGGCTTTGAAGCTCGACGACGAGATTGAGAAAAAGGTAATAAATAAAACTGTTAGATTTATCAAACTAATAACTTTTAAAGAATATTGTTTTTAAGTTTTATATTGATATCTTTAAATGTTTTTGACTTTTAATATCGTTTAAGATTACTCGGACGTTGTTAAAGTTGCTGGACGACAAAAACGGGGAAGTTCAGAATCTGGCGGTCAGATGCCTGGCTCCATTGATGCACAAAGCGAAACATGGAAATGTAAGTCTTTATCATATTATTATTGAAATTTTAGGTTGACTTTATTATTCAAACCTTGTGTCAGAACCTACACGGAACGTCGGAACGCGACCGTGATGTTAGTTCGATCGCTTTGAAGACGGCTGTGTCAGAGTTGTCGACCCAGCTTAGTTCTGTTCAAATCAAGGATATATTGGGCATCATTTTCCCGAAACTTATGGATATTTTGCGTATGTTTCTTTAATTTAAGGGCTTTATTGTACTTTATCTTTAATTATGGAGATAGTATACGAAAGAAGACATTTTTAAAAGTTTCAGGTGGTAATGGACAGCATGATTCAGCATTTAAAATTGAAATCACTGATATTTTGGGTATCTTGATCACCAAATTCAGCCACACTACTTTTATAAACTTTGAAGAAGTTGTCGACGTCTTGTTCTACCAACTCTCGAAAGACCGTCAATCTCTAAGAAAGAGAGCGATTACCGTGTTAGGACAAGTTTCTGAAGTGGTTGAAGATGACGTCTACTGCGACATTGTGAATCGTCTCTATGAAGGCATCGAAAGTGGATCTAATTCTGTTGTTCGTGCTCACGTTTTGGCGGCAAGCACGGTCTCACGGTCTGGACGTGGTTTGAAGGGAAGGCTTCACGAGTTCATTAACGTGTTAGTTAACTATTGTCGAGAAACGGACGACGATGAACTAAAGGATGCTTGTGTTCATGCTTTCGAAGTATTCATATTCAGATGCAGCAAGGAGATAAGCCCGTTTTTGAATGAAATTCAAAGCATTTGTAGTGAATTTATCAAGTACGATCCTAACTATCAGTACGACGATGAGAATGGCGATGATTCTATGGAAGTCGATCGTAAGTCATCGGTTTTATTAAAAATATTAATACTTTGTACAAATTTATATCAAATTGCAAATAATCATTTTTCAGAGAATGATTCTGAGGAAGAAGAAGACGATCTGGACGACTATTCAGACGACGATGATTTCAGTTGGAAAGTGCGAAGAAGTGCTGCTAAGTGCTTCGAAGCCTTGATCAACTACAGAACTGACCGTCTTGGCGATCACTACAACCAAATTGCTCCGCTGTTGTTAAGCCGCTTCAAAGAAAGAGAAGAGAACGTCAAGATCGACATCTTCAAGGCTTACGAGGCGTTGTTAAAACAAACTCGACTGTACCTGCCTGAAAAATTGGCTCAATTTGACAATTCTAGCAATATCAGCCCATTTACTACAATCGAATCGAAGAATGTCATCTACACTAAAGAGTTTGCGAGAAAGGTATTGGATGAGGAAACTGACAACAAACAGAAGACAGTTCTGAATGCCTACAACGAACAGGTCTCAAAGTGTGTGAAGGCGATCTGTAAGCAACTGAGATCAAAGTCACCTAATGTCAGGTTGAACTGCTACTCATTGTTGATTCATTTAGTCAGGTAAGAAGTGTACGATTCTTGTATCTTATTTTTAAGGCATAAATGAGATAAAAAGATTATTGTTGTTTCAGAATTTAAGAAATAATGTTTTGCGACATAATTTAAATAAATGATCTTGATTTAGAGCTTTTCCTGGATGCTTGGAGAACCACTTTGATGTTCTTATTCCGCTGATTCAATCTTCAGTCAATGAATCCTCGGCTGATAACGCGACCAAGATCGATACTCTTCAGTTTTTGAACTTGTCATTCTGTTCCCACGAGTCTCAAGTAGGTTTTTTTTTAAAAGACGATTTCTGAGACGGTGAAGCAGCCTGAAACAGGCAGGTGCACTAGAAATTAACCCCCTGTTTTTATCGTCTTAATGCATGAGATAAACCGTTTTAAGATGTATAGTGAAGTTTTTTTGCACAAAATGTCATTTTGACATTTTTATGACATTTTTTGCCAAAAACAGTGAAAATTTATAATAATTTTAAAAATTAGCAGAATGTTTTAAAAATTAGTACACTTATGTTTTTAACTATGCTGATTAAAATTGTAGTTGAACATTTTTTTCTAAAGTTACCGTAACCTACCGTAACCCGCCCGGTCAATTATAAAAGTGCAAATAAAAAAAAATTTAACACGGTTAGTCATAGTCAATTTTAGCATATTTGAAATCTACATGAAATTTGGGTTTGAATAGACGGTACGCTCAAACTTAAAGCTGCCAGTTTTTGGGGTTTTTGGTCAATTAATTAATTACGGTAGGATACGGTCAAAAAATTAAAAAATTACTGTGCCATTATTACCGTCTATTCAAACCCAAATTTTATGTAGATTTCAAATATGCTAAAATTGACTATGACTAACCGTGTTAAATTTTTTTTTATTTGCACTTTTTTAATCGACCGGTTGGGTTACGGTAGGTTACGGTAACTTTAGAAAAAAATGTTCAACTACAATTTTAATCAGCATAGTTAAAAACATAAGTGTACTAATTTTTAAAACATTCTGCTAATTTTTAAAATTATTATAAATTTTCACTGTTTTTGACAAAAAATGTCATAAAAATGTCAAAATAACATTTTGTGCAAAAACACTTCACTATACATCTTAAAACGGTTTATCTCATGCATTAAAACGATAAAAACAGGGGGTCAATTTCTAGTGCACACCATGCTTCACCGTCTCAGAAATCGTCTTTTAAATTTTGGTGTTTTAATATTTTTTATCGATATAAATTGTGATATTTTAGGTATTTGTGCCATACTTTGACTCTTTGGTGGAAATTGTGACAAAATGTGTGAATGAAAGTTTCTACAAGGTTAGTGCAGCTGGCCTGATTGTTCTCCAGTCACTGATCATTGTCCTTCAACGTACTGGAGGTGGATCAAAGTATCTGGAAGGAATCTACAATGTCATCTTGTCTAAACTTGTGGTTGGCGACATTGATCAAGAAGTAAAAGAAAGATCGATCGCTGCTGGAGGTGTTATTCTCGCCGCATTTGGAAACGAATTGAGCCCTAAACTGCCGGAATTGTTACCTTTGCTGGTAGACAAGATTAACAACGAGATAACTCGACCAACTACAGTTCAGGCTTTCTGTGTTATTGTCAATTCGGCTGTCATTGTGGATTTGTCGCTGATCTTGGAGAACTTGTTACTTCAACTGTCAGACTTTTTGAGGAAAAATCAACGAGCATTGAAAGTGAGTTATTGTTTGACTTATAGGTATTGTTTTAGATCGCTTCTTTGTCATTGCTTAGCTCTTTGGTCACAAAGTATCCGTTGGGTCAGTTACCTCCAGAAGGTATCACTAAAGTCATCAATGAACTGCCACCACTGATTTCGGAATCTGACTTGTTTATCAGTCAACTGTCTCTTCGATTGGCCAAGGGTATGTTTCTTTCAGTTTATAAAAGGGGGTTCCCAATCAGTTTTATATCAAAATTTTTATATTATTTTAGTCATAACTCTTCTATACTTTTAGATTTGACTGAGAAGTTCCCTGTTGAAATGTCCGGCTCTTTGGGAAATATTGTGGATGCTTGTGTTACACTAGCCAACAACTCGATCTTGGTTGGCAATTTGTTGCAATGGGCTGTCGAGTTGTTCACTAACATTGTTTGTGAAAATATTCCTGGAAAGCCACAGTTCTTGGTATACTTTTTTATAATTTTTCCTTTTGATTTAAAATTGGGTTTTTAAAATAATTTTTAATTTTTTTGTTAAATGTTTTTTGATTTCATCTTGTTTAATTTAGGCATTGATGGAAGTTTTGACTGTTCAAATCTACAGTAACAGCAAGATCTGCACTCGCCAAACATATCAAAGCGTCGCTGTGATTATGGCACACTCCACGAAAGCCTTGAACAACCACGAATACACCGTGAAGATCATCTCCGGTTTGGTCAACTTGCTGGAACAGAACCAATCTGATGGACTAGTTTTGTTTGCTCTGACAGCTTTGGGAGAACTTGGAAGAATTTTTCCAGAATCTTTTGCTGTGGCCAAAATCAATCCCGAAGAACTGATTACTGCCAGCTTCAATTCGGAGTCAGAAGAGCGTAAAACAGTTGCCAGTTTCGCTTTTGGAGCTTTGGCTAGTGGAAATCTGGAGGTTTATCTGCCAGCTCTGTTGAACGAGATCAGAAATCAACCGACTCGACAGTATGTTCTGTTACACGCGTTGAAGGAAGTGATTGCTTCACAGAATCCTGAAAATCACAGCTCTGTCTTCGATTCGGCTGTGGATGACATCTGGACGGTTTTGGTTGGACATAGCAACAGTAACGAAGAGAGCACCAGAAGTGTTGTCGCTGAGTGTATGGGACGTTTGTGCCGTATCTTTTTGGATCTTCTTCTTCCCAGGTTGATTGTAAGTTGGCTTTATTTTGTTTTTTTAGGGTCTGAAATCTTATTGTATTCTTATGTTTTTAGGTACTACTACATTTTTTAAAATCTTTATGTTGAAATTGCTTTGAAAAATAATTTTTTAATTTAGGAATGTAGTACTAGTGGCAACGCGAAACAACGTTCTACTGCGGCGGGGGCCGTCCGCTTCATGATTGTGGACTCGAAAACGTCATCAAACGACGCGTTGAGGGAGAACCTGGGGCCTTTGCTTCGCGCGATCGACGACGACGAACTGGACGTGCGAAGAACGACCATTATGACTCTGAATTCTGCGGCTCACAACAAACCCCGCTGGGTAAGTCGCCGAAAAAACAGCTTTGACCGCGTGTTCTTTTGTTTTTAACGTCTGTTTCAATGCTTTCAGATCAAAGAGTTGCTCCCCACCTTGTTGCCATCTTTGTATCGCGAAACCGAGATACGTAAAGACCTGATCCATGAAGTGCAAATGGGACCCTTTAAACATATTGTTGATGATGGACTCGGATTGAGGAAGTCCGCTTACGAATGGTATGATTTAAGGGTTTATTTTAAATTTAAATTTATTTTTGTTATATTTTAGGTATTATTTTCTATGTATAATTATTATCAAATTATCAGTTTTGTTAATTACTTTTTGAAGTTTTACATTTTTTTATTTTAGTATGTACACTCTGATGGAACACTGTTTGGATCGTATCAACGTGAGCGAATACATGAGCTACATGGAAAAGGGTCTTCAGGTAGGTTTAGCTAATATTACGATTATTTTGAACAATTAAAAATGAAACTTCTAATTTATGCTGTTTAGGACAATCACGACATCAAGCTGCTCAACCTGTTGATGTTGACCAGACTGGCTCAAACCTGCAGTGCTCAAGTCGCTCAAAAGATTGACCGTTTTGCTGATTTATTGGCTGTAAGTGTGAATTATATTTTTATTTTAGTGTCATTTAGGTTTTTTGTATGTATTTTAAAAATATAAGTGGTGTTTGATTAAAATTGGGTTTGGCATTTAACTTTACTGTAACATTTATTTTTAGCCTCTTCTGGCTCTGAAAGCCAAGGAAAGTTCGGTGAAACAAGAGAGCGACAAGATTGAAGAACTGAAACGAGCTTGTATTCGAACTATTTTATCGCTAAAGGTGAGCGGCGACAAAACTTTTTCGACTTTTATAGAAACAAAAGACAGATAGCTTTTTTTGCGGCTATAATTATAAAAATACGGTTTAAATCGTTATTTTAAAGGTTTTTATTTTCTGGAAAGTCATAACACTTTGATTTTTTAAAATTTTTACCCTTTTATCTTTCAGAGAATCCCGGCATTGGATCGCTCAGCTCGCCTTCAGCACTGCTTCGAGACCGTGCAACTCGACCAGAAGTTGAAGGGCATCCTAGAGTCACTGGAGAAGGACAACACTCTGAAATTGTTATCTGTCCACAATCAGGACATCCAAATGGAAAATGATTACTAATTATAAGGGTGTGACTTTTCGATCTCTTATCTCTGAAACGTCTGCCCTGCGGCTATGTTATATTTACATCTTATTTTACGTGTGTCGACTTTGACTGCTATACGTGTCTGGAAATCGGTAATCTTGTGTTGTAATTTAATTGTATACAATGAATAATAATATATTTTGGTGATCGTATTTTGGAATTACTGAATCGTATTATCGAAATGATTACTTTTGAACTCTTTGACGCGTCGCTTTGATTTTTTATGAGTTTTAAGGTTGTTAATAGATTAAAATTTATATGTTAACAACAGGATAAAATTCTGTTGTACGTAGTTTCTGTGCGATTTTGTGATCTTTTCTTGCTTTTGACTGAGATTTATATGTATTATTTTGAATTAATGTATTACTGATACTTTATTGTTTTAATTCTAAAACATTGCAGGCTTAAATCCATCTGACACATGGTCAACTAACTGTGATCGAGTAGTATTGTCTTGATTTCGAACATCACGACAGTTTATACAATGAAGTGAGTTTTGTTGTTGTAAAGTACGGCGTGTTTATATCTAAAATTTATATTTAGAACTTTTTAAGTGTCATATGTAGATATGTTGTATTGTAGTGTGCTTGTTAATGTAAACATTGCATGCTATACTTTCTTGCAAATGTTTTATTTACCGAAAGAATACAGTTTACTGTAACTTTTATGGTTTGTTGTAAATGTAAGATAGTTACTGTTAACTTTGGTGTGCGCTTTACGCTGCGTAATAGACAAAAGTTTAGGTCGTTCGTGCGGACTTTAGTATGGTCCTTCTTTCCACTCTTGATTTTGTATACCGTAGCACCGCTTTTGGTATATATATTCCCACACTTTATGCAGCATCTTTTCTTTTTAAATTTTGGTAAGTTTATGTGACGATACTGTAGCTTGATTTTAAAAACTATAAATTTTGCCAGTTTTTGTGCTTTTGGCGAGTGTTCTATACTTTTGATTATAAATAGAAAATATTAAAATTTATACTGTATTTTTAATGGTTTTATTATTCTGAAATTTGTGAGAAGGCTTTTTTAAACTGACAATCATCAACTAATTAAACTTGTCATTTTTTAGTTAAATTCCCATGGAGAGAGTATCACAACCTGACTGATCATGGCGTCGACGCAAAGGGCCTCAACTTCTACATTGATGGTCCTCTTATGGATGGATTTAGGCCTCGGCTAGGTTTATGGCACATTATGCCCGATGGTTTGACACCAAATCAAGCGGTACTAACAAAGGAGATTGCCGAACAGATACTGAAGGACGACCACCGACCGGTCGTTATCTATCTTCATGGCAACTCATTCGATCGCACGACACGACATCGTATCGAGTTGTACAAGATACTGTCAAAGATGGGATACCACGTGTTTGCACTGGACTACCGAGGCTACGGAGACTCGACCGGTCGACCCACTGAAGCAGGAATTGTCGCAGATTCTCGAGCAGTCTTCGACTATGTAAAGCGTCTGGTCCCAGATAGGCCTCTATTGGTATGGGGCCATTCTATGGGAACAGGTGTGGCTACAAGTCTCGTGGCGCAGTTATCTCAACAAGATAACAATCCCACTGCTCTGGTGCTAGAATCTCCATTCAACAACCTCAGGGATGTGATCAACAACCATCCCTTCAGTGCTCCTTTCAGGTTCCTACCGTGGTTTGATATGCTGGTAATTCAGCCATTGATAGATTCTGGATTGGTGATGCAGTCCGATCACAGGATCAAGCAGATCACTTGTCCGATTCTCGTGTTTCACGCTGCTGATGATCACATCATCCCAATCAAACTTGGCCGAAAGTTGGTCGAAGCGGCCAGAAACTCGGGGAGGGACGTCAATTTTGTCGAGTTTGATACCTCGAGGGCATACTTTCATAAGTACATTCATAGGGCGCCAGAAGTTCCTAAAATAGTCACGTAAATTTTTCCTTTATGATTGAGCTGTAATATATAAGAATTACAATGATGTTTTGTTATGAATTAAGGATTTTTACATTAAAATACCCTTCTTGAAGTTGATAATATGGTCAACAAGAATATTTAATGCTAGAAAAACGTGTTTTATTGTACTGTAACATTACATTTTCAGTGAATTCTTCAAGACAAGTCAGTCTCAAAACAAAGTGATCTGATCACCCATCCTCACACCCTAGTCATTCACAGTAACTCACTCACCGGCACTTATATCGTTCACTAATACTTAAGCAATACGACGGACGGGTCGTCACTAATCATACTTTTAAGTTTATAGAATAAACCGGTTAGAATTAGAATTTCGAATTTTTTAATAGGGTTTGATTCCATTGTTCTATCTGCAAAGAAATATCATAATCTGATTATTTGGCTTAATATAGGTTAAAGAAATATCCGCAGGCTTATTTTATTATGTTTATATTCGCGTTTGATTTGTTCTATTAATAATGAATTTGGCTTAAATCAGTGGTCAAATATGATAGAGACACTAAGCTGTCTCAATATGTTGTACATGGAGGTTTTATACATTTTTGGACCCAATTAACATGCTTCTAAAATTAAATACTGTTGCAAACATTTGAGAAACCGTCTGAACAACATATACGTGAACAACTCCTTTTTACTTGGGGTCCGCGTTACCCTCACGATGCCGCGTTCGTGTGTGATAAGTGGCTAGAGATTGGGGAAGAGAGAGAGCGACCGCGTGGCCATCCTCTCCAAATACGTTTTCTCTGAGTTTGTAATCGAACTTTGTGTATTTCTTTTTTAATATGACGTCGAAAGATCATTTTCGACCATTTTTTGATACATTTTTGTTTGAATTTAAAAATGTTTTTGAATGTATTTTGATGTAACTGCTAATAACTGACCAGAACTAAAAAAATCAATTTTTTGGCTTTTCTATGGCGTTTTTTCAGCAGCTTTTTTAAATGTTTTGCAAAGATCTTGGTGTATCTTAAGATCTTGGCATGATTTTTATAGTTTATGGTTGCTATTTACGTATGTTTTTCAATTTCTCGATATTGTAGTAAATGAACAACGCGTTATTAATTATTGAAGAATTATTATAGACTTACATTTTAATTTTCAGATGGAGAAGAAGGTGAAAATCGTGTTCATGGCTCTCGGCGGAATTCCGTTGCCGAAAAAACAACTGATGGTCGAGTACAAGGAGGTGAACAAGAAGGAAATGGCTGAAGATGCTATAAAGTATGGCTATGCCTCCTTGGATGACGCTCTGGAGAAGCTTTGTGTTTTGCGCTCAGACCAGAAACTAGAGCCCAAAACGGAAAGTAGTGCTAATAAAAAACTGGCTCACATACAAGTTCTTCTGGACAACAAGTAAGTATTGAAATTGGTAGTAATGTTTGGCGATAGTCACTGAAACCCATTGAGACCTCGCGCCCATTGAGACCCCGGTCCATTGAGACCTCGAGCCCATTGAGACCTTAAAAGGAGGGTCGGCGGAGACTTTAGGAGGTTCGGCGGAGGGTCGGCGAAGGCTTTAGGGTATTCGGCGGAGGCGGGGATTCAGCGGAGGGTCGGCGGAGGCTTCAGGGCATTCGGCGGAGGGTCGGCGGATGCTTTAGTGTATTCGGCGGAGGCTTTAGAGGGTTCGGCGGAGACTTTAAGAGATTCGGCGGAGACTTTTATGCATTCGGCGTGTATCTACCCAATTTTACTCCTAACCTTTTTAGCCCTACCCAACCTTACCCTTGCTCATTTTACTCTACCCAACTATACCATACCCATCCTTTATAATATACCGTACTATATCCTATTGTACTTAATATACCGTATCCTACCATAACCTATCCTATCTACCATGTTAAACCCTACAATACTCTACCATACAATACAATACCATACCATACTTTACAATACCATATCATACCATACCATACTATACCAAACTGTACCATACCTTACCTTATTCAACCTTATACAAAACTACCGTGTACTATTTGTGGGTATATTAGAATAAGTAAGTAAAACAACATAAATGGTATAATATAGTCAAGTATAGTATGGCATAGTATGGGATAATATGGTACGTTATATTATTACCAAGTTCTCCGCCGAATCCCCTAAAGTCTCCGCCGACCCACCTTTCAAGGTCTCAATGGGCGTTTGGGGTCTCAATGGGCTTGGGGTCTCAATGGACCCGGGGTCTCAATGGGCTCGAGGTCTCAATGGGAGGGATTCGGCGATAGTTTTGGAAATTTTTTGATAATCTCAACTATACAAATGTAAAATATTACAAAATTATAAACTATCGTTTTAGGAAGGAGAAGAAAGACTTCAGCGGCTTAGATGGTGGGTTTCGTAAAGGTTCAAAGTTTCCAGAGCGAACGCAAGCTAAGCCTAAAAAGCCGGCTGGACCTTCGTTCAATGCTAACGATATTCCACTTGGCCAAGGTGCGGGTGCCGGCTTCTTCAAGAAGCGAGAGCCAGAGAAGAAATCTTTGGAAGAAGCCTTCAACACATTTGCAATCAAAAAGCCTGAATTCAATGATAATGTAGCTACAGGTAACATTTTTTAATGGCGTATATCATTATCAGAGAGAAAATGTAGAATATTTTAAATTTTCTTTGATTTGGCTGTTTCTGAGCTTTTAAACGTTGTGCTGGTTATTGGATTGTACACTTATCACTTCTTTTTATACTTTTATTTGGGTTTGCAGCTGAATTCTACGAAGACGAAGTATTAGAAAGCGAGGATGAGTACGGCGTACCAACCTCTTCGAGCATACAGATGCCCTCAACTTCGGCTATGAAACACGCACCTCTTCAGTATCTGTACAGGGACGAGACCGAGGGGTACCTTCAAGAGTTTGACGAGTTCTTGAAGACCATTCTCGAATACCTGAAAAAGGGATTATGTTTGGAAGAATTTAAGAAGCTGGTGGAGGAATATAGGCTGGAGACGATTGTGACATGGGACAATATTGACGCCATTTTAAAATACTTCAAGTCGGTGGAAGTGGAATATGAAGACGGTGTCTATTTGGTGGATCCAGCTGAAAACGTATGTTTTTATTTGGTTTTACACTGAAATTGTTTTTAGCGATATCTGTCATTTTATCAGTGGGATTTAAAAATCTTGTTAAAATAAGACTAGATTCAGAATCGATATAAAATTTAAAATTTCAGGACCTAGAAAAGCCGGTAGAGATGTTAACCTTGGCCATAGCCGAAGACCTGAATGGAAAGCAGGAGGAATGCAGGGTGAACGAGGTGTTTGAGAACGGAATTTGTGCGATTGAACCTGCAAGTTTTCTTCCCAGGACCGTGAAGATGTATCGCGAACTGTTCCACTACCTAGGAGTTCGAGACCCCGAACCCGCCACTTTTGTCGATGAACGAGGCTACTATTTGTGCCTCGACAACGGCAGCTATTTCAGGGCCCAGATCTTCGGAAAGTTCGACGAGAATGCCCGTGTTAAAGTATTGGCAATTGATATTGGTGGGCTGAGACGGGTACACAAGGACAACATCTTCATTTTGCCAGGCCATTTCTACAGTTATCCACCTAGGGCGATCTTCTTCTACCCACAAGGAAAGGTGAATTCCGACAGGATCAAGGTCTACTTTTTGAACTATCAATACATCAAGGATCTCCAGGTGTACAACGGGGAATTCGTCCAAGCCTAATGCTCATTGATAAGCAGGTTTAGAGTCCAAGTTCTTGCCATATCGACGATAATTTGCCCCAGTCTATTTTTATTAACTTCTATGTGTATCAGTGTTTGATTATATAGTGGATATGATGTCTCAACAAGTGCGAAAGAATTAATGGATAACACAATTACGATCAAAAAGCCAAAGAATATCTGTAAAAGTTTCTCATATTAACTCAATAGTTTATTTCGTAACTAGTTCGTATTTTGAATACAGTTTGTTTATTTTGATATGTTTCACCGTGCTGAATAAAAAAATTAACGATTGTTGACTTGTGTTGTTGTTTGTGGACTGTCTTCTCAACAGCCATTGCTATCTTTGTAAAGGGGCGGCCCTTCGGCCCGCTTTTATTCGAACTCGATTCAAAAGTGTTTTAGTTCGGACAAGAGTTGAGTCGCGAAAAGATGGCAACTGCTGGCAAAGTAAGTTATTTACAATAATATAAACGTATAATTGTTTGTCGCAAAAGTGCAGAACCGACATGTTTATGTTAAGCTGACCACGTACTTTTTGTACTCGGAATGCTCTTTAAATGTTCGTTGATCTTGTCGTTCGTATGTTTTGGAGGAAAAACAAAATTTCAGTGATTTTTAGAGTAAAGCATTTTTTGGAAATAGCGGCATATTTGGCACTGTTTTGCAACGACACATTACTAGGTTTAATACCTTTTAAGGGAAAAATTTTTTATATCGGTGTACGTAATGTATTTAAAGTAAAATGTAATAAACCTACTTTCTCACCGTTTTTAATTTCTAAAAATATTCCTAAAAACAACATACAATTACATTTCTAGCCTATTACATGTCGTGCTATGGTAGCATGGGAGCCGAAGAAGCCCCTGAGTCTGGAAGAGATCGAAGTCGCTCCACCAAAGGCTGGTGAAGTTCGAGTTCAGATTCTGTACACCGCCTTATGTCACACTGATGTCTACACTCAGGATGGTCACGATCCGGAAGGCCGATTCCCATCGATTTTGGGTCACGAAGGTGCTGGAGTCGTGGAATCCGTCGGAAATGGTGTGACAGAGTTCGAAGTCGGAGATTATGTCATCCCAGTCTACGTACCACAATGTCGCGAGTGCGATTACTGTAAACATCCCAAGACCAACTTGTGTCAGAAGATTAGGTATGAAAACGTTTTTATTAGATTTTAAGCGTTTTTGCTAATTTTCAGGATAAAATGCGGTCTTGGCCCCATTTTTTATTTTCTTTTTGGCCAAGCTAAAAAACTGCCAGATGAACTGTATATAAGATTGAAGTAGTTCAATAAAAACGTTAAAAATCTTTTTTTAACTAAAGTTTTTTAGAATCACCCAAGGACAAGGTGTCATGCCCGATGGTACTTCTCGTTTCACTTGCAAGGGCAAAGAACTGTACCACTTTATGGGTACCAGTACCTTCAGTGAATACACGGTTGTCGCCGCGATCTCGCTGGCAAAAGTAAGCCTTTATCAATCAGACTTTTATGTTTTAGATCAGCAAAAAGGCCCCGTTAGACAAGGTCTGTCTGCTCGGTTGTGGTATCCCTACTGGCTATGGTGCCGCCCTCAAGACGTGTGGAGTGGAAAAGGGCTCCACTGTGGCCGTCTGGGGCCTTGGAGCCGTTGGTTTGGCCGTTATTATGGGCGCCAAAGTCGCCGGAGCAAAACAAATTGTTGGTATTGATGTTTTGAACGAGAAAAAGGCTTTGGGTAGGTTTGGAAAGGGTGTTTACTCCTGAATTTGTTGTTATCAATGAAGAAATTGTTTCCAAACAACGTGAAGGAAATGTTGCGGAAAGCAAAAAATGTTTTGTTGCTAAATAATCAAACACATTAATTCAGTGTTTTGCCCGGACCGGTCCGGAGCGTTTTTCACCGGTCCGGTCCGGCGATTTTTTGGGTCCAGTCCGGTCCAAACTTCAAATTTTTGGGTCCGGTCCGCAAAAAAAATTTTTTAAATTTTTAAAAAAAGCAAGGATCGCTAAAACTGCTTTCTTTTTGCTTAAAAACGCTAAAAATAGGTTTTATTTGCAATTTTTAAAACAGTTTTCTTAAAATAAAAAAAAATTTTCTTCCGGACCGGTCCGGAGCTTTTTCTTCGGTCCGGGTCCGCAGGTTTTTGGGTCCGGTCCGCAAAAATTCCTGTTTCGGTCCGTCCGGTCCGCACCGGACCCGTCCGCGGACCGGTCCGGCAAAACACTGCATTAATTAAAGTTAGAAAAATAAGAAATAAGGTTATAATCGGTATTCAGCTGAGAAGTTCGGAGCTACAGACTTTGTCAACCCCAAGGAAGCACCTCAAGACAAGCCCTTCCAACAATATTTGGTGGACAAGTTTGATGGAGGATTTGACTACACCTTTGAATGTATCGGCAATGTCAATACCATGGTAAGTTTTCGAATTTTAAAAGTTTACTGAATATTACTGAAAGCTTTCAAATAAAAATAGTGTAATAAGCAGTAGGTCAGACAAAAAAAGAATCAAGGAGATTTCATTTATTATAAGAAATGATTGCTTTAATAAATGTTTACCTAATTCAATATTTAAAAAAACATTATAAACTACCTAAACATTTATTAAAATAAGATATATACATTATAATATTAATTAAATGAGTAATACAGTTAAGATAAGTATGACTTGATTGCAGAGACAAGCTCTTGAAGCAGCACATAAAGGATGGGGAACGTCGTGTATCATTGGAGTCGCGGCTTCAGGCCAAGAGATCTCAACTCGACCATTCCAACTGGTCACTGGTCGCACGTGGAAGGGAACGGCGTTCGGTGGATGGAAGAGTCGCGATTCTGTTCCAAAACTGGTGGATGACTACCTGGATGGCACTTTGATGATCGATGAGTTCATCACACACAACTACGATCTCCCCGACCTCAACAAAGCCATCGACGTTCTGCACAAAGGAGAGAGGTAACTATTTAATATTGTTAAAGGGGATGAGGAAACAATATGGTATGACTGGGACAAAGTTAGTTTAGGTAAAAGTTTATGGGTAGTGAGAGTTATCGCTAACTTTTTTGGCCAGTACAGACGGTACAGCTCAAAGGTGAGCCATATATGACTAATCAAGCTAAAAGTACTCGTAAGACACTAAATCTTTGGCTTTGGGAATGACCTTGGATAGTTTTACAGCACCAAGACAACTAAAATTGAGTTGACTAGTATAATACACTAATTTTGATACTTTTCAGTCTCCGTGCCGTTATCAAGCTCTCCAAGTAGACTGTTTACATTCAAAGCCATACGATATTGTTCAAGATCACTTTTCAATAAATAAGCATGTAATTTAAAAGTATGGTATTCTAGCTAGCATGCTACTATTGAATGTTATATATGAGGTCCTTCACCCTTTATTTCACTCGGTTTAAGTTCATAATTACCCGATTATAAGCTTCCAGACGCGGTTTTAAACACAAAACTCGACGGTAATAGATCTACAGTACTCTAAGATGCTATTATGTACAACTACAAGACAATATATTCAGCAGACGGTGTGTATTTTGGGTGAGAACAAGACAAACAGACAATGGATGAGATCATAGTTGGTGATTGGTCTTCTTTTTGTGGTAGTTCAAGCCTTTGAGCTCCTTGGCGTAGGCCTTGTCGTGCATTCGGACGTAATTGCAAGGCGTACACAGTTCCTAAAAACGAAGAGACAAAAGTCCAGTTAGGAATCTCAAAAAGACTAATACTATTAAAGTTAGAAAGACAAAACCATAAAATCAAAATTTTACAAACGAAGGTAAGCCAAGCTTGGCCATTACTACTACTAAAAGCCTTTCAATTTCACACTCACACAGTAATAAAGAGTTTTAAGTTTAAAAAAACTTTATCAAAATCAAGTCCCAATACTTACCTTACAAATATCCTTCTTAAAGAACCCATGGTATCCAGACTCCAGAAGGTAGATCTCGGGATAGTCAAGGTGAGGGTAGTTGTCCGTATTCAAATGGCGGTCGAACCTTCTCAGCGTGTTCGCCCTGAAGTAAAATTTTATTCATCACAAATAAAATCTTAGGAATAAACAATTTTACGACAAAAAACTGATGTTAACCAACGAATAAATCAAAAGGTGATTAAAATATAACTCAAAAAATATTGTTAATTTATAAAAATAGGTAATGACTTACATTTTTGGCCCCCTGGCTTGTGAAAATTCACAGTAAAAGATGGGGATTTTGCTTTGAATCGCGCTACAGGTGCCATCCTCTTCCTTGAACAGATACTGGCGAACATTCGCAAACTCGAACATGTTTACCGCGTGCTGAAGCATAAAAAATAGACATAGCAACACAAAATAAATAAAAATTACTAAAAATATTTAAATACTTTACTGAGATTCAGTTTCGAAAACAAAATACAGCATTACAGATATCATTCATAAAAGCACTATTATATAACAAATATTAAAACAAAATTACAAAACTTACCACGATATGCCCTCCTTTGTACTCAAATGGGTATCGACAGTCGATTAACATAAAACTCTCTAAGAATTTTTCGTTTCCCAACTCCTTTATCAACGCTGCCAACGCCTGTCCGTCAATGGACTTGAAAGCCGATGAAGCGACTTGAGGCCTTGGCACACATCGTAGTGAATAGCTCTGTAAAGACAAAGGGTATCATGTTAACCTAATGTGTGCATTTCCTTTTTTAACATAATCACTGCAGATCCTTTCGTTTTTCACAACAAAATATAAAAAATTACTGCCAAGTAGGTAACATATACTTTTTAATGTCACCCAAACCTCAGACTCACCTGGATGGATTCAGGAGAAACACACTTTCCTTGTCTCGTCATATTCACCATCGATCTGGACACCAACTTGTCCAATGGTTTGACAGAGTTCGGAAGCTTTAAAGACGGCCGCTTCAGAAACCTGGCTTCGGCTTTTCTCTTAACTACGACTTTATTGAGCGACATCGACAAACTAGTGGAAGGAAATCGGTTAAACCGTTTATGCTTGGCCGCGGTGTCATTCGAAATGTCCTGGAGCGGCCGTCGGACGGGAGATGCTGTGCCCTCCTTCTCGTCCATTACTATCACATCTTCCTGAAAATAATAATGGTGAAGAAATATATATATCAAGAAGTCGTTACTGATTTTCCAAAAATTTGTGTTAAAAAGCATTATGTAAAAAACCGTTTTCTACCAATACAACATTATACATATAAAAATGTCATCCTTTCCATAAAGCGTAAAACCTGAACGTACCAAAGTCCTTGAAGTCGTTGAGATGCACATATTGTTATCTTGCAACGACCATTGACTAAACCCAGACACGGACGATCCTAGTGCCGAATCGTGTGAAACCGTAACAACTTCATTAAGAACGGAGGTTGCGGTCGGTCCAAAACATGTAAAGTTATCGTTGTCTCCAAACGGACACTGGGCGTTATCGTCCTGGTTAGCAATGTCCATATCATTATCTAAAATTAAACAATTAGAAAGTAATATAACACAATTAACAATCTACATGTCACTTGCCTTACAGTGCCAACTTATCATTAAAAGTGTACCATCTTTATAAGAAAAAGGCAAAAACATCAATTTCAACACCTTTCAAAAGGAGAGCCAACTCAAAAATCAAAATTTTACTCATTTTTTGCCAAAGTAATCATTTATATAAAAAAGTAAACGTACGAGGTTCGAATTTGTACAGTGAGTCCATTTGTTAGTTGCCACGTTCTTTACAAGGCTCCGGGGGTCAAGACCTAAACAATGCATGATAATATGTCCCAGCGACACCATATCACCTTGTAACGTTCACAGTTCACGACAATTAAAAGTTTTTGAAAATGTTGACCTGTCGTCTCGTTAATGACAGGCTTTAAAACCTAACATTACAATCCAAAACGATCATACTATAATACGAAAACTGGATGAACAAAGGGAGAACCTGTTCACCTTTTTCTTTTGTGACAAAATGACCGTACGATCATCAGAAACACTATTCCGAATTATTGTACCATATATGAGCATACTAAATTAACCCCAACAGAAGTTTTCATACATCTTCTAGATGCAGACAAACAACATTCTATCACTAAAGGTTTACCATCCTTTGTGAACAAAACTAAACAATTAATCTACGAAATATGTAAGTTTAGAGCAAAAAAACTATCTACTTTAAAGTCTAAACATATAATTCCACCTTTTCACCTTCCAACCAAAACTTATCCTACTACAACTGACTAAAACAAGGTTTCTAGACCCTTTTAAGGACAGAATCGAAGCGGAGTCATCCTTAAGGACAACTCTTTAATTTAGGCAACAGTTTGCTTCAGCCAACTGTTAAGTAATGATAAAGCATCAGGTATACCACAACGTGTTAGATCCAAGACAATTATAGTTAATGTCTACATAGTCAACCCAAACAAAATCACAACTTCAACCAAATAAAAAAACGCGTTAACTTCTACTACAACATTGTTTCCCATTACCCCGGGTTCAGGCCCTTACACTAACTTCAAGAAAGCTTAGTGCTTTCATCTACAACATAACGTAAGTGAATAATAATATTACCCATCATAAAAAGAAAACAATCGCTTCGGAGACAAATTTAAAAAGTGTAACACCTGGGATAAACTAAAATAAAGTTCGAAAAAAAATAAAAAACCGAAATTTCAAGCCAGGGGCTTGGCAATTTGCGCCCGAAACCCTGCAGGCCAGACTCGTACTTAAAAGTTTATGGGAAAACAGTGGGAAAATCTGTCATTACGACAAAAAACAAAAGTCGAAGCCTTTTTTCTATCAGGTAAGTTGTTCTATACCTAGACAAAAAGATTTTAGGGTAAAACCTTCGAAATTCAACAAGATTTTACACTTTCCATCAATATACCCACTTAAAACGATATTCAACACCTTTGGTACTTTTTAAAATGACATACTGACATAGTTAAGCTCTATTTTGTAAAGAATTTGGAAGAACTATGCCTTTTATCACGGAACATTAGTACGAAAAGGTTTTTGGCGCATTTCTTGGACGCCTTTTCTACAGAAGAAAACTGAGACAAAACGCCAAACCGGGAATTCAAAAAGGATTCTAGAAGTTCGCCAAGGTTCGAGGGGGTGCGCTACAGAACGTTACGAGTATGAGGATGAAAGACATCAGTGTTTGACATACTTTAAGATACCATTTTGTTTAACAAGTCTAAAATTCGTTTTTAAAGGTTTCTCACACTTTAAGTATACTGTGTTAGAAGCACTTGAATGTTGTAGTATACCTCTCAAAACGAGTTCTAATACAGTTTGGTCAAAAAGTACATCGATTTTAATATACGTACTTAGCGTTCTAATTTTGAAACTAACGTTCTATTTGTATTTTGACTAAACTGCCAATAGAACTGTCCACCTTTTCGTTTTATGACAAAATGACCGTCAGAAATACTATTCCGAAGTATTGTACCATTTCTCAGGATCAATATTAAAACAGTACTATTCCCTAACCACTTGTTACCTAATTTCCTGATATTTTCCCAAAAACTCAGAAATTTGTGCTCGTTTTTCCCAAAATATACTCAAACTGTCGTCATTAAATCAACTTTACAGCGCCATTTAGATCTTTATGATGGACTGACATCATGGACAGAACGCAACATAAGCTCTTTATCGTATCTTCAGGGGGCATTCTCTTAAGTATTCGCATTTCTTTAAAGCCATCGACCTCAAATGTCAATTTCAAATCGATGGTATCAAGTTGGGTGTTCATAAGTGTACTTTTAATGTCTGCAAAAGGATGTCTTTGGTCCGAATTTTGGTCGAAAAGTAAGTAGAATAGCTGAAATAGGACCTCAAAAAAAGTATAATTTTTAATTCTACGCCCTTTTTGATCAGGCAGTTCTAACTTTCCTTTACAAACAACTTTTACTAACATCTAATAACAAATTTACTTAAAATAATATAACGCGGAAAACACTGTAGAAATCAAAATAACAATTTATTTTCCATAACAATACCTACAATACAACAACAACTTAAACCAAGTCTTTATACGATCGACGAGACTTGTCCTTCCAGAAGTAGTCCGGCTCCTGCTTCCACAATCCCAACCGTCGTTCTTCTCGGAGTTCGTCGGCCTTCTTGTAGTTGTGGTACTGTAACAGATGATTGATTTGTTTGCATAGGGCGTGCCATTGATGTGGCGAGTTCTTCTGCATCTTTTCTTTGTAAATGTTCCTAGAATGATCATATTACAAGGACTAAACGACGATATAAACATGGAATACAGGACGCAAAAATTTCAAATAATGTTCTTCAAGGTTGAAAGATTTCAACTTTCAAATCATATAAACTATAATAAAAACGCCCTAAAAGTCTTGTAGCGTATTTTTCTTTGCACGGATAATGTGTTTCAAATAAGCTACATAGCAAAAAACCATTATTTCTCAAGTACTCCTGAACCATAAGTTTATTATAAAACTTATTAAATATTTACTAACCCAGGTGAAGCTTCTGAATGTTAGCCATACATTTTAAAACAACTGAGCCAAATCTTAAACTAAGACTTAACCTTGAGAACAAGCTACGTCCATTTACCGAACACACAAGATCTTACCTATAGTGAATAAGCTTGACCAACTCGTTGGCCTTTTGTTGTCCAGGGAAGCCTCTGAGCCATCTGGGAACGTGATATTGTAATTGAGCTGGATGAACGTTAGCCTCCTTCTTCAACAAATCAATATAATCATTCTCCCCATATCTGGCCGAAGCATTTGACCACGCATCTCTAACTTTATATTTGGGCCGACAAACAGTGTCGCGAGAGTCCTTAACTCGTGGCAAAGCATCCACACCTTGTCGATGATACCGGAAAAAGTATCCGGTATCTACAGGCTTGTGCATCCGCTTCTCATGGTCGTCTGAAACGCGAGGAACAGAGGCAATGTCCCTGAAGGTCCTGCTTATGGCCGAAGTTGATGTTCTACATGATAATAACTAAATTGAGATAAAAATTATAAACAAAACTAACATACCTTTAACATCTTACGAAATATTGTTCAGTACTTTCGCCCCACAAAATATTTTAAGAAAAATAAAAGGCTTGAAGCAGAATGCCAAGGTTTGTTCTTTTTTGCGAAAAGTGCTTCGGATTTTGAGTTTCAAAAAAGAAATTAAGAAAAACCCATTGTTTTACAGCTTTTAAAGATCAATTTTTTAAAATTTGACAGTTTAAAGACAATTTTGTCGGCTATTAAGTGAAAGTTTTGAAATTCAACCATTGTTTTACATGAATTCTAATTATTATGCCAAACTTTGCTCAAACTCAGATCGGGGTCAAGTGTTTACGGCATTTTGTTTTTTGTTCAAATGATTGATGAAATTGTTTCGATGATTCTCGCCCGAATTTTAAAAATTTTTGAAAACTTTATGGGCGTTTTAAAGTCTTCAAATTACGGTGAAGATTCGAATTTTTTGCGCATTAATTTCAAAGTCGTTTATAGTTATGGTTTATATTTAAAAAACGGAGCGAATGGCATTGTTTTCGGTTTTTTGCTCTTTGCTGGGCCGATCTTGTCCTTGCCCGTTTGTTACCTAAAAGGAAGTGAAACATTTTTGCATTTTGTTTCTGATTAGGTAATATTTTTAAAATTGTATCATATTTTTGTTAAATTAGGTAACAAGTGCGAGATTTTGTAATGTTGCGGATTGTCGGGCTGGTATGTGTTCTAATTGAATCTTGGTGTTGTTATAATTAAAAAGAAGTTTGATTTTAAAAAGGAAAATTTTAAAATTTGTGCTAAATGGTGCATTTACTGCACGGTGCAATAAAGACTGCATCATAATGTTATCGTTTGAGCAGACGGTAATATTATGATCCCGTATTCTTGAAAACGCAAGAGCATAGAGGAGCTTAATTTGAATTTCGTTTTTTTTAATACGAATTCGCGTTAAGTGTGTGTCCCCTCTTATCTGAAGGTCTTATCACGGCTCGCGTTTTCTCTGGATTCAAATTTTGGTGTTTTGATTATTTTTTGTAAATTATGCACGACTTTGAGGACTCAAGGTCAGTTTTTTCTGGATAATGGGTCAGTCGGTTATGCGCCCTGGGGGTGCCGATATTGGGTTAGGAGGTTGAGTCTCGTCATAAACAGATCGTAATGTGTGTTAAAGATGGCAGTCGTTTGTAATGGTCGCTAAAAGGGTCTGTTGAGTGTAGTGTTAGGTAGAGCTGTCAGAAATCATAGTTTGTTTTATGTTCTGTCCGATGTTTATAAATCTTGGCCGTCAATCTTTGGGTATCAGCTGGACATTTCTTCGCTTACAGATTGGTCGATTTTTTATCGCTGACCGTCTGTTGGACACTTATAATCTTTGTTTATCTATGTGTTACGTTTTGGCTTCTGGAAGTGAACAGTCTCTTCAATATTAATCCTAACAGTTTGTTTGATACCTATATTGCTCAGTTTTTGATGGACAACGCTTCGTCCGGGTATTTTTCGGGTATCTGTTGGACAATATCTATTCCTTTCGCTGGCTATTTTGTGTTTGGCAGATACACTTGTGGCCAAGGACCACCTGCGGTGAGCGAATGTAGTGGAATCTTTGCAATCGCCATCTGTTGCAGACTGTCGCTTTCGTCGGCTCTAATTTGCATGTCTGGTGAAAGCGGAAAATGAAGCCGGGGTAATTGTCCGGCGGGGGATTTGAAGTGGTGGCCAAACGATCAAAAAAAATATTGGGGTAGCCTCGAAACGCGCAGCGAACAGAGAGAACAGAGCACGCCTTGGTACGGCATTATCGGGCAGCCAGGTGAGGCAGCGATGGCCAGTTCTCTCGCTTTTTATGCCATCGGCAGTCATTTGTTGTCTTCCAAGGTCAGAATAGTCGCGACGCCGAGGGGAACACTCCGTTTCGGTGTGGCATGTTTCCAATTTGTTAACACGGCCAATCACCAATGTTAACATGTCCTATCAGAAGCGCGTATCTTTCCGATCCGTGCCATTCGAACTGGCGTTCTTTTCGAAAGTTTAATGTCGCCGAATGCCTGCGCTCTTGACCCGGAGATCAAATTAACGAGACCAAGCTCGGGAATTGATTGCCGCGCGTTACCTGCCGAAAAGAAATTTGAATCGGGCAGGGTCATGTTTGAAGCGATTTCGAGACGGGCAGGTAGTTTTTGGGGTTATGACGTTTCTTGGCATACCTTTACGGTAATAATGGATTTGGCTTAATCGGTCAAAAGTTACAAAGAAATGTTGTCATTTTTACCGAAATGATGACCTTACGCAACTTGTCACATTTTAGTATTGAATTCACAACTTTGTATAAAAGCTTTTTGAAGTGTGGGTTTAACTGACTGTTTGAAATTTAGCTGCTTTATTAGCTGGGCTAGTATCTGTAAGTATTTGAATTTGGCGGTCTTTAAGTCGCTTTAATTAAGCTGGCCGTGATTTGAATTATGCAGTCATTTGAATCGGACAGGCTTTTATTCAAAGTTATTCAAAGCTTTATTTGAAGTATGGGAGATGCCTCTACCGGTTTCATTTCCGATTCTTTTTTCTGGATTTGATTGTCTTTCGAAGCCGGTTTTTTATATTGGCACTCAAGTTCGTAACGGTTTTTTTTGTATTTCCTGTATTTCCGTCTCGTGTTTGATGTGCCGGCTTTGTTTTACGACGTCTAGGTCGGAGTTGGTTGTGGATTGAACTGAGCGAGCTCAGGACAACGGGAGACCTCGCGAGGCCACGCCGAACCAAGCGAGGACAACGGGCACCTAGGCGAGTTCAGGACAACGGGAGGAGGGTTTGACCCGAAACCGTCGCCGACCAGTTATGGCTCCTCTTTCAACCGGATCCGACGCCATCGCGAGCCACAGAGCGCGCGGACTGCGCCCAGTTTTTGACTAAAATTGGCCCCATTGCGCAATGTGACGCGCTGCAGCACGGCCTTGGTTTAATCCGGGTGCCGGTAGAGGCGGAGGGCGCGGGGTGAGCAAGGTAAGGTTATGCTGAGCTTGACGGGCTCCGTACCAGGCTCTACGCCTGGCGCCTGACCTCAGCGATGCCTTGGCAAACCGCGGTTGCGCCACAGCCACGTTATTATTTTAGACAGTGGAACTTGAAGCTTTCATACCAAACGGTTTTCGTATTATAGTATGATCGTGTTGGATTGTAATGTTAGGCTTTAAAGCCTGTCATAGCAAGACAACAAGTTAAAATTTTAAATAAAAAAACGTTTAATTGTCGTGAACTGTGAACGCTACAAGGTGATATGGCGTCGCTGGGACATATTATAATGCATTGTTTAGGTCTTGGTCCCCGGAGCCTTGTAAAGAACGTGGCAACTAACAAATGGACTCACTGTACAAATTCGAACCTCGTACGTTTACTTTTTTATATAAATGATTACTTTGGCAAAAAATGAGTAAAATTTTGATTTTTGAGTTGGCTCTCCTTTTGAAAGGTGTTGAAATTGATGTTTTTGCCTTTTTCTTATAAAGATGGTACACTTTTAATGATAAGTTGGCACTGTAAGGCAAGTGACATGTAGATTGTTAATTGTGTTATATTACTTTCTAATTTTTTAATTTTAGATAATGATATGGACATTGATAACCAGGACGACAACGCCCAGTGTCCGTTTGGAGGCAACGATAACTTTACATGTTTTGGACCGACCGCAACCTCCGTTCTTAATGAAGTTGTTACGGTTTCACACGATTCGGCACTAGGATCGTCCGTGTCTGGGTTTAGTCAATGGTCGTTGCAAGATAACAATATGTGCATCTCAACGACTTCAAGGACTTTGGTACGTTAAGGTTCTAAGCTTTATAGAAGGGATTGCATTTTGATTTGTGTATATTGTTATACGGGTTGAAAAAAATTTTTTTACATATTGCTTTTTAACGCAATTTTCTTCTGTGACATCTTGACATAGGTATTACTTTTAAACCTTTGTGCTCTTGTCTTTCTTCAACGTTATTATCTTCAGGAAGATGTGATAGTAATGGACGAGGTGGAGGACACAGCCTCACCCGTCCGACGGCCGCTCCAGGACATTTCGAATGATACCCCGGCCAAGCATAAACGGTTTAACCGATTGCCTTCCACTAGTTCGTCGATGTCGCTCAATAAAGTTGTGGTTAAGAAAAAAGCTGAAGCCAGGTTTCTGAAACGACCATCTCCGAAGCTTCCGGACTCTGTCAAACCATCGGACAAGCTGGTGTCCAGATCGATGGTGAATATGACGAGACAAGGAAAGTGTGTTTCTCCTGAATCCATCCAGGTGAGTCTGAGGTTTGGGTGACATTAAAAAGTATATGTTACCTACTTGGCAGTAATTTTTTATATTTTGTTGTGAAAAACGAAAGGATCTGCAGTGATTATGTTAAAAAAGGAAATGCACACATTAGGTTAACATGATACCCTTTGTCTTTACAGAGCTATTCACTACGATGTGTGCCAAGGCCTCAAGTCGCTTCATCGGCTTTCAAGTCCATTGACGGACAGGCGTTGGCAGCGTTGATAAAGGAGTTGGGAAACGAAAAATTCTTAGAGAGTTTTATGTTAATCGACTGTCGATACCCATTTGAGTACGAAGGAGGGCATATTGTGGTAAGTTTCGTAATGTTTTTTATATGTTTGTTTTATAACGTTGCTTTAAAAAAATTGGTTTTTTAATGTTTTATTTTATTTTGAAACTATTTTTAGTAATTTTATATGCTTTTTGATGGTTTATATTGCATTTTTTTATTCCAGAACGCGGTAAACATGTTCGAGTTTGCGAATGTTCGCCAGTATCTGTTCAAGGAAGAGGATGGCACCTGTAGCGCTATTCAAAGCAAAATCCCTATCTTTTACTGTGAATTTTCACAAGCCAGGGGGCCAAAGATGTAAGTCTATGATTGTCTTGTGTATTTGGTAATGGTTGAATTATGTTGATTAATGTCATGTTTTTTTTATTTGATTATTCATATTGGGAAATGTCGCGCAGTAGCATTAGAATAACAAAGGAAAAGGGATTGTTGAGGGTTTCTGTAGCGAAAACAATGTTTTGTGACAAATTCATTACTTTGTCTTTTTACCGTAGTTTTTTTAAATTGAGGTTGTGGCACTGACATAAAGAAACGTCGGGAACTTTTAATTGATTCAACTTAGTTAACGTTGCAACGTTTTTGGCAGGTTTTCTGGGAGTTTTTCTTGGTTTTTCTATTATGTTTATTTCAGGGCCAGCACGTTGAGGAAGTTTGATCGACATGTGAATACGAACAACTACCCCCATCTTGACTATCCTGAGATCTACATTCTCGAATCTGGGTACCAGGGCTTCTTCAAAATGGAAGAGTTTAAGGTGGGTACAGTTGGCTAAATCACTATGACTTTATAATAGTGATATTGTAGTAGGTATGATTGGTGTAAATCTGTATATTCTTTTGATTCATTTTAGTTTTTTTTAAACCGTTTCAATTTTAGGGCTTGTGCACGCCGTGCCATTACATCCGAATGCACGACAAGGCCTTTGCCAACGAGCTGAAAGGCTTCAACCATCACAAGAAGGGTGCCACACACCGCCTCTGATCCTCTTACCTCATTTGTTTGTCTTGTTTCTCGTCTGCATATACATTGACTACCACAATCGTCATATATATTGTCTTATAGTTGTAAATAATAGCATCTCATCCGGCTGCATTGCCAGCCACCATTAACAAGATATTTTTGTAAAGAAAGATTTTATTAGCAATGATATACATAATTGGTGTGAGAAGCGTAGTCACTGTTAGTACGGTATAGTCACGTTATAGGGGCCTTTGCCAGACACTCGTTATAGGAAACTTTAAGTATTTGTAATGTTTGTTGACTGTATGAGGCGTTTCTTTGTTCGAAAATGGCTGTTATCACTTGATTTTCTGTTAAAAACGGACTGTTTAATATAATAAGGTGGTCTGTAACGTGATCCTACTGTAGCTTCCTTTTACAACTTCAAGAACAGTAAATAAAAAAATGTCACGTTTTTGAGGTCTTATGTTCATATTGATACTGGTCGTTATAGATTAGGAATAATATTATTTCATTAGTATCTTGTCTGTAGAGTACAGTGAATATGGTATCACCGTCCGCCTACGGCTTATAATATGTTGAATTTTGTCAATTTTGGAGTAAGTAAACTATGTCTTAACGACGTTTGATGGTCTTGGATGGAATACTTGATTTAAACATGCAGGATGTTATACTTGTTGGTGTTTGGTTGTGTTGGGAATGGTAACAAGTGGGTATCATTATATATGAAAGTTCGTTTCTATCAGTTGTTATCATTTTATTAGGTTGTTCAGTTAATTCTGTGCTTTTCTCAAAGCAAATGTTTTGGTTTAGGGGAACATAATTAATTGAACAGCCTTTTAGTAAGTATATCTTATGTAAAAGAGTCTACTTACTGGGTAATGACATCGTATGTTTCTTTTCATTTAAAATTTAGATAAAAACATTCACAGTGATAACACAGTCTAGTGTTACCTAAATTAAGTTAATAGCTGATGCCCAAGGATAGAGGATTTATGAAACTTTTATTATCAATCTTTTGACATTATCATATGTAACAAACATTTGAAACTCTAATATTTAAATTCATTGAAATAGCTGGTCCTGACCGACCCAGTCTAATATAATACTATAGGGCTAACAACAATTACGCTCTTTCTTTCATTGTTACGAAATTATTAATGGATCTAGCAAATAATGTGACATTTTAAAATAGATTTAAAAATGCGACCGGGAAATAAGTAAAATACACCGTAATCGAACCGAAAATAGAGTTGAAGATCATCAGAGCATCCCGCGACGGAACAACTTGTGCTGCTTCAGGTCCCCGCCCGCGTACTTGATATCGTGAATCATCGTGCCGAACGAGGGCGCCGTGCCAACGTTCGAACGGCGTTCTTTCAGGACGGACTGTTGGGGTTTGAGGATCTGGAAACGGTTAATGGGTAAAGTCTTAATTTGGACACGTCTATGTTACTCTATCTACACCATTTTTGTTTTGAGATTCTAAGACTACTCAGAATTCAAGTATCTTCCCAGAAACGAAAGTTGATGTTATCATAGACTCACTTGGAACGAGCAGAGCAGGTTCCTGTCAACATTCATAACCGCGCCCGCGTTGTCGAACTCGCCACAGTAATTGGGGGCCGAGAATATGGTAACAAGACCTCGTTTGCCGAAGAACTCGTACCCGTCCTCCACCACCTGATGCCCTCGTACCACAATGTCGAGATCCATTTTCTGAAGGAACTGCGAGAGCACGTCGGGGCCGAACACGTACGATACGCCACGATCGTTGGGTGCCCATCCCATTACTTTGGCATCCGGATCCGACCATAAGACGTCACATAACAGTCCACTGTCTTGCACATCGATCGGTCTAATGATTCGTTTGAGTTGTTCGAGAGTGCGGAGGTGAGGAGAGAGGCCACCGTGACAACACAGAATCTTGTTTTCGACGAGAGCGGCTACCGGCATACAGTTGAATACGTCTTGGAAGGACTTCCATACTTTCACACTGACTCTTCGTTTGCCTAAAACAAGGTTGTTGGGTAAGAAATAAGTGTCTAAAACTAGCTGTTGAAAATTATCAAGTAAAGCTATTAAAATAGTTTCTTCTTTAGTTATAATGTTGTCTTGGTAGACACCAAGCCTTCTATCATATCAAAACATACTTAAATGTCATAAAATGAATTTATAGACCTAGATATGGCTTGTTTATAATATCAATTGATGAATAAACTTACACTCATCATAAAAGCCGTATATTCTGTTTAGTGCTGCAACTTCGTGGTTCCCTCGGAGCATGAAGAAGTTGCCAGGGTATTTAATTTTGTAACATAACAACAAGATAATGGTCTGAAAGCTTAAGTTTAAGTCATGTATAATACAAGATATACAGCCCGTTTTCATGATATATTGATCTATATAAGCAAGATTTATATAAGCAAAACACATCAAATTCCTTTTATAAAACTATCAGAGTCATAAGAAAGGTCTATAAAAGGAAAAAGCAACCCTGCCTCTTAAACTAAACCTATCGTGCCTACCTCCAGACTCTTGGCGCCGCGATCCACGTAGTCGCCGAGGAAGAGGTAGTTGGACAAGGGTGGGAAGCCGCTCAGCTTGAACAGTCTGATCAGGTCGCTGAACTGCCCGTGAATGTCGCCCGCGATCTTCAGCGGCGCGTTCAGCTCCAGCAACATGGGTTGTTGCATGAATATCTCCCGCGACAAGGTGCATATCATCTTGATCTCGTTCTCCGACACGTCCAGCGAGTTGCGCCAGCCATCGTTGTGCTGCTACAACAATGTCATAGTTATTAAATGGTATTTTTTTATTATTGTATGGTATGGATAGTACTGTAACATAGTGATATATCAAGACTAAGAATGTGGCTACAGTATAGTATACTTTCTACTACAGGTTGTAGTTACCGTACAACTAAAAAAATTTAAAAAATATGATAATTTGTTGATTTAACCACAGTAGCTTGTTGTTGTACCAAATTACAGTATCATATTTTTTAAAACTACAGTACGCACCTTAAGGTTACTGTGCACTTTTTCTGTTTGCTTTTTGACCACTACTTGTAACTTTATGTTTACTACCATCAGAAACGACTCCAACTGTGCAAACCCAACTCCCTCAACTGATATGATAACAAGAATATTGTAGTTTATAGTTCAGTACTGATAGCCTGATATCTCTTATCTTTGAGTTATGTTTGCAACAGAAAACACGTTTAAATTGACATAAAACCTAATTTTTTTAAAAATAGATCTACTCTTTTTATGACATTCTGGAAGATTTAAACTTCGGTTTCTACGTACTTTTTGACCAGAAACTAGACTAAACGTTGGAGGCTACTACAATTTCACAACGAATGTGATGTTATAGTAGCCTCCAAAGAACCTAATCTCCTGTAATTCTGTTTACAAAACAAAACCGATCAAGTTACGGACGGCTGAACATTTGCATTTCCACAGTTTAATAATACGGCTATGACTCAGACAACATATTCATCATGGTATCTTGACATTAATTACTCTTGTTATCAAAACATTAACCTTTAATTGGTTTGTTTATGCTACGTTTATGGCTCTGTTAAACTACAATACACAGAAAATACTGTGTTTTGTTTCAAAGTTACTGCATTTCATCAAAAGTTACAGTATACCCTTATAAGTCACAATATACTTCTTGGAAACGTCTTATTATGCCATAAAATTACAGTAATAAGATCCTATTGCAAAAATTTAAAAAAAGTCACTATAGATAGTATGTATACAACTGTAGTTATTATATATATAATAGATACGATACATAATAGTTACCTGTGTGAGCCGTGTGATGATGCCATCGACGTCGAGCTGCAGACTGCCATACGAGTTCTTCCTTCGGCTGACCATAACCCCAACAAAATGGGTCGAGAGTCTCTGACAGCCTCAAAAGTTAACCTTTAGATTCGATTTGTCGCTGTAATGCACGTTAATTAACATTGGAATTACACATCTCCAACAACAATACACATATAAAGGTTGACGGAATTAATGCACGCCATGACCCGATTTGCAAAACGACATAAATGTGTCAATTTGAATATCATATAACGATGTTATGTAGGTATAATTGAAACTTCTATGAGAAATTTCAAAAGTTATCAGACTTGCACCGGACTTTTAAAACTTTGCACCGTGCAGTTTTCTAAAGCAATCTACATTATGCCATTTTAAGTAAACAAATGAACAAAAATTAAAAATAAAGTGACAAAAAGTTTAAAAATGTCATTCAAGTTAAAGCCCTCAAGCAGTTTTCCTTAAAGAACAATCGCATAGTGATAAAAATGATAAAATATTGTAAAATTAAACCAGAAATTGTAAATAATCCAGGAAAAAGTAACAAAAACAAGTCGCTAATCAGAGTTTGATCAACAAAAAAGGTGTGCCAGTCAAGTATAACAATGCAAACATTACCTTTTTGATATGAAATCGTCAAAATTATAAAGAATGATATCATAAATCAAAGAAAAATGCGGAAATAGGCTTGTATAATATAAAAATTGGCCTGAATAAGATAGAAATTAGCCTGAGTAATATACAAAAACTAACAAAAACTTATCAAAAGTGCCGTATAACAACCTTTACCATCAATAATTTTACAAACTGATAACTCTACATACATTTTGCTAATGTTATAGTAGTTTCACGCAACCTCTGCCCAAGATAAGTTACAAACAAAGTCAAAACAATAAGAAATGTAAATATTATCTTTAAAAAGCTGTAAAACTAGCAGAATTACAAGCACATACCAAAAACAACGTCACAGAAAGCGGAAATGACGAAGGCCTTATCAATCCTTATAGCCAGCCGGCTGTCGTTATAAAAAGATCGCAAGCCAATTAAAAGTTGTTAAAAGTGCACATCCTTCATCCAGCTATTTTGAAAGTTGTTTTAGCTGCTGATCCAGCTTTGATTTATATTTTAGTCCATCTAGACCGCTATTGGCTCAGACATTTGGGTTTTAGTACAGCTAGTCACGTTTAGCTCAGCTACGTTACTTTTAGTTCAACTACGTTGCTTTTAGTCCAGCCACCCTACTTTTAGTCTAGATACATTACATTTAGTCCAGCAAGCCCATTTCCTTATAATTTTTGTTAAAAAGCTCTTTTGTCACCCGGCTGCCCCAAAAAACCAAAAAAATCAGATTGAATAGAAATGGAATTATAATATTCACAATGTAACGTCGAATAACTGTACATATCACGGCCGAAGCATTACTTTTCAAAGCGTTAAACACCAGTAACCAACACTAATTTTACTACAATATCTGAAGAATCAAAAACAATTAATAGATCAATCAAATTTCAAAAATTAAAATTTCCTGTCTTTCCCGGAACTTTCGAACCGCTCAACAACCATAAACACCCCATATCTACCTTATTAACACCAAAAACCATATATCATCACACCAATAACATGCCAAGACACGTACAATAAGTGAATATACCAACATTCCCTCACCATGAATAACATAAAATGGCAGAAACGTTTGATAATCGTATGTTACTCATGTTAACAGTTGTACAGCATGTTCGAGCGTTCGCGAAATTCGAAAAGAAAGTCGAGAGGAAAGGGGGGGGGGTGGGAGAGGGGCCTGATCCGAGAGTCTGCCCTCGAGAGCGAGCGAGCGACAAACACCCTGATCACACGTCTTCTACATTCATATACAACTTGTTTTTTGTACGATTGGGCTTACATGCTAAAGTTAAGTCAGGGATAGGCAGTACTTACAAGATATACCTTTGATACTATGCTATGAAGAGAAGTGGCGTGGTAATTCTTATACAAAAATATTCAAAAATGGTTTTACAGCTACCGTTAACAGTAGTAGGCATAGGTAGAGCTAGTACAAGTTTAGTTTTGAATTTACGGTGGGGGTGACCTATTCAGCAAGATGATTTATTTTTTAGGCTGACCTGTTCCTGGAATAGACCCAGTAAGAGGTGATCTATTCAGCAAGGTGACCTATTCCCGAGAAACGGTTCACCACCCCTCAACTTCCTTAAATATTCAAATTTTTATCCAAAAATTCTTAGAAGCACTATATCTCCAATACCTACTCACCTACTGATCTATTGCAAAACATATACACTTGTAGCGTAATTAGAGAGTTCCAAAGTTAAGAAATCAGTTAATCTAACGATAAGACTGATAAGAAACAATAGTTTTAAACCTCTAATCACGAGGGTTAAGGCGACTAACTTCGAATTTCAAACAAAAGTTCACAAAATTATAGTGTTCTTTGAGTCAAATGGCTTAATTGTAAAGGGTGTAGCTATTATTTAACTAATCACAATAAACCACAATACGACAAGATACTATACGATGCTTTCAAATCACAATAACACTCAGTAAGTCATCGTATTTCTTCGATAAATTACTGAGCGTACTCAAAAAATATCAAAAAAATACTTTAAACTAGTTAAAATATTCGTTCTATAAACTTTTTGACCATAACAAAACATAAAAAAACCTAGCCTAACATGTTCTCCTAGGTATCTACTGACTCCAAGTCTCTTCCCATGTTATACTCTACCTCTGTATCACCCAGTAACCCATCGCCATTGCTCTAAAAACCATCAAAAACCAGGTTCTAAAGACTTTTTGACCGATTAATTCCACTGCTAACTCAAAAAACGATCGTACTTAATATTAGTAAACCGTTACTGAGCATACTGTTACACAGCAATAACCATATAACATTATATCACCAAGTTATACAATCTCTACATCACTCCAAAACCCCTTATACCTGGTATAAATCAACCAAAAACCCAGTTCTAAAGACTTTTTGACCAATCAACCACACTAAAACCTCAAAAACTGATCACACTTGACACTATCAATCTGATTCCAGGCCCAATATTACTCAGTAATCCATCGTATTTCCCTGGAAATTAGCAGAGAACGGCGAGGAACGACCTCAAACTGACGTTAATCTCTCCAGAGTTCGGTCTTAAATGCACTCAGATGGTTTGATCAACACGCATACATTACTATGGCAAGGTCAGCGTGAAGTACACGGCTTGTTCAGCAGCATAACATCACTTACTAATCTTACTGATCACCAAACAACATTAATATGTTAACTTTGCAGCGGTAGTAAGTTCGATTTGAAGTCAAATTTAGGGAGGAAAAGTAGCTGTTTGGCTAAGGGTTTCAGCTGGGGTAGAGGTTATGGTACAGTTGATAGCTATAGGGCGTGGGTCGGGCTATGGGCAAAGTAAAAAAATTTAAACAAGGAAAGGAGAGGGGAGTAAAATAAGATAAAAAGACGGTAATCAGAGAAACAAAAAAAGTCATATCATAGTCAGTTTTATCCTCACCCCGACCCCCATTCCTTAAAAATGCTCCTCCCTCAAGCACAACCCCACCCCCCTCCCCTCCCCTCCCCATCCTTCAAACATCCCCTCCTAACCAACAATTTATCATCAACCCGTCCTCAAGCACTGCCCCCATCATCTTCTCCCCCAAACACCCCCTCCAAGCTTAAAAGTTATCACCAGTCCAGACTAGAGCAAGTTGTTATTGTTGAGAAATTTCATTTTCCCAAACCCAACCACTAATAATTGTACACAACGATAGATACGATGAAAAGTAAGTTGTGTTTGTCGCGTTATCAGTGGCTAAGCTGTTATCTCTCAAAGTTTAACATTAATATGCAAATTACAGTGTTTACGATCCCCTTCAACGATTATGTATCGACAACAATAACATGTTTCGTGATACGACACAGTAAGTTAATCATCGTAGTTTGTACATTACATTACTATAGTATCACTTTAACTTAACTATAGTATCTTCGTGTCTTATGAACATAGTTAATTTAGTTATATCTACTGTATATCTTATCGTATCTTCCAAGTATGCTCACAATGGTAATTCGTATCTTATTAACCATAGTGAATGCTACTTACAAAATCGTCTTTACCCAAATAACACGACTTTAGATATAGTAATACAACTGTAAAATGCCCTTACATAGAGTAATATAACAGTAAAATAACTTTACCTAGATCAATATAACACAACTGTATATCCATCAATCAATATACCACGCTATATCTCACGTGGATCTACCTTCGTATGTTTGTCAATTCCCAAACAATTATTCCCCAATTACCTATATCCGATTACCGCCATCTATTGCAACATACGATGGCTAATATACCGTGGTATAGCAGTTATAATAGATCATTGTAAATCGGCTTATATACTTATACATACTTCATATACTGTAAAATATTAGTTTAGGTATAACAAGACAGTATTTTGAAAGAATAAGCAAGAAACCATCACGTATTTTACATTGGATATGAGAATCTCATCGCATCTTACTTATATGCTAATAACCTCGTCGTATGGTATTCTATAATGCAATATTTTAACCGTAAAACATCGTATTTACATATTACATTAACCCATAATGTCACATACGTAACATATGTTCCCCTACAACAACATATACACATCGTATGTTACTTATATACTAAAAACCTCATCGTATATTTCCTATATACCCAGTAATTTCGTCGTATGTTACTTAAATACTAATATTCTCGTCGTATGTTACTAATAATCCTTACCTATACACCTTACGAACCGCCCGAGGGAATGGTAAAGTGAGCGAAACGATATATCACATAAATATAGGTATGCATGGTAAAGCTCTTGAACAAACGTTGAGTCGAGAGTCTCGAATTCGATTACTATCCATGATGACAAGTTAAGTAGATGTGTCACATTTGATGCTAACACACACCAACATCGTCGTATCTTGTGCAGAATAAGCATCGTACTCGATAGTACGTACACAACAATATTTACAAGACATACCGGAAGTAAATATGTGCAAAAATTAGGGTAATATACCACAATATATGTATATAATGCCACGGTAACCCCAGTTATGCGAAGTTCAAGATACGATTATCTATGTTGACTATACCGAGAGTTTAGGCAATGTAAAAGCTACTAAACCATAGTAAAACCCCTTAATACAACCCAGCATAGTAACCACAAGAGCAATAGATACATGTCCAAACACCTTTACATGTGACAACATAATAACATACGATGTAAGCCCTCCGGTAATGTAATAAGTCGAGAGTCTCGAAGTAACAATCAATTACCGTAACGACATTATGGGCAGTATAGTAAACAAAACGACAAGCTACCATGCTCTTTAGTACTATCATAGCACGATATTCAAATGTCAAAAAGTTTTGTCGTCAATTTGCAATGGTTTTAACGTTAAAAAACGACAAAATTTTATTTACAACTTTTAAAAGTAAAAACTGCCATTTATGACAATACATTATGACTCAGCAACAATATTTTATAGATGTACAGATGTATAGCTATATTGAACCACAGTTTACACTTTTCAACTCCTACAGTAACGTCCATATTATACTATACCCACAATGACCTCGACGTAACAATGTAACAAAGGCGACGTTCCGAATTGAATGTGAGCAAATCGAAAGTGAAAGTTAAATTGTGGGATCAAGAAAACACTTCAGAGACAGTCACAAAGTATTATATGTAAAGGGCGAGAGAGTGCGCAGAAGAGAGAGAGTGGGCAGAGAACGAAAGAGAGCGGAGAGAGCGGGGGAAATGGAGAGACGAAGAGAGGAGAGAGCGGGTAAAGGAAGAGAGGGAAGAGAAAATGTGATTTCAAGATTAAAAAATGAAATTTAAAATTAAAAATTTTGAAAAAAAAGTATTTTGTTACCTATAATTCAAATTTTGTGATTTTAGGTAACAAAAGATGTCAAAGAAAGCAAAAGTTCAAAATCAATCCAAGATGACACTGAATCTTAACAAGAAACATCTGGATAGCCTTAAGATCTCTTTGAAGTCCAAAAAATAATGACAGATCAATTTAATCAGAGCAAAAGACCAAATTTAATCGTTACAAGACTAAAATACGCTTTTTATTAACGAGTCGTAGCTTTTTAAACCTAAAATACGACTTTAAATTATCAAAAAATACCTTTAAAACCAAACCATACCTTCAAACCCTAGAATATCCTTTTAAAAACCAGAAGATAGCTCCCAAGTACCTAATTATACCTATTAACCGAGCATTTCACAAAGAAAAACAACATAGTTAAGCGAAACATTGGTTCCAGACATTACAAAACAACAAAAAATGACAAAAAACGAAAGGACGAGCGACAAAAGACCACGACAAAGTGATAGAGGCAAGTCAGAGAGTCAGAGAAACAGCGAGAGATCACTTTGAAGGCAGAGAATCAGAGAAATCACAAGAAATATTACCTAAAAACAGGCGAACCGAGAAGCAACAGAGAGGAAAAGCGACAAAAATAGAAGCGACAGAGAGTAAAAGCAACAAAACGTTCGATCAAGAGTCCCGAACAACGTCGAGAGCGAGTCTCGAGAGTACGTGAACATGTGACTCGAGATCAGGAAAAGGGTCGGGTTACCGGCTAGCCGAACCAGCAGGTGGGCGTGGTAAACGTGATCCCCATTCCGTGCAAAACAACTCGGAAATAGGTAACAGCGACATAAAATTGTCGAAATTCGAGATCAAGTACAACTTAGCTAAGAGAAAAGGTAATAAAATGAAAAGGGTTAGATCAAGCAAAGATTGGCTGATAAAAATAAAAATTTGTCCAAAAAATGTTAAAAATTAACAAAAAATGTGAAAAAATGCTGAAATTTTCAAGAAAAATACCTAAAATAACATAAAAACAAGTCCAAACCAACAAGATCAAACACAAAAACATACAAAACTAAACAAAAAGTGGTCAAAAAGCAATGAAACGCTTAACATTCAGCCTCTAACACAAGTTGTCTAGTGTTAAAGAACATTACAACGAGTTTACTGAGTAAACATTAACAAGTTGTAATCAATTTCCTTATGGTAAAGCTCTTTAAAACTTGAAAACTTCCAAAAAATGCATGTTTACAGCAAAAAATACCTTTTAGTCGCTAAAATACGAACATTTTTTCAAAAAAAAGTTTGCAAATGCAAATTTCATTAATTGAAGAAAGCTTTGCACCGTGCAAACAATTGTTGAATCCTGCACTGTGCAATCGAAAAAAGCCTTGCACAGTGCATTCAATACATAAACAGGTCCGCACCGTGCAAAAACAAATAAATTCGATGCACCGTGCAGACAATTCTACTTTCTCTTTGCACCGTGCCAAACAAGCGACAACTGTCTTGCACAGTGCGACACCAACATCCAAGGTTGTCGCAAAACATTTTCCTCTTTTCCAACTCCAACATCAGCGACAAATTGTTAGCGACAAGCAAAGGCAAAGATTGTCGCAAAAGATTCTTTCTGCTTGCACTGTGCAAAAACAACGGCAAACTCATCGCGCGACAAAAGCCAAAAATGTCGCAAAAAATACTTTTGAGTGCAAATCTTGCGACTCATTTTCAGCGGCAAACAACAGTCAAAGTTGAAGCAAAGTTGAAGCAAAGAATGTCGCAAACATTCCTTGTCATCGCACCATGCAAGAGCGACGTTTAAGCATTTCTTCAACACATTTCTGTCGCAAATGACAAGTGTTGAAAATGAGACTTGTCGTTTGTCGCAAGAGAAAACATTCCGATCATGAAAAAAGCACTGCACGGTGCAGTGATGACATTGACAGTTTCAGAGTGAAAGAGATTGGCACAGTGCAAAGAGATCTAACCGGCGATCTGCGACAAAAAGGTATTGCACAGTGCAAAGCCAATTTGTTTGCACGGTGCAAAGAAAATAGAAATCTAACTGCACTGTGCAGGGCTATTTTTGATTGCAGAGTTCAAAAGATAAAATTTTGCACGGTGCAAAAAAGAATAAGGGAAATAAACTGCACCGTGCAATAAATAATGTTAAAAAATCTGCACAGTGCAATGCTGCCTTTTCGACTGCACAGCGCAATAAATGAATTAAAAAGTCTGCACCGTGCAATAAAAAGAATGAATTGAACGCACAGTGCACTTTAAAAGTGACAATCCTTTTTGGACTGTTGAAAATGTGTCGCTGAACTTAGAACAAAGACTGACCGTATTCCCTGTTGTTTCGACCGGTAAACAGCGACAAGATTAATTTGTCAAAAGTCGAGACAATAACAATGCTTAGTGACAGCCGGCTCTCAAACGAAAACAATTCGAAATTACACGCTTACCGTAACACACGTCATCGCACTGTAATGAGTTTGAAAATACTGTAGTTTGTGAGGTATTACTGTAACAAAAAAAATTGAATTTTCAAAAAAAATTTTAATTTAAAAAATTAATTTTGAAATTTTGAAATTAATTTTTGGTCGATTTTATACAATTTTAAAATAATACTGTAAGTAAAATTACTGTAAATTGTTCTGTTGAGTACCATAAAGAATGTCATCAGAAACGAATAAAGAAGATGAAAGCGAGAGGCTAGAGGAAAGTGAGAGAGTGCAGAGAAAGGAAGAGACAGAAGAGACGCCAGGGAAGACAGACAAAAGTAAGTGTCACAGAACTTGTTGTAATACTTAAAGAATGAAGCTTACTGTAAAATTATCTAGATTTTGGTTTATAGTACAGCCCCCTTTCCTTCTTTCGCTTATTTGAAATCGCTGATCCCCCCCCCCGCTCCCCCCCCCCTCCCCCCCCGCCCTAATAAAGTATTCTAATTTTATTAGGTTTTTCACATAATTCTGTGCCTCTAACCAAAAAAAATGTTTTGGAAGGGAGCACAGAATTAATTAAACAATCGAATATGTATAATGTAAAAAATTTTTTTCAGGTTACCGTACTCCAAAAGATACAGTAAAAAAAGCTTTGGACAAAGGGATCAGCGGACTTAAAGACGAGTTCTTGGACTGTCATTCATACCCATCTACAGCTATATTTACATCGTATAACGACGTAGCAAATGAAAATAAAAACAGATTTGGGGTAAGTCGTGTTATACTGTAGTTTTACTGTATTCTAGAAGGGTTTTTGAATTTTTAAAAAAAGCTGGGCTGGGCTGAAGTAAATTGAAAGAGACATGGCAGAGCCGGCACGTGTAATCCCGAGGACCAGTCCCAACCTAAGGTTCAGTCTGTCGGCTTGGCCGAAAAGTAAGGTCTGGAACGGATCCTTTACAAGTCTAGTTATAATAGGCTTGGTAGACTCTGAGACGTGGTATATGTAGTTAACTATACAACAAGCTATCGTATGTTTAGGTAACAATGCTTTCAGAGAGTTCGATGTATTGAAAATACTCGTGTCGTACTGAGAAACTGTAACTCTGACTATATCCATGCTAATTACATTACTCTTGGAAGTAACACTGCAAAGTACATCGTATCTCAAGTAAGTTTTACTTCTTTGCAGTACCTATACCTTGTAGTTAGTTTATATACTATTACGTAGCGATTACTATTAAAATACTGAGGTAAATGTATGTTCATGTGCTACTACATACTATTATAACAATATATATATTCTACTGTAACAATACATACTATATTATAAGATAATGTACTGTATGATATGTTCAGGGCCCTTTGGACTACACGATATCAGACTTTTGGGCGATGATAACACAGAAAAACTGTAAAGTAAGTTTTTCTAAGTTACTGTTACAGTAATTCCATAATATCTTATACTTTGTAAAATTACTGTAACTTTTGTATCATCTTACAGTACATTGTCATGGTATGTGATTGGATTGAGATGGGGCGGCAGAAATGTTCAAAATATTATCCAAATGTAAATGAAACTACACAGTATGGTCCGTTTACAATACACACTTTGCAACAGGAAATGGTAAGGTATTACAGTATATTTTGGTACTTTCAGCACAATATGGATGTTACTACAATGTAAACTATAATATTGACAGCAGTATATATATATGCCATTTCTAGATATCATCATCCACAGTACTTAAAACTACCATTGAAGTAACACCAACTTCTAAAAATCTTACAGTAACCCATTACTTGCTGAACTCATGGCCTGATCGGGGGTTACCACGGCATTCTGATGATATATTTGTGATATTGAATGAAATACGATGCTCTCAGTAAGTGCTCCATCATTCTTTTTACTTTTTATTATCTAAAAAGTCAATTTGAAAATAAATTTTTAAAAGTTTACATTTTGCTCACTTGATATTGATTTTCCAGAACGCCAGTCGTCTTTCACTGTTCCACTGGAGTCGGACGATCGGCTACAATAATGGGTATCGAATACATGTTAAAGAGTATTCTCAACGGTATATCACTGCCAGAAGATACATTGATCGCCAGTATACGACGTTACCGGGCTTCAGCCATTAGTGTAAGATAACATACTATAGTATACCTTATAAAATACCTACAATATATCTTATAACTCAACTATAACACATCTTTATACCCTACGATTACTGGTACTTTTAGACAGAGGACCAGTACGTGTATGTGTTCTACATGGTATTCAAATACTTGCTGGAAAGAAAGTTATTGCCAAAAAAAGAAGAACAAGATTGTCGTATGTTTTGTCATCAATTCGAAGATATACTACAGAAGAAGAGAAAGTTACTGTAACATCTCATGACTCGTTTCATTATTTTCTTGTTTAGTCTTGTTAGAGATGGCATTTACCGCGACAATAGGTTTTATTATGAAGAATTATATTACACATGACTATAGATATTGTATGTGGAACAATGATGTAAATCATGCCATTAAATCTGTATTGCTTTAAATTTTAAGTTCAAATTTCAGTTTTTAATTCATATGTTATATATTATGCGATTTCAATACTGAATTGTGTGTTTTTGATCTGTTTCCGCGGCATTGTTACCTAAAATATCAATAAACTGAAGGTTAATGTTTCTAAACTGCCATTTTAATTTGAACTTTAGATTAAAAATGAAAAGATGTTCAGAAATAGTTGGAATACCAATTGTTATAAATAGAATTGTTATAAATAGATAGTTCGAACTCGATTTGCTTCCATTTACTTCGTATCAGTCTTTCCCGAAACGAATGTCCCTCTCCGAAATTTCCCATTTGAAACAATCGCTGTCGCGCCGAGAATCGCGCGACAAACGACAATGTCTGCGACAGTCGCTTGCACCTTGCGACATCCTAATGGGAATCGCAATGTCGCAGGTGCAAAGCTTTGCGACAAACTGTCGTGTCGCGATTGGAATGGCGATGCGACAGCGTGTCGCGGTTGTCGCAACGCCCAAGCCACCACTGTGTTCAATGGAAGGTTTGCGACAAGTTTTTTTTTGACTGTCGCAAGTCCCCTGACTCCTGCGACACCCGACCGGTGCGACATTTGAGGGCTTGCACTGTGATGTATAATGTATATAATGTATCAGTCTTTCCACTAAAGAATTTGACAAAATCGCAAATCTCAATTTGGGGGAATCGCTGTCGCGCCGAGAATTGGGGGACGTCGCGCGACATTCAGCGAGTTGTGCGACATTCGCTTGCATCCTGCGACATCGAAAGGGAAATCGCAATGTCGCAAGGGACAAAACTTTGCGACACGTTGTCGCATCGCGGTTTAAAGGGCGATGCGACAGCGTGTCGCGATTGTCGCAACGCTCAAGCCACCACTGTGTTCAATGGAAGGTTTGCGACAAGATTTTTTGGACTGTTGCAAGTCCCCTGACTCTTGCGACAACCGACCAGTGCGACAATTGGGGGCTTGCACTGTGCATTCTTTCTCTCATCGTTTGGGATTGCAAGCGATCGCGGGGGAATCTGCACGGTGCAGTGGGATAAAAAAGGGCGCGATTTTCCCAGAGACTGCACCGTGCAGTTGTCAAATTCTTTAGTGGAATGACTGATAACTCGGTCAAGGTCTGACCTTCTTTCAATCTCAATTAGATCGCTGATAACTTCGAAATTTGTAAAATTCGTTAAAACCTGGAGATGGAAGTTGTTATTCTCCAAAATTTAAAATTTTTTATCTGTTTTCTTGGATTTATATTAATATCGTTTCTGCAGCCTGCGCGTGACCTTTTACTGGGCGCACATTGCGCAAAAGCCACAATTTAAGAATTTTTTTTTGAATTGAAATTTGATGCATATTATAATAATATATTAGCTATTTTTATTATTTATGTTTTTTCTTATATTATCTATCTTATAACAATTTTACGTCTGCAGCCTGCACTTGGAACTTTTATTGGGCGCGAACTGCTCCAATTTTATAATTTTCAAAAATTTAAAATTAATTAAAATTTCAAACTATTTTTTCATATTCCATAATCTAAATCACTTCGAACGTTGCTAGGATGAATAATTAATCGCTTCGAATCTTCTCTTCCGTTTAATCCTTCCCATTGTCTAGTGTAATATAATGTTTTTTGGCCTTTAAACCCTTTCTAAAACAATATCTGGATAGATAGTTTAAAGCTGAACAATATGGGATAGTGTAAAGTTGTTCTTAGACCAGAAAAGCCATTTGAAAAGCGGTTGGGAGGTACCTCGAGTGTTTTGCCATTCCTTTCGAGTACTTCCGAAGACTTCTAGAGTAATATATTGGCATTGGTTTGTTTGTCGCAAAACTTCTAGGACTTCTCTGCCTCTGGCCTTTAATTTCTGGCCAATTTCAAGGGATTTTAACGGTTAAATTTGAATTTGCTTTTCGAATTTACTCGATTTTAAAAGAAAAAAAGGGGATTTGAGGTTTTTCGGTCGAAAAGTTTATAGAAAAACGATAAAACTAGAAAAAGTCTTTTATAATAATATTGTTGTAGGTCTGTTTCGCAACTTCATCTTAAGTTTATAGCAAAAAGTCAACAGTAAAGTTTGGAAAAGGCTGTTTTGGCTGGTCTTTCTACTGTAATTTGATACTTTATCAACATTACTTTAGGCAAAATGCCTACTTTTAGCTGGAGTTTTTGGATTTTTAGCTATAAATTATGTTTTGTAGTGCTTTAAAAATAGGTTAAAGTTTTTATTATGTATTAACTTGCTTATTTTGTTGTTTTACAACGATTTGAAAGGACATATCTTATGTTAGAACTTGTAGAAATGACATTATTTTATGTAATTTGTATCTTATAGTAAAAATAGCTTGATTTCCGACCAAAATATTTTGAAATCTATATTTACATCTCACCTTTGACCTTTCAAAACACACCTTTCACGACTTTCACCACCTGCCATCAGCTGATGTTATCATTGCCATTCTTTTTGATGGGTCTTCCCTCACCTGTAGCCCCTTTTAAAGGCCTGAGGCGCTGTCGGCCTCTTCCGGCCTCTTTCAAGTTGAAGTGCAAGTTCTGTGGAGGACTGGTGGTGTCTTATCTTGTTTTCACGTGTTCGTGCCCTCAGGCGGTCAGTTGAGAGTTTCCCTATTCTTCAGGTTAAATGACTTGGCTGTGGTTGTTTTTGAGTTTGGCGGTTACGGTCAACGCCTACAGTAAATCGTACCCGTACGAGGATGGTGTTAGGAGGCACGAGACAGAGTTTGGCGAGTTCAGCAAGGTAAATTATATTGTTTTAGGTGGTTTTAGGTACGAATTTGGAAATATTGTTATAAAAATGATGATAATTATGTCTAAAACAGATAATTGTGAAATGACATTATTTTCAGCTATAAAATGCAGTTTTATTTACAAAATCTATGTTTTTACTTTACTATGACATATCTTCCAGAATGTGCACCCGAATGTAATCAGAAGATACGAGCAAGATACCGAGCCTCAAGGCAGGGTAGATGAAGATCTGATTCGTCAAATTGGAAAAGCGATTAAGCCTAGGGACTTCTCGGCCTGGAACCTGTTCTTGGGCTTCATGGAGAAGCACAACAAGGGCTACAAGAACAAGAAGGACGTGCTACACCGCTTCAAGGTCTACAAACGCAACCTGAAGGCGGCCAAGATGTGGCAGGAGAACGAGCAGGGGAACGCCGTCTACGGAGAGACCCAGTTTATGGATCTGACGGCTACTGAGTTTAAAAACGTAAGCGGATTCTGGTGTGGGCACAGTGTTTAAGTTGTTATATCTGTTGGTACTTGAACGGTTGTTTTCGGTACTACATTTTGTGTTTGACAGTACGATTAAGTATGTCAATATAGTACTAATTTTAGCATACTTAATCTTTTGATAGTACTGATTTAAATCTATATCTATAGAATAGCAGTAGATAATATAGACAGCTTTAAAGTAACATCTTTCAGATCTACCTGCCCTACGTATGGCCTCAGGTCCCAAATGCCAAAACCTTGACTCCAGAAGAACTGATTGATTTAGAATCCACTGATTTGCCAGATTCTTTTGATTGGCGTGAGAAGGACGTCGTCACCGATGTCAAGAATCAGGGAAGTTGCGGAAGTTGCTGGGCTTTCTCAGTTACTGGCAACATCGAAGGACAATGGGCTTTGAAGACCAAGAAACTGGTACCATTGAGTGAACAAGAGCTGCTGGACTGTGATGTTGTAGACCAAGCTTGCAATGGAGGTCTACCACTCAATGCTTACAAGTATGTGCTGTGTTTATAATGTTTAAAAAGGGGGGGGGAGTTTAAATTTTGCTGATAATGATTTATCTTAAGGAATTATGACATTTTTTAAAGTTAACTTTTTTAAAATTAAAATTTTTTTAAAAAGGAAATGCCATTCTTTACTAGACATGAGAAACGGGCCGGGCCCAATTTTTAAGCCCGGCCTGATCGAAATTTTGCTCAAGGTCGGGCCGTTTCTCATGTCTATTCTTTACAATCCACCTAATTCCAGAGAAATCATGCGTCTTGGTGGCTTAGAAACGGAAGATGAATATCCATATGAACAAGAACAAGAGGCCAGCTGTAAGTTGGAGAAGAGCGAGCTGGCTGCCTATATCAATGGATCGCTTCAGTTGCCTAAAGATGAGCAGAAGATTGCTGCCTATCTCCTCAAGCATGGTCCTATCTCTATTGGTAAGTTTCTTGTTAAGTTTTTGTATTTTAGATTAATATAAGCGGGCTACAACATATTTTATAAGTCTCGAACCTCAAGCCAGCCTAGAACTCTTTATTTATTATCTTAACAAAGCGAAACTTCCCGTAAGGTTACTGTAACAACAAATATTCACCTGACTTCTGACCACGTCCTTCTCGAAGCCATCGTGACACGACGTGTAGCTTCCATGGAGCGGGTCTTGGTCAGCGGCTTCTGGGTTAGCATGAGTTGTTGCTGCCTTATCGTGACTTCCGTAGGGAACAGCTTCTCCGCCGGCTCCAGAAGAAAGTCCAGGATCTTGACGTGGACTTGGAAGAGCCATTCCAGAAGTTTGTCGCGGCATTTCTCCAGAAACGAGAACACTAAAACCAATTAATCATTAAGGAGAGGCCTTGTGGATGTCTTGAGGGCTTGTCAATGTCACTTATGGTAGTTACTCGGTCAAAAAGTTTGTAGAAAAGTTGAGAAAACAGAAGAAAAAAGCGAAAACATTAAGAGAATGTTAAGCATATTCATTGGTAGGGTTAACTACAAAACGTACAGTAAACGCATGGTAAGGTACTTTTAGGTTTCTGTGGTTTATATTAAGGTACTTTACAGTAAACAAAAGCTTCAATTTCCTACTGTAACTTAAATTTTGGCAAAGTTCTCAATAGTTTGTTCAAATAATTCAGTGCTCTCTCTCAAAGCAAATTTTTTGGGGATAAGGGGCTCAAAATTATTTGAACAACCTGATACGTTTAAGTAAGTATAATATGATTAAAACATAAAATACGACTCACCAGAAGTGCCATTTCTTTTGTGCTTGGCCAAATTGGCAGCGACTTTCTTGGTGTAGCGAGTGTAGGATGGGTTGGTGTACTGTAGACACAAGGGCTTCTTGTTATCAGTGAATCGCCACTTCTGAGGTGTGCTCTTGCCTAATTTACTCTCTTCCGATCGAAATATCTTGCTGGACTGTCGTTGGGCGACAGAATGTCGTGCCAGCCGGCTCATCGCCATAAATATAAGAAGATAGTATAATCGATCGGTCGAAAGGGTTGTTCAATTATCTTCTTCTAGTCGGTTTTGTAGACAATTGCCAAGTACGCCGTTTTTTAAAGCGTAATATCTGACGTCTACAACGTGCCTTTGATTAATGGCTACACCGTCGTTTTAATGGCTTCACGTTCCTTTAATGGCTACACCGTGCCGGCAGGAAATGGCAGAGGTCACGTTACCTTGCAAGCTTCATCCATTAACAACAAACAACACGCAATTGCCCTCAGGGGAGACGTGGAACGGTGAAATTGGAGCAAATGTTCATGGAGAGATTGTTCCCATAAGCGGCCGAAAAGCACGGAAAAAGCTAAGCGTTTGGCCCCTTTTTTGCTTTTTATTGCGCGGCCAAACCCCCCCCTTGTCGGCGGGAAAGCCCCCCCCCCTTCTTTGGCGGCCGCTTAGAGATTCATAAAGACGATGACGTTGAAGACATTACTTTACAGACAATTTTAAAGAAATGTTTTTGAAATGTTTGTTGATATTGTAAGGACATAGGCTTATGACGTTAACGGGATATATACATGTAACTAGAAATATACTTTGTCTATACAGTGGAAGTAAGCCGTTATTATAGAAGGGGTCTTGTTGTAATCAAAAAATATTTAAAAAAAGGATTTTGATATTCTTATCATAGTATATCAGCATAGTACTTGAGCTTACACACGTGAAAACCTTATAAACTCTACACGACATACGTGTTTTCTTTGACATATATATATATGTATGTTGTCGTCTGTGAAAATTCGCCAAACCATGAAAATTTGATTATGCCTGAGGCAGAAAAGCAGAAGTGAAGTCATTAGGACTACAAATCTTATTGTAGTTGTGTCTGGTGGAACTGCAGTCACATCTTTTGTAGCATATATACAGCATTAGGATTAGCTTTAGTTTGTTACCTAAAACATTGGTTTTTACATTATACATGTTAGTGGATAGTGTAAACTATACTATACATGTTGTAGTTAATGTAATTCACCATATGCTTGCTTTATTGGTCAAAAAGTCTGTAGAAAAAGTTTAGACAAAACCACACATACATAAAACAATATTATTGTAGGAGTAAACGCGAATCCCCTCCAATTCTACCGTCACGGTATCTCCCACCCATGGAAAGTGTTCTGCTCGCCTCTGATGCTGAATCACGGTGTTCTGATCGTGGGTTTCGGCCAAGAAGGGGCCAAGCCCTTCTGGATCATCAAGAACAGTTGGGGACCGAAGTGGGGAGAGTCGGGCTACTACAGACTTTACCGTGGTAAAAACGTGTGTGGAGTCTCGGAGATGGCTACTACTGCCATTATCAACTAATGTAGCGTGTTATTTTGGGAATGTTATTGTAGGCTAACGTACTGAATGATTAGTATAAAATACGATTGTTTTTGAGATAAAATACGAAAATAATTGATGTAACATACGATAATGTCATTCATTTATGTTTTTACTTGTTTTACTGGGTAACTTCTAAAATATTGCAGTAAAGGAGAAAGTCTAATATACTGCAGTAATGTAAAAAGTATGATTTACTATCTGTTTTGTATGTCGGTTACTTTAATATTTCCAAGTTAGCAATATGTTTTTACCTTATTCTATATATTCAATCTACTATAATATTTTACTATCGTACGAGTCCAAAGAAACGTGCTATTTTGTTGTAACGGTTATATATGGAAATCACATTATATTTCATATTAATAATAAGTAATAAATCATATTTCTACGAAATCCGATTGGAAATGGTACAAATCATATATAGAAAAACCACAAATTTTGTAAAAAACGTATTTTAAACAATAATAATGTATTCAAATGACAAAGCATAATCATATATAAAACTAGTCTTACACGATGCAAAGGCTTTTGTGTTTTTGTGCACAGTGCAGCTTTTTTTGCCATACTTGGACGTATGACATTCATTCACAAAATGGCATTCATAATATAAAAAATAAACGTATATTCACTGTAAAGTAAAGAGGTTGAAGTATAATATAATATTAACTTCAAAGTGCAATATAAGATAAAATAATAAAAACTTTTGTTTTTATTTCAAAGGACAAGGTTTACTGATTCATATTACAATATTATATATTTATATTATGTAACCTGCTGGATTGGAAAAACATTTACCACGGAAGTAAAAAAATGTTTTAGGTAATCAATAATATTATATTATACATTAAAAGGTCTTTTTTAACTTCAAAAACAGTTTCAAACTGAAATGGTTTTTTTTTAATCTGAAAAACATGTGAAACTGTTGAATTTTATCTCGGAAACACAACAATGTGTCACTGTTTTTCGCACCCAACAGCGACGACAATGTTTTCAGGAGATAAGACATGCATCGTTCACGTCAACCTGGGGTTTACCGTGGTAACACGACATATGTCAGTCAGTTCATTCTGTTTTTTTGGAAGTTAGAGAGTAAAAAACTGTTTTTTCAGTTTATTATCAGCATTTAAAGAGATTTCAAATCGAATATTAAGCAAGGTAAAAGGCAACAAGAAGATTTTTTTTTAATTGAAGGAAAGAGGGGGGGGTGGGAAGAAGGTTGCCTACTGTAAAAAGTTTTTAAACTGTTAGGCACACTTGAACGCAGGATGTGCAACAAATGGTAGTTTGTAACGTTGTTTCCAGTTATTGTCACGTTTACGGTACAGAAAAACAAGTTAAGTTACTACTTGAGTTATCAGTTTTATCAAATTTTTGTTGTATCCGGATTCACCTTAACTTCCAGGACAAGCACCATGAATCGTTTCAGCCTGTTCTTGGGTATTGTCGCCATGCTTGTCCGGTTCTATCTCATGCATTTTATACATTTTGGTAGATCATATTGTATTAAGATATTAAGACGAGTAAGAAGTAATTGTTGGACCTATAATTCTGTGATAATCACTTTACTAAATACGTTTTTTAAAGTATCTTGACATACTATTACATCTATATATAAAATGTTTTATAATGGTTTATGTTGTGTTTCGTAACATCATATATAGTAAATAATTTTAGAAAGAGCCAGTAAAATGTGGAATCAGAGCGTTACCGTACTTCTACTTTGTCTGTATATTTTTCAATGTATTCGCAGTACTAATTGGTGGCTCGAAATGTAAGTTACAATCGATTTTAACAAGCTTAAATTTTGAAAATGTTACTACGGACGATTTTAAACGCTAAATGATAGGCTATGGCAACAAACACGGCTTTTATCATCATTTTAACTATGATATATAAAATTTAAAAAAATGCATTTACACATAACATTCTTTTAGTACTTAACTTGAAGTTACCTTGGTACATTGTGTTGGCCATCAGTTTAGGCTTGGGCCTGATCACAGCCTTACTTTTTGAATTTTATTTGGCTTCGAAGCTCTGAAGTGGATTGAAAAGAAGGAATTGGAGAAGACAAGTGCTTCTAGGGTCAATCCGGTCAGGATCAGTAAGCTTTTCTTAAATTTTAAAAAGGTTTTTCTGAACTTGCATTAAAAAATTTGACTTGAAGCTGCATTTAACTTACTTTGCAATATTTTGAGGTTTTTTGTTTTATTTCTACTCATTACTCTATATTTCCTATTGCTTTGTTTTTAGCTGACGGCTTACCTACAGATACTGTAACTCAACCAGCACCGTATACAAATACTCAAAAATTCAGCACTGGTAAGACTATACTATTTTAAGCCTTTTAATATTGACAAATACTGATGTTATCTATTTTTTAATATTTTATTATTTATTATTATTCTAACGCTTTATCATACCCTTGCTGTACCATTCCACCAATTTTCAGTCCTAAAAGACTTTGTCATCTGGTTGTTCCCAAAACAAAAACGTGAGAACGATAGCCGCACGTTGAGTTTGTTCAGTGCGATTCAAGTGTTCACAGCGTGCTTCGCCGGCTTTGCTCACGGTACCAACGATGTGAGTAACGCCATTGCCCCTTTATCAGCTCTGATTGCCATTTATGATAAACAAAGTGCGCCATTGGTCATGCAGGTGTCTACTCCATTGTATGTGGTCGTATTTGGGGTGGTGGCTACATGTACTGGTCTGTGGCTTCTTGGACATCTTGTGATCAGGACTGTTGGTCAGGAAATGTCAGAAATCAATCCAGCGAGGTAAGACAATGAGTTATGTTAATATAGCGTGGTAGCATGAGTAATAAAATAATTTATAGCAACATAGAATGTTATAAACTAAAACTTAATTTCAAAAAAAGTGTTTTAATTGAAAAGTTTTGAAAATCAAAAATAATATTAAGTTTTAAGTGGATTCTGTATTGAGTTTGGCGCCGCGACAACAGTACTATTGGCTTCGAAACTCGGACTCCCAATATCGACAACGCATTGCCTGGTGGGATCTGTAGTAGCTGTCGGAGCTGTGAGGTCAAGGGAGAAAGTAGATTGGAAAATATTCAAAAACATTGCCTTATCATGGCTAGTCACATTGCCAGCGGCTGGTGTCGTTTCTGCTTTGATAATATTTTTAATCAAATTTACTATCTTAAGTTAATAAATTATTATGGAAGGTGTCGCCAAGTGTGAGATTTTTGACATTATCAGAGTCCTTATTTTTAACCTAAAAGTAAAGTGAAATCAGATCTGCGATCGTAGGTTATGAATACTATTATAAAGTTAGCATCTTAATTTTATTTTTTTAAATTTTTAATATGAAAATGCAAGACTCAAAACCAAATATTTAAAATTTGCTTCATTTTTTATCAAAAGCTATTTCATCTGTAATATACTACGTTCTATTTTGCCAATTTACGCACTTGTCTCTTTACATCTTTCACCGTATGAGAAAACGCCGCAGTTCGCACGCCGAAAACATAAGAATTCGGCAGCTCGCCAGATTGTCATCAAAAAATATAATATTTTTGGAAAAATCAAAGGAAATTGGTTTATTCTTTTTTCAACAATGGGACAGAATCAATCGTTGAGAAAAGGTGGAGAAGATCGAGGCCAAGGAGATGCTGATAAGGTGAGTATTCAAGGTTAATATTTAAATTTGCGTTTAGAAGAAGAAGAGATACGAGCCACCAATTCCGTCTCGGATTGGAAAGAAGAAGAAGGGAGGAAAGGGACCAGACTCGGCTTCTAAACTTCCATTGGTCGTTCCGGTTACCAGATGTCGTCTGAAGTTGCTGAAGATGGAGAGAATCAAGGATTATTTGGTCATGGAGGCCGAATTCATACAAAATCAGGAGCGTCTGAAGCCACAAGACGAACGTCAAGAAGAGGAACGTTCCAAGGTTGACGATCTTCGTGGTACACCAATGGCTGTTGGGAATCTGGAGGAAATCATTGATGATCAACATGCTATTGTTTCTACTGTAAGTTTTGTTGTTATTCAGTGTTTAGGAACTTTTATAGAAAATAGATCAGCTCAAATGATACCTAAATTATCCTAATAACGTTTAAAATCTTTTCAGAACGTCGGAAGCGAGCATTATGTAAATATTATGTCATTTGTGGACAAAGAGCAGCTTGAACCCGGATCCTCAGTGTTGTTGAATCACAAGACTCACGCTGTTATTGGAGTTCTCAACGATGATACTGACCCGATGGTCTCCGTCATGAAGTTGGAGAAGGCCCCACAAGAAACTTACGCTGATGTTGGTGGACTAGATCAACAAGTGCAAGAAATCAAAGAATCCGTTGAGCTCCCCTTAACTCACCCAGAATACTACGAAGAAATGGGTATTAAGCCACCAAAAGGAGTCATTCTTTACGGTCCTCCTGGTACTGGAAAGACCTTATTGGCTAAGGCTGTTGCTAATCAGACGTCGGCTACTTTCTTGAGAGTTGTGGGATCGGAACTGATTCAGAAGTACCTTGGAGATGGTCCAAAAATGGTCAGAGAGTTGTTCAGAGTGGCTGAAGAACATGCTCCTGTAAGTTTTTTAAATTTTATAGCTGCTTGGATTAGGTTATTTAAATTTTTAATACCTAAAAGTTGTGTTTTTATTCTATCTGACGTTTTTCTTATTATACGTTGATTTACAAATTTGTTTTAGTCTATCGTGTTCATTGACGAAATCGATGCTGTTGGAACCAAACGTTACGACTCCAATTCCGGTGGTGAACGGGAAATCCAACGTACTATGTTGGAGTTGTTGAATCAACTTGATGGTTTCGACTCTCGAGGTGATGTCAAAGTGCTAATGGCTACGAACAGAATCGACTCTCTGGACCCTGCTCTGATCCGACCTGGCCGTATTGACCGTAAGATTGAGTTCCCGTTGCCAGATGAAAGAACCAAGCGACGTATCTTCCACATTCACACTGCTCGCATGCAGCTGGCTGAAGGCGTAGATCTCGACGAATTCATTCAAGCTAAAGACGATCTCTCCGGAGCTGATATCAAGGCCATGTGTACCGAGGCGGGTCTATTGGCGCTGAGAGAACGAAGAATGCGGGTAACGATGGAGGACTTCAGAAAGTCCAAGGAAAATGTACTGTATCGGAAGAAGGATAACGCCCCGGAGACCCTATATTTGTAATCACTGTACTTCTGCTCTAATTCGTTCAATAAATATAAGTTATTGATAATTTTTTGTTTTTGAAATTTCATGACGTAGTGTCGGCTTACTTCTGCATCTTATTGTGGGTGGTGGGATCTGTTCTGCAACCTTTTGTTTGGAAGGATCAGGTATTCATAAAACAAATGAATAAAATCGCACAAATTGACGAAAAAAAAGAAAAATAACAAACAAAATTACATTTTATAAATTTATATCAAATAAGTAAGGAGTATTCAACATCAAAAACATGACAATAATAGTGTTAACAATGATTTAATAAATAAGACTCAAGCAAAACAATCTTCACGGTCGGCCCACGCGACTCCAGCTGGATCGTCGAAGCTCTGGAAGTTGTGGAAGTGGACTGTACGGTGATCTTCGTGGTAGAATTCTTTTGGTACTCCGAGCGAGACGTCGTACTTCATGTTGGCGTCGTGTCTGACTCCCATGAAGTTGTAGTTCCAGATTCCGTTGGTGGGTACCATGTAGTAGCCGAGGAATCTGTCGGACAACAACATTTGGATCTTCTCGTAGTGAGATGGTAGATATCCTTTGGGGTTGTTTCCTTTGTCGGTATTGTTCTTGCCCCATTCGTAGCCGGAAGGAGTTAGTCGGTAAGCCGTTAGTGAGACGGATCCAGGTGTGAAGGAGCAGGTCATAACGATGGTCTTCTCACCGTCCCATTCTTCGTTTTGCGATAAAATTTTGGAATGAATAGTGACATCTTGAGGAGAGAGTTGAGGAAGTTCGTTAGGTTGAGTGTGGATCCTAAAAATTAACAAAAACAGATCAAAATTCAATTAAAAAACTAAAACAAATAATAAAAAATAGTCTCATAAAACGATTCTTACCATCCCAATGGCTCCAAATCTTTAATGAACTCGTGTTGAGGAAGTTGATTGGGAAGGTTGACGACTTGGTGAGTTCCCCATTGAGGTGGAAGAACAATACATCTAATCTCCTTCACTTGAGGGTTGTCTGGAGGTGAACATCCATACAAGAATCCAGCAATCTGAAAAATAAGAATAAATTAACGGAAACAAGATAATATTAAGCATAACAACCTAAAATAAAACCAAACTTTTTAAAGTGAACAATATGTAATAGCCAATTGACATACCTGAGTTCTCAAGTCTGAGATAACGATGAACTTCTTGAGCACGTTCTTCGGTAGAATGTAAGTGAATCCGGTATCTTTGACATCATCAGCATTGACATAAATGTGTTGAGTACGGAGATGGAGGTTAGTCGAACTGATAGCCCTGATCCTCCATTCGGTTCTTGAGGAGAAGGTCTGACTCTCGTAGTTACTGGTCGTAGCTGAGATGATCTCGTCACCATGTTTGTTGACGGTCCTTGTAGTAGTGGCAGTCAGCTGGCTCTGTTCCTTGGTCTGCTTCTCAATGTCAGCGATCTGTTGACGTTGTTGCGATGGAGCACTGATCTCCATACCAAGAATAATGTCACGAACTTCGGATTGGGTCAAAGAGCTCACGTTCACATTGTTCTTCTTTCCGTAGTCGTTCAGGATCATATCCTTCAATGACAGCTCCACCTTGATCCATTCCTCGTCGGTTAGCGATGGCCAGAGATGGTGACTTTCAGTGATTGTGGTTCTCTCCGGCTTCAGAATCACCTTGGTCTTGTCCGGGTTGATGTGCATACCCCTCATGATCAAAATGACACGAGAAAAGGCGGTGTAACTGGAGATGGACTTGAGCCAGTCATCGTACATGTTGAACAAGGCCATCTGAGGTTCAGTAGCCTTCAAGATTAAATCTCCCAGCTTCTCAATCTTCATGATGGCTTGGAAGGGTAACATCAGTTCAGATCCCTTGATCACAATGTTGGGGAAGTCGAGTAAATGCACTTCCAGAGGATCCAACATGGCTTTTCGAGTGACAATGATCTGACGAGGTTGTTCTTCAACAGGTAGCGACCGAATCAAAGCAGCCACTTCTTCAGCCGTCTTCCATTTGGCCAGCTGACTGAGACGCTTCTGGCCAGCCCAAACACTTGTGTGAATGATCTTCAAGAAGAGCTGACCAGTACGAGGATTAAAGATGAAGATGGCTCCGTTGATTGGCTTGGTCGTCAAGTTACCTTCGAATGTCTGAAAAACACAAGTTAAAGATGTCATTAATTAAAACAAAGTAAATTAAAAATATTTTAAAACCCTACTTTGTGAATAGTTACACGGTAGACATTAGTATCATCGACAAACCAAATGATTTGGTTAGAGAAGAGTTCGGAGTAGTTCTGCGAGGTTAGGTAGGGCTCGGTGGGTTCAGAAGAGTACAGTTGAAGACCCTTTCTGATACGTTCTCGAAGCACGTAGAAGGCCGGGTTAGCTTTGATGATCTTGGCCATGGCTTGTCGGATCAAGGCTTTCATTCCAGGGAACCAGTTACCGTAAGCCGAGTACAAATTGTAGGCCAAATCGATGGCAATCAAAACACCGTTAGGCGAGGGGTAGATGGACATGTTATCGGTGGTGTAGTCCAAGAACTTGGCTCTGGCGTATCTTTCGATATCGTGAGAATCGTAATCTCCCCATCGAAGCTGAACATCTACCCAATACTTCTGGGTGGTGGTGTTGTCGGTGACATCGTTCGAGTCGGCCAGCAAAGACGGTCGAGAGATGTGCCATTTGTATTGGGCGAACAACAGAATGTCGGCGCAAGAACTGTTCATCTTGTAGGACTTTCGAGGGTGAATAGTCTCTTTCTGGACAGTCTGAATCTCCAAAGCATCCAACTCCAAGTCGAACACTTGACACAAGTCCATGACCACAGATTCGTGAATCTTCTGCCACAAGTGAGCCCGGAAGATTTGGATCAACGAAATCTTCAGGGTCGGGATCTTACCGTGCATGAAAATACCAGTCAAATCCAATTGTACTTGGAAACCAACGTAAACCTAAAAACAAGAAATTAAATATGATACCATAGGAACTACCAAAAAACAATCTAACAAGGCAATGTTACAAACTACTCCACGCCAATTTTAAAACGAGTTATACCGTTGGAAAGAGCGTTAAAAAGTAGCCTAGAATCAGCTTTTTTTAGCTGCCGAAACCATGTGGCACGGCAGCTACAGCTCGTTATATACCCTTATATGTTTAGATTATACCTTTAAAGTTCAAAAAATGCTATTTTTTGATAAGTATTTTTTTCTAAAATGAAAAAAAAGTAAAAAATAGGACTTTTAAAATATTTTTTTAATCAAAATATGGCTGGCTAGCCAAAAATTCTGGTCATGATGGCTGGGCGCCAAAATGAAATCGACGGGATCCGAACTCCCCGCCTTCTACACCCCAAACTAACTTGTTAACCACTCGACCATACTGGATGATTCAACTCTTCGTTTTGCTCAGCATCAATGAGAAGAGTCGAATAGAAAACCCTATGTAAATCTTTTGATCGCTAATATATGCCGTGCCACATGGTTTCGGCAGCTAAAAAAAGCTGTTCTAGACTACTTTTTAACGTTCTTTCCAACGGTATAACTCGCTTTATAATTGGCGTGGATCAGTTGGTAACATTGCCTTTTAAGAATATTGTGATCACTTACATTGGCTCGGTTGATGGTTGGTGACCACCACAACGTGAATCGACGATTCGGAATCTGATTCAAACCAGACCTTTGAGCGTTTGTCAGCTTCTTGAACTTCATGGATTCTTCAAAACCTGAAGCTCTTTCCCAGAACAAACCTTCCCATGTTGGGAAGTAGGTACCCTAAAACAACATAAATAATATAAGATTAAACATTATGAATAGACGTAAACAATTAAACACTATGACAAGTCAAATGAAAGCTTACACGGAAGAGAGTGTGCTCCAGAATACCTTCAACTCCACCCAGAGCTTGAATCATGTCGGTTCTGTAATTGTTCAAATTCCACAATTTACCGTCGTGCTTCTGATGCGTCCACCAGAAGGGATTCTGCTTCAAGATTTGGTAGGTTTTGAATTCTGTTCGTACTCTCCATCCTTTGTCGTAGGCCAATGTGTTTCTGTCCTTCTGGAAGAGAGTGTTGATCCTAGGGATACCTCTGTCCCAACTGTCATCCAGATCCTCCAACGTGAGTCTTCTATTCTGAGCATTGGCTTCTTGTCTCTTCAAAGCGTACTCTGCCCATACTCTCTGAGAATCTACAAATTCTGCTTCCCATGGCTTTATGTACCGGTACAAGTTGGGAATGATTTGATCTTCATCGTGGGTCATACCCGACCTGAAGTGGGTTACACCGCCAGCATCAGTCTGTTTCATCCACCGAAGATCAGATTGTGGGATCAAGACGTGACCCATGGACAACATTCCAAGCCCTCCAATTTCCTTCGGAGTGTAAAATACGACCGGTGGGAAACGAGCAGGCATTTTCGAGTTCAGGCCAATCTTGATACTGAAATAACAAAAATATATTTTAAAATTTTTCACCAAAACCAAACTTTACAGAATAAAAAATATTAATAAAGATCAACTTACCGAGTCTGAATCTTGTTCTCACACTTGACCAACAACTCCAGAAGCTCTTGAGTGTTGACAACGGCTTCTCTGTAGTATGTCATAAGTCCGATCAAAGCGGTATTCCATTTGTTGACGATCTTCGTAAACGTCGTCGAACCAGAACTCATCAGAATCTGGCGAATTCTGTTGTGGAACTTCTGAAGCGAATCTTCGTCGACCTTCAAGAAACATTGAGCGGTTCTCTCCTTCGTCACTTCATTCTGTAGATTCCAGATTCCGTCTCGAGTCGTGGAATCTTCAAAATTAGCTCTGCATTTGGGTAAAATTCTACACTCGAACCCACACATATCGAACAGTAGATTGGGGTTGTCCTTGCTGTAGACGGAGACGAACGAGTCTTCCCAGTTGATTGTCGTGACAGAACGTGGAAGTCGATTCTTAACGTCCCAGAAGACGGCTCTTCCCAGATTCACATCGTGCTTCATCAGCCTCATTCGAGCATCCCTTGGCCAGCACTTCTTGTTGTTGTATCCGACAACATTCTCGTTGTTAGGGTCAGGATGTTCAGATAGGTACCGTTGGATCAAATCTCTAGTATCTTCAGCGTCAAATCGGAAGAATACCCAAATCTTGTCGACATAACGACAGTACAATCTGATTGGATGACCCATTTCGGTTTCAGAATCCTGGAAGTTCAAGAATTCATTTGGACATTGTGGAGGACCAGCGATTTCAGAAGCTCTGCGAAGACCCAGAATCAGAAGATCGAGTACCAAACCATAGTACTGAACAACAAATGATGCGAACTGAAGTCCTCTGATGATACCAAACGAATTAATGTGGTTCATGTCCTTGTAGTTGATAGTGACGTTGTTCTTGGCCGAAATGTAATCGGCAATGTTGTGATCGACGATCAGACGAAGCAGTGTGTTCAACAATGTCAAATCCATTTTCTCGTAGATCTTATCCAACTTGGCTTCCAACATGACGTTGCACTGACCTTCCTTCGTCTCCCAGACCTCTTGAAGATTGTTGATTCCTTGACACCATTTGTAGACCAGAAGTGGTGGAGGTTCCGTGTCTCCAGGCTTGATCCAAGAGGGGAACAAGTGACGTTTGTCTGCCTCGTACCACAAATACTGATCAAGGTAAGCATCTGTTACCTTTTCCAAAGGTTCGATGTCATAAACAGGTATCAGGTGACTGTACAAATCCATGAACTCAATGTTCACTTCCTGAAACATTAAAATTAATATTACACTAATAAGGACAATAAATAATAATCAAAAAAGAAAAATAAATCATAATAAAAAAAGTCAAAGAAAAGTTTACCTTGAACGATCTCATAGTCAACATATGCCTCTTGATTCTGGACAAAGCTTCGTGAGGATTGTCGTAAGCCTGTTCAATGAGTGCCATTTCTTCTCTCTGACTTTGATTCAGCCGATTCTTGACCGAATAAGCTTCCTTCAGCCGTTCCAAAGCCAAGATCAATAACTTTGTGTCATGTTTGTACGACAATGGAGGGAATGGGATTGGTGAGAATCTTCTGGATTCCAGCCAATGAACAGTGTTGGTGAAGATAGCAATAGCCTGTTCAGCAGACACATATGGACCGTCCTTCAGGTAGTTGTGTTGTCGTTCTTGTTCGGCCTTCAAGTACAACCGAGTTAGTCTTCCCAGGTTCTTCTTGACCACAGTCTTGTCTACAGTAGCTCCACGACGGACTCTTTCACGGTTGTAATGTGCAGAGTTAGTCCACCAGTCGGCCTTGGCTTTCACGTATCTCAAGATCATGTTCTCGACCGGTGTGGGAAGGTTGGGTACCTTCCAAGGAATGTTGGCCTTCCAACATCTCCAAGCTTCGCTCAAATGTTGAAGGATAACACGAGCCTTGTTCTGTTTGATTCCTTCTGGCATCATGTCCAAGATGTCGTGCATCACAGAGGCACTGAAAACATAAACATCAAACGTAATCTTTACATCTTTTTACAAAACTAACATATAAAACATAATCAAATAACACTTACCGCAATTCCAAATCAAAATGACTCTCCACTCTCTGTTTCGTGACAGTCTTCGCCACTCCTTTGGAATGTCTGCCTTCGAACTGTCGAGACAACAAGTTGCCCAGCCATCTCTCTAACAAAGGTGTGATTCCTCTCATGAAGAACAACCAAACTCTCCATCCAGGAGCCCAGAATCCACAACCAGGTCCTTTTCCAACTGGACCAGTGTTGAATCGGTAATAAATCATGTGTTTCAAGTCTTTGCACATTCTCACTTGTCTCATCAACTTGTATTTATATCTGTACATACCGGTCAATTGCCCAACATGAGCAAAGATGTATTGCAAACCATCAGCAAGCTGAAAGAGTGAACAATAAGATCAAAAACAAAACTAAAAAAAACACAAAAAAAAATTAAAAACTCTTTATATTACCTGATAAGCGTCGACATTGTTCAATCTGTATTGTACATGGGCATCGACAACCAATTTAGTTAACCGCAAGATCTCTCGACACAAATGGAAAGCGTTACCGAACCGAGACTTCTTTCTTTCCTTCGTAGTCAATGTCTTCACAGGCTTAAGATTGAAATTGTAATCCAAATGCAAGTAATTCAAGTTCTTTCGGTGAATCAATAAGTTCAGCATGTTGTATCCTTGACGCAGTACTTGCAATCCAGCTTCAACCCAATCCAAAGTTGTCACTTGGAAGAACTTGGTAGCTTTAAAGGACCGGAACAAATACCTAAAAATTAGAAAATATGCAGTTAAATTACTAACAATAAAATAATCATTAAATCATAGTTTCTTTTCGCTTTTCAACAATCTTAAGTGTTTCGAAATTTAGCTTGTTACCTAAAATCAGAAGCAAAGTCTAAAATAAGCTGCTTACCTTCTTTTCTGTGGCTTCGGTGGTCTGTGTCTGAGTGAGTTCAACACGTATACCTTCAGCAACTTCTGATACGACACTCTGACTTTCACAGGCATTCCAGCTGGACAATGTTCCAGATACCATGGTTTTACCAATGGAACATCGAGAACTCGTCGAGTACGACCAGAACGACAGTTAAATGGTCTTGGCGCCCACAAAAGCGCAATTCCGTTAGCAGTGTTTTCTGTGTAAAGTTCTTCGTTACTAAACAACGGCTCAAAATCATTTGGAAGTTCGAATTCATCTTCACCATCCTCAGGTTCTGGTTCAACGGTCTGAAAATAAAAAATTAGATATCAATCACAATATATATATGACCTTTTATTTGTTTTAAGTAATGTATCGTTTTCAATTATCTAGATAAAAGCGTCCATTCTTCATTTCATCCCGCCTTTAAACGAATATTATCTCTGGTGAATAAACAGAAACGTTACTCGGCTTTCACAAACGCTTCCACCTGTTTCACCAACATTAAAACAATAAAAACACTACTACAACTCACTAATAACCGACTTACCTTTTCAGAGTTTTTGTGAGAGATCGGATTAATCAAAGGGTCAAAATAAAACGCCGGAAGATCATCATCCTCCGTCTTGATAAAGACAACTGAAGGCGTGTGATACCACGACACGGTAACCGGCAAAGCGTTGATGAGATTATTGTACATAAAAGGGAATGCGATACGATATTCTGTTCTGATTGGAGATCTGATGATAACTTTGTTGATGTCGTTAAACTCGTTCCAGTCCTCGTCATTGTTGTGGATATCTTTGAAGAGCGGTTCGAACTTGGGACCACCAGGAATAGCAACGTTTAAGGCTTTGGCTGTGAAGAAACTCTTCAAGTCAAAGAGGTAAAAGTAGTTGTCATCCTGCAGATCGGTCAAGAGTTGATTAGCCAGACGATACAAGTTGGCCATAATGGGAATGTTGAAGTACCACTTCTTGTACGATTCTCCATTTACAAACTGAAGAAAGAAAAAATATTATTATAAGATGCATAAACGTAGTAATTTAATGCAATATGAAATAAAAGTATATGTATATACTTTTTAATTTAACTTTCCAAAAGTATTACTTAAAAACCTAAAATATCTACAAACTCTTACCCTGAAGATTTTTTGGCCACTGTCAGCATACTCTGGCATACTGAGAGGCTTGTGATCGTAGAACCATTCCGAAACATGTCTGTCATCTTCTGAATCCAAATCCATCTGAATCGGCTCCAACGGCTCCACATCGAGAATGTTGTCAGCGTAGTCGAGCGGAGGTTCTTCATCGTCGAAAGGTGGGAACCTCATTCTCTTGAAGTGTCGACGATCTCTTTTCTCTCTCCTCATCATGATCCACATGGTAGACCATTGTGCAATATAGATCGGCTCAATAATCTTTGGAACTTCGTTCACAAAAGTAATGGCTCCACTGATGTGGTACAACACTTTGACATCACGAATCTGCTCCCAAGGCATTGGCATATTCTCCATCAGCTTCAGAATCGCGTGAGGCATATATTTTAGCGCTCCAAGATATACTCGTTTGTCATGTCTGAACTTCCTTGACGTCATGTCACCATGATCTCGTATGACTTTGCGGACATGTTCTGTAATGAAAGTTTATGTAAAAAACGGCATGTTTGAGCAAAAAACATAAAAACGTTGCTAGTTTACAATAAAAACAATAATATACCTCCTACTTTCCTACAATTAACCTAAAAGCGAAAACACACAAGTAAAACCTTACCTGGTGGCATCTCTTCTTTCGGTGCTTCTGAAAACCCAAACTTCCTTTTGTCTGCAAATCTCTTGGTCTCCAATTGCCTCCATTTCTTCGACTTGTCGTCGTATAAGGCCTTTGCCTGCACGGAAAGCTCAGTAGAGTCCGTGAACTCCCTGATCTCCCCTCCAGGTTTAACCATCCTTGCCTGAAAACACAGAATTATAAGACTATACAAGAGCTTTAAAAATTAATTACAGATTAAGGTCTAAGTGATCAAGCTTAACATACTACGCGTAAATGTAAAATATCGAACGAAAACAAAGTTTATTATCCATTTTCCATTGTTTGTTACCAAAATTGTCAAAGAAATGGAAAAGAAAATAAAAAAGGCTGCGCGCTTTCGAAAACAACGGATGTTATTTGTTTTCGTGCTATGACCCGCTTGCTCTCTGCTCGCATTTAGTAAGTCTTTTTTTCGATGTAGCATTGGCATTACTATGTAGACCAAAAAAGCTTCCTTTTCCATGACCGAACCCATCTTAATTCACTTAGCATCCATAGAAGCGAATATTTGTTTGTCTACATAACATTGGTCAACATGAACGCTCCAATTACCGTAACAAAACGTGTACTTTTTTAATAACAACTAATTTAAATTGACTGGTATGATTGACCTAATTGACTAAATGACTTTGAATCATGTTATTGGGCTGGAAACTCATTGAATCAGTTGTTCTTTGCGGTCTGGCGGTTGGAAATGGCAGTGGGAGTAAGTTTACATTACTGTTTTGTTTGTTTACATTCGCGGTACAAATTGCGTGACAACATTTGAGTGTCATTTGCAAGAGTACCAGCTCAATTATATGAATACAAAATGTAATATTTTGTTTGACATCAGTTTTTAGGCCGAAAAAAACGGCGTATTTTAAGTTTAAGCGAGTGTAACATTGTATAGTAAGCTTCGTTTGAGGCCAGAATTGTGTTTATTGTATGTACATACTAACTTTAACAAGTCATTATACATTTTTCTCAAAATTACTAGCTAAAATAATCGCATTTATTGTATAGTACCAGAGTTATAAGTCAATGTTGTGCGACATTTGACTATATCTCCCCAGAGATCTATAGATTCGTCTCGTTTTAGGTGGTGGAAGATGTACGTTCCTTTAGAAGCTCGCCGAAAATGTTGCACGATATGGAGATTCCAGTATTATTGCGACGAAATTACATTAAAACCGGTTATCGACCATTAAACAAAGAACTCAAATACTATGTCAAGTCGGCCTTCTCATGGCACAATGAGCTGGTATGTTGCAGGTGCATGGCATGTAGTAATTACAACTTTGATTACATTCGTAATGACATTAAGGCATGGTTAAAGTCAAATTATTAGCTTTGGATTAGAACATTATAATTCAAAGTATAATACCACAGTTTAAAGATTACTTTAGTTGTTTTGAGAACAAAAGATTACTAATTATACCTTTAAAGTTGACTTTAATCTACTTAAAATGTATTTTAAAGGCAAAAGAGATACTGTAATGAAAGTTACCATATCAGTTTGTAGGTAAACATCTGGACCCACGCCCTTCCACTGATCGGACTGTACTTATTCTACATACTGCCAGAACTGATGCACGACCGACCGAGAGCCGTAGTAATCTTCGCGTACTCTGGAGTATCTTCCGTATTGTTTTGTTCGGCTTTGACTCATTTGATGGTAAGTATATTCAAATTAGTCAACTTTTATTGGCTTTAATTGAATTTTCACACTAAAATTGCTATTTCTTTACAATGTCATCTAAAGTGATTTTTTAGCACAGCCGATCGCCTACTGATCATATCTTCTGGTTGCTGGTCGACTTTTCCGGCATAGCCGTCTTTTCCTTGGCCATCGGTGTACAAAGGTTCCTTTCCAGGCCCTACAATTCCATCCTTTTTACTACTGTAAGTTACATTTGTAATAAAAAGTCGATGAGAGCGTAACTTTGCTGATTTTGAATCTAGGTTTAAATTTTTGCTCATCATTTTGAAATATAAAGATTTTCTATGATTTCCACTTATTGCTTCTCAAATATAACACTGTATGACAACGAATAAATACATTGCTTTCAGTTCTACGTCCCCACTTTAACTGGTGTTGTTTTACTACAGTATCTTACTACCTCAGGGTTCTTCGTTCTCCGTCCGTTATGGAAAGCCCGTCATTCCATTCGTATTTTATGTTGCGGGTTTTTGAATTTTTGGATCTACATTCCGCTACTGGATCGTTATGTCGCGGGAGAAGACATGACGATGCACACGAAAGCTCTTCAATGGATGATGCTGTCAGGCGTATTCATGGGTGCACACTTCCCCGAGTGTTGTGCTCCAGGGTGCTTTGATTTGGTCGGGTATGGACATCAAGTAAGTTATGGGGTGAAGTTTAAGAGTCTCATCTATTAACCTTTAAAATAATAAGTTGTTTTAGACTTTAAGTTAGCTTCAATATCTATATTTATGAAGTTTCACATCATTTTGATGCCCAAAAGTTGTAGCACATATTAAAAACTAATCAAAAGTGGATTGTTTGCAGCTGTTCCACATTTGCATCACAATGGTTACTTGGTGTTTGTGTGATTCGGCCCATATGGACACGCCGCGACGAACCGACGGCCCTAAAGGGATTTGGGGTGATCCACTGACCAAGTCCTTGACCTGTGTCATGCTTTTAGCTGTACTAACCTGTGCCGCGACGACGTGCGGGCTCATGCTTCAGGTCAAAGACCAGAATTTGATGAACTCGCAACGATCGCGCAGTACTAGAAGAGAATCCCTGTGTGAAAAAACTAGATGATCTCGCTGCTAATTAGAAAATAAACGAGTATATTGAGCTTCTTTTATGATTGAGGCTAAAGAGAAAGTCCCATCAGTATCATATTACTGTATATGTAAGTTAAAAAGGGTACTGTAAATGTATCTAAATCGAAACATACAACCATGTCTACAAAACAACAGCTTCGTGTTTAAAGTATTTATTTTGTTATATACAAAACCGTGAAAGTGCTAGTAAATACAAAAAGGCGGTGATACAAACTTTTTTTTGGTCACCAGAGGCAATTATGTCTGTAAGGCATATTAATATTATAGATTGATAATAAGTTAAGATATCGTGCAGCATCCCGACTGTTGTTTTGTTTGTGCATTCTGAACGTAGTTGATCTCTCTCACAATCTCCGCAAACACCGTATTCACATTATGGGCGTTCTTGGCACTACATTCGGCAAAAGGACAGCCCCATTGTTCAGCTAGAGCTGCACCTTCTTCCGTTCGGACTTGTCGCTGATGTGACAGATCACATTTGTTACCCACTAACAAAATTGGAACTTGGTCGGTACCCTGAAAAACAAAGAAAAGCATTAAAAATAGTTTCCATTTTAATTTACTACCTAAAAACTCAAAAATCTGCTACAGATGCCTGATTAAAACAAAACAATAAACAAAAACACAAAATTGATATACAAAATCTACTTCTAAGTGATTCTTGACAAGTAAATTTTCTTTGGAAACACTAAGGAATGAAACGTAATGTATGTAAACCAACTCACCTTGACACGAACGATCTGATCGCGCATCGTTCGTATATCGTGGAAAGATTGTAAGTTTGTGATAGAATAAACAACAACAAAGCCTTGGCCATTTTTGATATAAAGATCCCTCATCGACGCAAACTGTTCTGTCCCGGCTGTGTCCAACAACTCCAACACCGACGGCTTTCCATCGACTTCTATTTCTTTTCGATAGAAGTCTTCAATTGTCGGACAAAAGTAGTCTAAAAAATAAATTGATGTTTATAAATCACAAGTTTATACTTTTCATGTCTCAGAACTATAACTTTGTCCACCCTTTTTAAACAATTCAGTTAGTTCTTTCTACCATAGAGTAATCTAAAAATAGATAACAATAATGTAACAAAACTTACCCAAGAATTTATTGGAAACAAATTGTACAGTTAAGGCAGACTTCCCCACTCCTCCAGATCCCAATATAACGACTTTAAACTCCCTCATATTGTTATAGAGATTTCATGGAATCAATACTGAAACATAAATTTATAAAATTAATAAACTTGCAACCACGATCAAAAATAACATAAAAAATAAAAATGTATTTATCTTTAAATGTTTTAAAAACAATTTAGAATAAATTATAAACTAGCTTTTGAAGAATTAACAAGTAGAAAGCGCTCAGATGTTTATGATAAATTTATGAATAAAAGCCTCGTAAATCAAAACTCGAGCAGCAGCTTTCAAAAAACATCAAACTATAAAAAATGAGTAACAAAAAATAATCCATAAGTTAAACAATTCGCACGTTTAAAATAGTCGAAAATTCCAACGACTATAACGGTACATCGCTCTCTATGTGCGATTTGTACGCAACTTCATTTTTTTCCGTTGTGAGCTCTTAAAGATTCGCGCGGACTGCTCGTGGGTAGGGCGCAGCAGACTGTCGTCTTATTTTCTGAAGAAATATTTTAGAAATTGTTTTTGCCAAGTTCAACTAGCTTGATCAAGTAAGTGTTTACTAAAAAACAATATGATATCTTGTGTTTTTTTTGTTTCTACTTTTATGCGGATTTTACTAAATTTTAAAGTTTACTTATTTAGGTAATACAATGTCTACGATTACTGATGTTGCACAGTTTGAAGAATTTACAAAAAAGACTGGGTAAGCTTTCAGTAATTTTTACTCTAATTTAGGGTTTAAGTCTATATATTGTTTATACAACGTATCAAAACTGTTATTTACAACTTTTCAGACTTAATTTGGTTCTTTTTGGAGCCAATTGGTCAGACGTTTCAGAAAAACTTCAGAATGTACTCAAGGAATTAAGCACTGATTTGTCAGGAAAGTTTGATTATTCTTACGTTGATGCAGAAGATGTAGCTGAAGCTTCTTTGGCTACAAACATTGAGGCTGTTCCGACTGTTGTCTTCTTCAAGGTATGTCAACACATTCAACGTTTTATCGCTTTAGGATGGAAAGAATGTTCATAGAATCGACGGTTTTCATCCGACGGAGATCAGGAATGTAATTATCACACAATCCTTTTCGACAGAAACTGGAGGCAAGAATGTTGAAGTAAAGGTGAGTTTAGATCCGATTGACTTTGTTTAATTAAGTTAATTCTGTAATATAATGGTTTAATTGGACAGTAAAGCGTAATACGTATGTTTAAGTTAATTGTTTTATAGGACCTAAACACTCGTTTGAAGGAACTGATCAATAAGGACAGAGTCACTTTATTTATGAAAGGTCTTCCTGCTCAACCTCGATGTGGTAGGTTTATATTTTAAATATGATTGCCTGTAAATTTAGGATTTTCCCGAACTATGGTGCAGTTATTAAACGACCATAAAGTGAAGTTCTATGCTTTTGACATTTTGAGCGACGAAGAAGTGCGACAAGGACTGAAGAAGTACAGTGACTGGCCCACCTACCCACAGTTATACCTAGATGGAGAGTTGTTGGGAGGACTTGACGTTGTCAAAGAAGAGTTTGAGAATCCAGAGTTTTTGTCGAAATTGCCCAAGATTGCCTAGGTGTATTTGTTTTAAAAGTAAAATAATATTTAAGTTTGTTATACAAGGAGAATTCTTTGGGCATATCTGATATATATTGTACTATTTGAGTATTTGGAAAGCTTGTTTTGCTGAACCTTGTTTACAAATAAACGGTTGGAAGTATCTACAGTGTAATATCTTCCACCCATCATTTTTAATTTTTCTCCAGGCTACACAATCTCCGTCCTTATCTTTTGAAGGCTCTGTTGGAAGCCAGTACATAGGGTAAGCTATTGTATTGTCAGGCCATCTCCATACTGTGTTATATTGTTTATTGTCGCTTGTTAATCCAATCCATGGAGGATATAGATTACTAGAATTGTTATGATAAAGTTCTGCAAATTAGAAACATTATGATGTTGCTCGCCAGAAAGTTCTTACCTTTTACGATTTTATATTCTGCGTTGGTTTTTATGGAAACTAACAAGGAAAGTGCCCGACCTGCCCCGCTCTGATTGATTTCAAACTTTTTATATAGAAAGATCATGTAAATATAAGATCTTCAGCAAAGTACTAAATCGCGCTTCCAGGAAATCTCGAGAAAATCGAGATTAAAAAATGCCATTTTGAATTTTCCGCCAACTTGGTATTGTGTTTCAAGCTTGTAACTTTGTCAGGTTTTGACTTTTAATAATTTTTCTTTGATATACTAGTAGAAAACCTTTAAATGAACCTACATTTTTAAATTTGTAAGCGTATCGTCTGAAAAGCCGAAAAAAGTGCTTGAAACACAATGCCAAATTGGCGGGGTACTCAAATAATTTAAATTTAAACCTCAAAAGCGCGAGCTAAAATTTTTTATGGGTACCATTGGTGGTGCAAAGAATTCATATAAAAATTTTGAGCTGATTCTGAGCGGGGCAGGTAGGGTACTTTCCTTGTAAATTGCCTCCTTCTTTTTTACAGTAGTCCACGGCTTTTGAATACGGAAGGTTATGTTCAGAAAAGTAGTAACATTGGTTCAAATTAGATTCGTAAATACAGCCGGTTGGGCACGACTGTTGATGAAGAACTGTAAAAGTTTGATATTTATGAGAATAGTAAAAAAAAGGTAAACTTTAAGCTGTAGCTTTTTGTTATAAAGGTTAAATTTAAAACTGATTTTTTATTATGTAAATTTATATAACCTGTATTAATACGTTTCATCTACTTACGTGCGACAGCTGATGAAAGGATAGTAATGAAAAACAGCAATCTCTCATATTACTTATGTCAAACAGTTTTTTTATATTTTGTCAGAAAAATAATTAAACAATTTTTATCAGTTGACAAATTATAAAACAAGTAATAATTCGCTGAATAGATAAACTAATACACACTGAACTTACTAGGTGTGCATTAGAAATATCAAAAGTTAACACATCCAGCATAATTACAAGAAATACCAAATTTTCCTAAGTGAAATCAAAAACAATTACGTTTATTTAACTGAAAAAACAACTAATATTTGTTTTCGGAGGTGTATGTGAGGGAGAATCCTTTCCTGTTGATACTAATGTCGCTGAAGAACCTGATGAGCACGTTGTTCTGGCTACTCAAGTACGATACCGGGGTAGTCACATTGTCACCACTGAGTCTGGCTATCTCTCTGCTGTAAACAATGTCGTTTCCATCTTGAATAGTCATGTAATCGTATTTGTTTTCGGTTTGGAAGTCGTTGACGGTAATACGGATCACCTTATCAGGCAGTCCATGGATTTGGTACAGATTGTCTTCATTGTTCGGGTAGTTGTTGGGGTAGTTTTTGCTGGTTATAACACCGGATTGGTCATAGTAGTGATGGGTTGGTTCTTTTGGCCTGGAATTACGATTAGTTTCTGAAAACAATTTTATTTTTCGTACGGTTGTAGCCTGGTTTTTTAGCTACTAAAGTATTGCTTATAATATAGTAGTGTTTAGGGTACGCTCTGAACATTAATACACGTTGCAAAAGTAATATTTGTTACTTACAAAGCTGTGTAGGTAGCATTCCATCCTTGCTTCGTGATCAAATGGTCCGTCAAGAAGTTAAGAGTCATTACATTTTCAGAAGTTTCAAATACTCTTTTGAATAAGTACGCTCCAGAAAGTCTAAAAGGTAATGGTTAGTACCTACTGTAGATTTAAGACCTTACGTGTCGATTTTGTTGGTCATATTTCCGTTGTAATCGTCATATAAGACTAGTTTATCAAAGTAGTTCTCAGTGTAGAAACTGCTAAATTCCAATTTAATCTTGTAATCGGGCTTGACTTTGATGTGGTAGAAGCAGTTCAAGTTGTTCGAGTACTCACTTGGGAAGTAGAGCGATGTCAACGTACCTGACTGGGCCTCGTAGTTCTTCGTTGGACAGCTAGAAGGTCAAAGTTGCATTTACAGTGCTTTTAGATTATATTATGTTTATTCTTGTACTCGAGTTGGTTATTTTGTTAACCTACTTTGATGACGATTGTTTACAAACGAATCTCTGGGCATATTTACAGTTCAAAGTCTTCCAACCGTCGTTTTCGATCGTTCTCCAGGCTACACAAGCTCCGTCCTCGTCCTTAGCCGGCTCTGCGGGCAACCAGTATGTACTGTAAGCGGTCACACCATCAGGCCATCTCCATACTGTGTAGTACCATCTACTGTCTCTTGTCAATCCAATCCATGGAGGATATAGACCGCCAGTTTTGTTGTTGTACAGTTCTTTAAAGTAATATTGCATGTTAAGATAGCCCTACCTTTTACGTAGTCGTACTCTTCTTTGTTTTTCAAAGATACCAAGGTACCTCCGTCTTTTTTACAATAATCCACGGCTTCGGAATACGGTAGGTTATGGTTTGAGACATAGTAACATTGGTTCGCATGAGACCTATAGAACCAGCCGGCCGGACATGGCTGTTGTTGCGCAACTGTAAGTGTTAGAGGTATACCATAAAATTAAAAAATATCTTTTTGAGGTTATGGTTGCATTGGCATTAATAAAACTAACAAATCGAATAGGCAGTTTGTAACATTCCCTTGTAAAGGTTAAAGTGGCAGCCTTACCTGCCGAGGCCGCTACAAGGGCGAAGACAAAGAGCGACAAGCGAGCCATCTTATCGTTCGTGGACCTGTGAAATACCCTTTTATACTTATCGAGGTGTGAGAACAATTAACTTGGAATGTGTTATCAGTTAATTGAACATCAAACTGTTAAAAGTTTTGCTTTCAAGTTTCGTAAACCTAGCTTCGGCATCTTCTGTATGCTTTTGCTGGCTTGGCATTACTATTAAAATTCTTTATTTAATTACAACGAAACATCAGTATTATGTCATGGATATATCAGCAAAGGATTGGACATTTGTGTCGCGTTAAACTTATTTTAAGAGCCACAAGAAGTCATAAAAATGTTAATGAATAGAAGAACAATAAAACTCGCAATAAAAACTTTTATCTATCAACACTCAAAAATGCTGGCGTAAGAGAACTTTTGTAGCTAACACGTACCCGTTCATCTCCGCAGTCTACTTGACAAGAAAGGTATAAGTATCTATATATGGTATGTTGTACTAGGTAGTCACATAATTTGCTAAAACAAACTGAATTTAGGATGTAAAACCTATATTACTAGACATTCTAACTTAAATCTTCAACATTCTATTTTCGCGCTCACTATAGTTTAGATAAATCATCCTAGAAACATTTGTGACTCCCTAGCGCATGAAAGAGTAGAAAGTGTTACCATTCACCAATGGACTCGTTAATATACAGTAACATTGAGTGATATAATACAAATTGAGTGAAGTTCGTTGTGTACAATAAGTGGAATATAAGTTATAAATATATTACTGCTCACATAACAAAACCAATGTCACAAACGTTGCTAAATGCAATCCATCGCTTCTTCCTTGACTCGCACCCTCGAGTCCGGTGTTGACTGTCTGATACCCAAGGCGGTCTCTTTCACCAACGAGTTCAAAGAGAATAGGTTGAACATGTCGATTATTTGCAGAGATTCGTTCTTTTTGGCAGCGACTTTCTGTAAATAACGATGTTAGAGATATTGTAATAGACAAATTTAATGAAGGATTGGCAGACATTAGAGGACCTCTGCCATTTTTTCAACTCTTACCCGTATCGTTGGAATTCGAAGAATTATACTAGCGTATCTCTCGGAAGCACTGGTGGCGTCGTAATTCTTGGATATGTGATTGAACAATGCTTCCAAAAACTTTTTCTGTTCGGCAGCAATGTTCCTCTGGCTCGCAGAATCAAGTCCTTCCGTATCTGTAACAATAACAGCATAAATTAAAACGTATCCTACATTTAATAAAAACAAGGTTCCCACACTAAATAAGTCATATTACCAAACACATGTCACCATGAATAACTGAAATACCATATTAATACATCATACGTACCAGGATCAAAGAACATAATGGCTTGTAACGTCGCAAACTCGGTGGTAGAGATGTTTAGTTTTCGGAAAGGCTTCATTACATAGTCTATCATCACTGACATCACCGGAGCCAGACCACTCAGACTTCCCACCGTGGGATAATGAGCATCTGGAGGCACATCCACCAGACTTCTCACTCCAGAAGGCCCACAAACAGTACCAGACTGTATTAGCTCGGGGTCGAATATCTGATGCACCATGTCTCGGCTGTCTGAATTGTTTGAGCTGGGTTCAGATGCCTCGCTACTCGACGTTGGAGGGCCATTCGAGTGTACGGGAGAGCTGAAAGTTGTTATTTATAATTGGATGCTACATATTTAAATCTAGTTAGTAAGACCCTGGGGTTGTACCACACACATGTTCTAACGCCAATTTGGTGTATTAAAAAATCGAAAACAGAATTAAAAAAGCTGCCCAACTTAAAACAAACGTACTTATAAAGGGCGCCGGTAGACGGAGAAACACCTCCAAAATAGTGTGTCGACTTCACAAAATCGTCGTTGATTTTCTCTGGAGTTCTGAATGCTTCACACATTATCATATATGAGCTGGCATGGTTCGTTATCAACGCTATCTGAAAATAAACAACTTTATCTACAAATCACAAATTGTAGGTGAAACTTTTTTGTAGTTTTATAATGCCAAGATATAAAATTGTCACAAATGTAGGAATAAATCCACGTTATTCTAATCCAAAATATAGTAAAATTAAGTCGAAATAATTTTTTTAAACCCTTTTGGCCAAATTGTCTTTAAAACTCACTTTATCTGACATGGGTAACTTCCTGAACGCCGTGAATGTTTTAGCCCAATCAATGTACAATGTGATGATCCTTGATCTCCAAAATGGCATTCTGTGTTGACCTGTGCCTGGCAATGGTGCTGCAATGGGATCACTCAACTTTACATTGATCGGCTGACTGAAAACACTTGGAGCAGCTAGTGCTTCGTCTAGAGAGCCATATGGATGCAGATTTGCACGACTCAAAAGCAAAGAAAAACTATTTTCTAAGTTGGCAAGTCTTTCCAACATTGGCTCACTGTCATTCTAAAATAAATTAAGTATTTCTTATATTCAAAATAGTGATTGTATACAATTAATTCTTTGAATTCAAAGACTAAATACGTATTTTACCCAAAACAATGAATTCATACCTAAAAAGTACAAATATACAAACATACAAAAGCTCGTGAAGAACTACACGGTTCAAATGTAGATTCACACGATACAGCACCAAAAACGATGGTATCTTCATCCAATTCGCTCGGAGAGTCATCTGACTTTGGCGACGGAGCTCGAGTGCCTTTTCCATTCTTCTTATCCTTCTGTCTGGTCCTTTTCGTGTAGCCAATGCGATCTCGATTATTTTGAATCGCTGCAAATTAAACTGTGAACAAAAACATAAAACTGAATGTGTTTACAAATTGGCCTTTTAATATCCTGCAAATCGGAAAACACGATTGATATTAAATTCCTTTTTAACATAATTAAGTAACAAAAATATAAATTCATACCATTTCGATTCATCCCAACCTGAAGACATTTCTGAAATCGACAGTAACGGCAAGCACATCTCACGCCTTTGTTAACAGGACAATTACCTGTGCCCATACAGTTAAAGGTCCTGTTGTTCTGAAATAGTTAATATTGTTAAACAAGTTAATGGATTATTGCCAAAGTAACGCTTGTATAACAATAAAGATATAAAATTCTTAATTAATAAAGATCAATTACCTACAAAGTTAATTTAAACTACGCCAGAGATTTAATATTCATAAATAACGTATTTTTATACGCACGTACGAAAAGTTACTTTGAACGTCTACAACAATATAAAACAACTTACAACGATAGCGCGCCGGAAAAATGTCTTGCATCCGTTGCAGCTAGGGACATCATAATGTCTTCCAGTCGCCAGATCGTCACAAACCACACATTGGGTGCCTAAACCCACAATTAAAACAAAAATTTGCATAACATACCTGGAGGCAACTTCTCACTGGCCGATGCCATTAAAACTCCGAGGTTAAGGTCGGCGCATAACGAAACAAGTAGATGGCACTTCTTACAAAACACTCCCCTTTCCGTTATAATCCGTTGATTAAAAAATCTCAAAATTATATCGAAACGCCATTTCTAGTTAGTATTTTGTTTACGTTGCGGGACCTAGTAGATGGGCTGAAGTATTATGTTTATATATACTCTGTTATACTGATTTAAATCATGGTGGTGATAATGAAAAAACATTTTTTAATTTTCTTAACCGTACTTTATACTTTGTCTTCATCACTTTTCTATTTTTACATTGTTTCTAAAATATTTCAAATTTTTTTTGAATTGGCGCGCTTTTGAAGAATAATTTTGTCCACAGAAGATTCGACAATGTTCGAGAATTCTAGTGAGCCATGAGGGGTGGAGAGAGAAAAGAGGCTAGGAAATGGTGAAACCGTCTGAAAGTTTTTTGTTATAAGTTGTTTTACTTTCTCGTGGTTTACCGATTTACAAGACGCCGTTTACCGTGTTAATTTAGTTTACCGAGCTTTTTTTTTGTTTTATCGCATTATCTTTTGACTGTTTGGAGTTAGTATTGTGCTTTCATTTGCAGGTCTACTCTTTTCACCAGCGAACACATCTTATTCGTAAAATGTTTTTCACCGATGGAATGGGTTTTGGTGGTGGAGGTCGACAGAGCAGCGGCCCTGTTGACACTCAACTGTACGATCTCCTTAGGGTCTCCCCGACGGCTTCTCAGGATGAGATTAAAAAGGTAATTTTTTAGGTATTTTTTTACGAAATTTAGGTAGTTTGGGCATATAAATCATGATTAACTTATAGTAAAGGGAGTTTTAGAGTTTGTGGTTGTTTTTTATTTTGAATATTTTTAGATATCAAAATGTGTATATGAAAGGTACTATTTTATAAAAATAACTTTATAAATTCTTTTTTTTTGTTCGGAATAGTTCTATCTTTATTTCAGTCTTATCGAAAGCTCGCCAAAGAATATCATCCTGACAAGAACCCTAACCACGGTGACAAGTTCAAAGAAATAAGTGCTGCTTATGAAATTCTTTCCGACCCTCGAAAACGTGAAATCTACGATCAAGCCGGGTTAGATGGATTAGAAGGCGGCGGTGGTGGTGGTGGATTCGGTGAAGATATCTTCAGCATGTTCGGTGGTGGCGGAGGCATCTTCAGCCAAATGTTCGGCGGTGGACGAGGCGGCCGACGTCAACAAAGAATGAAAGGTGAAGATACTATTCAGCCTCTGCATGTGTCGCTTGAAGATTTATATAAAGGCAAAACTACTAAGCTACAGCTAACTAAGAAGGTCATCTGTGATTCTTGTGAAGGGTAAGAGCTGAAGTTCCGTTTTACCTTCTAGGTTTTGTTTTAATTCGGTATTGTATAATATTTTCTTTTAAACAATATTCATGTTTTAAATTTAGAAAAGGTGGAAAGGATGGTGCTTGTCAATCTTGTACTAAATGTCATGGCCAAGGTCGTGTCTTGGTCACACGCCAAATTGGGCCAGGTATGATTCAACAGATGCAAAGCAAATGTCCCGCTTGTAATGGTGAAGGCGAAATCATTAATGAGAAGGACAGGTGCAAAAAGTGTGTTGGAAAGAAGACGGTTCAAGATCAGAAGATTATTGAAGTCAACATTACTCCTGGCATGCGAGAAAACCAAAAGATTGTGTTCTACAACGAAGGTGATCAAGAAGTAAGTTTTAAAATAAAAAATGATTGTTTTATAGGTATTTTTGTGTGCAAATTTATACATAATTAGAAAGAGTACTTTGATAAAAATTTTGTTTTAGCCAGGAATCGAGGCTGGTGATGTTATTCTTGTTGTCAAAACTAAGCAACACCCAGAATTCCAACGACGAGGCGATGATTTGTGGATGAGGAAAACGATAAGCTTGAACGAAGCTTTGTGTGGATACCAGGCGGTCGTCGACCAACTCGACGGACGTAAAATACTGATTAAAACCAAACCAGGAGAAGTTCTTAAGCCAGGCAAGTACTTTTTTTCAATGTTGACATGAATATTTTATATATGCTTTTGGGATCAAAATATAATAATCTATTGCTATATGTAACAATTTTGTTTTTAGAATGTATACGGGCAGTTAAAGGAGAGGGTATGCCAAACAAGGATAACAGTGGACATGGCAGTTTGTATGTGGTATTCACCGTTGTTTTCCCAGAGAATCACTTCCTTCCAGAAGAAAGTTATAAGGTGAGGAGTCGTTAATCATATAGAAAATGTTAATTGCCAGGTTTTTTGAAATAATAACCTTTAAATTTTAGCAACTGGAAGCCTTATTACCTAAACGGCCACAACCTCCAATTACCGTCACTCCAGACATTGAAGAAGTGTCGTTGAGCGAATTCGACGAAGCTCGTTACGAAAGCGGTGGCGGCCGACGAGAAGCCTACCACGACGACGATGACAGTGACGACGAGATGCACGGTGGAGGTGGTCAACGAGTGCAGTGTGCCTCGCAGTAACCCCACTACACTTCGTCTTTCTTCCGGGTCCTTGACTCCGATTCGTTTCAGACTCGGAGGTTTTATTTGGATGATTTCATAAAAATGTTTATACTCAACATATAAAGTCGTCATACATGCTCGTGTAATTATATTTTGTGACTTTGTGTCTATAGTCGGAACTCCAATATTGATTAATATTTAAACAAAGAGACATAAAGTTTTTTTTTACTTAAATGGGACACTTATTCGCATGGCGGGCCCTCCGGCGTTATCTAATTTCGGTATGGTCGGAGGGAGTGAATCACGTGAACTCTTGCCACTCTCGATCTATTCGACAAATCAGCTCCTTCCGACCCCGTCCACCTCTTTCCATGGCCAAAACTCCTTCCCAGCGATGTCGGGTAAAGCGATTCTGATAAAAAATAATAGGTTTTTAGTGAATCATCACAACCTGCTTCAAATCATTCAGTCGCAGTCGAACAGCCCGTTCAACAATGCTGCTATGCCACCGTTCGTACCTCAACCAAGGTAAAACCCGGAGATATTGAATAACTTTTTAGTCTTCCCTTGCCTTTCAACGCGAACCCGGCCTTTATGGGGTTTATGTTGAACTCGTTGACAGCTACACAACCTCTCTTCCATCCGACTGTAGTGCCAGAACAACTTGAACAAAGTCAACAAAGGTACACATTTATTTACGAAAATACATAACTCTAAACCAAAGTCAAATCAATAATACAACATTTGTAGTGTGGAATGTGCACCAGAAGCTCCAGAGACCAGTACGAATGTTGATATCGATCCAGATGAAGGTCACATGCACAGCCCTGGATTACCGACTCAGCCCTACTTTCCGTCGCATTTCCTGTACGTTTAAATGAATTTTGAAGAGTTTTGTGTTTAGAAGAGGTACACACATTCAAGTAGATCGAAAGAACACGAAGCTGGTCGAAGACCTGAACAAAGATGACTTCTATGGAGTTCAATCAATCGCATCTGCTGTGCACGACCTTAACATGCTTACTGGAATTGTAAAAGCAATCGATAACATACCTCAAGACCCGCTACAAGTTATGATTACCTTTGAGGTCGAGGAGGTTAAGGAAGACGGGAGTGCTGTGGCAAGTATTATCAATTCACTACAGATTTTTTTGAACATTACATTCAAGATTAACTACGATTAAGGTTATGTTAACGTTACAGATATCAGTGTGTGACCTCAAAGTGCCAATAGAGTATCCTCTGTATGAACTTGAAAAGGGCTGGTGTTCTTATCACCCATCTAAAGCTGTTAATTTGTATGGTATTCCAGCAAAGCAGCTAAAGGTAAGCTACAATTTGCGTTTTTATAAATATTTTGGCCCCACAGTTTACAGTATGCTTGCAATCCTCATTCCTCCTTAAACTTTTTGACCAAACTAATCGACCCTGTAAACCATGTTTACCTTGTAATACTAACCTGTTCTTAGATCGGCGATAAATGTATCGTATTGACCTCCTTCGATGACTACTCAAACCCAACCTAGTCCAAGATATCACATATCAAACACATGACTCAACAATCAACTACATTCCACTTTTATTTCATTATTTATTTGTAAATAAACATAACAATAACAACAACATAATAACGACAATGACCTTCTCTCTTTACCCACATTCCTGTAAGCCTGCTATCCCTTCTTGATCTATATCTTTTACTCATCTTACACTACGCCTTTTTCTTTTTCGACAATTTCTTCTTAAGCTTATCTACGTCGACTTCTGAAGCCTTCTGTACGATCGTTCTCTTGGCTCGTGGTGCTTCTTCTGGAGCCACCAACTCTGCCTGTCGCTTCCTCGTCTTCTCCTTGGTCTTTTCTGCTTGTCGCTGAACTCGCTCGGCTTCTTTGTTCTTCTTTCTGATCTCTTCTCTGACAAAATACTCTCCAGATTCCAGCATCTTGTCCACCTTGGACAGAGGTTGAGCTGGTGGGAATGGATTGTATTCCTTCTTCTGTTTCCACTTGAGGTTCTTCTTCTTCTTGACTTCACGAGTTTCCTTTGAAGTTTGAGACTAAAAGTCAAAAGTATGTACTGGAATAGTTAACAACACATCATGGATGTAACTTTACACTGAAATGTTAATGAATAAACTTACTCTTGTCTTTGTCGGTGGTATAAATCTGCTCCAATTTTCGTTTTTCAATTTATCGTTCTTCATCAGCTCTCTCTTCAACATCAATGCTTTTATTTCGTAGATGGGATGAATGTTCTTCATCGTGTCTTCTACCAACTTTCTGACTGTCTTTAATCCTTCATGTGGCCCGACTGCAGCAACCGTACTACCTTGTATTGTGATGTAACACTGGGTCAACAACTCTATGGCCTTTAAGGTGGATCCGTTCTCTCCCACCAACCGTGCCCTCCTCTTAACAAATCTTTCCTTGTTTCTAACCATTCCAGAGATCTTGATCAATTCTGAAGAAATATCATCCTGAAGAACTCGTGAAGCCTGTTCGAATGGTACGCTTCTAGCAATCAACTTCAGCATGTCTCGAGCTTTGAATAATATGAAAGGGTCCCAGGTCTTTCTGGTCGTCTTCACTGTTACAGTACCTTCGAGCAAGTCTAGATCACATTTTAAATCAGATTGGCTCATCGCCTTCTCAATGAGTGGCCAAACCTCTCTGATGTACTTTTCTCTGTATTTGGGGAACAAAGTGGCAAACGAGCTCTCCACTAGACATCCGTTCGGGTTGTCTTCTTTAGAGAAGGTGGAGATGTCCCACCATTTGGCATCTTTACCTGGAGGAAGCTTTGCCTTCGGCTGGGATTCCGTGTCTTTTGTTGACATCTAAACAAATGTTCATGATAAAATACGAATTTCAAATATCTTTAGATATAGTGGTCACAACCAGGAAAGCAATGCTATCCCATAATAAGTTAAATTGTTTATTTAAGCTAAATAAACGGATGTAAAACAACAAAATGAATGAGAAACAGACTTCCGCTGGAGTCAATCACTCATGAAACAAGAAAATTAGCAAGTAAACCAAGTACGTTGATATTGTTCGCATACTTCTCAGCCAATGTTGTGGTGCGTGACTGCCCACTTTTCCATCAAAGTCTTTATTCGATCACCTTCACCACCTTTCCGATGGCAATCGTCTTTCCTTCGTCTCTGAGGGTGAAGCGACCCATCTGAGGGAATTCCTTGAATATCTCTAAACAGAAGGCTTCTTGGCTTTCGAATCTTAGAATACATTTGTCGTTCTGTTTTACGAACTTGGCTCTCGTCTTTTCGCCAGTTTTCTTGTCGATCGTGCAAATGACGTTCTGCAAAAATTAAATTTCATTTGTATGGAAATAACATCTTATTCACTATTAAAGTAACGTTCAATCACCAAAGCGCTACAATATAAATTGATGCTCTTGCTAAACTTTAAAAAGTATTAAACATACCTTAAGAGTGACTTCCTCAACAGCAGCGTGAATGTGAAGTACACACCCAAAGCCAGTAGCAATGATGGATGATTTGTAGTCCAGAATCATGACTTCAGCATCAAAGATCTTGCCGACTTTGCAAGGAACTTCTGTCGAACAAACAACAAATCCAGGCTTCACGTCACCTTCTTCGACTCCTTTCAATTTCAGCTTAATGTTATCTCCAGCATAAACCTGATCCACTTCGCTTTCATCACACCACGTTTGTATGACTTGGCACACGACCTAAAAATAAGGAAAATTACAGCTAAATATTTTAATAAGCAATAGAAAAAACTTTACAAAAGTTAAAATTAAAGTAATTTTAAAGTGACGCTTACCTTGTTAGGCATGAGTAGCACATTCTGACCCTTAGCAATAATTCCAGATTCCAATTTACCCATCACAATCGTTCCCATGTCCTAAAAACAGAAAATGACAAAAGAGAATTAAACTCACAGAGAACTTTTCAGCAACAATACATCTGGCAGGTCCACTGTAGTCTCGAGAAATCGAAGGCAAAAAACTATCGATGTACTCCAAAAAGCATGGTCCTCTGAAATTATAATAAATTAAATGAAATGTAAACAGTAAAAACGTACCAAAAAATAAGTAAAATACTAATACAAATGCATATATTTAAAAGAAATATAAACAAAACTTACGTGTACCAATCAGCAAGACCAGCTCGCGGCCTTTCTTTCATAAAGTGGCCCATCAGACCTGAACAAGGAATGTAGGTAACATCTGTTTTAGGGTTGAAGCCCACTTTCTTTAGATATGGCGTTAGTTTGTCTTGGATGTACTTGTATCTGCCTTCATCCCACTCTACTGTTGGATCGTCCATCTTGTTAACCAAGATGATCAAATGTTTCACACCAGCAGTCTTAACCAACATAGCGTGTTCACAAGTTTGTCCTCCACGATCAAAACCAGTCTCGAATTCTCCCTTACGTGCACTGATTACCTATAAAATGTGTTTTACTTAATGTAAGTCTATGTATTACCTAAATACCGCTTAAAAAGAGTATATTATTTTATATAACGTGCGGTAGCAAATTTATTACCTAAAAATTACGAAAACATACCAAAACAGCCAAATCAGCTTGAGTAGCACCACTGATCATGTTAGGAACGAAAGATTTGTGTCCTGGGGCATCCAAAATCGTAAAATGTTTCTTTTCCGTCGTGAAGTAGGCACGTCCGACTTCAACAGTTTTACCCTTTTCTCGTTCTTCGTCATTTGTGTCTAAAGCCCAAGATAAGTACCTAAAAACAATAAATCAATTATGAGAAAACAAATAACCAGTCAGTGTAATACGAATACAAGTTTAAAAAAGTTTTATTGATATACTTACCAACTTTCACGTCCTTTCTCTTTAGCTTCTCTTTCGTACTTTTCCAACGTTCTTTTATCTACCATTCCTGTCAAGTACATAAGCTGACCACCTATTGTCGACTTTCCGGCATCAACGTGACCAACGAAGACAATATTAACGTGTTCTTTTCTGTTTTCGTCTAAAATAAACGTACAAACATTCATTCAAAATTTTTACGCATTCTCTAATAGACTATCTACTAAATCAAGCCAAACAAAGACAACTTACCAACGGTATACTTTTGTTTGAAGACGACAGGTTCAGCAGGCTGTTCAACCTTTTCCTCTTTTGGCTAAATTCGAATAGTTAAAACAAGTAAATAAATCAAAAAAAAAATTAGTAAAAATCGTATTGCATATTCGAGATCGTCTTCCACGTTAAACACAAAAATAATCAACTACCTTACCTTAGGTTCAGCTTTAACTGATTCCTTCTTTGGTTCTTCTGGTGCTGTTTCCATCTTCTCTTCTACTGGAGGAGACGCCACCTCTTCTGCAGGTCCATCATCCCAAGCTAAACACAAAATAACCTAATTATGCGAAAAACTTACAAGCTGGAACCTCTTCCATGGGTTCTTGCGGAGGCTGTGCTGGTGGAGCTCCACCAGGTACGAATGGAGCTGCATTAGTGTTTGGTACAAACACAGCTGCATTAGGATTGAAACGGTGAGCCATTTTGAGAGCTCAAAATATCACAGTTTAAACCTAAAAAAGTACTTATTTCTCCGAAATTATAAACTGAAATTTAATCGAAATACCTCAAACAGATCACAAAAATAATAAGTAAAACATTTTCAAAAAAGAAAAACATAAACCATATATAGGACAAGCCATTTCGCAATTAATATAACTTGTTTTTCATGAAAATCTAAAGAAATGGGAATTTGTTTTGACGGAATGCCAAATCTCGCGTTTGGCTTTCGCAACGAAAACGTTCCAGCAGGATAATGTAAAATGAACGAAGACCTTGTATACAAGCTTGTAGAATTAGTAGTGTATAACGAGCGTGGAAGTTTGAAAACTTTGTAAATATGCGTAGTCAAGTTATAAACCAACAATATCATTGTTGTTAGATTTTTATAATGGTTTACAAGGATTTCAAAACAATAATTATCCGAGTTTGGTAAATAAAACTTTATTTGAACTGTATAGTTGTAAGTGCAATGTGTAAATGGTGTAAATAAACATGTATAAGACAGATAAACGTTTAGTACTTGCTATATCGGTTGAGACCACTGCTGTAAGGCAGCCGATTTCTGGAGGAATAACTGCTACCGTTTCTATAGGACGAATAGTCGCTTCGGTACGATGGCTTCGGCGGTATCCGCGGCACGACGGGATCGTCCCTTGATTCTAGTCTTCTCCGTCGAGAGTAGGTGTCGTCTTCAGAAGACTCGGTGATATCTTTGGAAGTATCTTTTGGAGTATATTTATCTTCATATTTGTCTTTGTCATCGGTTGAATCTCCATTCTCGGTTAGTTTTGATGATTCTGTGGCTTCTGGTTTTAAAATAACAGTTTTTGAGTTTTCCTCCTTTGGAGCCTCAGTTTTAAAGCCACTGTTAAGCCTATCTTCACCGTTTTCTTTGGTTTTAGCACCATTTATTTCGTTCACACCTGAAGCGTCGGCTTCAGTTTTTGTAGCTTCACCTTCTGGAACCTTTTTCTTTTTTCGCCGAACAATCTTCTTGACGATCCTCTTCTTCCTTTTAGGCTTATCGGCACCATCTTTGAGTTCGTTTTCAGAAGTCGCTGACAGAATGCTTGAATCCGAGACGGCAGAAGCTGAATCGTTGGCGGAGTTGGGTGATAACAGAGACTTTGATCCAGGACTCACAGTTGAAGACGGCGACAGAAGCTTGGTTTTGGGTAAAGTTTTGGGAATATTTATCGATAAAGCATCGTCTTTCTTGACATCAGAAGTTGTATTGTTAGCACGATCGCTTAGCTTGTTTGCAGCACGACCGTTAACTTTTTCCACCGATGGTTTTGCTTCTGTTTTGGCAGAAGTATCGTTAAGTTTGTTGAAAGCTCGTCGAGTTGTCAATGGAGAAACAGGCTTGGGTTTAGAATCGACTTCTTTTGTTTCTGGTACCTTCGGTTCTACTGGTTTTGTTGCAGTTTTAGGTATGGTAGGAAAGTTTCTAAACGCTCTTCTAGTCGTTAGAGGAGAAGGTGGAGCTCTCTCTTCTGCTTTCACGCTTTCTGTAGCTTTACTGAGCGGTTTTGGGGTAACTGAAGGTGTAGGTTTTGAAGGTAAAAACTTATCATTTGCCAGAGAATTTGGTGATTTACCATCTTGTTGTTTGATATCTGCGTTAACTTTACCCGTATCAGATGGCGAAGCTTTGTTATCTGTTGTACTCGGCGCAACTTTGTTTCTCCATGACGGTTTTTCTGTAGGCTTTGGAAGTGGTTTATCTTCTGTTTTGTTGGCCAAAAATGGAGACACGATCTTGGAGGGTAACTTTTTATCAGCTATACTCGATGCTTTCGGTTTCTTGTCAGAATCCATCGACATGATGGCCATTGACGTTGGACTGAGCGGTGTGTCATATGTAGCCTTCTTCTTCAAAGGTGTCGTTTTGCCTTTGGAAACAGAAGAGCTGGCTCCGTCGTCAGAAGTGTCCAGCGACAACTCAGACAAAGAATCCAGCCTTGGTTTCCGTTCGGTTTCTCCAGCTTCCCATTTGGAAACCAGTGGATTCTTCTTTGGCTGTGGCTTTTCGACTTCTTTTTCTTTAGGCTTCGGAGGCCATTCCTTGGGCTCCAACTTCTGGGTACTGTTAGGCTTGCTGACAATGGCTGCTTTGTCCATTGAAGGAAGCTTCTTCAAGACCGGCTTTTTCTTAAGCTCTTCTTCAGTTCGTTTGTCTTCTATGTCAGCATCGTTGAAGCCGAATCGTTTTTCTGGAATCGGTTCTCCCAGAATCATTGGCTTCATTCCTTTGGTTTCTGGTGCTGGGCTGTCTATTTGGTCGTACTTCTTTAGTACCGCTTTCTCGGCGACCATTTTGGAGATTGATGTTCTTACTTCTTCCTCCTTCTTTGGTTCTTCTTTCTTCTTGTTGTACTGTAACATTTCTTTTGGGAACACTTTGAGCGGTTGTTTGGCCTTCTCTTTTTCTGCTTTCTAAAAAGGTACGATAAAGTGGCATTACCGATAGGATGATATTGATTTTACTGATTTATGACGTCATTGGTGGTAGTAAGCAATATCATTATATCCCATATTTAAGAGTATGACATAAAGTGGATCTCTTACCTGCCTAGCCAGTTCTTCCTCTTCTTTTCGCTTCTTTTCTTCTTGTTCTCTTTGGGCATCTGCTGCTTGTTTCCTTATAATACGCTCTGAAATTATTATTTTACAATCTTGTCATCAATCATATTTAATATAAGCGATAATGACAGTTTTACGTTTTTTAAAACACTAATTTAGAATAATAAAATACGGATTTAAGAGCCATCTCACTTGGTTGATAAAAATTTACTTACTGATTTCCATGTTCCTCATGGTGATTTGCTGGATCTTGTTCCTCAATTCAGGCAGTCTGATGTTCATGCTCACCTTTGTCAGACTCTGATTTTGTTTTATGGCCTTGATTATGTCTCGTTCAGCTTGGGTCGAGAAGTTCATGCCTTGGTTGACGGCTTTTACTTCTTCGATGGCTTGATTCTTGTTCACGGCATCAAAAAGTTTGGCGAAGAACTCTCCGCTTAAATAGTTGGTCTCTAGGTTCAGTTTGCGAAGACTTTCGTTGTCTTCGATGCTGTCGATCAAGTTCTAAAAACAGTTTTTGAAATGTTTACAGCTGTAAAATTGTCTGCAGATAGGTATTCTTTGCTTATTTTTTATTGGAAAAGGGCACAAGTTTAGTGTAACTAATTTATACTCAACTATAATATTACTTACCATGACGTCATGATCGTACAATCCCATGTTGGCCAAACTGAGTTGTTGAATGAACTCGTTCTGCTTCATGGCTTCAATGATTCGTTTGATCTTCGGAATGGGAGTTCTCTAAACAAAAAGTGGTACAGTTGGTACACCTTACCTTCATGTTGTTGAGATTAACTTGGACTAGTCCAGGGTCGTTTTGGAGGAGTCGGTTGATGGTCTCTTCCACATTGGTCTCATTGTCCGGCTCGGTAGGCCTAGTCTGTTGAGGAAGACTAGACTTGACTGGTTCGTCGCCAGTATCTCCCAGAATCTGCTCGGCTTCTTCCCATGTGATCAGCTGATGCTCTGACATCATTTCGGTCAGTTCTCGTTTGAACTGAAAGTACAAAATTTATATAAAACCGGGTTCTACCGTCATAGAACTTCTTATCACATCATAGAAAAGTTCACTTACCTCATCGTCAGGATTGGCACACAACGCGTCCAACGCCTTCTCGAACTCGGCGTCGGACAGAAGCTCGTCCGGAAACATTTCGTTGATGGCGTCGACGTCTTCCATCGTCGGAATCACATTAATGTCTTGATATGGCTCGTCTGAATTTTCTCGATTTATATTTTAAAAAATCACGGCGTTCAAAAATTAATGGAAGGATCATGAATAAGATGACTCAACAGGCCAAATGTTACTGTCACGAGATTTGCATACACGATTGGAAACATTCTCAGTGTTTACTTTGTTTTCGAGCGTTTCAAAACATCTTCAACTGCATTTCGAGGTTTGGAGTAACTGTTCAATTACTCTGACTACTAATTCGAAAACAATAAACCTTAAAGACACCTAAACCAAGTTATCCGCTTTAAAAACAGTTTTACAATCCAATAACATGCCCTTGAAGTATGAGTAACACTTCGGAAAAACAAAGAAATTTCGAGATCTGAGCAAGACGTCACACATATGTTTATCTAGAGGAGGGTGCCGGTCCTACATTTATAAAACTATAACAATATACGACTAATATACACCATGGTGATCAGTTAGGTGTCTAAAACAATATAAAGTGACAGATAAACGGTATAAACGTGTAAAACTGATAAATACAACGAAAAAAGTGGACAGAGCCGAAAGTTGGTTGGAAAGATTAGTCGAGAGCTGGCCTGAGGGCGCTGGCGAGAGATCTCTAGATCCGATCGATCTCCCCCTTCTTCCAGTAGCCAAACAAAAAGTCGGCGGCCCACCACCTCTCGAAGCGGCCGTCCGTTCGGCCGGTGTTCGTTCTTTATGTTCCTCATACCTGTATTTATTACTAAAAGTCTCGACTGATTCCTTTCAAAAACCTTCACTTATCACCTTTTTTCTGAAAGGTCAGGCTCATCCTCTTCAAAGGTTCGACTTATATCTTGAATTCAGGTTATATCTATATCATTTTGAACAAAGTTAAGACAGAATTTCATTTTTTCAATCTAAGGAAACATATATTTAGAATTCCGTTTACTTCATTATCAATATTACCTCAAAACAACCTTATACATAAGTGATCAACAATATAAAATTACAAAATGAATGTCTATTGGTGGTTTTTCAAAAAACAATATTTTCCCTATGAAATTCCATTCAAACTGCTCAGTTCTTGAAAAATGATTGTACCACGGCGTAGTCACTACTCACCATCCAGGTCGTGTCTTTTCCAAACTTCTTGGCCACCTTGTCGTAGGCTTCTTTTGACAATCCCGCTACTGTCTCAGCTTTGCATGTACGAAGAGAGACAAAGTTGGTAGGCTCGAAGCCGCGAATGGTCTCCTAAAACAGTAATTAATCTACCACTACATGTAAAGTTAAAAATACTATAGAAAAGAAGGCTATTATCCAACACGTACCTTGAATGAAGTTGTTGGATCCCAATGAAGATCTCCGACCAATTTTCTGTAGTTCAGATCACCTTTGAAGATCAGAAGAGAAGATTTGCCCAAAGTTTCATAAACTTGTGGGCTCAAGCTCTTCATTTCAGAGTAAGGAAAGCCATAAGTATAGAAATCTCCAGTTTGGTACTCGAACAATCCCTAAAACCCAAAATAGTCATTCTTACTATGAAGACACAACTCAAACCCTACATTACACAAAAAATCATATAAATGACAAAAGTACGCAATAAATGTCAAAACAATTATTAAAAACAAAAAGTCAATATAACTGCGTTGTAAAACAGCTTACTTTCTTGACATAACTCTGCCAGAGTTTACCAAGAGTCGACAAATAAGAATCCTTGTGTTCAGCCGTCTGCTTGACCGTCCAATGGAAGTCGTACTCGGTTACATCAGAAACATACCACGGAAATGCTTTGCCGTGAAAGATGACTTTACTGGCCAAATTCTGAGAAATCAAGACAGTGGCCAAACAAAAATCAGTGAAAACTTCTAGTCCAGCATTGTCCATCGCAATATCGACTGTTCCTTTTTTGTCCAGCTTCTCCAAGAATTCAGACACTTGATCAAGATGATCAACCAGAATATTTCCCCTTAGATCGTCAAGTTCTTTGAATAAGGTATCGGCCATAAAGTGAGGATCGCCACCGGTCAAGGAGAGATCCGCCTTGTTACCCCATAAGCAAATCTGTAAGTGTTTTGATATGGCAGTCTTCAGATCAGTAGCTGGGCCTTCGTTTGCTAGCTTCACAACTTCTGTGCCTAGGGCGATCAGATGGGCTTCACTAAACAGAAATGGTTTTTCTTGGATAAAGTATTACGCAAAAAATAAAAACAACTAATTACCTGTCAAAGAATCCCTTTTCCTTTTCAATCCTGAATGGATCATAATCTTTGATGTTGTGCGACTTCAAGAAGAACTCATGCAGCAGTCTGTACATGTAACATTCGGTGAACAACCATGGAGTTTTGTACCATGATACGTTACCTTCTCCTAACTTAAAAATTAGAATTAGTTATATTAATATAGAGTTTACAATCCTTAAAAATGTTTTAAAATGCAAATCAAACCTTTTTCTTAAAACTGTCAATAGCATCGTTCCAAACAGCTTTGTCGTTCTCTTCTGTATCCAAGTACTCCAATGGTTTATCAGTCGCAATTAAATAACGGAGTCTTGAGATCTGATGAATAACATCTTTAACGTCAGAGTTTCCAGTCTGAAACAAATATTGTACAATATCATCACAAACAACAAAAATTAACCTTCAATAAATTAGTAGACAACTTTAAAAAACAATACAGTTTGACCGCCTGTCTTCGCTACTTTTAACGTTTAGGTAACAAAGTAAACAAAAAACAACTCACCTCACCGTAGGTTTTGACCATGTAATCATGTTTCTGATGTAACTGGTCGATAATCTTCGTCAAGATTCTCGGCCAACGATCTTTGATAGAATTATAAGCGAATGAACTGCAAACGACCAAATTAATTCAAAACTTGCGCAACAGGTCCCAAAACAAGCACATACTTCCCTAATTTAAACAAAAACAACAAGTTACCCTCTTTCAGCTCCACTTCCAGGTTTTGGCAAGCTCATCTCGTCAGTATCCAAATGATTTACTGTCTAACTACAATAAAAAACACTATTTGGAGTCCAAAAGTAAAAGTAAACAAGAATTTGTAAAACTAGAACACAAGGGAACACTTGGCGCATATTTTTGAGTGTCAACATTTTCTCAAAAAATATTTTTTTGTGAAATTTCTGAAATGGCCAAAAATTCGGTATTGTTGCCTGATGAATCGCACTGTAGGTCGGATATTGGTGCTATTTTGTATCGTGACAGGAAGATTTACGCATTTTCGGCCGAGATAAACGAAGTTTCTGAACCAAGTTCGATCTTTGGCTATGTGGAGTACAAAATTGGAATTTCGGTAAGTTTTTAGTTAAATTTTGACTAGAAATATAGTTCAATATAATTATTAGGATCTAATTTGTGTGTTTTTAAAGCTTTTTTCATTTACTGTGTAAAACAGTGTTTTTGATGATATTGTTTTAGATGGACCCAACAGATGTTTGCAATTATGATAGACGTTTGTTTGAGTTAACTACTCGATTTCGTGATCTCAACAAATTGTATCAACAACTGTCTACAATCCACAAACAAGTAAGTCGTATCTCTTGTGTATTTTACAGTTTAGTTGTACTTAAAAGATGTTTTCCCTCAATTTGCACCAACAAAGCTAATGGGATCGAATACTTCTGAAACGATCGAAGAAAGGAAGACGGCTATAGTCAATTTCTTGAATTTTGTGCTTCGATCAACTGTTCTATGCAAAGCGAGAGTGTTCCAAGCTTTTATCGATGTATGTTCTTATTCTTTATTTTATACGTTAACTAACGTATTTTACGAAGCATTTCTACTATAATACCATTTTAGAGTGCAAAGGAATGTACCGAAGCTTCTTTAAACGAAAAACCAAGCGAAGATGAAGCGCCAACGGAACACAGCATTGAACTGGATTAAAATCAATGTTAATCTCACTTACAACTGTATCCTAATGTGAATATTGTACTAATTATGTTGTACTTTAATTAACATTTGTTCAAATTATTAACTGGATGGGTATCTTTTATATAAACATGACTTTGTATACTCGTGGTATTGTGTTTATATGTTTACCTCATGAAATATTTGTTGATCTTTAATGGTTTTAAAACGTTTTTTACTTACTGGGTCATAAACTAATCTGAAAAATTACAAGTATTTTTATGGTGTGAAATAAAAGCCAAGAGAAATGACCGTACATTCCACGAACCTTTTGCCTACTATTATTGTTAAACTTGTTTATTGTTATTTATAGATGACAGAAGTCATATACAAAGATCTGAGTGCTGAAAATGATGAAGCACCAATGGAATTGGAGTCAGTTTGTGTAAATTGTCAAGAAAATGTAAGATTTTAAATGTTGTACTTGTAATATTTATTGATTTATTTAAAAAAGCTTTATTGAGATGTAAAAGTTTTAAATATTTTTGGTTTTTTCAACCGGTATTATAATAGTATTTGGTTGCAGGGTATAACAAAGCTGATGTGCACGAGGATACCATTCTATAAGCAGGTCATCTTGATGTCTTTCTCTTGTGATCATTGTGGCTACAGGAATAATGAGTTGCAAAGTGGTGAACCAGTGCAGGTAATAGCATAAATCGTTTAATCGTTTTGTAAGATATAACGTATTACTATAAGAGTTGCTTATGAACAGTACATAAAGACTTTTTCCGGAATGAACACCTTTTTCTTGTCACTTTTAAAGTATTTTGACGTAGTAATTTGTAGGAGTTTGGAACAGAGATTGTGTTGCACGTTAAAGAACAGTCTGATCTCAACAGAACGGTCGTTAAATCTGAATATGCATCATTGGCAGTTCCAGAACTGGAGTTGGAAGTCCCTTTTAAATCACAACCTGGAGGTAAGTAATAATAGTTACTGCGCAGTAAAATACCTTTTATTGTATTATACTAAATATAGGGTTTGAACTTTTTAAAAAATGTTTGACTGCGTTTGTAGTTATAAATATGAGGTGTATGTATTGGTACTATTCTAGAGGTAACCACAGTCGAAGGAGTACTAAGGCGTGTTGTTGAAGGATTGTCACAAGATCAGATTTTGAGAAGGATTCAAGATCCAGAAGGCGCCAAACAGATTGATGACTACATAAGCAGAGTAGAAGATTACATTAGTTTGAAGAAGGAGTGGACTTTGGTACGGTAATTTATGACTTTAAAAATTGCATAGAACTTTGTATTGATATTGGCTGGTTATGTTATATAGCATATTACAGTAGTTTTATATGACGTTTTAAGGAATATTTTTTTTTGATTTTTGCTTTGGCTTATCGCAAGTTTTCTTCCAGAGATTAAAGCATTAAAACATTTTGTTAATAACTTAAAGTAATGTGTTCCAGAAGTTGAACGACCCATCTGGAAATTGTTTCATCCAAAACCCAAGCCCAATGCACGTGGATCCCAAATGCATCACATCACATTACTACCGTGACATCGAGGCCAACAAGTTATTGGCATTGGCCGATGATGATGACAAAGATGTCGAGTGGAAGCCTACGACTGATGACATCGAGTGGAAGTCGTACGAGGACTGTAAGAACACGATCATGCACTTTAACAGCCAATGTCCGAATTGCAAGACCAATTTGGAGGTGTTGATGAAGCCTACAGGTAACACTATTGGTCACTTTTGTTTTATCTATCTTGTGGTCGTTTTATCACCATTTTATGAAAAACACATTAAGAAGACATGTGTTATGTTATGAATGATATGTGATCCCATTATTTTTATAGACATTCCCTACTTCCAAACTGTCATTGTAATGTCCAGCTCGTGCGACAAGTGTGGGTTCAAGTCGAACGAGGTGCAAGCTGGAGGTGCAATCCAAGAACAAGGCTGTAAACTGTCAATTAAGGTCGAAAAGGTAGCTTTGTTTGTTCTTTTGTTTATTTCCCGCAAATTGGAAAATTACTTTTTTTTATTTTTTTCGAAGTTAGCATCGCCAGTAAACAAACAGTTTTCGAGGATTTAATAGCGAAAAGGGGAATTTAAGCGTAAATAAGGGTCGGAAAACGGAATATTGTGATAGGTATATTTAGAGGATAATATGCTACATGTTTTGCACACTTACAAAAAGATGTTATTGAGATCAAATTTTTAGCGAATTCGGAAATTCAAAACCATCAAAATCAATAGAAATTATATTCTATTTGAACTCATAATCCTCTTACGGTAAACACTTTAACAAAACTGTTTGCTTAGGATGTTGATCTTGCTCGCGACGTACTCAAATCCGATACCTGTGGTTTGGCCATCCCCGAGCTGGACGTGGAAATAGGTATGGGCGCGTTGTCGGGTCGCTTCACCACGGTAGAAGGCCTTCTACAAGCCATTAAAGAGCAGCTCGACGAACAGTCTTCCTTCTTCTTCGGCGACTCTGGATCTGACGATGTGAAGGGGAAGTTCGAAAACATTTTCCGACAAATGGATCAAATTATCACGCTTCAGAAGCCCGCAACCCTGATCCTGGACGATCCGGCCGGCAACAGCTACATCCAAAGTCTGACGGACGAAGGCGAAGATCCGAGACTGACCAAAGAGTTCTACACACGATCGTACGAACAGAACGACGAGCTGGGATTGAATGACATGAAAGTGGAGAACTACGAAGGCATGGACACGATAAAGGAAGAAGAAGAGTGATTTTGTTAGAATTGGAAAGCGTTTGAGATGTTTTATGCCTCTCCGGTTGATTGTTGTTGTTTTGTTGTTTTTTTAGTAAAAATAGTTTATCTTCCTGTTTTTGACACGTAAATCAGGTGATAAGGCGGCTTTTCAAAGAACTTATGTCGAAACAACAAAAAGGGCACTAACTATGCGAAATAAATAAAAAATTTTTAGTAAAACCAGAGAATGGTTTTTAAATTTGAAAAAATTCTTTTAAAAACATTAGAATTTGCGCAACAGGTACCAAAAATCACTTCAAAAAGAGTAAAATAGCCTCGCAGGTTTATACTCATCACTGTTACCCGAACGTATTCTGGTAACGCAGAGTGGTGCATAAGTTGTCTTCATCGGCATCGAACCCAGGTCCTCCCGACCAAAAGGCCCGCCCATTCACCACTGAACTAATCGAACACGAGCCATCTGTTTATTTCTTTTCACTTACCAACAAATAATCGGAGGAATGCGGAATTGTTTTTCGGTCGAAAAGTGCGTGGAATCGCTATTTTTAATGCGAATTGATCACTTTATCTAACATTCTATTTACTTTTCGACCGATATGTTGCGATCTCGGGTATAGCTGTGAGAAAAGGAAATGAGAGCGTCATAAAAGTAAAGCAGAAAATAAGAACGGATTGATTTGATTAGCACAAACAAGATATAACTTGATTATTTCATGGTGTTTCACCACTCTCCCGCCTGAATTCTGAATACGAATCTCTCGGCTGAATTCTTCTGAATCTTCCCTTTGAATCCGACGGCATTCGAATCCGCGAATATGAGATAACAATTGGCAATTCTGTTGTTCATGGAGGTCATTAGAAGAGAGTGGTGCCGACTTCACAGCTGCGCTCTCTCGCTTTCTGTCGAAAGAGGTAAGAAAGGGCTGAGTGTACGAACCCGTTCTCGTCGAGCCAACTGAGGTTGCGAATATTACTGCCGCGAGAGGCTGGAGGTACGGAGAGACGGAAGAGAGCGAAAGTGAATGCAGGCTAGGCCGGCATTCGGTGCGTGGCCGAGGAGAGAGTGCGGGTGGGAGGGAGGGGGTAGAGTACTTGTTGTAAACAGAGGAAAGAGTACTTTCGACCGGGGGAGGGCCGAGGAGGAGGTTGAGGTTGGATGGGTCCGCTTCGCGAACCGAGAGCGTTCCAATCTGTTGTGGCAAACCGTGGAGCGGGCGGGGTGCGGCGAGAGATGCGATGCAGGGCTGGGGTTTCGGAGAGACAGAGGGCCTTGCCCGACTTTGGTCGATGTAGACGAACGAGAATGAATGCGCGCGTTTCGGTTTCTGCAGAGCGAATGGGGCAATCCGCTGGGATGACTGGACTGCAGCGAGGAGGGATCGGGAAACCGAGGAGAAGAGCAACTGCTTTTTGCCCGCGGTGCGGTTGAGATGACGGGGCAGTGCTGTGATGGTGGTAGTAGTGGTTGAAGAAAAAAAAAGAAAGGGCTTACTCGGACCCGGCGGCGTCTCTGATTCCCCCATCCCTTTGTCGCCGCGTATATCCATGTTAATGTAAGAGAGCGTTTGATTTACATTCGAATCACCCCTACCTGTGGGGATCTCTCCCACTTCTGCTATCACGGTTTGTAGCATCCCCATCGCCCCTTCTATCACTCCCATTTATTATTATCACGCCTTATCTCCCGCTTGTTGTTATCACGCCCCGCCCTGAATGGAAAAAACAACAACGTGCTTTTACCTTTCCGGTCGCTCGTAATGGTCACTCGCAATGTTTACATTGGGAAATTCAACCTGTCGAAAGGGCTTTTTGCATCTTTGCTCAATGGAAGACCGAATTGGGTTACCTCGGTCCTGCGTTGGCTCTGATTTGGAATTCTTGTTTTGCATTTTTGTTTATTATTTACCCTGGTTGATTATTTGTTCTTTCGCTCGGAAGTCTCTTAAAATAATCTGTTTGTCTGACAACTTTTGGGATTTCGAAAGTTGGGCCATTTAACAATTAACTCTTTTAATTATTCATGGCTTACAAGTGTTCATAATAGGTTTTGTTTGTAAGATGTATGGTGATTAAGGGGTTATTTTTACATTGTATATATAAGTGCATTTTAATTCATGATTTATTGATATGACATTAGGAGTGGTCAAAAAAAAGTAGGGGAAACTACCTTTTGTAAGGAATTTTTATTTTTTTCGCAATTTGCGTTGATGAAACTAGAACTAATTTGGTCATTAAATTGCGTGAAATCTTTTTTTATCCTTTTTTCTATTTACTTTTTGACCAGACTTATTACTAGATGTTGACCGCCTTGCATTATTATTTTATTCAGCAGTAAACAAAAATGATTGAATTTGTGAGTAACGTGTGTTTTTAACCTTATGTTAGCATTCGCAACTCTCGCGATGATTTTTCTGAGAATTTTTAAAAAAGTATCTCTCTTTTTCCATTTGATTTTAATTTCCTTTTTGAGGTTCCTCGCTTTTTCACTTAAAAGGATCTTAATTTAGGTAAAAGAATCTTGTAGGTATCGCTCTCTCCCTAAACCAAATTCCCAAAATAAAAACGTAATTACTTTGCAAAAAACAATTGAATGTAGTGGACAGTTTTTTGGGAATGACTCAGGCTATAACGACTGACCCTGAGGCATTGGAGGGGAGAAAAGGCGGGAGGGACGGCCGCAGGGTTTTGTGGATCCGGGGATGACAGCGGCCATCTGGCCAATGGGCAAATTTGATTGAGATCCTGTTGTGTGAGCCGTTTGTGGATAAATTCGGAGTTCTCCCCGGAGGGGCGACGATTACGCTTATTTCGTTAAAAAGTAAATTTGTTTGTTAAAACGTCGAAAAGTCATTTTAGTTTTTGAAAGTAAACCTTCAAGGCCTAGAGTTTTAAAATGCATTTATTATGCCTGTGGATATCTAAAAGTAATATTCTGAAGCTTTCTTTTTCAAACTTAAGGCCGTTTTTGTAAAAAAAAACTTTGAAAAGCCGCCTTTCTCAAAAAACCCGTCTGACTCCAGCTAAAAGTTCAAGACAGCCGGCTTGAGACAGTGTTTGAAACGTTCGCGAAACGAACGGTAGAGAATAGGTTTTGTTTGCTTATGGTTCTTCCCGAGACCAACAAACTCTCGACTTTGGCGACAATCGGCCGGAAGCGGGGAGCAATTCGCGCAGCTGACGCCCGCCGACTTCCAATGGTGCCGTTTGTGACCTCAGGCCGGCCGGCTGACCTCAGGCCGCGTGTTTGTGGGGCTTATAAGCGGGGCCGTTTTGGGTGGGGGAGCAAGTGCCATCGTGCCGACGGCATCGTTCCTCTGCATCGCTTTTTTGTTCTCCCGGAACCATTTTGCCCGCAGACCGATTCCGGCTTTCTTTTTTGCCGCTTTTGTCTCAAACACGCTCGGCGGGGATTCGCGAGCCTCACTTTGCCTAATTCGCCGGATTTTTATAAAAATTTTTACGATCCTGTCACGGATTCTGATGACATTCGAGAGTGTGTGCGGTTCGGCGGGTTGGGAGAAGAATTAGCGACGTTACGAATATTATCTATGTTTGTCATATCTTTATTTATCTGCGATTAGTATCTTGTTTCACGCCTCGCAACTCTCAACGTTCAATAATGTGCACGAGTGCTTCTTTAACAAGTTTATGACCTTTTGATGGAGCTTTTAATCTCCAGTCAAAAACCGTTTGCTAGTGCCGTGTAGTTTGAAAGTTTTATTTTCTACCCTAGGTTTTTGGAATTGGCGTGTAATTTTAAACGTGACTCAAAAGTATGTTAAAATGACAAAAACATAATGAAGCCAAGATGGACATACGAAGCCATCTCTTTTATGTCCTGTTTTGTCACCTCTTAGATTTTTCCATTACTTTTTGACCAATATCGCGATTATTACGAGTTTATATTGCCTTTTTCGCCAATTAAATTTTACTCCATATAAATATTGTATGTTTTGTCACCTTTTATGACATTTCACAAAGTATGTTGTTGTAGGACTGATGAGAGCATGACCATAAACGATGAAAATCCCGTTATAAACAATGGCGCGGACTTCGAGGAGTACGACGATGAGGTCTCCTCGCAGATGTTCGAAAGAGCTCGCATCCGCGCACTAGCAGGTAACAACTTGTTCACTTTTTCTATTTTCATATCGTAACTTGTATCTGTTATCAAAAAAATGATAATATTCTACTTATTGTTAATACTCAAAATCAATTTTTGCCTTGCAGACGAACGTGAGATCGTTCAAAAGAAGACGTTCACAAAATGGGTTAATTCTCATCTGATCCGTGTGTCCTGCAAGATCCAGGACCTGTACGTCGACATGCGTGACGGAAAGATGCTGATCCAGCTGCTCCAAGTACTATCTGGGGAGAGGCTACCGAAACCGACCCGCGGAAAGATGCGGATTCACTGTCTGGAGAACGTGGACAAGGGACTGCAGTTTCTGCGCGACCAACGAGTTCATCTGGAAAACTTGGGTCCCAACGATATTGTCGATGGAAGCCCTCGCCTCACACTAGGTCTCATCTGGACCATCATCCTCCGGTTCCAGATTCAGGATATCACATTCGAGGATACTGATAATCAGGAAACACGACAAGCCAAGGAAGCCCTGCTTCTGTGGTGCCAAATGAAGACTGCCGACTACAAGAATGTCAACGTCAAAAACTTCACGACCAGCTGGAGAGATGGTCTCGCCTTCAACGCTCTCATCCACAAACACCGTCCCGATCTCATCGACTTTGACAAACTTCAGAAGTCCAACGCCATTCACAATCTGAAAAATGCTTTCGACGTGGCCGAGAACCACCTCGGTCTTCTCCGATTCTTGGATCCAGAAGGTAAGATTTTTATTTTAAAAGTTACAAGCCTTCTTTTTTAATCTATTTTGCTAATTTTTACCCTAAAACATTACGGAATATGCGTTTTGTTTACCAAAGATAACATTTGCAGATGTCAATGTCGAACAGCCTGATGAAAAGTCAATCATCACCTACGTCGTCACTTTCTACCACTACTTCAACAAGGTGAAACAAGAGGAAATCCAAGGAAAACGTATTGGCAAAGTGATCTCTGAACTCATCGAAAACGAAGCCAAGATGGACGAGTACGAAGCCATCTCCAGCAGCCTTCTCGAGTGGATCAAGAAGACCATTGTCAGTCTGAATGACAGGAACTTCTCGAATTCACTGAGTGGAGTTCAGAAACAACTCACCGATTTCAACCAGTACCGTACTCAAGAGAAACCACCTCGATTCCAGGAAAAAGGAGAGCTGGAGGTGTTGTTGTTCACCCTACAGAGTAGGATGCGTGCCAACAATCAACGGCCGTTCATTCCGAGTGAAGGCAAGAAGGTGGCCGAGATCAACAAGGCCTGGGAAGATTTGGAACGATGTGAACATGAACGTGAATTGGCGTTGAAGGAGGAACTTATTAGGTAAGGTTTAATATTGTTTAAAATTATCTTTAAAACATCATCAATATAATGTGTTTTTGTTGTAAAATCAAAAAGCCTACAAAATATTTTAAAAATATTGTAGTATGTTAAATAAACAACTTTTTCAGACAAGAGAAGTTAGAACAACTTGCTGCCAGATTCGACCGCAAGGCTGGAATGAGAGAAACCTGGCTCACTGAAAACCAACGTCTAGTCAGCCAAGACAACTTCGGCGAAGACCTGGCCGCGGTAGAAGCCGCCCTCAAGAAGCACGAAGCCATCGAAACCGACATTCATGCTTACGAAGAACGTGTTCAAGCTGTAGTGGCTGTAGCCGGGGAACTGGAAGCCGAAAACTACAACGACATCGAGAGAATCAACTCCTCCAAAGATCATATTCTGCAGTTGTGGAATACGTTGCTGGAGTTGCTACAGTCCCGTCGTGCCAGACTAGAAGCACACCGCAACGTTCAGAGGATATTCCACGATATGGACGGAGTCCTGAACATGTGTGACGAAGTCGAAGCCAAACTCAGCTCAGAAGACCGTGGACAGCATCTGATGGACGTGCAAGACCTCCTCCAGAAGCACGCCATGATCATCTCCGACTTGAACATCATCAACGACAGAATCCAGAACGTGAACAAAGCCGCCGAACCTTATGCTCAAGAGCGATCGGGAGAAGACGATTATCGACCGGTCGAACCTCAGGTGGTCAGAGATCGCAGCAAACAACTTGTCGACAGGTTGGACGATCTCCAAGAACTGGCTTCCAAGAGGAACCGTGACCTCGAAGACAACAAGAAGTTGTGCCAGTTCTGGTGGGATCTGGCTGACTTGGAGAACACTTTTAGAGAACAAGAACAAGTACTGGCTCTCACCAATACCGGCCACGATGTACCGTCAGTTAAGCGTTTGATCGCTGAACACAAGAACGCAGAGAACAACCTCACGAGCCTTGGTGGAATCCTTGAGACTCTGGAACAACAAGGTCAGGAGCTGGCTGATGAGAAGATCCCCGGATCCGAGAACATCAATGCCAGAATCGAGGAAACCCGGTCGTATTACGAAAAGCTCCGCCAGCTTGCTGATGCTCGTCGCGACAATCTTGATGGAGCTCTCAACTACTTCTTGTTCTTCAACCAAGCTGACGAGGTTGATGGTCTTCTACTTGACACTCTGCGTGTTGTGTCATCTGACGATGTCGGCCGTGACGAAGGCACTGTTGGTGTGTTGCTGAAGAAGCACGATGGTGTGAAGGACGACCTCGAGAAGTTCGACGAACACATTGTCCAACTCCAAGCTCAAGTCGAAAGTCTGCCTCAAGAAGCTCGCGCTCATCCAGACATCATCCAACGTCTGGCTCAGACCGACAAACGTCGTCGCGATCTCGAAGAGTTGTCGCGGCTTCGCAAACAACGCCTCATCGACGCTTTGTCGCTGTACAAGCTTCTCAGCGATGCTGATGCAATTGAAGCCTGGATCGACGAGAAGGGCAAACTTCTGGCTACACTGATTCCAGGAAGCGACCTGGAAGAGGTGGAGATCATGAAGCATCGTTTCGGTACTTTGGAGAGCGACCTCAAGAACCAAGAAGACAAATTGAACACGGTGAACAAATTGGCTCGCGAGATGGTTCAAGTGGATCACCCCAACGTCGACGAGATTCTGCAACGCCAAAACAAACTGAATGCCCGTTGGGCACAGTTGAAGGACATGGTCGACCAGAAGAGATCAGAATTGGACCGTGCTCACCGTCTGGAGACCTTCAGAATCGACTGTCAAGAAACCGTCACCTGGATCGAAGACAAGGTTAAGGTTCTCGAAGATTCTACGGAACTCACCAACGATCTCAGCGGTGTCATGAGACTGAAGAGACGTCTGTCTATGATGGAGCGTGACTTGGGAGCCATCCAGTCCAAGCTGGACAACTTACAAGCAGAAGCCGACGAAATCGCGGTCGAAAAACCACACCAAGCTCAAGTCATCCGAGAAGATATTGGCAGAATCCAGCACGTCTGGGACGTTCTCAACAGAAAAGTCAGAGAACAAGAAGCCAAATTGGAAGAAGCCGGAGATCTTCAAAGATTCTTACGCGACCTCGACCACTTCCAAGCATGGCTCACGGCCACACAACGCCAAGTTGCCAGCGAAGACGAACCTCAAAGTCTGGCTGAAGCCGAACGACTTCTGGCTCAACACAAAGCCATCCACGATGAAATCAATGGCTACGCCGAAGACTACAAGAAGATGCGTGCTATGGGTGACAGAGTCACTCAAGACCAAACTGACCCTCAGTACATGTTCTTACGTCAACGTCTAGCTGGTCTCGAGGAAGGTTGGGAAGAACTCGGCAGAATGTGGGACAACCGACAACACATGTTGTCGCAAGGCCTCAACTTGCAGATGTTCTTGCGTGATGCCAAGCAAGCCGAGGTCATGTTGTCGCAACAAGAAAACTTCTTGGCCAAAGAAGAACAGCCACAGTCCCTGGAACAGGCTGAGAACTTGCTGAAACGTCACCAAGACTTCCTCACCACGATGGATGCCAACGACGAGAAGATCCGTGGCGTCGTCATATTTGGCGACAAACTCAGCTCTGACGGTCACTATGCTGCTGACAAGATTCACAAGAAGTCACGCAACATCCAAGAACGTCGTGAAGCCAACCGAGAAAAGGCGTTGGCTCATCTCGATAAACTGAAGGATGCCTTAGGCATTCAACAGTTCTTGAGTGATTGTGAGGAGTTGAGAGAATGGATCGAAGAAAAGATGATTCTTGCTCAAGACGAAACCTACAGAGACGCCAAGACCATCACCTCCAAGTTCGTCAGACATCAAGCCTTCCAATCCGAACTCCAGGCTAATAAGGCTCGTCTCCAGGAGCTGAAACAAGCTGCTGAGAAGTTGAGCGAAGAGAAGCCCGAGTTCATCGAAGCTATCACACCTCACGTCGGAGAACTCGAGAACCAATGGACCCAGTTGGAGGAGACGACCGTGGAGAAGGGCAAGAAGCTGTTCGACGCCAACCGTCAACAACTCTACGTCCAATCCATCGCCGACATGCAAGACTGGGCTCAGCAACTCGAGCAACAAATTGGTGTCGACCAACCACCATCCGACTTGTCTACTGTCAATGTAGCCATGCAGCGACAACAAGCCATTGAATCCGAGATGGAGAAGAAGGTGCTTCACCTTGAATCCCTTCAAGAAATGGAGCCACAGCTTGAAGAACTGCATCCAGATGAACTCGAGGACATCAAGGCTCACCGTTTGGCCATCACCGAGAAGCTGCAACGTTTGAAGGCCCCTCTCGACGACCGTCGCAGACAATTGGAGCGCAGAAAGGCCGCCTTCCAATTCGTCAGAGATGTTGAGGATGAGAAGTTGTGGGTTGACGAACGTCTTCCTATCGCTAACGCACCTCAACTCGGCGAGAATCTGTTCGACTGTCAACGTCTCCAGAAGAACACGGAATCCCTGAGAAGCGAGATGGACAACCACGAGCCATGGATCCGAAAGATCATCGACAATGGGCAAGAATTGATCGACGAAGGCCACGAGAACGCCGACGCTTTCAAGGACAAGATCAAGGAGATGGAAGACAAGTGGCAGAGTCTGAAGGACGCTCTCGACGACAGAAAACGACGACTTCAGGAAAGCGAGAAGGCCCACCTCTTCTTGTACGACTGTAACGAAGCCGAAGCCTGGATGAGCGAACAAGAGTTGTACATGATGCAAGACGAACGTGGCAAAGACGAGTTCTCCACCCAGAACCAGATCAAGAAGCACGAACGTCTTCAACAAGACATCAACAACTACGCGGACAACATCCGTGAACTTGGCAAACGTGCTCACAACTTCATTGAAGAAAAGTCGCCCCTTAGCGATCAAATCGCTCTCAGACAATCTCAGATCGAGAAGCTTTACGCTGGTCTCCAGGATCTGTGCAAAGAACGAAGAAAGCGACTCGATGAAACCCTCCAACTGTACGGTCTTCATCGTGAAATCGACGATCTTCTTCAATGGATCGCCGACAAAGAAGTTGTCGCCGGTTCCCATGAGAACGGTCAAGACTACGAGCACGTTCAGATGCTCCAAGAACGCTTCCAACAGTTTGCTCGCGATACTGAAGCCATCGGCTCGGAACGTGTCTCTCGTGCCAACAACGACTGCGACCAGTTGATTGTAGAAGGACACAGCGACGCCCCGACCATAGCTTTGTGGAAGGACAGTTTGAACGAAGCCTGGGAGAACCTGTTGGAGTTGATTGATACTCGCTCTCAGATTCTGGAAGCTTCACGTCAAATGCACAAGTTCTTCCACGACTGTCGTGACTGTTTGTCCAGAATTATCGAGAAGAAGCACAGTATGCCTGACGAGCTTGGCCGTGACTCTTCTTCGGTCAACGCCCTCAGTAGAAAGCATCAGAACTTCCTGAAAGACATTGAAGCCATCGGAGCTCAAGTCAGACAGATCGAGCAAGATGCCGCCTACCTACGAGATTCGTACGCTGGAGACAAGGCCATTGAGATCGCTTCCAAAGAAGCCGAAGTCCTCAAAGAATGGAAACAACTCCACGCTCTGTGTGAAGCTAGGAACATCCGCCTCATGGATACTTCTGATCTGTTCAGATTCATGAACATGGTGAGGGATCTGTTGTTGTGGATGGACGAAGTGAAGCGAGAGATGACTTCTCACGAACGGCCGAAAGACGTTTCTGGCGTTGAGCTGTTGATGAACAACCATCAATCGTTGAAGGCTGAAATCGACACCCGAGAAGACAACTTCAGTGCCTGTATCACGTTGGGCCGCACGCTACTGGAGAGGAAGCACTACGCCAGCTCAGAAATCGAGAAGAAGTTGATCAAGTTGACTACAGAGAGAGCCGAGATGATGCACAGATGGGAAGACCGGTGGGAATACCTCAGACTCAGTAAGTTTTTTTTTTATCATATCAGATGTAGTAGCGTAATGTCTTAATTTCTAAAAGAATAACTTTGTAATCGTACTCTTTTTAGTCCTCGAAGTGTACCAATTCGCTCGTGATGCGGCCGTCGCCGAAGCCTGGTTGAATGCTCAAGAACCCTACCTGAAGTCGATGAATTTCGGTCGGAACCTGGAGGAAGTGATCGCCATGATCAAGAAGCACGAAGCCTTCGAGAAGTCGGCTTCAGCTCAAGACGACCGCTTCCTTGCTCTTGAGAAGATGACCAACTTCGAGTTGAAGGAGATGCAACGACGAGAACAGTACGCGGACGAGGAGCGACGCCGCCGTTCCGGTTCACCTCAGGTTAGACCTGGAAGATCAGGAGAAACCACGTTCCCAGTTCACGAACCTGGTCGATCAGAAGGTATTTTTTTAGACAGATTGACGGTTTGTTATAACAACATCAGTTTGTTACTTATTTTGATCGGTAACATCAGTTTATTACCTTTTTCACCTAAAAATAATAACAAGGTTGTTACCTAAACATTGTTTGTTTAATATGGTTTGACAATTAATTTCGTATTTATTATATATATGTAGTTTAATATCGTTTGTGGTTGTTATTGTTGTAAATTAATGTTGTTGTAGCGTTTGATTTGACTGTGAGTTCATTTGGAAGTGGCGGAAGTGGACACAAAGGTAATTGTTGTAGTTTATTAATGTTCTAAATTTAAATTCGTAGACTTACCTGTATTTCTGAACTGTAAAACATCTTTTTGGATCCTGAAAGCACAAATTTTACAAAAAAATGTAAAAATACAAATTTTTGTCCGAACGAACTTAATCTATTGAATTTTGGAACGAAATGCCACTTTTATTATCCGGCTTTTGGAGCTTTTTTGTTTCATTGCTGAAAACAGATTAATATGTATAAAATAGAATTTCTTGAATATAAAATAGATGTAAAAGCTTTTAAATTTGTAATATTTGGTTGATAAGTGTTGTATGGTAGTTCTGTGTTTCAGAACGATCTCGACTTCAAACAGAACCTTCATCATGGCGGCAATCTCTGTCTCGAACTGCTCGGTTTGCTGTTCACGACTTACGTGGTACTAATTTTTGTTGTTTTTGCTTTATTTGTTTGATATTTGTTCAAAACATTATCAGAAGTTAATATTGTTCTCTAAATTTAACATTTCTTTATTTTAGGAGCTTCGACAGCTGATGGATTCGAAGGCACGATCATCAGGAAACACACCTTCGAAGCACTCGACCGTAGAGCTTCTAACAGGTATGTTGGACCTGATTTCAAACATTATGAGTTTGGACAGCATATTTAATATTTTTTGGTTTAAAAAATTTTAAAAATTCGGCTTAAAATCATATTGTTTTAGAGCATGGGACAAGTTGTACGCCGTTCTTCACGGCAGCGAACTCTTCTTCTACAAAGACTTGAAACATCGTCAAGAACAGTCGACCTTCCACAACGAACAGGCTCTACAGCTGGCTGGATGCACCGTGCAGCCTTCTGAATATTCGAAACGAAAGAATGTCATATCATTGCGGTTACCGTTCGGTTCAGAATATCTATTGCAATGTGCGGACGAGGTAAGAAATTGTTTAATATTGGGATTCTGAAGAGTATTTGTTATCTCGTTTTTAAGTATTTTAACCTTTTGATCAAAAGTACACGGAAACGCTAGAAAAGAGTTTAACATACCTTATTATAGAGCAAACCTGTGATTGTAGGCACTTTTTGACCAATATCTTTAACTTTTAGTCTTTCTATTATATAACGTCTTTATGAGCTAAAAATCATCAATACTATTTTCTTCAGGAGGATTTGCATAAATGGTTGTCTCAACTTCAACATGCCACTGGCAGCTCGAGCCTAGAACAACCCTCCCCCCAGCCTCAATCTTCTTCCACGCCCATTCCAGAAGAAGCGCGAGGCCAAAGCCCGGCCGAAGCCCCAGTCAAGGCGAAGAAGGGATTCTTCTCGAGGGGCAAAAAGTAGATTTGCATAATATTGTACGTGTTGATACTTCACTGTTATTGTTTCTTCAGCTTTATTGTTATCATAGTTTATACCCTCCGGCTCTGTCCTCCGATGTCTCTGACTGCCTGTCACTCTCACTCTCATGGTCAGTTTACTGTAATGTGTTATCGTATTGGAAAACTTACTGTACGATTTTCTAATGTTTGATTATTGTAACTTTTTATAATCACCATATACTGTAACAGTTAATATTTCTGGCCATTCTACTGTAACATGTGCATTGCTCATTTCTTGTTGGCTAGCCGATTCTTTTTAATCCGTCCGTTTGGCTAGCCAGCGTCTTCAGCTAGCTTTAATTGATTACAGTATGCCTATGTTTTGTAATCTATATTTATACGGTATTAGATACTGTAGTTTTGTTCAACCTACAGTATGAAAATTTATTTTTTTCTATTTTGTGTACTGTAGTTTAACTTGACTCAATGCATGCTGTAGTCCGGTCACTAGGACCGCGTAGGATACTGTAGATGGATCTAGTCTACTCACCACTGCCCCACGTCTGTATTAGCATTCCCGATTGTATTCTTGCCCATTGTTTCCTCAAGAATCGTTGAACTCGTATTCTTCTCAAGAAGAAAGAAATCGCTAGCCACCAATCCTACCGAGCCACCACCACGCAGTCCACTGCCATTCGCATTTGTTAGAGGGAGAGGAAGGACCGCCGGGATCTCCGACTTGTATGTAGTTATAATAATATAATGGCCCGCTTCAAACTTTTAAATTCTGTAAATTCGTGTAGCATAGCTTGTTATGAATGCCACGCCTCGTATTTTGGTTGCTGAGAGATAAAGACTATAATATTAACTGTGGTGTATGTTGTTGCAAGGTCATAGTTACCTTGTTATTACAATCAAACATTCAATCTACATGTAAACCTATAGTATCTTTGGTTTATTTACATGACAAGCACGGGTATAACAACTATGGAGTCATGGCTCCATCAGGCAGAATCTTCAGAATGTCTGGAGCCCGAATCACGAATTCAGGCCACGACCCAAAGTAAATAGAAGCCTGGTACCGTAGCCTCTCCAACGCGAACCATACCATGGTCGATCGAAGTGATGTTCCATCGTATATGAACACTGGTCGTGAGGTATTCAGTCCTTTGGAGGTAAAGAATTCTCGTTGGTGATAATCACTAGGCCAGGTGTTATTGTGCCAATCGTATACAGCATCTATGGGTATGTTGACTGAGCCTCGCATATGGCCAAACACGGCACCATCTATCTTGCCATTGTATTCCTGAACGTTTACTTTGGTCAAAAATTACGTAGAAAAGATAATTTTTTTATTATACTGTAACATTCAAACTTGACGTTACTTTTTAGACATAAATATAATATTTTACAACGTTTTCGACTAAAAAGTATCCAAAAGCTACTTACATCTTCATTTTGAGCATCAACAATATCATGAGTCCGTTCATCAAAGTTGACGATGACATCGTCGAATGTCATAATCAAGTCAGAATCCCATCGTGCTTTGAAATTTCCTGAGGACAAGACAGGAGAAGGTCCCTTGTCCAACTTGTACAAGGTTTTTGGTCGAGTTGACAGCATCTTCCATTCAGCAAATCCACCATTTAGTACTGACAGCTTTTCGTGGCCGAACAACTGGAAATGTCATCAAATTACTTACATGTACATAGTTCTACTATGTTATGATGGGTATTGACCGTTAGCTTCTATTTACTTTTAAAACAATCTTTACCTTGAAGATCCAGAAAGCGTAAGTAGACCAAATGACTTGGCCTCGATCGTACAGCACGACATGACAATCCTCATCCACTCCCAATCGTCGTATGTGACGTTGGAATTGAAGAGGATGTACTGGTACGCCACTATGAGACAAATTGGAAAAGTAAAGTAACTGAGCTGACTGTATGTGTTCTTCTATGAAGTCTTCTCTAAAATACGATGATATATTATGATGATATACGATGACATTACATATATAATATAACACTTTGAAAGTAATTTTGTTCTTTTAGCTGTAATACCACCATTATATTGATCAATGTTATCCAAAATACGCTTATACCCCCGCCCCCAAAAAGGTTCATTAGGTAAACTTACTCGCTCTGCTTGGCCTCACTATTAGTCACCTCGAACAAGCACACCTTCCTTTTGGTGATGATCAATGTCACCAGATAGTTGGGACTAATCACGAATTCCGACCGTACTGCCTGAGGGCTTTTGACAGTGGTGACATCATTCTGAATCAACCTCTGTGTACTTTTATCCTCCACCTCTTCCACATTGTGCGCCATTTTGGCTTGTGCATGCCATAGTACCAACACTACGGCGACGATCGTGACCAGAGTGATGACAACGAAGCCGGCTCCGACCATTCCCGACTTGGAACACGAATCCTGAAGTTACGCAATATGAAATTCACAAAATGAAACCGTGCGATGACCTGAGGCGAAAGAGAAATTATAGAATGTTACTATAGAATGGCGCGGCAATTTACTCTCACCTGTTTGCGACGATCTTCGGGATAATGAAGCCGCTGCAGTGTGGAGTGAGCTAACGGTGTTGGGAGCGATCGTGGAGAAAGGGAATGCACAGATGAGGGCTGAAATATTGTCTATGTGTATTACCATAAGGTTGGCCAAAGTATAATATTTTATATGCTATCACTGGATAGTATACATCTATTGATCTCTCTAAGATATAGCTTTTGAACTATTACCTTTAGCCTAAAACAATATAAACAGAAGAAGTCCTTACCACAGCTGGAGGCCGATTTCTCTTCGGCAAAGCAGGGGGCTCCTCGTAGTAACTGCCATAGTTGTAGTCCTCGTACTCGTGGTTCCTTCTTTGATCTTCTACTGTGCAGTAACTCTCGGGAGGACTTCTTACTCTATCTTCGTACACTTTATGCTTTTTCCCAGAAGTGCCAAAAGCTTCTGTACTCCTTCCAGAAGCACCAAACGCTTCTGTGTTCCTCCCTGCAGTACCATACGGCGTCTTGTTCATACCCGACGTACTATACGGTTCTTTATTCCTCCCTGAAGTACTATACGCTTCCTTGTGCCTCCCAGAAGTTCCATAGGGTTGCATGTCGATTGTCGCAAATGACCCGGCTCCCCTTGTCGCTGCCACCTTATCAAGGTCAACTTGAAAAGATACCTCCCCGCACAAAAAACGACAATGTAGCCACCGTGGAATCGGGATCCGAGCCGATCCCAATTATTTCCGATCCAATTAAGGAAAATGGGGTTGTGTAATGTTGGCGAAACATTGCCGGCACTTACACATCATACATTAACAACCTTGAAGAAAATCTCAAGATGTAAGGATCGAAAGAGTTAGTTCAAAGGCATCAATAACAACATTAACATCAAAAGAGACCCTGCCATCCTTTTTGCTTCCGATAATTTTGGAATTTATTCAAATTTTTGAAATTTTAATTCCGCTAAATCAGTAAACTTTATTTTGACTTTTTCTGTTTTGATATAGTCAGAAATGATGTGACCACTCTACGACGTCAAGGTTAATTCTTTCATGTTATTTTTCGAAACTAGGCCAATCGTTCCCTAATTTTCCCTCCATTTTCCCCAAAATGTTTTGTTTTTTATCTCAAAAAAGATTTTCGATCGTTTTTTCGCAATTCTTATTGAAATTTAGGTAGAAGCGACAACAATCTGATGAGTAACAAGTTTTAATATAAGGTTTTGTAATTTTTGGGCATTGTAATTGATTGATGCGGGATCAGAAGGACGCGAAAGAAAGGAGAATATCAACTAAAACAATATTAACGAGAAAGGAGAATATTAACATTGCTTCCATTTCGTTCGTTTTTTGATCTTTCCCCAAATTTGGGCTCGAAAGAGTACAATCAGCTGAAACAAAGCGAAGAGTCTTGTTGTTTTAGATATAATTTCAATGTTTTATTGTACTTTTATTGTTCCAAACGAGTTCTATATAAATTGACACTTTTGAAAATATTTTGACTAACAATTTTACGTTTTTTATAAGTTCGGACTCTTAAATGAGACTTTTATATCGAGGCGATTAATGTGATGTTACGTTATTCTTTGCTCTTGTTACCTAAAATTCGACCATAATTGTTCAGAACAAAATGTATTTAATGTGGAGTTGCGTGAAGTGTTGTCTAATGTTGATTTTACTCTAAAATGGAAGTGTTTAAAGGTTAAAGAATACTTTTTAAATAAAAATATGTGATTTGTTATCTATAATTGTTTTATTAAACTCTTTTGTTACCTAAATTTGAATGTGATAACAGAGCGTGAATGTTTGTTGATGTTTAGGTAATAAATTTTAAAGTTATTTTCCAGGTCAAGAATGTCAGAAGATCTTCTTCCTTATTCTCCAGAAGCGGCCGATTCGTGCCATTGGAAGGAAAATGGAGTCGAAGATGGCTTCGGATTCCATGAATTCAAGGAATATCCGTAAGGTTTTGACGATACTCAGATTATGTGTTGTTTCTTTACTTTCAAGAGCGAATATAGGCCAGTTTTAAGTAAATAATTAATGTTTTACAGAGTAAAACAAAACAAGATCAAAAACACGATTCTGGAAGCCATTGGGAGCACACCTTTAGTAAAGCTGAACAGAATTCCAAAAGAATATGGAATTGAATGTGATGTTTGTAAGTTTTTAAAAATGACAAAAACTTATTATAGTCAAAAAGTACATAGAAAACTGAAAAATATGATAGTACTACAATGTAGATGTTGTTTAATTTTTGCGATATCTTTGGCAACCAATGATACTTAAAACAAAATTTCAGATGGTAAAGTTGAATTCTTGAACGCCGGAGGCTCCGTGAAAGATAGAATCGCTGTCCGAATGGTCGAGCTTGCTGAACAAACTGGTCGTCTTCGTCCAGGAATGACCATAATCGAGCCGACTTCTGGAAACACTGGCATAGGATTGGCTTTGGTTGCTGCTGTTAAGGGTTACCGTTGCATAATTGTGATGCCGGAGAAGATGAGTCACGAGAAGGTGATCACGATGAAGGCTCTGGGAGCTGAGATTGTCAGGTCGAAGGACGATGCCGCCTTCGACAGCCCGGATTCTCATATTGGCAAAGCGTTCGCGTTACACAAGAAGATTCCGAATTCGGTCATCTTGGATCAGGTAGGTGTTTGAGGCTTGTAATACATGTTTGTTGACCAAATGGTTCAATTTCTGGTGCCTCATCGTCAATTTTCAGTACATCAACTGTGGAAACCCGATGGTCCATTACGAATCCACGGCCGAAGAGATCATGGACTCTTTGGATGGACAGGTTGATATGGTTGTAGCTGGTGTAGGAACTGGTGGATCTATCACTGGATTGGCCAGAAAATTGAAAGACAAGGTACCAGACTGTAAGATTGTTGGTGTAGACCCCATTGGAAGTGTACTAGCTGACAAAAAGGACGACGATGTTGGAGCTCACTTTGAAGTTGAAGGTATTGGCTACGACTTCGTGCCTACTGTACTGGATCTCAGCTCTGTCGACGAATGGGTAAGATAATGGTGATGTACCGTAAACTGCATTGCTATACATTTTGGCACATTGTAAAATTTATGTTGGTTTAAAATTCTAACCTATTCATGATGTTCAATATACTTTTTCAGCAAAAAACCGGCGACAAAGAGACCTTTTTGATGGCCAGGAAGCTGAACAGGGATGAAGGAATCCTGTCTGGTGGTTCTTCTGGTGCCATTCTTTGTGGAGCTCTTAGGGCCGCGAAGCCTTTGAAAAAGGGCCAGAAGTGCGTTGTGATCTTGCCAGATGGTATCAGAAACTACTTGACCAAGTTCGCTTGTGATGACTGGATGGTGAAGAAGAAGTTCATGGAGAAGGTCGAGAACGGAATCTCCATCTTCCCCAAGGAAACCTTTGATATCTCCAAGGTCTACGATCCAGAATCCAAGTCTGATGCCGCCTTCCAGTCAATTTCTGGACCATGGCCTATCAGTCATGCCAGTCTATTTCGGCCAAAGATCATGGAAACGATCGATGGAGCGATCGGGAGAACTCCGCTGGTCAAGTTGAACAAGATTGCTGAGGAAGAAGGGCTGCAAGCTGAAGTTTGTAAGTCAATTTTAAGGTTTAAACATACGATAATCAAAAAATAGCTAGAAAATTTCAAATTTTGTAAAAGTTAGACATTAAACTTTATGTGAACGTTACTGTAACATTGTAATCTCTTTCAATTTTAGTGGTGAAAGCCGAATACATGAATGCAGGAGGTTCCGTCAAGGACAGAATCGCTTTACGTATGGTGCAATTGGCCGAAGAATCCGGAGTTCTGAAGCCAGGAATGACTGTGATCGAGCCGACTTCTGGAAACACCGGAGTCGGTCTGGCTATGATGTGTGCCATCAGAGGCTACAAGTGCATAATCGTGATGCCGAAGAAGATGAGTCAAGAGAAGGAGGCTACACTGAAGAGTCTCGGGGCTGTCATCGTCCGTACCGAGAACCACCATCACCATACTAGTGCGGATTCTCACATTGGCGTCGCTCTCCGACTTCAGAAGGAGATTCCTGGAGCTATCATTTTAGATCAGGTAAGGTTATATTTTCAAATACAGATGTGCAAGGTTATATTTATCGTAAATTTTGATTATGTTATCTGTTAAATAGGTATCTTTGGCTATTAGTTTTTACGATTATTTATCTTGTTTTAGTACCGAAACGTGGCCAACCCTCTAGCTCATTACGAAGGAACCGCGGAAGAGATTCTTTGGGCTACCGACAACAAGGTTGATGCCGTCGTTATCAGTGCTGGCACGGGAGGCACAGTCAGTGGAATCGCCAAGAGAATCAAGGAAGCCGCCCCATCGTGCAAAGTCTACGGGGTCGACCCGGACGGATCGATTCTGGCCGACCCATCGTGCAGAGAAACCCACGGCTACGAGGTTGAAGGCACCGGCTACGACTTTGTCCCCGCCGTTCTCGACCGGTCACTGGTCGACGAATGGATCAAAACTAACGACCAGGACTCGTTCACAACAGCCAGACGTCTGATCCGCGACGAAGGCCTTCTCTGCGGAGGATCTTCTGGAGCCAACGTTTGGGCCGCCATTCAAGTGGCCAAGAAGCTGGGCCCAGGAAAGAGAGTAGTTACAGTACTACCTGACAGTATCCGCAACTACATGACCAAGTTTGTGGATGACGAATGGATGAAATCGAAAGGATTCCAAGTCTAGAACAACTCCTTCTTAATCTTACATATCTCCATTGTTATCAGCTTTTTTGACCAGGTTTTACATAATCAGTTTGTTAAAATAAACGCTAATTAGCAATAAGTGTCACTTTTATCACATTGTTGTTTTGGTTTGGCCGTTATTATTCATAAAAGTTTAAAATTTCGTTTGTAAGATAAATAAAACTATTGATGTATTATATAAAAAAAACTAGCATTTTATTTATATGTTTACTTTGTCCTACTGTGACAACACATAATATTTGTATACAGAACTTTTACACTCCTAGTATTGTTTCGAAGCCAACGCTACACCGTGAGAGGCGGCTTCTAGGAAGGGCACGTCAACGTGTGGATTGGAGGGGTTGTCGCGGGCCGAACGAACGCACTCGGCCATAGTGGGGGAGGCTCGGGTGACAGAGTTGGTGACGAAGAAGTCGGCCAAGCTTTGTTGTCTTACTTGAAGCGATTGAGAGGAGGTTTCGTTCGAAGCCAGCTGGCTGGCCAGGTCAAGTAGCGTGCTGGATTCGACTTGGCCGTATCTGGTCAAGTGTGGTGCCATTTTGGTGAGTCTGTCTCTGACTTCTTCGATCGTGTCGTATGGAAGTTTGGCTCCAACGATCTCACTCAGCGCTCTGATGATCTTCCAGTCTGGTCGGGCATCACCTGGGGGTGGTACGGCAGGATATGTTCTTTGTGGACGTCCTTCAGTGTTGACGTAAGTGCCGGCCTTCTCTGTGTAAGCAGCTCCAGGTAGCACAAGGTCGGCGATGGAAGCTCCGTAGTCACCATGATGTCCTTGGTAGATGATGTACACGTCGGGGTGGAATTCCTCTCTCTTTAGGTTGTTCTCGTCCGATCCGACCAAGTACAACAATTTGATCTTCTTCTTTTCTTCGGCCGACAGCTTGTCCAAACTCTTGTATCCAATGTCCAAAGCCGCGGTCTGGCCCGCATTTCTTTGGAGCACGTTGAACCCGACGGTTTCAGCTAAAAATATAACGCTTTACTTTTTTAGGTAATAGATTATCTTGTATCATTTAATTCGAAGATATCTCTCAAAGAATTAATACACTTACCACCAGATTTTCTCAACTTGTCCGCCAGTTTCAGTAGTTGAGAGTGGAGTTTAGCTCCTTCAGATCCCTTCAATGCGTCAGCTCCAACAATGATAACTGGTCGCTTGGCAGACGCCAACCTCTGTAACATTACAATTAAACGTACAACAACGGCAATTGTCTAGCTTCACAAATAACATAATTAATTGAAGTACCTTTCCAAAATCGTTGGATCCGTTGGCAATTTTTGCGAGAGTCTTAGCGTTATCTCCAAGATATTCGTAATCGTAGGTCAGGTCAAGTTCTGATCCCAATACACCGATCTCAACATCTGTGTGGAGGAAGGCCTTGCGGATTCTGGCGTTGAACACTGGAGCTTCGTATCTTGGGTTAGTTCCTACTAACAGAACGTAATCGGCATTCTCAACCGACGTCAATTTGTCGTTCAACAAGTAGTGGGCTCTAAAGCGATGCAATAATAGATTCATATTAAAGTGCCAAGCTTACCAAATTAAAAAAAAAAGAAAGTAAAAACATAGTTTAGAATAGAAAATTATCAAAATCTTACCTCAAATCAGTGTTGTAAGAGAAGGATTCTTCGCTGTAGAGATGTTCTGAGCCAAACCTGTTCAACAAGTCTTTCAACGCAACAAGAGATTCTAAAAAATTGGTATCAAAACCACGAATAATAATATATTATGTTACCTAAAAATTTAAAAATAAAAAAGCCTACCTGCTTCAACCAATCCGCCAACCACACCAGCAAAGGCGTTTCCGTCGCTTTTGTTTTGTCTGATCTTCTGAGCGGCCGTGAAGAGGGCTTCTTCCCATGATGTTTGTTCAAGACCACCTGGAGTTTTGGTAAAGGGAGTGAGCAGTCTTTGTCGCTTAAGACCATCAACCACAAATCTGGCCTTATCACTGATCCACTCTTCGTTTACATCCTATAACACAAAATATAAAGTTAATTAAGAATAAGGCAAGGTAATCTCTAACGAAAGAAGAAGCTGCTTGAACAAACGTTTTACAAATTCGTTCGATATCTGTTTGGCACATTATCCTAAAAGTATAAATAACTGATAAAGAACTCACGTCATTCATTCTTGGGATGATCCTCATCACTTCTCCCGTTCTGTGGTTAACAACAACGTTCGATCCGACCGCGTCCATAACATCGACGGATTCAGTCTTTCTGTTCTCCCATGGACGTGAGATGAAGCTAAAAAAGAGTATAACAGTAAATTAGGTAACAAATTTATACAAATGAACTAAAAAATCAAATCGTTCACAAAAAATTATTTTAAAAAATTAAAAAATTTCTTTAAAACTGATAATTTAGGTAACAAACCCACCTTCCAGGCTTGTGAGTCAAAGCACCAACAGGACAGAGGTCGATTACATTGCCAGACAATTCAGAAGCAAACAACTTCTCGACGTAAGTGCCAATTTGCATGTCAGAACCACGACCAGTAGTTCCCAGGTCGGGAACACCAGCTACTTCATTGGCAAACCGTACGCAACGAGTACATTGGATGCATCTGTTCATGATGGTCTTCACCAAAGGACCAATGTTCTTGTCCTCGACACCTCTCTTACCATCAAACTCGTTCTGAAGACGAGAACGGTCTGATCCAAAGTTCATGGACTGGTCTTGAAGATCACATTCTCCTCCCTAAAACAATTAGAGATTAACTGTAATAATATACTCAAAAATCCCAGTATCCAACCAAAAAAAAACTTGATCAAGGTCATAAACAAGATAGTAACATAGCTAACCTGATCACAAATAGGACAGTCCAGAGGATGGTTGACCAACAAAAACTCCATAACACCTTCGCGAGCTTTCCTTGAAATAGCAGAGTCGGTCTTAACTTTCATGCCATTCATGACGGGCATGGCACAAGATGCTACAGGCTTGATTGACTTCTCTACCTCGACCAAACACATACGACAGTTACCAGCAATGGAGAGACGATCGTGGTAACAGAACCTCGGAATGTCCACACCCACCAAAGCACATGCCTACAACAATATTTCATAAAGCTGAAATAAATAAGATAGTGTACCTGGAGGTAGAAACTAAACATTATATCAAAAAAAGAAAGCTCACCTGAAGGATGGTCATTCCTGGATCGACCAGTACCTTCTTATCATCGATGAACACTTCAAACTTTTGTGGCGCCTGTGTTTGTTGGAATCTCACAGGCGTCCGTGCCCCAACTGTCCATACTCGGTGGGCAACTTTGCCCGAAGACAGCATCTATAACATCAAATAACATATATCTTCCAATTAAAACACAAAAAATGTTTACAAATAAAACAACAACACTACTTAATTAAAAAAACGATGTTCAAATTACCCAAACCACTATCAAACACCTTTCTTTCCCTTCTAAATTATTATAAGATATCCATGGCAAACAACCAATGACAAGATGCTTAATATCTCAAAATAAATTACTTTATTATGTAACATATCACAGTTTAAAAATATAATACAATATTCATATCTTATAAATTGTTTGGCTCCACCCGAATGTTTGGATTTGCGTGTGGATCAAACAGACTTTCATTGTCTGAAGATCGACCCGAAAAGACCCACAGCACCAAGAATATACCTCCAATAGCAAGCATGGCTATCAACGAGCGCTTAACTGTTTTTGGCAGCCGGCTGAATCTAAAAAATAAATTATAGTTACAAATGTTACCTAAAAACAAAAAATAATCTTTAAGAATAAATTACACTGTAATAAGAAAACAAAATTACTAAAACTAATAAATATAAATCAAGATTACATACCTAAAACTAGATTGCCTCTTAAGGTACTTCACATCGTTCAAATCACTGTCGTTTTGAATCAATGGGCGTTGTTCAACTGGTAACTGTGCCTGTTTTCCACGAGCTAAAGATAAATATGATTATAAAACAAACATATAATTAAAATATTGTTTTAACTGATGTTTAATCAAACATCAGTTAAAATAAGTTAACTTACAGGTTGTTTGCAAGCTCGGCCTCGTATCATAACTCATATCAACCGTAAAAGTCTTCTTCGGCAACTGTTTTTGCTCCAATACGTTATCCAGTCCTGCCTTCTAAAATATCCAGTTATACTTTGTTTATAAAATAAGTTATCTACTGTTGTTTAAACAATAAAAACCTAACTTAAACTTAAAATAACCTACTGGCTCCATTCCCAAACCCAATCGTCCCCAATTCACAGTGCTCAGCTTCTCCCTCAACCGTTCAATCACTGGAGACGTCTGATTAGCTGAAGGAAAGATCATATCCAAACAGCTCGGACATTTAAAAGTAGTTGGAGGTGTTCCCTCAGGCAGATTACCTACTCTCGTACTCAAACATGTCCAGTGAAAGTTATCTAAACAAAGAAAATTGAATATTTTACAAGAACTTACGTAGACACTTCAGTCGAACTGTTTCTTTAGCTGATAACGCTTCTGAACACAGAAGACATTTGGTATCATAATCACTGTCAGTTAGCCAAGACAGATAAGTCTGCACAACACACTGCAACGTTAAATTGTTAGACACCATGCAAAATATATTACAAATCAACTTTCAAAGAGATACATTATACATTGCCAACATAACACATTAAAAAACGTCTCTAAAAAACTTACAGCTTCGTGAACATCTACCAAACAATGTTCACATACATTTACACGATGCTCGAAGCAAAATAGATTTGTTGCTTTCCGTTTTGGACATTTACACAGTCCCATGACATCAACAAGATCTTGTTGTGCACCAATTTTCTTGATCCACGAAAAAATTTTATTTTTTTATTGCTCAGGCTTTTCGTTATGGGACCTAGAGCTTATACTCGCGTAATTCATTTTGAAACGAAAATTTTGACCGCGCCAATTTCTACTTGAATAACATCGGAAAAACTGTTTTTTTCTTGCTACATTTTAGCTTCTGGTCGTGGTCAAATGGACAATAGTTGTCGTACTCCTGGTGGAAGACCAACTTCGAAGGTAAGATTTTTTACATTGTAAAATAAGAATGTAAACTTTGGTGAAAACGATTTTTGGAAAATGTACTTTAGATAGGTAACATATCTAATAAAAAAAAAGTTTTATTTTCAGAGACCGAGATGCTTTTTGGCATCGGATGAGAATATGGAGGCTACTCACATCGAAACCACTTATACTGACGATTCTTTTGCTCAATTGATGGGTGAAGTAAATGAAAATAGCAGTCTGGAACAAATCAAAAACAAAACAGTTGAGGAGTCATTTAAGCTGGTTGATAATTTGGTAAGTATTACATTATTCTTCAGTTTTGTATTTAGGTGTGGTTGAAGATATGGCTTTTGTAATATTTTAGATATAGTAGCCTTTTTTTACGGTTAATGTATAAGTTTAAAAAGAAGAAAGAAAATTTATATTACTTTAACATAAAAGTTTTTATTTTCATTTTGTTTAATTATATGGCTTTATCTTTTTATATTGTTTTAGATCTGTCCCCAAGATTCCTTTCAACTTTCTGTGTGCGACGAAAGTCGAGAAAACGTAGAACCAAACAAATCTTTATCAGATTTCCATCATGAATCTATGGATGACAAAGAGAACACCGAGGTGGTCTCTAATACAATGAAGGAAGTTAGTATCACCGAAGAGTGCAGTACCAAGGAGGTCTCTGTTCTTAAAACTGAAGAAAGTAAAGTTGTCAACGAGGTGTCAGTGACCAGTCATGTTTTGGAGATATCTGTGGATAAGCCTGACTTAAATGCTTCTTCAGCAGCCAAAAGTGAAGCAAATGAGACACTCGAGAACAACCACGATGTTACAGTACGCTCAGTAAGAAATGATCACGGTAATGTTACCTTAGAAGTTGAGAAGTTCAAATGCGGAGAGTTGGCAGATACTCTGTATGAGGTATCTTGTAACATATCTACGAGAAATGAATACAAAGAAGAGTTGAGGAGGGTCATCGACGAGATGGACTTCAACATCTTAGAGTATTTCTCTTGTGCTAACGTTAAGAACGATGTCATCAAGACTAACTTGACAGAGTTGTTCAAGCTGGTTGTCAAGGCTGTTGAACAAGATAAATTGGTAGGTTATGGAGTAGATTTATTGTTGTAATTACTGTTTCGTCGCTTTCGTCAACGCACAAAAGTTTAGTTTTAAATTTTTTCAAGGTTATTGTTTTACACTTGTTGTAATCTCTGTTACTTTACGTTTTAGCGTTGTTACCTGATATTTTAAACTAATTTTACAAAATATTTAAGGAAAGCGTTAGTGCGTATTACAAGCAGAATCAAGATGGGTACGAGTTCATGCTGGAAGAGAACAAGAAGAAAATAAAGGGTTTGGAATGTCAGGTGAGAGACATGTTGGACGATCACAAGGAAGATATTGAGAAACTGAAGGCACAAGGTGAAAGGGACATGGAAGAATTGAAAGAAAGTGTTGAAGTTTTAAACAAAGCTCTGGAGGACGAGAAGATCGTGGCCAAAGAGTTTGGGGAAACTGTCGACAAACTGAACGTTGAGCTTCAGAAGAAGGATTCTGAGATTAAGGAACTGAAGGAAACGGCTGATGATGTGAAGTTTGAGCTTCAGAAGCGGGACTTTGATATCAGGGAATTGAAGAGTCAGATAATCGACAAGTCAGTGGTCGATAACATGGAAAGTGAAAACAAGAATTTGAAGCAAGAACTTCAGAAGAAGATACAAGAGGCGGAAGAGCTTCATAAGAAGGTTCAAGAAGGTAACAAGCTTCAGCAGAAGGCATCAACAGCTACTGAGTCTGGAAACGATCAGAAGTTGAAGAAGAGACTGGCTTACGTAAGTTTTTTTTGCGGTATTTGAAATTTATAGGTAGTCTTTTATGTTTTAATAATATATCGTACTTTTAACTGTTTTTCTTTGCTTGGCTATAATAACATCGCGATCAATCCTTTGCTATCTGACGTGGTATTTTATTTTTCTAAACCTTGTCGTATTAAAAACTTTGTGTCAACTTTTGAAGGAAAACTTGAACTTTTAAAAATATTTTTTGATTAAAAATGACGTATATTATTGTAAGTACATTTTCTGACCGACGGACACGTGTGGTGTTGCTAAACATAGCGGACATACTAATCGTATAGTGTGAGTGTTTTGGAGTATACGTAATAATATTATGTTTTCAGATGGAGATGAAGAACAAGGAAGCGGCGACACAGTTAGCCGCTCTTGACAGTCTTCATGCCGACAATCTGAGTCTAAAATACGAGCTGGGCCTGTTGAAACTAAAAGCGGGTGTAATCACATTGTCCGAAGCCAAGAAATTGTGCGGGGAAGATGTGGAAGCCCAGCTGAGGGAGTATATTAGTGGTCAAAGCCACATCTAACACATGTTTATATTTGTAGTATTTATTAGCCGTAACTCGATTAAACCTTGCGTTAACTGGGTTTGGTTGTTAATTTTAGTTTTTGGTGTTTTTGTTTGAATGTAAGATTAGATTATACTTCCAGGATTTAAGCTATTTTTGATGTTGTGGCAGATGATGAGTACATTTTTTTAAATACATTTTGGAATTTTAAAGAGGGGTTTGGGCATGCTAAGAAATAGCAAAAAGCGGTTGGACCAGCCAGGTCAATGGTATTACCTAAAATTGTAGTTTTGGTTGTTTTGAAGGAAGTAGAGGCAGCCAGGTATGGTTGTTTGTCATTACACATGACGTCTGGTGGAAGATGTTGAAGCTCGTCCACCCGGAAAAGGAGTAGGCCGAGATTTCCGGCCTTACCTGAAGAACGCTGGGGCCTCCTGTTTCCATGTCAAAATGCCGTCATTTGGCTCGTCTTCCTGCGTGCAAAGTTTCGTCTTTGAATCCGGCTCGAGGCGTTTTTCGCGCTTTTATTTATGGCGGACAATTGGCTGGCATCCGGCTGAAGGAGGACCCGCTTGTCTAATTGCTTTGTCCCGGGGTCATAAAAATTAGTCGTGACGTTGCGCCGACTTCTGGAGAGGTGTCATCTCGGATTCGCGTCGAGTGGATATGGGTCTTACCATAATCCGATGGAGAATATGATATTTCGTACTTTCTGCGTTTTACAGATTTTTTAGGGGCTTTGACTGGTTTAGTCATCATTTTTGTAGATTTTGAGTTTTAGAAAGGTGGTTCGACTGGTCAAAAGGATTATGGTATAAAAAAGTTTAGAAATTATTTTTTGTTTTCTATACAATTTTTGACCGAACCACGACTGAAACAGTTCAAAATTGAATTGAGATTAGCCTCGCTGTTATAATACGTTTGTCTGTTTAATCATTCCGGCCAGAAACTTGGCCCCAGCGTGATGCCATTTTATATGGTAGGAACGTTGGAGGAACGCTGAATCAAGAAGCGTTTAACAGCATGTTTCCCAAATTGAATTCTATTTGTGGTGGCCGTTCACTGTAGCCTGTTATTATATAATCATGTCGTACTTGTTCGAGAGTCGCGTCATGTCCGCGTTCAAATGCATGGTACGTCACATTGGGTATGCAGATGTGATGTGTCATGCATGCCGAGTTTGCACTGCTTTTTGGTGCAGGATCGCTTTCCGGCCGGAAATTTAGGAAAGTTTGGGTTTTGAAGAACTTTTCAATTTCGAAATTCAAAATTAAAATTTTGAAATTTTAAAAAATCTGGCCTGAAGCAATCCTGAACCTGAAAGCTTCTGATGTCCGTTAATAATGACGAAACAGGTCGTTCAGGTGAATGCGCTATGAGCGTCGGTCAGCTCGGTTTGGGTGAGAAAAAGCGACTGGTCGGTATCGCCATTCTGATCCTGTGCACGTTGGGGCTGACTTCAGAAGCCTTCAGCATCCGCGAGTTCGTTCGCGTCGGCAGTAAACGAAGGGACGGTGAGCCAGGTAGGCGAGGTCGGTCACAGTGAATAGTGGTTTAAGTTCAGTCAACTGTCCCACTTGGCACCCGTTCCAGTGTCCCAATGGCGATTGCATACCTATAAAGTACCTGTGCGATGGGTCGCCCGACTGCTCCGACGAGTACGATGAGAACAAGAGCATGTGCACAGCGGGTACGTTGATTTGTGAATATTTGTACCTAAAATTAAATTTTCAAATTTTTTTTAAAATTTGATTTTTTGCGATAATCACTATTGCCATCATAGTTGTTATCAGCTTTACATTCTATACCTACTTCTTAATTTTACACGTCATAGTGTTCATCACCAATAGTCTGTCATATTACTCATTACCATTTCGAAACTTTTAATCCGAGTTTCGGTTGATCTTTGTTTATCGACTGAAGCCATTTCGAAGTCATTTCGAATTCCAATAAAAAGTAGCCGAGTGCAGCACTTGAATTAAGACGCCATTTGCGGCATTTATCTTCTCGAGTACGATCTTCTTGAATCCATAAAAAGCACATTCTTTAACATAGTACTAAATGATCCTCTTCTAAAGTTCATAGTACTAAAATGTCTGTTTTGATAAATTGTTATGACCTTACATGTCTTCTGCATGTTAATATCGTCATTTGTAATGTTTTAATGTAGCACTAATGGGTTTTTTGCAGTTGCTACAGATAAAAACGCTTAGATATTAATCACCTCTAAGGTCTTAGCTAGGTTTCTTTCAAACTGTGAGCCATTTTCTACAGATCTTTCATACCTATACCTCTAAAAATCTCTTGAGTCTGTCATTTTAAATCTGTTTTCCAAATCAAAACTCTGTAAAAGCTTCTAGAACCCTCTATCTCAATATAACTCTTTCAAAACGGATCCCACTAAATACAATATGCAAATGCCCTAAAGGCACGAACCGTCGAATGACTTCCGGCGTTGAGCTGTTAATGTTTTAGCCACCCGTCCACCTGTGGAAGAGACCGCCGCCTTCCTGAAGGCTCTCCTCAACGCTCATGGCAACGACTTTTTAATTAAATTATTTGGCCCTAAGGCGCGAAATCAGTTGAAGGACATGGGTGGAGTGGACCAAGTTGCCGTCTCACTTTCACGTAGGTTCAGCGTGACGTGATGTGCTAAATGTTGTGCTAAATTTGAATTCGTGCAGAGTTTACTGTAGGTTTTGGAAGTTAAGTTTCGGGTCAAATTTAAAATTAATTTTGTTACCTAAAATTAGGTTTTTTTTTTAAATTCGTTACCTAAAATTAGAGTTCTTTCATTTTGTTACCTAAAATTAATTTTTTGGTCATAAATTATTTTTTTTTGCAAAATTCGCGAATTTTTTAGATTTTTTTAAAACTACAGTAGTATTAGAAAATGTAAGTTTTAAGAACTTTTTTAAATAGTGAACGACTAAAATCTTAACCTTTGGGACCACTTTACACTATATATATAGCGGTCATTTTAAAAAACACTTGACATGTTTTTGCAATTCCTAACATAGACATCATAAAAGTTTTGTCATATTTTGACATTTTTTGATGTTACGCGTCTCCTAAATTAAGATTAGACATCATATTATTGTTTAGTGCTCTACTGCAAGGTCTGTTAGTTCATAACAATGTCTCTTTCTTAATAGCGATGTGTGATGTCCGTGTGGGGGTGCAGAATAACTTTTAATTCTGGTTAATGCCGAAAATAATATTCGTATATACGGACATACGAAATGAGCTATGTGATGCGTGATAGTAGTAGTGGTTGTATGTTGTAGCTTTAAGTCATCTTATGTTAGAGGAATATTGTGTTAGAGTAGTCACCGTAGCTTTTAGACGTTGTGGATTAGAGTAGACATCGTATGTTAGAGTCATCGTAGCTCTAAGATATCATATGTCAGAGTCATACTGTGTTAGAGTAGTCATCGTATGTTGGAGTCATCGTATGTTAAGTCAGTTAATTGTTTTCAGAGTCTCCGACGATCGAGCAATTTGCCAGCGAGATGCATCTGGACGCGGCCGAGATGGAGAGTATGGCCGACGTCCTCGAGGCCATCGTGTCCGGCGGCCCCACTTCGGCGCTACTGCCCAACGAAGCCGCCGACTTCAGGTTCTTCGTGCAGAAGCTGCAGGAGACGGGCTTCTTCTGACCGGGCGACCTTAATAAACAAGCTTTCCGATATTAAAACTATGTTAAGATTATTGGGTTTACTGTGTTAGGGTTGTTCCATATAAATATTTTTATTGCCTACTGTAATATCGCTACCGTCAACGCTCAGATATGTAGTAATAAACACAAAAGATACGTAGAAAGTACGATGAAAGGGGTCACAGTAAATGATATGAAATCCATAATTAAGAGGCTTACAGTACGATATAGTAGAGAACAGTAAATGCTATACAACCCTCAATATGACAAATTATATCATATATCTCTTTACCCTATGTAGACGAGTACATATGCGTAGGTTTGGATATGACGTTTGATATAAGAAAGACGTTTTTAAAGATTTGGTACAAAGTCAAGGTAACATACATATAAATACCATGAATATAAATTCATTGGTCAAAAAGTTTCTAGAACCTTAAAAAAATAATATTCTGCCCAAATTTTTTCTTTTCCTTTTGACTTTTTGACCAATCTAACATCACATTATAGTATGTTCATAATTACATTAAGTACAGAGTAATACCATAAAAGTAAAATACTCTTTGTGATCTTAACCTTCCCGTCCAATTACAGTAGCCGTAAGGTCAGTAGAAGTGACTTGGAAAGCGGATCCCATAGAAATTGGTTCTCCATCGATGGCCACATACCCACCTGAGTTCGGAGCCGGCTCCACTCGACAGGCTGTTACGGGTATCATCTGAAATTTTATAAAGTACATTAATTTAATTTATTCTTTGCATACGGAGGATCTATATTCAGTGATACTTATATACTTATACCTTCTCAGCTTATAAACACAATCCCCTCCCCTTCCCTTCCACTCTCTCTCACAAGAAGAAGCCAATACCTACCTGAAAGCACTCGTGATCCAAATGCAGACATTGGTCGATAGTGATTAGGAGATGTGCAATATGAAACCGTGACTTTATCGTTCTCCAATCCACCAAACTCAAGTACATGATGTCACTTCCCAGCTTGGCAGACGGACAGTACGGTAAGTCGCTACCAATGTGTGATATGGATGACAGACATACGAAGGCATATTCCCCTTCGATCACCGTCCAATCTGATGGCACTGGGTCTTTGAGGCGGGGGAACTGAAGAAACTGTCATCAAAATTGAATTTACTATAACATCATAGTTAAACATTTACATTTTAACCATTTATAGATGGTTCTAAGATCAAAATAAGTAGTATCAACACTTTTAAATGGCAAGGTTATCACATATACAATATGTTACCTCGACTATCACTACTATTATATTACTACATTATATTCATACAGCCACCACTGATATCCTACCTTATTCCCACTGTCATTACTGTCCTCAAAAGCTTTCTGTAGACTTTCCACACCTCCAGCCTTCGCATCTTTAATGTCATCGTATTCCTCAACAATATCTGTTCTAAAATACGCTGCTCCCAACCGGCTTCTGACTTCAGATGCCTTTATTCTGGTGTTTCTGGAGAGTTGCTTGTTTTCCACAGGCTTATACGATATACGACCCTTGTAGGTGGCTACAGAAGGCAGTTGAGCTACACGAACAAAGGCTTCGATATGAAGCCGAGACAGGCCTGCCCAACGAAATCGTTCACTTCCGAGGTCTGAAAGTGGGTAGAACAACAGTAATATTTTTTGACCAAAATAGTTCAATTTACCGCAACCTATGCCCTTTTTGACCGCAATATCAACAAACCCATTAAAGTGACACTTGTGCTTTGAACTTTGCACTACTTTGTTACTGTTTACCATAAAAGTAAAGTAATTACCGATGTCAGCGATTAATCCCCAAACGGCGGTCAGAAACATTAATTTAGGTCCGTCCTTCTCGGTTTCAACGTGGTAAAGCCTTAAGGGCTTGTAACTCGGCCTTCCAATCATCAACGCCATTTCTGGACAGAAATTGCCTCGGGGCGAAAAAGGTTCACTGAAATACGAAGGTTTACTGTAACATGGTGTGTACATACGGTAAAAAATAAAGTCATCTTTTCAAACCTAGTACTACCAAAAAAAATCTTTTAAAATCAGATACAAATACAGTATTTTACCTCAATGCCAACCTTTCAAAAATAAATAAAACCATTTAGAAATACGCAAAATAAAATTACAGTAATCCTACCCAGTTTGAAAAGCCACAGCAGCTGCCAAAGCATTAGCAGTACCAGCTGGAATGTGAAGCAATGGTATCTTCAAGGCTCGTGCTCTGTCAGCACGAGTGATCAAACCAGTTAGCACTTCTGATACTAGCCCATCTCCACTCAGTATTACTATAGCCGTAAAGTCATTCAAGTTCATCTCCTGTACTATCTCTGTCGCGTGCTGTACGTGTTCTAAAATTAGTGTAAGGTATACTTTATTCTCTTATATTCTCAACATATCCAATGTTTATGTCGTATAGCATCTTTGTAAACATATTTTTAAAGTTTACTATCCTTACCTGTCTTGACAATAGTATAATAAACCCCAGCTTCATCAAACACAGGTCTACAGTCCCCTTCCCATCGCTTCTGGGACCGTTTTTGACCACTAAATGGATTCAGCAGTACCAACACTCTCTTCTGCTTCGTAGCAACTTCAGAAGGCTTGTGGGCTAAAAGATAGAAACACATTATCCAAAGTTAACACCTTTGGACTAAAAGGTATCATTAACTAACGTTGCAGTACCATATAAGTGCAGTAAGAAAAAAAAGTTACAGTAAGGCTACATTAAATAAATTAAGTGTGCAACACCGAGTATTAACTATGCAAAGGTACGGTAACTTTAAATATGCAAAACTCTGAAATCTGCGGTAAACAATAACATACGAGGGACCTTGTTATAGCTCATCTGCTTTGCATAAGTTGTCAAGGTTTGTTCGTCGCCCTTCAAGTTCACCACCATTCTCTTCCTCTGACCGTTGATCAAGGGATAACAGATCACACGAATACTTCCTTTCTGAGGTTTCACACCAACTACATCGTTGACGTTGATGTTCAGGGATTCTGTCTTCAAAATATTCTTATCAGAGATCCATAATGGCTGATCAGTAGCCATAACTGCCCGAGAAAAAGATATTAAGCATAGATTGTGGTATCTTATGTTATTTACGCTGCTATCAAATAAAAAAGGTCGCGCAAACTGCGCCCTGTATAAAGGGAGTCAAAGTGTGTCTTTTTGTAAGTTTTAAAAAAAGTAATTCAGCTTATAAACAAAAACGGCTCTGACCATACCTTTTATTAAACACGCCGAATATTTGCTTTTAAAAAACAATCTTATATTATAATAAATGAAAATAAAAATATCTTGACTTATTATAGATAAACTACAATTTATAGCAATGTCATAACCACAAATGTTCAGCGCGATTAAAATTTATTATTAATTGAGATTATTTACATAAAATCGTTATAAAATTAATTAGAAATTGCAAATTTTAGTTAAATTTTGTAGATGCAGCCTGTTGTCCTTGTTCAGAAACTCCAAATTATCTCTTCTGAAAGTAAAACATGATAACTACGATCATCGACTTCTGTTCGTTTTCAAATTTTAATTAATTACCATATATTACGCTAAAAAATAAGAAAATAAGACAAAAACTTACGTGACAACCATAGCAAATTTGAAATGAAGTTGTTTGTACGTAGCGACAAGAAATTGCAGCCATTTGTCAACTTCTCGAACAGTTACCGGCGTATACAAGGCTTCATCTGGCTCCAGACTAGTTATTGTGACAAACTCAAGATCCCGAGGGTAGCCATTTTCACACATCGCCATTAGCAGGTGCTTGGTACTATAATTATGCAAATGAAACAGTAAACTACAAACAAAACTCTTCTACATACATTATGCTTTACTTCTCAGCCAGTATGCTTTATTATTGAATATTACTCTAAATAATTAAAAGAAAAATCATGCTTGAGTGTGTTTTAAAAATGATCCCTTACCTCCCCACGTTCTTGTAGGTGAGATGCTTGTAGAGCTTACGTGACCTTTCCTCTGATAAATCATGTCCTTTAGCCAAGGCCAAGTGTACCATAATGTCAATCTTTCCAAACTTATTTTCGATTTCAAGCATTTGTTCTTTAACTGCAGCTTTGTTAGTGAGATCAAACTTGACAAAGTGAATACGATCCAGAATCTTCTCCATTCCTCTCTTTACCTCCTAAAACAATATCTAACTATTAAAACATATTTATCATTACTTATGTTTCTAATATTTTCTCTAACAAATAGGGGTAAACTAGATCAAAACATATAGTTCACACTAGAGCTTACCTCTTGAGAGAAGTTACTGGCATTGTGAACAACAACACAATAGTTCTTTTCTAAAAATCCTCTGGCAATGTCAGCTCCCATGTCCACAGTAACATCTAAAATCAGAATAATCTAGTAAAGTAAGGACTTACTAGTAATCATGGCCACTGGATGAGTTTTACTGGTCGATGGTTGGTTTTCCTTCGATTCTGAGTGTTGTGCTTCTGATATTTCTTCAATTTTTTCGACAAATTTTCCGGGCATCAGACCGTTCTGAAAATCATAACTTTTTTTAAAAATATAAGGGAAGTTAAGTTGATCAAAGTTACTGCGGTATTTGAAAGCTTTCAACAAACAAAATAAAATATGACTCACATTCATAACATTCCCAAGATGCTTCTGTCTGGCCATGTTCTGTTTATAAAAAGCGTCTTCTCTGATCCTCATAAGCCGATCCTGCTTTATTTCTTTGAATCGCTCGTCTCCAACCAGAATCTGTAAAGCTTTATCTTCGGCCCTCAAACTGAACGTCGACAGATCGTTATATGGAATCGGATATTGAAGCTAAAAAAGAAGAAAGTTTTAAAAGTGAGTCGTAAAAAAAAAACACTTGCAGTCCAACAATTTAAGCGAAAAAGAAAGCCTTTGTCTTAATTACTGACCTTTCGCAAATCTTCTATGCCTAACAAAACTCACCTCTGGAGGCAAAAGCTCATTAGGAATGCGAACTGCACCATGGTATTTGACAATGACTGGAGCTTCTTTAGCAATGAACCGCACTTCGACAGCTGCTCCATCAATACGTTCAGGTATCAACCCATCAGTATCAGAAATATACTTAAAATAATCGTTTTGGAAAGAGCCATCACTCGCTCTGTTCAAAAACATGTAGACGTAAACCTTGTTATCCTTGGTTACTCTAGTGGGCAGTAAATGTTTATATACTCCAAAGTTTCTGTACTTCTTTTGGCCGTGGAAGTCGTATCTTTCATGTTCAATCCACAAACCTACTTCCACGTCGCCTTTCTGTGCCTTCTTAACCTCCAGAAGAGCCCTGCCGAGTTTGGAATAAGTTCTGACACACTTTTCGTCGTTGTCCAGAACCAAAGATATCTAAACAACATCATGTTAAATACCTTGTCTTAAAAACTTTATAAAAGAAGCTACACAAACATTAAATGCGCAGATCTAAATTAAAGAAATGAAAGATAAAAACTCACAAAGTTGCCGTTAGCCAGACGACTTCTCATTTCAGAGTTAATGTACGACTCCATACATGATTTTAGATAGTTCAAATTGCGCTCCTTAGTTTCGGCCTCCGTCATGTTAGTCAGAAAAATAGTTAGAGGTTAGCTTTAGCTCGAAACAAGAAATTATACGATAAATATTCACTGTACTTTGAAATATTCCAGATATAATTTTTGTTACTTAACAACAACTGCGCCCACAACTTCCTTTCTTACAAAGACATTTTATACGCTGAAAAAATGTATTTTTGTTACCTGATAAATACGATCTGATCAAAATGCCTGAAACTGCTAAACATGCCGAAGATGTTAGTTGAAAACAATATTTATTACTTATTTACATTCAAAACGTAAGTGACATGTTTTAGGTAATGTTACGCTACTCCAGAGAACTTTGCTGAACCTGTTGACCGTCGACGGAATCTGACTGCTTCAATGTTCAACATTGGTTTATCACAGTTTTCTTTTTCGTCCATCATCTGCCATGCGGCCGATCTGAAGGTAACGATTATATAAGTTGATATATGGTTGATTTACAATAATATTTTAGGTATTAAAATAACAATTTTGATCACAAAAGTAAAGGCTGTTTATGTTAAGCTAGATTAGTGTAAAACAGCTTTTATATACCTATTTTTTACTCTTAACTCCAAGTTAATTCTTACCTGTAAATTTTCTGATGGATAACGTCGTGCATCTTGGATACTTGATAGTACTTCTCGAACAACTGCCTGTACCAGTACTCTTCTTTTGTTTCAGGACAATGCCACGGGAATGCGCTGAGTTTTGAGTCCATTTTGACTTCAGAAATGAGATTATCAACGTAATCGTGGACTATCGTGCCCAAACACATCTTGCCGAGAGCTTCGCTGAAGCCTTCCTTGCTTCTCCACAGCACATCGTGAGGTATCCAGCCGTCAAATGCTTTGCGTAGTAAGTATTTCTCCATTTTACCTGAGGACAGTTTGAATCTGAAGATGTTTTGAGTTATTATAATTTATTATGGCATGAATTCATGTTGTTTTATGTTTAAAAATTAAAAAAATTGCGGTTTAACGCAAATTTTTGATTGTTTTAGGTAATATTAGTTATTTGTAAGTCGTCTTTTGTTATTAAAAATTTAGAAAAGCTTCATGCTTGCTATATTAGCAACTTACTTTGGCGGTAATCGAGCACAGAAGTCGATAATCTTCTTGTCCAAGAACGGTACCCGAATCTCCAGACCGTGGCACGATGTTGCCCGATCACATCTGAGAACATCATACTGATGCAAGTGTTTTAGTCTTCTGATGATCTCTCTGTGTAGGTATGCGGTGTTGGGGGCATTCTGCATGTAGGCATAGGAGCCGAACAGTTCGTCCGCCCCTTCCCCGGATAACAACACTTTGACGTCCGAATGCTTGGCGATGTGTTTGCAGAGGAGATAATGGGCTACTCCGCAGCGAATAATCAGCGGATCGAATGTCTCGAGCGCGTATATCACTTCGGGGATGATGGCCAAGCACTCTTCGGGTGTGATGATCAAGATCTCGTGGGCGATCCCCAGATGTTCGGCCACTTTGCGCGCCATTTCCAGATCCGGAGAGTCTTCGAAGCCTACGGAAAAGGCTACTGGCTTCACGTCTGTTAGGTATTGGGAGGCGATGGCCGCAATTAGAGAACTGTCAAGCCCTCCGGACAACATGAAACCAAACTGTCGGTTACCCATTAAACGTTTGTGGACTGAATCAACCAGTAGATTCCTGATGGTCTCCTGAAGTTAAAGGTTAGTAAGGAACTACACGAAGCAAAAAAATGATTGATTTTAATTAGGCTACCTAATGTGCCTTACTGAATGGACTTATTTAAAACAAAATACATTTACAAGATCAACAAACTCACGATAGCTCCAGTAGCATCCACGGTCAAATTAGGAATAGATGGTACAAAGTAGTACTGTCTGATGTGGACCGGCGCTTTGTTGATCAACTGTGACAACTTGATCTGGGCACAACACCCTGGAGGGAAGTACTCCACCTTCTGTACCAGCTGTGAGATACACTTGACTTCTGATCCGAACACCAACGAACCGTCGTTCTGGAAGCCGTAGAACAGAGGTCGTACTCCGAGAGGATCACGGCCAACATTCAGACATTCTCCATCCCACAAAGCGAAGGCGAATACACCGTCCAGGGAGCTACACGTCTTCTGAAGGTCACCGTTGTAGAAGCGGAACGAGTGGAGGATGGCGGCACAGTCGGATCCACCGTTCTCAACGTCATGATGGTCGAAGCCAGACATCTTCTTCAAGTACTCATGGTTGTAAATCTCCCCGTTACACACTACTTGTTGCCCTTTGTAACAGATGGGCTGGTTTGAGGGCTCGTCTCCTGGCTAAAAATAACAAAAAGAGGTTTTAAAGTATTGGGAGGTCAATCTGGATCTGAATAGAGTTGTTCAAAACCTAAAATTAAAGAAAAAATCTTACAAAAAAGTAAGACTTTGGTTTATACATTTCACAGAAAGGTACCTTTTGAGTTTTCTATATCTATAACTTATAAATATAAACCAAGAAAGTGACACTATGTAACAAAACCTTACTCTGACAATGGCCAAACGATGAAACCCGAGCACCACATTCTTATGTACGGTCTTGACGATGGTGAAGTCGGGGCCGCGGCCAACAATGGAGTCGAAGCTGGTCTTGTGAAGCTTTGGATCGTACTCGCATCCGAACAGTCCCCAGATGCCGCACATTTTCCCAAGACAAAGGCTGTTGTGTGCTGAAAATGGAGTAAAATACGACACTGAAGCGTCTGTTTCATTCGAGTATAAACGGATTTACTGATTTCGGTTATATACAATATAGATACAAAGACCACGTTCTCAGTTGGAGAAATGAAGCGAATTGAGTAAAAGATTTGACCAAAAAACCTTGGTATGGCCAAGAGATGACTAACATAGACCCAACGTTTTTAAGTTCAAGTACGAACCGAAATGAACGCAAAATACCACCAAAACGACCAGGTATACGGGAGATAACTAAAATACAGACCACAACTTTTTTTACTTTTGTCACGCTCGCGAACGGCCGAGCCATCAGCTCGTGAGTTTGTTTTAGGCTCGCCTCGGCTGAGAACACTTATTTATAGTGTACGATTTGTAACATATGCAAATAACAGCTGCACGAAAAGCGAGATCAACAAGGTCCGGTCCGGGAACCACTAATAACCGCTCGGGATCCCGGACTGACCACGCCTGTCGATGGCCGGCTCCTCTTGAAACCGGAACGGTCTCTTCGTTCAGCCTACGACAACACATAATGGCCATTGTGAGGTTAATATACTGATTGTCATACCAATTGTCGTATACTAAAGGACCTTTGTTGCTATCAGAGGAGATAGACCTTTTGTTGCTAGATACTAATATCCTTGTGAAGGTGGCCGCGTGGCTGTAGGCAGGAATCAGCTGGTTGCACTCTTAAGTTTCGTGCCATTCGACCGACTTTCGACATGCTCAAGTGGCGGGACAACCCCGAACTCGGTGAGTAACATGTAGTTGATGGGGGAAGGTTACTTGATTAGCTAATAAACTGGCTTTGCAAGACCTATAACTACTTCTTTTTGATCAAAGCACTATATTACCCTTGATCAAAAGAAGTATATTATGATAGGCAAAAAGAGCTATATTATTTTTGATTAAAGGCACTATCCTTGTCTGATCAAGATAATGTCCTTGATCCAAAAAACCCGAATGTACTTGCTTGATCCAATTGCTCTTGGCTACTTTGGGCCCTTTGATCCGGTCCCGGGAACGCAAATGCTAATTAATTGGCACAAAATGGACCAGCACCTGTCTGCAAATTCGAAAAACGGTCAAAGATGGCCCAGTAATTAGTAGGGGCCATTACTTTTGGAGGGGTGATGAAAGGTACGTGAAGGCGGATCTTCTCACGTACTTTTCGAGGCGGGGATTGCCTGGTTTGATGGGGCTTGATCACATTAATTTCGGAAAAGTTAATAGGGTTAGGGGTAATATAACTACTGAGAAGGGGGTTCCAGGAAATTCGCTAAAATTTTTTAGGGTGGGGGGGGGGGGGGGGGGTAAAAGATATTTTTAATATAACACGAATAGGTACCCTTAAGTTCCTTCTCTTATAATCTTGGGAAAATGGAAGTTATCTCAGTAAAGTTCAATATCAAAGTACTGCGCCAAACCCAAAATATATGACACAAGAAGCCGCGTAGGACACGAGACGATACGGTAGGAAATGCGAACGCCAAGATTTTATTTATGAAACACGAAACCGCGCGGCCGAAGCGTCGACACCGCGGCTTCAGAAGTACCCGGAAGTGGCTACTGCGTTTCTTTTATATCAGCTGTGCTGTGGCCACTCCCGCTTCTCTCGATCTCGCGCGAGAGGTGAGTCACTATCTGGAACAGTAGATTTACAGTGTTTACTGACGTTATCACTCTCCAATGCGTCACCTGAAACGTGTCGTCCACAAACAGATACGTGGAAATGCAACACGAAACGCGACCGTCGTATTCGTGCTTGCTTCGAGATACGACAGGTGACATGCCAAAGTACAGATAATTGCAAAGAATATCAGGTGTTAGCAGTTATTACAGTATGGAGTTATAGGAAGTAGCAGATAAGGCTTTAGACAGTGGGTAAAGTGCTACAAAAGTCATCGTATGACACGTATAGTACCTTGAAAATAAAAAAAATCTAAAATAAGATAAAAAATGGTAGTAAACAGGATCATTCTGATCTATATTATTATACTTGCTAATAGTTAAAGATATTTAAATGTAATCAAAAGTAGAACCTTAGACAGAAACATATTTACTGTCGCGGATTATAGGTATCTGATTTAGGAGTGAGATGCTTAAATAAGACTTAAAAGTAAACAATAGTATTAGTGAAGTCTACGATCCGACATGTTTTGGGATTGCTAATCGCTCAATTATAGTCGGTTTACATTACGTATATCATAAATCGAAAGTTTTATACATAATCACGTGAGATCAAAGGTAAAATTTAGTAATATTGACTGTTAGACTTTGTTAGGATATGATTGGGATACTAAGGTAAAAAATGACGGGATTTTTAGGTTAAAGTACGGTAGGATTAGGTACGGGAGGGTTTTTGGGAAAAGGGTGATGATAAAAGGGTTTTGTTGAACCTCATATTATTGTAGGTAAAATGGAGTAAAAAAGTTAAAAATCTGGCATTTTAAAGTGTTTCTTTTTACTTTTTGACCTTTTCATTTGTCGTGTATGATAGGAATTGGCTTATAACTGCGTTTTACTTTGGTAAATGGAAAGCTTTATATGAAAACTACATAGTAAATCAAAAAGTTAAGTGCTAGTTTTCTGCAGTGACTGAAGCCCACTAGGTTAACGAAGATAAAAATGTTATCGGTAGAAGTAATTTTAAAAATGTATGACTTCTATTATCAGATAATAACAATAATATTGAAAGTATGGGTAATAAACCCTGTAACATACGTGTAAAGAATAGAGTTTACAGTACCATTCCTGTAAAGAATAATGGTTGTTAACAGAAATATTCATGTAAATACAGATATGACTGTTAACAGTACCAATAACGTAAGATATAATATGCCTGTAATATGGCCGCTCGCATAAAAAGAGTTGGAAACCTGAGCATTTCCGGAACAATTGTTTAGCGACGCTGAATTCGAGAAGTTCGGAAGCGCTTAATTCATGCGCGAAAAGTTGTTTAGGCGGAAGCTGACGCCTCCTAAGATCATTCGACCGTCTGGCCGTCCAAACAGTTTGGACCAGCCGGCTCAGCGAAACCGGTGTTGGCCTTTAAGCGATTTTAAATACTTATAAGTGCGGTGGGCATGGGTTTGGGTTGTTGGTCTTGAACTTCAGGGGCTTTTAGAGTGTACTAACGGGCAAGTTGTTTTAGCAATGGTTCTGTGAGTAATCAGTAACTGGACAAAAAGTATATAGAATGGCCATATTTATACTGATTTTGGCTGTTTTTGGTTATGGCATAGTTTCCTTTACAATTTTCCTCAACTTTAAAAATATTATGTTTTACTGCCCACCCCCACCCACTAATACCCATAAAATCTCTGCACACAACTCCTCTCCTCTAAATACCCAAAAACCGTCTGTCAATAAGGCTCTGTAAACACATAATAACTGTTGTCGCAACGGCTTACTCGGCCATGCTTGTAACCTCGAATGACCGTTCACTTTGTTGTAGACCCGCTCGTTCGAATGTCGGCCGTGCACCCAGTCGATGTAGCCGTCGATCCACAAGTGTTCACCAGCATCAAGAACTTTGCCCCCACCAAACACTTCAGATGGTTCCCTTCGTATCGCTCGTTGACAGCTGTCATGTTGTGTATGTGCTTCGCAAGGTGAGATTTATGGTCGTTGGGGGTAGACTTTGTTGTTTTAGAGACATTGTTGTTACCCAATCAATTATACTATTTATATTAAACGAGCTATTTACGTGTACATCAACATGTATAAAGTAGAGTAGGGTTAGGGGTTGAGTCATGATTGATTGAGGATATGGTAGTTTCGAAGTTCTTGATAAATGATGTTTTGATCATATCGTAGTATCATACGTTGTGAAATAACGTATCTGCTCAAGGACTTTCACAATTACTTATACAGTGTCTTATGACATAACATTACATAATGCTACAGTAGACAACTTAAAACGCTAACAAAACGAACTATAACTAATGTTACAATATCCGCCTGATGAAAATAAATTATAACTAATATTACAGTATCCACATGATGAACGGTAACATGGGTATGGCAATTATCTGTATGATAAACGAGACCTCTATCGAGAACGGGACTACTGTAATGGAGAACGATCCCCAGACGGCACCGAAAGTGAATTGGACTCCAGAAGAGCAGGGCTACATCTTCGGGGCCTTCAATGCGGGTCTACTGTGTATGCTGATCACCGGGTTCATGGCCGACAAGTTCAACGCCAAGTGGATGATCATTATCAGTGTGTTGTTGGCTTCGGCCGCCAACGTCATGATTCCATTGACTTCTCAGATGCAGTAGGTCTAACTTTAATTGGCATTTTGGTTACAAACTTTCTAGATATTGAAATTTCGGTCAAAAAGTTGATAGAAAATCCTTACAATGATAATATTTGCAGTTTTATATAAAGTGATAATTAGTTACAAGATTTGCAATTTAAATTTTAAATTCAGTGTCAACTACGCTATCACAGCCAGATTCCTGGTTGGCCTGGCTGATTCCTTAACACAGCCGGCTTTGAATTCACTGTTAACAAGATGGTTTCCTCCCTCTGAACGAAGTTACGCCCTTGGTGTTGCTACTGGTGGACGTCAAATAGGTATCGTTTACTCTAAACTTTGAATGTTACCTTATTTTTGTTTACAATGTTTGGATAAGGTGATAAAATTAATTAAAAAAACTTAATTTCGACTAGTTTTTTTCACTTTGTTGACATTTTTACCTATTTTTTGACCATTTCACTACAATTTAGAGATCAAAAAAGCTTGTGGAATTAATATAATGATCAAACACGTTTTCACGGTTAAATCCACCCCACTTTGAGGATTAACACACGTTGCTTTAGGTACGTTGCTGATCGTTCCCACCGCCGGAGCGCTGTGTAATCAGAGCGCGTTCTTTGGTGGCTGGCCGTCCATCTTCTACTTGTCGGCCCTGACCGGGATCGTGTTTGTTTTTATTTACTTACTCGTGGGAGCGGACAAGCCTTCCAAACAGGTAATCATACTATACGTTATCTGCTGTTACCTTTTTTATAGCTTTATCTAGAAGTAATTATAATATCAAAATTCTCTTATTATCCTTTATAACTAAACAACCCTCTTTAGAGTTGTATATCAGAAGGGGAACTCCGCTACATCACTTTATCTAACAGCAGTGAAGACGTCGGAAAGAAGCGAAACGAACGTGAAGTCCCATGGCTCGAGATCCTCAAGTCAGGTCCAGTCTGGGCCGCCTTGATCTCGGTCGTATGCCACGAGTTTCCTCTCATGACCATGATCATGTTCTTGCCCAGCTACCTCCACGACGTGTACCATTATGATGCCCAGCAGAATGGTATCATGAGCTCATTACCTACAGCCTGTCTCTTCTTCGCCAAGCTCGCATGTTCGTATCTGAACACATGGATGCACAAGAAGACCAGCTGGAACATCACCACGATATCCAAGGTCCTGAATGGAGTGGGATCGGCTGGCTTGGCCTTGTTCATGGTAGCAGCAACCTTCCTGGACGCTAGCAGGGCTTCTTTGGCGGTTGTGTTCCTGTGCTTCAGTATGGCATTTACTGGGCTACATACACCCGGCTGTCAGGCAGCATTGGTGGCTATAGCACCAGCGTATTCTGGTGCCATTACTGGTCTGACATTCTTCTTCGTTGCCATTTCTGGCATGATAAACCCTGCCATGACCAAGTGGATCGTGCGGACGGGATCGGCCGACGAGTGGAATCTTGTGTTCTACATATCAACTGTCATCGCCCTACTACCAGTACTGATATTCAGTCTTTGGGGATCTGCTGATGTTCAGAGGTATGTTTAGGTATCAAAAGGGGTTGAGAAGGTACATTACCTTATTTTTCGTTGATACAGGTACAACAGTATCTGTATTACTTTCCTATAGAATTTACTATGGTATTTTTTGTTACAATCAACTTTTTTTTTCAGTTGGGCCCGAAGCCCTTCCTACAACGACGAGCAAAAGAAGAAGAACATCAAAGTAATCTCATACACGACGACGGACACAGTCGCTTAATGTATTTATATATAATGCTGGATCAATTACTATGTAAAGGTGGATCAATATTAATCTTACAATATATCTAAACTACTATATATTATTGATCCACCACTCTTTCACTGTCTTTCATCTAAACAAACGGGCGATCGTATTGTAATGTCATAAGCAATGTCATCTTCTGGACATTGTCGTGTTATAACTGTAATGTCATGTTATGATATCGTATTCCAACCGTCTTCAGTGTCTTTTATTTATATATAATATATATATGTACATGTACACGCAATAAACAACCATATAAATTAGCATGAATTGAGACGTTGTGGTATACCGGCATCAAATTGACCATGATTTAAGAGTTAAATATCTTGCCCGCTTTGTTAAGTGACTGAAATCATCAAAGTTACTGTAATATTGTCTAGGAAACGGGGTGGGTTGTGGTGGGGGGATGTTGTAGTAAAGGGTTTGGGTGGGGTAATATCATGGTATCTTGAGTGTGAATAATATTATGGTATGTTGGATAAGGATTATTGCTACTTTAAGTGAGTGTGCACTGCGATATCTTTAGAGGAAGCGATAATATGGTATCTAGAGCGAAATTGTAATACCTTTATATGAATTGATGCTACGGTGGCTTGAGTATGAGTAATATTGTTCTGTATGAAAGATCAAGCCTTGAAACATAGTTCCCCCTAACCATGCATAACTATAAAAAACCTACTTCTTCTGTTATCTGTGCCAACTCCAGCTTCTGGACGTGAACATGTTCGTTGAGTTCGTCGATCTTTTTGTTCTTGATGACCAACAGCTTCCTGTTCTCCTCAACACCACGACGAACGTACTTGTCGGAGAGACGTTTGTACTCGATGGGATTACTTTTCTTGTTGATTCCACTCAACTCCTCCAGTCTGGACTTGGCGTTGATCTTCTGAAGCTGTTTGGTTTCGCTTTGAAACGCCATTTCGATCCGCTTCACCATTCGCTTACGGTGCGACTCTATTAGACTCAGAAGGCCTTCGTTCTTCTAAAACAACAAACGTTACCTTTGAAAGCATATTATACATAATATACATCGTTTTAGTACAAAAATGCGGTATAAGACCTTTAAAGAGCGAAAATAACATTTTAGGTATGAAAACACTACAAACTGACCTCCTTGATGAGTTTGTTCAAGACCTGAGCCGCTTGTTTGTCGCTCAACGGCCCAGAATACTGTGTTTGAGATTCGTACGCGGCCCAGAGACCCGGGTACTTCTTATTGTGGTTCCTGATAATCTTCTGGATCTTTTGGCTGTCCTCAAGATCGCTCATTTTAGGTAACCCCACGTCCATCTTCTCCACGTAGAACGAGTTTCTACTGGCTACGAACTCCGACAACACCGTATACTTTCGTTCCGTCTGAATTCGTTTGTCATTGAAGCTGGAAAGCGCGGTATGCGGAGATTCTTTGCCACCAACACTGCCCTAAAACAACATAAAATCAAGATTTTGGAATATTCTGTTAAATTTTATAAAGATATACGTGTTTTACTTCAAATATAGACATAAAGCAACATATTTTTTCTGTATTTTAGCCCAGCCCTTATATAAGTTTCTAATTTTATCAATATTTATCTATCAAGTGACAACTTATACGAAAAAAACCCAATTTCCAACATGCGCCCACAACTTTTCTTCTGTAAATTGGAAGAATTCAAAAGAATTAGCTAAAATCTGTGGAGAAAACATGTTTCCGGACCCTTACCCTGTCGAAGCTGGCTTGAGTCTCGACCAGTGAATTCTTGTGGCTGTTTGGCTCCTTAGAGAGATCATCTACTGATCCACGAACACTCTGTTGATCCAAAGAGTTGTTCTTCCCTTCGCCAGCACTCTCGAGCACCTCAAGCAGTCGCTGATGTTGTTCTTCACGTGAAATGAAGTTTGTCGGATTCTCAAGAGCTGTTTCCATCGCTGAAATTAAGGTAAGTTCAGTTTTGTTTATTTTAGGTAATACTCGCACAGCATTGGTGTAAAACTGCAGAAAGCAGCTCTTCTTATCGCTAATTAAAAGTAAGCTTCTAAAACTTATTTTTGGTTTTACTCGCGTAAGATTAAAAATAAGATTAGTCTCCAAGGATAATATGTTAGCTTTTAAAACATTGGCTGACCTTTAACTTTGGACATAGCTTCGATTGGATTCTGTAGAGCATTGACCAGGTCTCTGTGTGCATCACTGACATAATCTTGTACATCAATGTGAACAAACAATGAAACTGGGCCCAGAATCCGGCTGAAGCTGTTCTTGAGTGGAATGTGTTTGTAGCCAGGCTGGATGAAGGATACTGGTAGGAAGTTCTGACCGACCAGTCGACCGTTGTCTTCATAAACTCCGAATCTGACAAACGCCACGCCTGGGAGGATGATCTTCTCCAGACTGAAGGTGCAGTTCTGTTGACCGTCGTTGAAGATGGTGTTGAGACCGTCCGAAGCTGTCGATCGTGTCTTGAACATCTTTTTGTGGGAATCACCCGGTAACCCGTATAGATCGACTTCTACGTAGACGGACGGTCGTTTCTCGCATAATATTGAGAATAACTGACCTGATATCACCTGTAAGATTGTTATTATGATTTTATGGTTTTATAATAGTTTTTTCTTGTCTGTTATCACTAGACGACAGCTTTTACATATGCTTCTCTTTGAACGTTCGATGTTCTACATCATTCAAAAGGTAAGGAAAAACTTTTTTAATTTAACTTACAGTGATAGTTAGCGAATTGGGCACGACATTCTCCACCCGATCCAACTCGAACGGATCGAACTTGGCATTGGGCTTCCTCATGCACGCTGGCTTCAGAATGTAGCCTTTCTTCCCGTTCAGATCAAAGAAGGAACTGTTCATCTGGTTGGGAAGGTCTGGGGTCTGTAGGTTGATCGCTGCCATCTGACATCCACAATTCCAGAAGATCAAAGGCATATAGTTGGAGGAGTCTACTCTCGAGCCCTTAGGGTAAACTCGAGTGATCTGACGTTTGTTGTGGTTCACAAACTGCTCGGCATGTTGTTTTAGGAGGTCGATGGCTTTGGTTTCGTTCATACTGTACATCTCCGAGCTGATTTGGCGAGCTGAATGTTAAGGTTATTAGCCTTTCTGTTTTTTATATTAAAGTTGATGTTAGAACCATGCTTAGGTCATGATGCTAAAAATTGCTTGAAAAAGAGAACTTACAATCACAATCGCCGAAAGATGTAAATTTTCCCATGGCTCGCATATAAGTGACCAGCTCTGACAACTCGGTGACTAACGGTTGATTCTGGAATTTTATTTTTTACTTGTTATGACAGTTGTCTTAACTTATTGCTGTATATCATATTGTGATAAGTTCAATTATTATGCTTTCTTTCCTTGTTCCAGCTTTAGATATGTGTTTTTTTAATTCTGATATACGACCATATTTTTCCTCTTATACCGCTATATTTTGGCTTACGTTTTCGGTGATTCCGTTGAGCCGAGCGGTTCGGTCGATCTGATCCTCGTCGTCGGTTTCTCCGATGAAGATGCGTGTAACCGACCGCTCGATCGTGTCGTCTTCTGTTCCGCCCGAGTCGATCGAGGTCTGTTTGTCCATGATTCGCTTGTCATTGCTGATCTTCTCTATCTTGTTTTTTATTAAAATTTTACGCTTTAAGACGTTGGGCGAGGGTAAATTAACGCCGGCTTTGATCTGAAACGCAAACGTTACTGTGGTATTCTGCTTTGCGAACAATAAAATATTTCTTGGAGATTGAGCAGATAGACTGAAATAACAATAATATGCATGGTGATTCATGCTATATTCACTATGCGACGTTGAATATGATGACTGTTAGCTATTGTATTTGTTGAGTAAGCGGGAAATTTTTTTAGTTATGCGTTTGCATGCTTTTAATTTATGAAAGTACCGGTATAATAGCTCAAAAATGAAGTTAAAGGAAGACAACATGAAAAGGTTATCTTACCGGATAGTCGTCCAACGTCTCAGTCAGGAGTAGATTGCCCAGTATGTCTTTACAGTACTTGGCCATCTTGATCTGCTGTTTCTGGTTACAGTGATTCTCGAATGACAGAATCACTGGGTATTCTGAGGTAATGAAAGCTGTGTCAGCAATGGCAGCAATCACCTCCTTGAATGGTATAGTGGTACAGAAGCAGATGTGAGTGGGGCCGTGAGTGATAATGGGCTCATTGTTGGGGCCGTCCCAACAGTCCAGTTCAATGGAGCGGCAGCCGGCTAGCAGGGCGTAACGGTACATTGCTACCGAAGACCTACTCTTCATTTGGCGGCCTACAATGTAAGAGATTTAGGTCTACCTTTGAGATTTTAGGAGGTATCATAGTGGTCAAAGTGTTTTAGTAAACATATTGTAATGTAAATTATTTGTAAGTTACACAAAGTTTGCTTTAACCTTCTAAAATTGTGTTTCTGTAGCCAATGTTACCTTTTAAGTAGGTATTGTGAGATGAGTTAATAAAGTAATGAGATAAGGGTTTGTTCATGTCGTCCTCGTTCAGATCGAAAGCGTCCGTTCTCACCGGAACGTTGTATTCTGACATCAGGAAGCGGAGGTATGTGTCGCTGGTGAGGCCATCGTCTAAACAGTATCATATTGTTGTTATTCTTTAAACTTTGTATGATATGTTTGTCATATCATATAACCTCTGTCTCTTACTTTTCTCTTGGGAATTCTGTAGCAAAAGGCTTGGCAAAGACAACTTGTGGTAACTTTGGATAAAATATATCAACTTTTACTACAAACTTCGTTTTTTACATCTTTAAGATAATGTAAAGCAACAACAACATACCTGATCCAACCCGATTCTTGCGTATCGTGCGCGCCGCGTACTCTTCCGATACTGGAGGGAATAGAATTTCGTTGAGCCGTTTGTCGCGATGCTCTTCGTTCAAATAGGTTCTGAACTCGGCTACAGTAGCGTTGGAATGGGAGAAGGATTTGCCAAAAATGTCATCGACCTCCTTTCGACCAGTAATTACCTTGTACAACTTTAAGAGGAATTCTGGATCTTTCAGGAGGTTGGAGGTGTTGCGTTTCTTGTCTTTGAGGACTGGCAGATGTCGCTGAAGCTGTTTTTCTAGTAGGCGGCGATCTTCTCGTTGTTTAGATAGCCATGGCATTACTGTGTCCACAATTCTGAAAAATTGAATTATGAAGTTGTTACCAAATTAAAATTAAAATTTCAAGATCTTAAAGTTTAAAAAACTTCGAAAATCAACAAAATTTAAACTCACAAATCGGTGGTGACGATCTGATCTGGCTTCATGATGCACCTGACCTTCGCAAACATTCTCTTCCAATAGTAGAACACATCCTGAGGTTGTTGGTAGAACTTCAAAGACAATTTACGTAGGATACTGCACCATTGACTGGCTTCTGCCACCGTAGTCGCCATGAATACGAAGGGCTGAGGGTGGATGAAGTCGCCGAACATGACAGTCACGATCCGTTCTGGAGCCGTAGATCGTTCCTCCGGATTCATGGGGATCACTGAGGTATTCAACATGGACTGGACTTGGGCATCGCTCTTGGCCTTGGAAGCCTCGACCAGATGGCCGGTGTGTACGTCGACGATTTCATCGACGAACACGGCTTCTGTTGTTGGATTCTGAAAAAGAAATGTAACTTTAAACCAAAAGTGACTTTAAAAGTAGCTAGGCAACGCAGTAGCCATATGACAATTTTACCAACTTGTGATGAGAAACGATGGTTTATATGAGCCTGTGTATATTATAAAGAAGCGATCTTACCTTGACCAATGTTTTTGAGTAGAAAATGAACTCATCGTCAGTTATTCCGATTGTCACCGGTCGACAGGTGTACTGGTCGGCTAGCTGTAAGTTGGAATTCGTTAGTAATATCGTCATACAAAGTTAAACAAATCATACATCCTTTCCAAAGTACTATTCTTTATGACCTTTATATTACACAGAAAAATGTAAAATTTCAAAAAAATAAAGAAAAAGTTTGAAAAAAGCACCACAAAAATTAAATTTGTTTTTCTACCAAACCTTTACTTACAACGTCGATGCGAGTGGCATGAATCGGATGAGGTAGAGAGTCGGCCTTGGCCTGGTAGAGTCGCTGCCGGTGAACTGGACTGAGGAGGTTGCTGGCTCGGCCACCACGTGCAGCGTCTAGCGAGCCAGACAAAGGCATGTCGACATTACTGTTTGATCCTCCTCATACTGCTGCAACAAGTCCCGTGAGATGTTCGAAAAGTAAATCCCGCAAAGTCAAACGTTCCCAAAGTATCCTGGGAAACCCGGATTCGCACAACTTGTGAATTTTATATACGGAATTGGCGGCGACAAAGTGGCCTCAATTCCGGATCACAACGATATCGAGGGAGCGGTCGGTCGGTTGGGGCCCGGCGGTCTTGTTTACCCAAGGGCAACAAGCAGGTATTCCTGTTGGGAGGGTATGGGGCTTGTGGCCGACCGCTACAACGCCCCGAGTCAATCCTAATTCGGTTGACCGTCGGTCGTTAGTAATATTGTCAAATTTGGGACTACAAATTCCCGCCCAGCACGCCATTGAAATCGAAACGCGCTGTGTGAAAGGTCACGCCTCAGGGAAAGAAAAGTGAAATGGAAGATATTGGAGGGGGTCTCGCTCAAATCGGTTCCGTGAGCCGTAAAATTATTTGATAACTGGAGCGGGCACATCCGCGACAACAGTTCTACACTCCCGCCCCAAGGTGGCGAACAACCGCCGGAGGTGGCGGAAACGGCTTTTTCGGCCATTTCGTAATTAAGAAGACGAATCCCCTGAGGCGGGAGGGCGATGCGTGTTCCTCGCCGCCTCGATCGTTCCTTCCTCGGAACGACGGCTGATAAGGGCGGTAGTCGGCACAATTCACCTGTCTCTAATTAACCATGGGCCAGCCGGCTGGCGCCTGATCTCCTTACGGGGAGTGTCTCTCGCTCTGTGCGGTGACACGTGTTGGAATTATGTAAATAAACGCATCCCGTTTCTTCCCCAAAAAACACGCGGGGACACCTTGACCTCGACGGCGGGGTCATGATCCCCTGAGGGTGGCAACCTGAAGACGAACAAGTGCTTTTTAAGAGTCTCGGGTCTCCTTTATTCGGTTCTTGTGCGGAAACTCAATTTCGCCCCCTGAGCCCGAGGCCATAAATTGTTGAAGACAACGAGCGCACAAATTTCGCGTATTACTCCTCCTTCGAACTCCTATATAAAATGATATAAGGACAAGGCGGGCTGATCCGCTCGCCTCAACTACGTTATGCTCTACAACGATGTTACTCCTACAATTATGTTACATTCTTCTGGCGAGGCGAATAGAGCAAATGTTTACAAAAGAGTACAAAAGCTCTGCTTTCTAGCCGGCTCAAAGAACAGCTGGACTCACGCAAATCTCATAAAGCGCGCGGTAATAGTGGCTATGGACTTTTGGGGCTACAAATATTCATTTTATTGTTTGGAAATAGCGTAACGATACAGTAGTTGGCAGTAAGTTGTGAAGTTTTGTAGCCTGAACTATAAATTTGTGCCTAAAACCGGCCAAATATAAAAGTTTCTGCAGAAAAGCAGTGTTATACTGAGAGTTAAAGCTACAGTGTTGTACTACAGTACTCGAAAATACAGTACGAAAACCATAAATTTGTCAAGCCACGTTAGAATAAGTTATTTTGCAGAACGAAAAAGATAATTACAATACTAGTCCTAATATACAAAAAAAATAGTATACCGTACCAAACTTGACCTCATCTACATCTCAAGTTAGTGTACCGTACATGCAGAACCCAAAAAATATTGAGTACAGTACGAAAAGCATCTAATTTTGCAAGTAAACCCCCAGGAGAACGGAGAATAAGTACCCGAACAAACAACACTTAGAAGTAATGTGTTATTGAAACCGTAAAGGGCGACCATTCTAACAGTTGTTATGTATTAAGGTAAACAAAAAACAGTTCTTGTGTAATACCTTTTCCTGATTTTATTTGAAAGAAACGGGCAAAGTGAAATAGCCGGGGCAAGAGCAAGAATCACCGTCGCTGACTTCTGGAGCGTCGCAAATTTGGTGGGATTCGAGGAGATTTGACATCGTGAAGTGGCCTATATGAAGTCATGTTACATGGCTGTTGTAAGGTCATGCTACATATATGACTAGTATAAGATCATACTACATGTGTAGTATAAAATCATACTGTATGACAAGCATAAGGTCATACTGTATAACTAGTACAAGGTCATACTATATAACTAGTATAAGGATGTATTAAGGTAGATCTTGTAGCTAGTCCACAATCGTTGGCTGTGCCAACCTGTAGACCAACTGTTGAAAAATAAAAGTTCAAACTCCAGAATCACAACCCGTAGCCATCCTCGGAATCCTCAACTCCTTGTTTTCATGTGGGACTCAGATGGAGCGAGGAACGTTTGGGCACGTTTGACTGATGATTAAGACGCTCGTCATTTGTTTCCGTGTGCGGCTTCAGAAAGTCCGCCGGCATAATTCCGCAGAATTCGCGGATTCGCTTCATCGTCTGTTCCTCGTTGGGCGCCTCCTTCCGGTTGAAGTTCTCGTAGCAGCTGGGGCAGCGGCGGAACGGCATCTGGGCGTGGGCCGCGACGCCCAACCGACCGGTCGGCTCGAGGCAGTTCGAGGTGGAGTAGCGACGATGTGGCAGTTTGATGGGGACGTCGCGGCTTCCCATCGGCGAATCCGACGACCGATTCAGCAAGATGGTGGGAGTTTTGGGCGAGCCGGGGGTGGATAAGGAGTTCTTGGTGTCTGTGGGGAACTGAGGTATGGAGTCGGTTGTGTAGGGTCCGAAAACAACATCATTGTAGGCTGAGGAACAGAGGGAGTCGATGTCGAACGATTTGGTCGATGAATCTGGCCCGTTTTTCCTGGAGTTGGACGAGAAAGAGTCCATCGAACCTAAAACAACATCGATTACAAAAATATTTGCACAAAATCGTCCAAAAAATCAAAACAAAATTGTAATTTACATTAAAACTCTCATCTTATATATACCTCAAAATTAAAAAATTGAGTAAAAAATAACAACTTTTACCTAGTCCAACTCCAAAATCGACCCGATTGGGCCGTCGACGATCTCTTTCCTGAATTGGCGATGTCTGAACGCTGAAGCTGACCATTTTGGTCTGAGGCGTTGGTGGTTGGACATCAACAATCTTGTTCCATCGGCTGTTCGTCGCAAATTTGGCAAACATACGAGATCTAAACAATAAAATAACATAATATAATGTAAAATAAAAACACAAAATACATCAAGTTGTAATGTAACCACGGTAAAATAGTTTGCAAGATAAAAAGAATCAAATTTCACATCGATATAAGTTACAGTAGTAATTAAATCATAAAGTTAAGTAACAATGTAATGCTTACTTGAAGTCCCCATGGATATCTGTTCTCATCTTTACGGTTTCAATAGCTTGAATTGCCCTTAGGGTTGGAAGGTTGTAGCCAAACATTGCTTGTCGCTGTAGCGCTCGTGCTCTCGCTTTACGTTGCGTTTTAACTGAAGCTCGAGATACGGCATCTTAAACAATATAAATGTAGATCCAAATGTTGACAAAATTGTGCTACAACATAAGATCCAACAAAGATATACAAAAGCGGTTTATATTCTTAACGTTATGATAAAAGACTTCATAAACATTAGTATATAAAGTAACTTATCACCACATTAACATAAAGATATAGCATTAATATAAGTAACTTACCATCCTTGGTATGTTGTGACGTTGTATCACTGCTCTTCCTTGTTACATCGTCTTCTTCTTCCGAAGAATCAGAAGAGCTGTGATGAGGATCGAGTCGATTCATTAGGACATTACCCACAATCTTCTCGGCCACCCAGTCTTTGGCCGATCGTACAATACTGTGTTGGTACGGGTGCTCAGTCATGGTTGTTAATGGTACTGTTAACATGTCTAAACATGATGTTAACTTTAGTAATTGCAGTAAAACTACATTTTTTACATATTACAGAAAAAATACATGTAAATTATGCTAAATTACGTTATGCTATGATATAAAAAGTCCCAACTACCATACCCGTCATTCCAACTTCAAAAGGTTTGGCTTCTTCATGCTGAACATCGTCTGTGGTCACAATTTGTGCCATTTTCTCAATTTCCTCGATATATTGTTCTAATAATTGTTCGATCAACTTCTCTATGTAATCCTGGATCAAGTTAATACACATAGATAACAACGCCAACCCAATTAAGATCAAAAAGAAGTTGACCAACATCATGTCAGGCTTTGTTGGTACTACATCTCCTAGCCCTACCGTACTGAAAACTAATGTTACAATATAATTTACAGTGTAACTATAAAACACTATCTTAATATAAAAGAAAACAAAATACACTATACCTTATATTAACATAATATAAAGTAAAAATTATAAATATATCAACGTTACCAGTGTTATACTTACCTGATAGACACAAAGAAGAAGTAGACAGATGTGAGGTACCCCCACTCGTGCTCCCATAAACAAAACATAGCAGCTGATAGTGCTATCCATAGGGCCAAGATAGTCAAGGCCAAGGGGATGGGGTACTCTCCGCTCTTCTTGTAAATGGGTTCTTGGATACTTTGTTGATCTTGAGGCTTCTTCAGAATGCCCGGAGGCTTTCCTGACTCTACATCGTTATCTTCATGAGTGACAAAACCGCCTAAGGGGTTGATCGAGAGGTTATAGATAGCCTAAAATAATATCATCATAAAGTTAATGTGATTTTAAAGTCTATAGATTAGATATAATTGATTAACATCTTATCACTTATGTATAATATTACATTTTTTTTAAATTTGCTATATAATTTTTGACCAAAATAGTAAGAAGCCAATCGGGAATCATAAATAAGACAAGCTCAACATGAATAATATATTCCAATAAAACCTCTCACACCTTACCCGCCCAAAACAGTACCACACTTCCCCAAGAATCACCCCACCTCTGACCGAAGCCATAAAAGACGTCATCTAATGAGGGAATCTGTCCCGATGGAGTTTAAGCCTTCAAAAGTGAAGTTTGTGGGTTTCCGGCGTATCCGGAGTCAAAGAAGCCCGCGAATCCCCCCGGAGAATGGATCCGAAGCCGGCTGGCCAGATTTGGGGCCCATCTTCTTCAGTTCTTGAGACGGCGGCATGACTGTTCTGTTTCCGCCACAAAAACAAACTTGATTAGCCATCGTTCCCACACCGTGCCGTGAGCCGAGATGCGGGATGAGGTCCGGTCGATTTGTTTGCGGTTGACCATCTTCTCGCGACAGGTAAGGTTTTATGTTGATTTTGTGTCAATTTTAAGAAAAAATCTTCATATTTAGGATTTTACGCTAAATTTTGAAATTCTGCAAAAAAAATCTTAAATTTTAAATTATAGCTCGAATTTCAAAATAAATTCAAAATTTCAGCTAGCCGGTTTCGTAATATCACATGTTGGGCTATGTGCGCTGGTCGCCCTCTATGCCGTACTTGGCGCCTTTATGTTTCGTGCTATCGAGTATCCGGAAGAACTCCAATTCCAAGGTCACATCGCCAATGACACCTGGAAGACGGTGGAATTACTGTACAAATTCATCGATGAATCCAACGTCATCGAAGAGAATGAGGTGAAGAAGAAGGCTCACGAGCTCTTCAAACATTACGAGTTGTTGTTGGTGAAGGCTGTGAATTACGAAGGATACGACGAGAAGGACGACGTCAAGCCTACATATCAATGGACCTTTTCTGGAGCCTTACTGTACTCTATTACGGTCTTCACAACGATTGGTAAGATACGAGACCACTGTTATGAATATATAACCATTATAGACTTATAATGAAAAATAAATTACTAAACAACTCAAATAACCACCTATGTTTAGGATACGGTCACATTTGTCCCAAGACCCCCCTAGGCCGTGGTATGACAATCTTATATGCGATGATCGGCATTCCTCTGATGTTGTTGTGTTTGGCCAATATTGCTGAAAGTTTGGCTCAAGTAGGTTCAATATGTATGGCAATTACTGTTTAGGTGTTCACATTCGTCTACTTCAAAGTATGTTGTGCATACTGTAGATGGCAAGCCAAGCGAAGACGAGTACGACGAGCAGCACTCAGCTTCAGATACCATCCCAATGCACCGGTCAATGTTAGAAGAGGTATACCTGATTTTAAGTTTACATAATCATGCCGCTTTTTCTTCTTTAAAGTTGATACTTCTGCCAAAAATACCATTAACACTATGTTACAGCCCACTCAGCCCGAGCCATCTCCCGTCACAACAGTCAACTGAAACGCGGGGCCAGTATCAAGAAGAACCTTCCAGCACGAGGCTTCAGTGACACCAAGAGTATGAAGTCGATAAGGTCTCTGAATAGGTACGACACCCACTCTCTGCCAGGCAAGCGAAAGGCCAGCAACATGAAGCACAGTTCTCCATCAGATCCATTGTCCAAGAACAACTTCGCCAAAGGCAAGGTTCAGAAGTACACGATGGCTCACGGTGCTCTTGTAGACTCCAGTAGCCTCGAGATGGACCCACTCTTCAACTACCAGAAGAGACGCAACCTAATCAAATGCTGTGATAGACAGGGAAAGCGAGAGTACGGTAAAGGTAAGTTACAGTATCTCACAAGTTTTATTCTTTACATCATTAAGATTTACCGTAATTTATATCACTAAGAGTTACAGTAATTTAAAATTATAACTGTCTTTAAGGTCTTCCAGTAAAATACTTGAACAGCGACGACGACAAATCTGCGATTCTGGAGATCAAGTCGGTTAATAGTGCCAATGGTACTGGTACTGGCTCAGTCCAGTCCTGGACTAGAGGAGCGGCAACAGCACCAGTCAGAAGAAAGCCTAAGAGAAGACCGCCAAAGCATTTCGACGACTCCTGTATCTCTGGGTAGGTTAATATCCAAAATATCAAGAAATCTAACACAATACTAAAAAGGAGAGTGCCCTACCTGCCCCGCTCTGATTGACTTTAAACTTTTAATATAGAAAAATCATGTAAATATAAGATCTTCAGCAAATTACTAAATCGCGCTCTTCAACCAATCTCGACAAAATCGAGATTAAAAAATGACATTTTGAATTTCGCGCCATGTTGGCATTGTGTCTCAAGCTTATAACTCTGTCATTTTTTGACTTTTAGGGGTTCTTCTTTGATATACTAGTAGAATACCTTTAAATAAATTTATATTTTTAAATTTGTACGTGTACCTTGTCTGGAAAGTCGAAAAATGCTTGAAACACAATGCCAAATTTGCCAAAATGGCGGGAAACCCAAATAATTTAAATTTAAAACTTAAAAACGCGAGCTAAAATTTTTTATGGGTACTATTGGTAATAGAAAGAATTCATATAAAAATTTGAGCTGATTCTGAGCGGAGCAGGTAGGGTACTTTCCTTGTAAGCTCAAGTGTGATATATAATAGATGATGTTACCTATTATAGGATAGGTTTTGTATGATATAAGACCAAAATTCTCTTTTCAGCAACGGCAGAGTCCCTCAAATCACAGTGAGCGACAACGAGAAGGAACGTTTAGCTCACGGAACGGACACGATGTCGGACGAAGAAGACTACATTGACCCCTCAATGTCAGTCCACCACTTAAGTGCCTTAAGGGAGAGTGAAGGTGGTACTCCACCTCGAGCTCTACCCAAACAAAGCTCCATCGATGCCCAGTCCGTGACTCGTCGACAGGAGATACGATCCTACCGTAGCGAAGAGCGTAGCGACGACTTCAGCATGCGGTCCTTCAGACGCAGCTACAAGCGAGAGAAGATGCCGGTTTCTGTAGGCATAATTACAGTAATCCTGTTCATCGCTGGAGGTGCGATCCTGTTCGCCATTTGGGAGGACTGGAATCTGTTCGACGGTGCCTACTACTCCTTCATCACTCTGTCCACCATAGGCTTCGGCGACATCGTGCCCGGTCAAACGTTGGACGACGAGGATTCGCAGGAGAAGCTGATCGTATGTGCACTGTATTTGTTGTTCGGAATGGCACTGATCGCCATGTGCTTCAAACTGATGCAAGACGACGTCGTCCAGAAGGCCAGATGGCTGGGCCAACGGATCGGCATTATAGGTAATTAATTATCACTATTGATCAAGGTGGATATGTGAGACAGAGACGTGTTCTTATACTATCTTGATTGGTTTAGATGTGTCTGGTCAAAAAGTATATAGAAAAGAAGAGGAAAGATAAAGATTTAAACATTAGGTAACAAGTTATTGTTTTCAGTGAAAGAAGAATCATCGGATTCTGAATCAGAGTTTGAGGATGAGATCGTGATAGAAGAAGACGATGACGACGATTTTATGGATGAAAAAGAACTGGAACATGTAAGTGGTACTCAAGTATATAATTATTGTAATAACAGTCCATCAACAATTACTATCCAATTAAAAAAAGTCATTTACGAACAACTCCCCCAATGTTATAGTAGATTTAACGCAAAATTTTCATTATTGAATTACTCGAGCTCCTATACCCAAAACCATACCATAAAATGACCCGAAATTGTTTTAGATAACTACAAATCTCAAGTAACACACCCCATTCTAGGTAATCAGCCGTTGAACTCACCTTGACCGGCTCACTCATCCGTCGCGCACTGTCCGGCAACTTCTGCTTGGCCGAGCGCATTCTTTTGTACAGTTTCCGCAACGTTCGCGACAATATCTTACCCACATCTTTCAAGATGATCAAAAACACTGGGATGCCGATCATAATGTAGAACATGGTCGCCACCCGGCCGCCGGTCGATTGCGCCGCTGGCAATCCGTAGCCTGAATTTTAAACCGTAGTTTAGACGCATAATTGAAGTAAAATTGTTATTTAAAGGTTGGGATTTGAAGTTTTGTGGTCAGGGCCGGGCGCGAGGGGTGGGGGAGGGGGGTAAAGTTGAACGTGGTCCCCCCTGTGGATTTTCGGAAAAAAAATTTCGCAAAAAATCGGCACAGGTAGCTAGCTACCTGTGCCGATTTTTTGGACCCCCGCCCCCAGACCAAAAGTCCCCGCCCGGCCCTGTTTGTGGTTTTAAGTATTTTTTTGAATAGTTAAAGTTACTTTTAACTTGAAGTTAATTATTAGTTAACAATATTTTTTATCAACTTATATCAAAAACATATTTTTAAACTTGTTGATAACACTTTTAGATAGATATCAGTGTATTCTATGCTAATTTGAAACAAAATTTTTTTAACATTATTATTCTGCTTCTCATCCATGCCCGTAATAGTATAATTCCGAGTGTTTGTTACATTTCCTTGGCCCGAAACAAGAAATAACTCATAAAAGTTGTGATAGATGGGCCACAAGAAATAACTTTTGAAACATACCGATGGTGGTGTAAAGCTGGCCGGCGTAGAAGAGGGAGCCCATCCAGGTCCAAGGGCTGGTGTCACACCGCTCTTCAATCACCTCCGTGATGTTCAAGTAGTCGATAAGCCAGAACAGCGCTTCTTTCGTCTCCCGCGTCTGAATCTGCCTCTGGAATGTTGAGGTACCGTTGCCTTTGCCACATTGGATCTCTGTCATTCGTTTTATGATCTGAAACACGGGGTGAACATCATGAAGTATAAGGTGAACAATATGATTTGATGTGAAACTTGTTTTAAATTGTGATTTTACGATCATTTTCACATTATAATGTTAAAATGAAGGTTCGTAACTAAAGTTAGACATTCAAAACTTCAACTTGAGACAATTCGAAAGCAGTTTCTTGAAGAAGATGATCTATTGGAAAAGCCATTGTTTATCATAACATAAAACAACAAAAACTTGACGTGGATCATAAAAGAAAGCTCAAACAGGTGAAAATAGCCTCATTGACGTCATGACTACCTTAACATCATCCGAAAACTATTCTATAACTTTCACCATGTCCATAAACAATATATTTTGACAGCTCAGTTCATAAATCAAGTTAAAAATAGATATTACCTAAATTAATTAGTGTCTAAATTTATATTGTACTTACTCATTATTTTTGGTGTTTCATCCAAAATTAGGCTTGTTCTAATTAATTTACTTATTTTGTTTGATCGGACAAAAAAATGTTTTGTTTATCTCAAAGAAATAACCTGGCATTCTTCTGTTCATCAACGTAAATGACGCTATTTTTGAATATTTTGTTCAGAAAATCCGTCGTTGTAAAATAAATATTGGAAAATCAAATAATAAGGTGTTTGGATGCAAAGAAGAGGTATTTTTAACACAAAGTAAGTTAAATTTAACGTTCTTTAGACTTCCTAAAGGTTTATGCATCAAATCATGTTATCCTACCTGATTGAACGCGTATTCCGTTGATTCTCGATAGTTTTTGCGTCGTATCTCGTCCGGCTGCAACTCAAAATGTCTGAACATGGCAGCGCCGATCAGTGTGTATGTGACGAGGACGGTGAAGGGTAGAAAGTGGGACAGCCGGTACTCGGTGTAGAACCATTTCAACTTGTGGAGGACCTTGTATAACATGTTCTGATGTTCGACCTCATCGGCTCGTTTCCTCTGATGACATGGGATGGATAACCCCTGGAATGTAACCATAAAATATTTTGTCATAAATTTCAACGCTATAAAAGGACGGCCCGATCTCTTTTATCTGGCCACAGATTTTGGGCCGAGAGAGCGGCCGTTTAATTGGGCGGGTTCAATTAACGGTGACATTTGGAGAGTTGGAGATGTTTATTGGGTGGTAATAATGAGGGCATGGCAACAACAAAGTATTAAGAAAATTTCGAAAAATTTTAATTTCGGAAAGTTTAAAAGTACAGAATTAAAAAAGTTGTTCTTGACACGTCTACTACAATATAACAAACAATTAGTGTAGCCAAAAATAGAAACAAAATATGACAAAGTAAATTGATTAAAATATCAAAATATTCTATCCTGCCTACTTTATTAAGTTTAAAACTTCAAAACTTCGAATGACGTCAAACGCCTACTGTAATATAACAAACATCTTGAGTTTAACAAAATAACAACAAAACACGTCAAGACACATCCATTACAATAATAATTAGCCAACTACAACCCATTTGCGACATTATATTAGTGCCGCAAAAAAGTAGTGCTCGTCACTCTCGACTGCCGTTCCTCGAGAGTGAGAAAAAAAGAAAAATCAAAAGCAATCGCAGAGGTCGTTAAGGCCAAGAAGGCCTTCTCGAACTGATCCCCCTGAGGCACCTGAGCAGAGAATTAATCCTTTTTGTTATGTTAAACTTTTGGCACATTACAGTCTTGACGTATCTTCCCACTGACACTCGGCCCATCTTATTCCAAATGCAAAGAACACAAAATTAATGGGACATACGACGATGGCACAGTTAGTGGGATGCTTGACTTATGGGGGATGTTATTGTTGCAGCTAGTTGTTTGTCTATGTTGTTGTTATGAGAAGGAGGCTTTGTTTATCGACCTTTAGGCTTGATTTTTTTCGAAATTTTTTGAAATTTGAAACAAAGCCTGGGATAATAAAGTTGTATTTTATATAATGCCTAACAAGGTGTACATTAACTTTATATTTTAATTTTATTTTTAATAAGAGTTACAATTTTTTGAAAATGTCGAAATTCCAAAAAAGTTCATTTCTGTTGGAAGACTAGCCCTTCATACCTTACTATAGTAAAAGTATTATTATGTTTAGCTATAAATAGACTAAAGTATTGTTAAGAAGTCTGAGCAAGTTTGAGGCCATCAATTACTCTTTAAACTTAATTTGTCAGAGATCGCTGTGGTCTCCGAAGGCCTCCATTATCTTATATTATCTATGATAATTCTTTAGGTTAGTGTAGTTTTTCTGTGATTTTAGGTCTATAAAGTAGTTTTTTGTTGCTGTAATCTTGTCTTTTGTGTGTATACAGCCTTAAGTACGTATATAGTGACATGTTATCGATAATGACATCCTATAGTTTCACAGAAGATATACTTTTATTGGCTTTATTAAACGTAGCATTAAAGTTAATGTAACAAGAAGGAGTTTAACGTATGTTGTAAACATACTACAATTGTTTTATTTATTATGATATTACAGTAATAAATTGATTTATGTTAACGCAACAACCAAGATTTGAATATTGGGTTGTTCAAATAATTCTGCACCTCCTAACCCCGAAAATTTGCATTGAAAGGGGCACATAATTAAATGAACAACCTAACAGTACTAAAATTACAGTTTGGTATGTTGTTGATTACAACAAAACTGTTTACCTTTCCTCTCCACACAACTGAATGGACATGAGCTTTTGTTACAACTTATCAACTCTAAGCATGGTATCTTCTTCACACTTACACATTCTCGGTCACATTCATGCTTGGATCCAAAGAATTGAGTTTCGTCATCACAGGATGACATTACAGTATGATTACACTCGTCCGACTTGCTATCGTAGTAGTATATGTTGGCGGAGGATGGCTGTAACTTTTTGTTACATGAGGACACGGGATGGTTATTGCACTTGTTTATCTTGTCGTAGTCTGAAATAGGTTTTTGAGTTATGTTTAGGGAGATTATAGTACAGTATGTACTACAACATTTTGGTAATATATAGTTATAGGTATGTATTATGTTTTTACGAAGATATAATGTAAAAGCGAGTAAACTCACTCAATTTACAAGTGATACGACAAGAGTTTTCATCCACAAAGTTGTTGAAATTGCCGCCCATTCCACTGTAAACGAATGGAACACAAGTATCGTCGTTCTTGTCGTAGTAAAACCTGTCCATCTTCATATCACCATAGCCAACCTCCACTTTCTGATGGCATTGGTCGCTCAAGGTCATATCGTTCATGCTGGTGTCTATCATCGTATCTACAGATGCATTCGCTTCTAACGCTGTTATTATTAGGCCTGGCTCTGTAACATTTTATATATTACTTTGATGTAACACATCATCATTAGCCACATATGTAAATTTACATATACAATGATGTCCGCTGGTCCGATTTCTACATTAACTTATGAAAAATTAAAATAATATCTATATTGACCATATATTAAAGCATAAACATATTCCCATGTAACTATTTACCCTACTGTACTCTCAAACCTACCCTGAGATCCTTTCCTGATACCGGTCACAATATTGTACAAGGTCTCGGGCGTTACTGTCGCGGTAAGTAAAGACAAAACAACAAACACAAACATCGCGGCGAGCTGTCGAAAACTGACATACGACCATGTCGAGAACGGAGTAATTCGATTATCTCACCGTTCCGTTCTGGTTTCAGAATCCGGAAGCCGGTTAAGTAAATGTTGTAAAGTGAAAAGAACCTCGTAAAACATGTTGTGGTCAGTGATTTGACTCAAGCAAGACAAGGATAACATGTAAAATAGAAGCAACGTCATCAAATGAGTTAGGTGTAATGTATAAGATAGTTAAAGTACAGTAAACCTACTTTAATCTAACTTTTTTTGAAAAAAGTGATATACTTTGTAAGGTCAGACATATCATGTAGTTTACACAGTAAAAGATTAACCCAATCGACCAGCCCAGCTCGCTTAGGCTTAAAAAAAGTCATATCCAGCACACTGTGGCCAATCGCAAATTTTTTAAAATTTCAAAAATCTACCATTTAACAGTCAGAAACAGCTCGTTTATTGTACAGTAATCACTTCTTCTTGGCCTTTTTATTGGACTTCTTCCCTTTGCCCGAGGCTTCTTCGGCCGTTCGGTCGGCCACCTTCTTCGCCTTGTTGGGTTTCCTCTTCTCTGACTCTTCCTTTGTCCGTTCCGTCTTATCTACATTTCGTTTCTTGCTGTTGGTTCCTTTGGGTTTGGCAGCAGAAGGCTTGCCTCGTTGTACGTCTTTGTTCATCCTTAACTTGGCTTTGGTCATTTTGGCTAAAAGGTCCGGGTGCTTCTCTTCGACCCTAAAACAAGTTAAAGGTAATAAGTTAGTCAAAAAGTTAACAGAAATAGTTTTTTTCAAAAGACGTTTGTTCTTATCGTTATTTCTACGTATTTTTTGACCAGAAAATGATAACTTACATTTTGATGGTGACGATAGTCTTACACACTACTCGTAAGCGTGTTCTCTTGTGAGGATCCTTAATGAAACACTCGTTCATAATAGCCTTGACATAGTCTGGAGCCCAAGGAGGAGGTGTCAGGAGGGTGGGTTTGAAACAGACCTAAAACAAGTTCCATCAATACCTATTGAATAAAACTTCATTAACTACTATCTCAATACCCCTTAAAATATCAAAATATGTTTTATATAAAAAATAATACCTAAACCTACAATTTGCTTGATTTGAGGACCAGTTTTGTTTGGGAAAGGATCAGCACCATTTGAGAAGATCTCGAACATCAACACGCCAAAGGCCCAGACATCTGATTGGAAGGTGTATGTGCGAGTATTGAACACTTCTGGAGCCAGATACTTGATTGGAGTACGTTCGGATGGGTCGGCTATGTACACTGAAGCTTGTCGTGAGAGACCAAAGTCGGTAATCTTCAGAACTCCTTTACCGTAAAGGCAATTTCTGGCTGCTACGTCTCTAAAAGTACATTACAGTAATACATTTAGTACTGTAACAATGACAGCATATAATACTGTACCTTAAATTAAAAATAGATTAAATTTAACTACGTTACGGTATACTTCTATAACATTACCATACATCACAGTAACCTAACCGTACATTACAGTAACCTACCTATGAATAATGCCCCTTCTGTGAACGTGCATCAGCCCTTTAGCAGCATCGAAACACATGCTGACTCTTTCTGAAATCGAGATTTTGGGACCATTAGTCCTTAAAAAGTTGTCCAGAGCACCACCTGGTACCAGTTCCATTAAGATCATCATGGGTTCTTGATCTGCCACGACTCCAAAGCATCGTACTACATTCTTGTGTCGCATCATCCTCATTAGCCTGGCTTCTCGCATCGATTCCTCCACCTTCTCCTTGTTCATTTCACTGACTTTCATCTAAAACCGTATTTTGAACCTATCATCTATGACAAAATAAAAAGTTTTTAAAAAATCACTAATTAACCTTAACCTTACAACAATATTACAATAGGAAACTTCTTACCTGCTTCACAGCCACTTCTTTCGGCGGCTGATCCTTAACCGTCAGTTTACCCATATATACTTGGCCATAAGCTCCTTTGCCAATCTGTTTAGACAGCTCTACTTGATCAGCTGTGAACTCCCATTCCTGGCGACAAATTGGCTTGACCAATGTACATGGATTAGCTCCAAGCGGCTTCTTAGACTTCATATAGTGATTGACCAACTGCACCACCGAGTCGAATGATTGGTTTGGGTCGATAAAGAACTTCCCTTCCTTGTTTTTGATTCGAAATGTAACTTGTTGGCCATTGTTAACTGGTTTTACGACAAGACAAGTCTGAAAGAGGAATTTTATCGACGGAAATAGAAAATTACAGCCGACAGGAAGACTTGACTCATCGTGTCAAGTTGTAAAGTAAAGACGAGGAGAAGATTTTGTTATAGACCCTCATGTTATCAATGAGATAGGACAAGAGATGGACGTGTTATATGTAGGGTGTTTTACTTGTTTTATGTAGGTTTGATTTGTTAAGTGTAATATAATTAATATTTATAATGCTGGGCTTTTATTATGAGATGAAGGTGAACTTACTACACGATCAGTGGCAGATAACTCTAATATTTTTATAAGAAAGTCTCCTGGTTTATTTAACAGCATCTTGACATCTTCTTGTGGTAATAGTCTAAAACAGTTGATATTACCATAGTTTTGAACTTTTTTTCCTCAATTTGGCTATAACGTTAGACTTTTGTTATTTTAGGTATAACTTTGGCCATTTCTTTGTTTTTATCCCAGAATATACTGTTTTGAAGCTTTCTATCACTAATAAAATCTCCTTACCCATGATAATAGTCCAGTTCCGTGATGCCCTCTTCCCCCACCTCCTTGTCCACCACCTTCTCTTCGTACTCTTCTTCTGTCGCCTCTTCCTCCCCCTTAGGCAATGGAAACTTGAAGTTGTTGACCTCGGGCTTGGCCACCTGAGGTTGTTGTTGTGCTTCTTTGTCGTCGGAGCCTGGCTCGGCTTTGTCTTTCTCTATCTTCTCGGGGAGGATCACCTCGGCAGGACCTTCTTCCTTCTTGGCATCTGGATTCACACCATCGACGAAGTTGGGGTCGCCGCCCGTCAGGATGATGTGCCCGTCCTTGTCTACGGGATACGGTATTTGGCCGAAGGAATCGTCGATGGGCAACAATTCTTCGGGCTTGTCAAACGGATCTACTCCAACTTTGGCTCCTTTTGGCAGCTGCAAGGTTGTGATGATTTCGAAAACAGATGCGCTTTTCATAATAAGATGGAAAAAATAAATTTTAATTTTTGCCAGGTATTTGAAGATTTTTTAAAAATTAGGCATAAAACAAAAAACAGTACCTTAATCTTGAGTGGTATGAAGCTTTTTGCTGGTACGGTGTTGGTTTCCATTGCGACTGCACTGGGTGGAATACTTGATCAAAATGACCGATTTCTGTCGACTTTCGACCATTTTGGAAGCTTTTTAAAAATAAAAAATTTACATGCTAAAATTTGAATTTGAGAAAAAGTTTTAAGTTTTAGAAAACCCTGGTTTTTATAGAAATTTTTTTGTCTTTTTTTTGGTATCTTACTGTATACCTTCAAATTCAACCCTTATTTCACATTTTAAAATTGCGAAACTGTGTTGAAAGTTCATATCGGGACAAAGTTATATTACTTTAGTTGTTTTGCCAAATTAATGACGCGCGCTAATTCCCCTGAGGCAAGACAAATAAACAGATTAACTGATGTAAGTGGCAATTTTACTCGGAAATTGGATGTCGCTGTACTGTGTAATTATCTGATCTCCACAACTGTAATTGTAGATTGTCGTATGTTTCGAGTAGTAATTGCAATTTACAGTCGTTTTTGGTGGTATTTTGATGTAAAACTTGATTTTTGGTTTTTCTGTGTGTTTGTTTTGGCATTTTTGGTTGTTATGGGTCTATATTTAAGGTCTTGGTACCTGGAAATGAATGGGTAACACCTAAATAACTTAACATATAGTTTATTACTATTATTCATCAGTAAGAGCGACTGTTTGGCTCATAAGATAGCTTCTAATGATACTCAACCTATCCCCTCTCCTTCTCCCAAAAGTTACCTAAAATACGAAACTTGAAGGGACAAGTCCGCAAAACCGCTGATCTGGCCGTAAATGCACCAGACGGCCCAATTGCGCAAGCGACAGGTTGATTGCGCCTCTAATATTATACAGATCGCGGAAGTTTGGAGACGCGTCCCCCTCTTCTCGCGCCTTCTCTTATGTTATAGTGCATCCAAAGGTCGACGGGCTGGCTCTGAGCGGCACCGATGGGCCCAGGTTGTTGTTTTTTGCCAACAACTTGTTCATTCGACTGTTTGTTTTTTGCTTATGTAGGTATAGTTATAGTACATCAAAAGGACTCTGGTTATAAAATTTTACTTTTTGTGTTTTAGTACTAGGCTGGGCAGGTTAATTTTGCTTTGGTGGAGGAAAAAACATTTTTTGAAAGGGTACACCTCTCTTCCTTCTAAAACGTGGCCTGTCTACTTATTTTTTCAGCAGTTTTGTTGAAATTAAAAAAAATTTTTCAAAATAACCTCTTTGTACTATAATATAACACCTTTCGAACCGCCAAATGTTCGTCACAATGTCTTCTTGTTTATGTTACGTTTGTTTTCGTATGTTGTTTGAGACCACTTGATATCGAGCCACGAGGCCTCGGGCTTCAATTGCTTTTACGAAACGTTTATTTTGCTTTTTTGCGACATTTTTCTGACATTGAAACATCCGAGGCCAGATATTTTTAATTAAATTCGAAGCAGACATGAACGTATGTTATCGTAGTGTTCACATCCCTTGACTATTCCTCGATTGACGTACTTTTAATGTTACTTGGGCTTGCATACATTTGTAGTAACATGTGTAATATGTTGCTTTTGCTTACTGCATTGCTTGGTCAAGACGTGAAGGGAATATTGTTGTACATGAAAAAAAAATTAAAAGTTTTATGGATAACTGCGCTTTTTGTTACCTAATAATTACCTTGACTTCTCATATACCTCACCATACTTTCAACTATAATACTCTTTTCACTCCCCAAACCCACGCTGTATCCACCTCGTACTCTATTTATCGTCACTTTGTGTTCGAGTATTGTTGACGATGGATGGGGCAGATTAAGATTCGAAAAAGGAATTAACTCTGGCTTCAAAGCCTCATTCAAATATCATATTAAACACCGCTTCTTGGTCGCCTGCGGGCGCTTTCTTTTTTCGTTTGGATCACGCGGTGGTCGTATCTCTATCATTACTTGCTTGTTTGTTTCAGATCATGGCTTCAAAGGACTCGAAGCCGCGGCGGAAAAGCTCCTTGCTCGGTGAGTTTTGAGATTTTCAAATTATTTTCAAGTATTTTGTGTTTTCTCTGGTTTTGCTCGGCTTAAAATGACTTTTTGGATTGAAAAAGTGAGTTTTTTGCTTTGAAAAGTCTGTTTATAAGCTTCAAAATGAGTTTTTTTGTTTAATAAGTTGTTTTTAATCTAAAATAAGAGTTTCAAAGGCATTAAAAACACTTTACATATCATTTGATACATCAAAACTCACTTTCAAATCAGTTCAGTCAATGTTATGTTATAAAAACCAACTTTTAACTTTCAAAATCTTGCTCAAAAACAACTTTCCACACGAAAGATCTTTCCCAAACTCAAGAAATGTTGTTGTTTATGCTCTTCAAACCCCTGATAACTGCAGAGGCAGGTTGCGCAACATTTGTGAAATTAATAAAGTTTCACGGTGTTTGCCCCCGGAATCTGGTTAGAAGACGCGGAGAAGAGAAAGTTGTAAACAACTCGCAGACAGACACTCGGGGTGGGGCTGGCAGCGCAAAAACAACCCCCCTCCCGTTCTGTAGTCTCTTTTCGTTAAAGTGCACTCGACGTTTCTCTGCACTTTCGTCTCTCTCTCTTCTCCTCAGGGCTCCACCAGGCAGGAGGGGGGAGGGGGGGGCGTGTGGGTTAGTTTTGGCAGTCAAGGTGCGTTATATTCACGCCAGAACGGCCCGGTCATTTATTGCCATTTATGTCGCCGTTAATTGCCATGCATACCTTTGTTTAGGCTTTGTTTTAGCTCGAATGGGACAAGTTGGCCTGTTCAAACATTAGAGGTGGCTACGGGGAACGCTAGGGGGATTCAGGAGAAAGGTTGGAGGAAAAAGAAAGGGCCTGATGTTGCTTTCGTTGAAACACTTGTTTTTGGGCTATCGGTTCGATTGTTAGCTTATGTTATGATGCCTATCGTGTCATCTTCTCTGGTCTTTAGCTTGTTTTGATGACATTTTGTGTTATTTTTGTTATTGGCCATTTTTAAAAGAGAGGGAAAACTTGTGTTTAAATTAAGAATTTGCTCTTGTAGCTCTTTCGATATTATTTTTAATTTTTTTGTGAAAGGGTCCGGTTAATGTTTTTGTTTATATAATGCATTTACTACTACAAAAATGATTTTGTAAGGTTATAGTGTCATAATTTCAAGTTATTTCTCTATTATCGGATGATATTACCCTATTACACATCATTTTATAACCGTCCGACCTTAACAAGAACTTATTGTTTTTATCATAACAGATGAAGTTGTTGTTTGTCGCAGTCATATTAAAACCATGTACAACATCAGACTGCTCACAGAATGAAGTGGTTCTTTTCAGATTGGTCGCGGCTTTCATCGACCGGTTTCGCTTCGTTCGCGGCTTCGTTGTCGACCCAGCCCAATCAACAGTACGGCTCCACGCAGTCGCTGAGCAAAGAGTCCGACAGTCAGTCGATCAGTGCTATGCCCCCGCCCAGTTCGGGATCCATCTCCAGTTCAGAACGAGTACAAGCCATGAGTCACGGTTCCAAGCACAAGTACCGCCAGAGGGGTGATGTCACCATGTCAGGGTGGTTGTTCAAGAGGGGGAATCACATCAAGAACTGGAGGAAGAGGTACTTTGTGCTGTTCAAGGATGGTACTCTGCTGGGGTACAAGAATGAAGTGACGGACAACTTTGAGGATCCATTGAATGATTTTACGGTGAAGGATGTGCAGGTAGGTTTCTTTCACAAATGTCACCTTGAAGTTAGAAAAACACATAGTAATATTGATTTAGTATTATGAACTTTTGCAATAGGTTAGTTGTATTCTAAGCTGTAGATTAAGCTTACTTAAGTTTTTATGAGCACCGCTTTCGGCAATAGTTCCTTAGGTCTTTATGACTTGTTTTTGTCATAAAATTGGTTTTGTGGACACACTTTCCTGTAAACTGTCCTATAATTTTTGCCAATTTGAGCAGCCAAAACAACATATTTTGATAAGCGACCGTCTTATTCTTACTGTCGTATTTTCGAAAATACTCCGACGATCTTTAAGGGAAAACATGCTCAAATTTATTTGTCAGGAAAACAGCTAGCCGGCTGGCATGGGGGGTAAACAGCATGGTATTCTAACATAACATATCTTAACTTATTTCGACTTCAAGTTTGTATATTGAGGTGGTTGTCGTATGTTGATTAGGTTTGTATATCTTCCGAACTGTTAGTATTTTACTATAGTATTGTTGCTTACTATTTTGTTCTGATTTTGGCTGTGCATGTTGTTTTAGATATCATAGGTTGAAAGGGTGTTTATATTATGCCATAATGTATTTATTATGGCTGATTTTACCGTGATATACTGTTATTACAATGTTAATGTTTGTATCTCACCATAGTAAATATATTCATATACCAACGCAATAACCACCATACAACATCTCGTACGTATCTGTTCTGTTTTGTACTGTTAACACACTTTCAAGTGTCCTATTCTGGTTATTGGGCCCTAACTGTAGACCACTTGGCCATTCGACCAAAAGTCGACGACTTATGTGATTGTAAACAAAGGCCTCTTTATGGTGATCAAGTTGTTTTTCGGTGCCATTCTGTCGCTCTGTTTATTGTTTTCTCAACGTCGCGACATAACAAAAAACAAAAAAGTTCGATGACATGGATAGACAGTTTAATACCGTCGCGTGTGTAGGTGTAGTTGTGAAATGATTGTAGATATGGCTACAATTCGAAGGAAATTAAATTTTTGAAAAAGTCTGAAAAAATTGAAATTATAGGGAAAATTTTGAAAAAACTTTCAATTTTTTAAAAATATTTGAACAATTTTTGAAAAAGAAGCATTTCTATAAACTTTTTGACCGTAAAAAGAATTTCGATATATGATCAATTATTATGGAGCTTCTATAGTACCCTAAAGGAAGCTACTTCAGTTTAGAACCTAGCATTATCCTACAATAATATACTCTTTCATGATACTATTATATTATACTATACTAATAGTTCCTGACTCCAAACTATTCCAATCACCAGCTCTTTTAAGCTTACCCTACCCTCTCCACCCTTGACCTATGGTCATCATAACGTTATTAAGTGGTCTAAGCAATTAGAATTAGCCTTTGTTGATTAGATTGGTCATATTCTCGCACGCTGACCGCCGTTCCGTGCTTGTTTTTGTTTTTGTCGCTATATCTGTGTTTTCAAAAACATACCTGGGTTTATTAGCCATCTCGATAATTACAGTAGGCTGTTGTTGTTGTTACAGTAGGTGTTATTGTTTTGGTGGTCGGTGGTTTGATGTCATTTTTGTTACAGTAGGAATATAGTTGTTTTGATTACTGTAGGATGTGTTACAGTGTTTTTAACTTTGATCATTGTCATGGTTAATATATGTGACTTATCAATTGATATGGTGGTGAAGTTTTACTATTACGCAAACTTTTTAAAGCCAAAATTAAGTTACAGTACTCCTCTTTTTAAGTCTAACAATTAGTCCTATTAAGCCACCACTAATAAGCCTGGCGTTGTTGTTGTCGGTGGGGGTGTAGCCTGTTATTGTAGACGGGTGTTGATAAATTAACAATGTTTTGTTGTGATATAGACAATAACAGTAAATAAAAAGTACTATTTACTGTGCTACAATCCCAATAACATTCCACTTACCAAAATATTTTCTATTTACCGTAGCGGTTACTGTAATCCCCGGTGTTTTCGAAAATAATTGAAATCATCGCGAAATAATCGGCTAGCCACCCCCTCCCCTGCCCACCCCCTACCGAAGCCAAAGTAATTCTCGAGGGTCGCGCGACAGCGATGGGCGATAAACAACAACAAGAAGGGTTGTTGTTGATGATCATATACACAGGGCCATCACAAAAATATCCGCTTGTTTTCGCTGAATCTAGAGGGCGGGGTAGGTTGTTTTTGGGACCGGTCAACTTCCCTCAACAAGCAGCGGCACTTCGACTAAACGCCCGCTGGCATTAGGTCGCTAGTTGGCCTTCTGGGGATAGGCGCGGTTAAGGGAGCTGGCTTGAGATATGTTATGAGATTTGTTACTGTTGAGAGTAACTACGGAAAAGCATAGGTGTTTCATTGTCTTTACAATGTATTTATATAATTTACGTATCAGTACCTCAACTCAATTATCATCAACTGAAATCGACCTCATTTTAGGTAATGCGTGCAGAAAAACCCCGGCCCAACACGTTCCTCGTGCGCGGTCTACAGTGGACCTCCGTAATCGAACGTATCTTCTGTACGACTAGCGCAGAAGACCGTGAACGGTGGGTAGACGGTCTCCGGAACGTTGCCGAAGCCATCAAGAGTGATCCGAACGGTCTTGGAATGATGGACGTGACTCAACTCCCGCTCGACACTCAGCCACGGATGCAGATGGACGTGACCAGCACAGCACCCTCCACTTCAGACATGTTTGGTACCACTGTAGCTGATGCTGGCGCTCGTCAACAGAAGGAGCAAGAGCAACAAGATGCCATGGAGATCACGGAGATCGACGGCAGGAGTCAGGAACATTCGTTGATCACGTTGAACGACTTTGAGTTCTTGAAAGTACTAGGCAAAGGCACTTTTGGTAAGGTGGTACTAAGTCGAGAGTTGCGTACCAACCGTCTTTATGCCATTAAGATTCTGAAGAAGGAGGTCATATTGGCCAAGGATGAGCTACAGCATACGATGACAGAGAACAGAGTGTTACAGCGATGTAAACATCCGTTTTTAACTGTAAGTAAATTAAAAATATTTTTAGCAAGACTATTTAAATCTCTAATTAGGCATAGTATTTTAAACTTCACATGTCACAATCAATATTATGATTACGATTCCTTCATAAAAACTAAAATAAACCCCAAATACTACAATATAATTCCCTTTCAGGAACTGACATACTCCTTCCAAACAGTAGATCGCCTCTGTTTCGTGATGGAGTTCGCCATCGGTGGTGATCTCTACTATCACTTGAACCAAGAGGTCCAGACCAAGAAGGAAGGCTTCACAGAAGACCGTACCCGCTTCTACGGTGGGGAAATCGTCCTGGCCTTGGGCTACTTACACGACAACAACATCGTATACCGCGATCTCAAGCTAGAAAACCTCCTGTTGGATCGCTACGGACATATCAAGATCGCCGACTTTGGCCTCTGTAAAGAAGACATTGCCTTCGGGGATCGTACTCGCACCTTCTGTGGCACGCCAGAGTATCTAGCGCCAGAAGTGCTTGACGATAACGACTACGGGCGGTCGGTGGATTGGTGGGGATTGGGCGTGGTAATGTACGAGATGATGTGTGGGCGGCTACCGTTCTACTCGAAGGAGCACGAGAAACTGTTCGAACTGATCCTGTCGGGCAACATCAGATACCCATCCAAGTTGTCTCAAGAAGCCCAGAATCTGCTTTGTAATCTACTAGTCAAAACTCCTAGTCATCGGTAAGAATGATCTACTTAAACTAATATATAAAACGGTATAAACGACTAAAATAGCTCATTGGCCGGGACAGAAAACCCGCCTAAAGGCATATATTTATATTCAGGCCTTATAAAAAATTAAAATCTTAAAATACGATGACTATATAACAATTTAATTTTAATGATTTCAGCTTGGGTGGAGGTCCGAACGACGCCCGTGACATCCAAGCACATCCATTCTTCCGACCGGTCAATTGGGAGATGTTATACCGAAAGGAAATCACCCCGCCATTCATCCCCCAACTCAAATCTGACACTGACACATCGTACTTTGACGCTGTAAGTTTCCTGTTTAAAATATAATATATGCTTTGGGTTTATCACCTAAACTTCGATCAATTTAGTTAATAACCATAAATTAGGTAACAAAATTAAGGCTTGAATCAGCTTTGGCACTGTCTATTATGCCCATATCAAAAGTTATGCTTAATCAAAGAAGATATTGCCATAAAACCTTGTTACCTAAACATAATTTCAGGAATTCACACGTGAGAACGTCCAACTGACCCCGCCCCTCCACCGCGACGGCTCCTTATCAGTGGTGAGCGAGTTGGAGGAGATGCAACAGAACTTTGTCCAGTTCTCCTTCCACAACGTGTACCAGAGCCCGGAGGAGGACTCGATGATGCGCCACATCCCTCACATCCCCTGAACATTCCAGCACCATACTATTTTGGGTACATCGTGGGGGTTTTATTTCATAGAATAATGTAAATGTTAGAGAGTAAGGTTCATACAGAGTAACAAATAAATCTATTATCACGGAAAGCTGATCGCAGTCACTGTACAACAACAAGCTAACTAAACGTATCTCGTATTTATATATCTGTCGGGGGACTTACTGTAACATAGGCCGGCTACTGTAACATAGACTGGCTACTGTAACATAGACTGTTTACTGTAACATAGACAATTATGGCTACGGTAACAAAGACAATACTAGCTACGGTAACAGAGACAATAATGGCTACGGTAACAAAGACAATATAAGTGTTTTGTTCACAAATTATGCAAAAAGTTGAGAATAATGCAAATGAGAATGTTAATATAGAGTTAGGCCCGTGGGATGAAAAGAGAAGTAACTCAAGGTCCACAAACTTTCGTCTCAAGTAGACAAGAACAATGCTAAAATTATTCCACATTTCTTTGTCGCCAAAAGAAAGAATTGATTTTCAAGCCAATTTGGACGAAGTGTCACAAATTGTTGCGAAATGTCAACTTTATTTTCTTGCTATTTTTATCAAAAATATCAAAAGTTTTGTTTGTTTTTATTGTTTTATGTACAATTCTACATTTCTTATCAACAGAAAAAGTTATGTTTCAATTCCTTAAACCTTCAGCGTTACTTTAGCCATTCAAAACCAGTAAATTATATTAAACTCGGAGAAGTAGAAGCATTTACAACTTCATTGTTTCCTCCGAAAGCTTGTGGCACAGACATTACAAACAAAGAGAACCTAAGTCTACTTGGTCAAGAGTTTGTTGGCCCTCTTGTTGGCCGAGTCCACTCGGGTCTCGTTGGACTGGGCCTTCTCCTGGATTCGGTCGAGCTGTCGGTTCTGGTTGGACACTTCTGTCGACATGTCGATGGCCATGTTCCTCAAGTTGCCCACCATCGTCGAGACCTGTTGCACATTCTCGTCCATCTCCTCTTCCCTTGCGTCGTTTGTGATTCTAGTAATGTAGCCGCCTTGGGGGCCCATTCCACCGTCGCCTACTGTGATTCGAGGTTGGTCGCTGATCACACCGCCGTCGTCGTCCTTCTTCCACGTTTTGGCGTACTCGGCTCCTTTCTCGAAGTCATTGTGTCTGAAGATTGAGGTTGTTATTAATTTAATAACTTGGATTTAACTTAAAGATTGTAAAGGGTATAAAGATGAGAGAAGGTTTTATATTATACATGACTTCGGGGTGGATTAGCATTATTTTGATATGTTAAAAGTTATTTTGTGGAAATTGTTGTTTGTTTTGGTTCGGAATTTTGGAAAAATAAGTGGGACAAGCTGTAAAAGGTATAAAAACATAAAGTTATATTTGAAGAGTCATGTTTCTGTAAATAGCGCCACTTCAAAATTTGACAAATATGACTCTGAATTCTGGAGTGCCAAATGTAGCCGAATTTACGTAATCAAAATGCAGTCTAGTCTAATATCAAACATTTAACCAAAATGTGGTCAGGCTTCTGAACTTCAGACAAAAAGTGTCAATTTTCGACAAATATACCACTTTTAAACGAAGTATGCCAATCTTTAGTCAAAATATGCCATTTTAAACAAAATATGCCAATTTTGGATAAATTCGTCAGATTCGGCGGATAAGATTGTTTTTGTCTTACTTATTCCAGGGCAGGACACACAGCCCGCAGCACTTCTCCATGCCCTTCAGATGTTCCTCGGCTTCTTTCATGTCAGTGTTAATTGTGTCCAGATTGCCCTCCACTCGTTCCAGTTGCTCTACAACGAACCATATTAATCATGCAAAGGTCTTTGGCAATTTAATGCACTGTTTGTTAAAGAGTGCTTAATTTTGCATAATATTGCAAGACAAAGTAGTATATTGAACAATAAAGCAAAACGATATTATTTTTGAAAACTTTTTTAAATTTTCAAAGATAATGTAATAGAAAAAGGATGCTTACCTCCTTGATCGTCTAACATAACTAAAGTTTTGATACCGGCTTCTTTACTTTCTTCACATAGTGCTAACATACGACGAGTTGCTTCCAGCGACTAAAACATTAAGATTAAAAGTGATAAATAAAAATATTCATTTTTTAATTTTTTAATGTTACAGTAATTTACAATTGCTCTGCTCTTAACATTTTTTGTACTTTAAAGTGTTTTAAACTTTCGAGTTCTTGCTTTCACAATACCCTAAAATACGAACCGATTACCCCCCTACCATATCAACAGCTGTCATAACAAACCACTTAAACAAATTATGTCAACAAATTAAAGTCATTACATGGCTGGTGCTTTTGTCAATGAAAACGTTTAGGGTCTTAAGCTCATCGCTCATGTCCCCAGGCATTACCAGCCCATCGTGCTCGACCGTGCCGTGCGGGCCGGGCGTGAACTCGACCCGAGCCCGCTGGTCCACAGTTTTGGGCATTCTGTACAAAAAAGGCAATAGTACTGTAGAATTGCACCGTACTATCAAAGTAAATGGCGCAATGTTAAGACAGGTTGCAGTATCATAGAAATATGTCTCAGATATACAAAATGCAGTTTAGAATCATTCACAGTCAAGAAAAGTTTTAAATTCGGGACAGTCTAGAAAGTGCACAGTTCTAGAAGCCGGGCATCATCCCGTGTAGCACGCTGTTTCCGAATGCAAGCGCCGAAACGGCCTTGAGGACACATAAAAGTGTTTGGGCGTCAACGAGTTGACAAACAATGATCCGGCAGGTAGAACGGGTCAGGTTTCTGATGTTCAAGTAGATGTGGTGCCGCAGCCGTGGGGGATATGCCTTTCTGGCTTCGGAGCCAGGCCGGGGGGAGCGCGCGGGCCTCGTGTAAACCGACTAAACTAACGCAATTTCATTGTTCGAAACGATTGGAGGCAATGTTTCAGGGTAAGTGATGAGCTGCTACACGTCCGTAGAGGTTCTTATGTTTTTGGGAGGGGTGGTGAGTATGGTGGTAAGTTGGAAAAAAGTAATGAGTTAGGCTAAGGTATTTGGCACGGTGAGTTAAGCTAGTAGCTTAGTTTTGAGTTTTTGAGGCTAGAGTTTGTTCAAGGTTCGTTCAAAAAAATATTGTTGTAGGTGATAACCATAAGCTTATATGTTTTCACGTATTATATTGCCAAAAGCGAGACTTTTTAATACTATCTATGTATTTGTAAGCTTACATAAAGAATCTTCGTATTTTACATTTTGTTTGCTTCTTCTGACGTATTTCTAAACTTATCTCAATCAAAATTTTAAATTTCCTGTTTCTAGGCAAAATTTCACTAAAAATGCTATACGAAATCATATATTTATGTTCATTTTGCATATATTATCCTTGTCCATTGACTTTTGCAATCTTTTTTTTTAAATTCCGGTCTAAAACGAAGTAGAACAACTTTTTTCAAAAAATTTTTTTGGCATAGTTTTAAATTTAATAAAAGTTAAAAAAATGAGCTTTATAATTGAAAAACCGGTGAAAAAATAAATAGAAAACGAAAAAAACGAGTATTATGCTATCTTTTAAGGTTACTTATTAGTTTTTGTTCGTCAATTTTTTTGTGCAAAAAAGTTAAATGGGCTCATATAGTACGTGCAGCATAGTACATTACTTTCACGTACGTTACTTTTAGTATAAAATATACCTTTTATACTAATTTGTAGCAAAAAAAATACTTTTTTTTATATTACCTACCCTCTTTAAACTTTACTTTTTGCCTAGTATAGTATAAAAAGGGCTACATATTCGAAACCATATATAAAAGGCCATAAACCGGTGCATTAGCATAATGACTTACATCATCGGTGGTCTGATTCATGCGAAGGTTGATCTCCTCCAACGTCTGAGGTATATCGTCACCCATGCTGAGTATTCGTATTCAAATTCGCGGCTGTAATTTGCTCTATTATGGATGGGAAACTAACATCACACGCAATTCCAGAACGACCGGAAATGGAAGGGGTAGGGGGGGGGGGGTGAGGACAAGAGCCTCTTCTGAACAAACGGACCCGGAGGGCATGCGAGTCGAAAAAGGTGAAACAAACTATCCAAATTTCAGGAACAAATCCCTGGTGAACCGAACGTCAAGAGCAGCGTTCTGGCCAACGTTCCTTCGTTCCTGGAATTGAGGACCGAAAAAAGGAAATCGATTCACAAGTTTTTGCATAAACCTTGAGATTAGCTACAGAGTTTCGATTAAAGTTTGAGACTGTAACCTAATAGGGCAGACTTGACCTTTTTAGTAAGTTCGATGGCGTTTTGTTGACGCTTCACTACAGTTTTTTAAATTTAAAATTTAAAACCCCAGAGTAACATTAAAATAAATAAAACCTTATCTATAACTTAGAAAAACCTCAATTATAATATATAATGAAAATGACCCTTTTAAGCCTACTTTCTCCTATTTAAAAACCCATAAATAAAAAAAAGTATTTTGTAAATTTGACAAGCGAAAGGCGAGATATTCAAAATATCGAGAACCAAAAACACTAAAATATTAACCAGGAACTGTTGTTTTTAAGTTTGGACTTGTTTATGTCTGGCAATCTAATACTGTTAATCGTATTAACATCAGTCATCTTACCCAGAAAACTATAATTTCGTCCAAAAAGCACCGCGCAAACCCCCACCCGCCTCGCCCTCTCCCCCCTCTTCGGTGATAAGGCCCCCGGGCAGAAAGATTAAACGCGAAAAAGATAAATTATATTCAAACACCTGAGGGTCGGTCCGTTTTAGGCCGTCTTTTTCTCTCGCCGCCGCCCCAATGCCCTCGGGCGGAATAAATGGCATGGATCGATATTTGGCCGAAAAGCGCGCCGTCTCGGTGCTTAGTAAGACGCTCTGCCACCACCGTCCCAGCCCCCCCCTCCGCGCTCTCGGGCCCTTTTGTCACACCAAAAGGGCGGTGTTTTGATTTTAAGGCTGGCTGGCGTGGTGGCTAGCCGGAATTGTGGTTTTACGTCAGAATAACAAAAACAAACAACATTCCACTACTGCATATATTATAATTGCATTTCCATTCAAACGTCTTTACTATAAAGGGTTTGTTACAGTTTAATGGTATTGCAGGGTCTGTTTCTTCCATTTTTTCATCAAATTTTAAAAAATTAATTTTTTTAATTTGAATATTTCAAATTTTTATAAATTAAAAAAACTTTTTAAATTAAAACCTAAAAAAAGTAACCCAAAACTTCTTCCAGTGCAATATTTATGATGTTATACTCACATATATTACTTCACAATTAAGCTAGTTATTCACTCCGAATGTCACCATCAGTACTTTATAATACAAATAACACGAATTCCCAAAGATTTCTTCAAAATACAGACATAACAAGACATAATCCTGTGGTAAACGACTACATACCACAGTACAAAACGTATATATTACAGTTGATGATATAGACATAGAGGTGTTACTGTAATATGAATTTCTATATCAAGGTTAAAGAATATAAACTACGTATCAATAAAGTAGACGTACTTTACTAAACACAAACAAAGCCAAATTATAGTAGATGATATAAGCATCAACTACTGTAATCTAGTATTACCTCTTACAATTTAACGAACGTAACGTATCGTATGTTGCTACAAGTACAAGCTTACATCGTATAAAGTAAAAAAAACTTGCAAAAACAGCACAGTAAAAAAACAGCAAACACATCGTATACCACCAAAAGAAAGTAAGAACATCGTATGTATCACAGCGTAGACGTCGTATGTCACTTTGAGGTATTAACTTCTAATGTCGTCGTACCAAATCGTTCCAGAAGCAGCTCTTCATGCTTTCAAACCGCTCAAAGCATGGAAGATACGACATGTCCAACTGTACCACTTTGCCCGGCCTTTGGTCACAGAAGACTAGACACTTCTCACCTGCCATCGTGGTCGATACTCCATTTCGTTCACAACATTGTCTATGGTCGCGACCTTGAGCAGCACAGAAGTGGATCTCTTGCATGGCCTCGATCGGGCAGTCTTCCTTCTTCATGTACATCTCGCTCAGCTACAGTAAAATTAAAGTGTCAGAAAGTGAGATAAATAGTAACTTACCATTTCTCTTCTATAAACGCCAAAGTTACATTTGCGAAGACAAGAGTCAGGCAAGCGACGATCGACACAACATTGGAGGAAAGCTTTGTTCGGATTCTTAATTTATACGTTACTGTACATTAACACAGGCTACAAACATATAAAAGTCATATCAAGTCTAAATCATACTTAAAATGATGTAAACTTACCACAGCAAGCTTCTGATTCTTGACAAAGTTATTCGCTACAGAAGGCGAGATCTCAGCCAGTTGGTTCAGTTTGGTAATTGTATCGTTTCTAAAATTCGACCACCGTAAATAAATAAAACCAGTAAGATACTATAGCTTTATAACATCATACTCAATGCTTTTTGACTAACCATTGGCCATATCTTAGCTAAAAACTTACGAATATCCTCTGAGAGTTTCAGGTTTGTAGCTAACCGAAGCCCGTGCACGATGTCTGTAGCATCCGTACGGTCCACATACCGGACTACCCATTCCACCATAACCCAAACCTCCCATACCGCCATTAATGCCGAATATACTGTTATATCCACCGTAATTCGAGTACGGATTCATTGAGTTGTACATGTTGTTGTAGCCCATACCTCCACCACAGCCCATACTCTGACAAGCTGGTCGAAACATCGGGTTGAAAGCCGCGCCACAACCCATATTCATGCCACACAAACCTGTGGCCAAACACTACAAAAACAAGAATAACATAAACTATAGCAGCCATCTTACCGCTTGGCCCAATGGCAGTAAACATAATGCAACAACAACAACCAACATCATTTCAAAGAGTCGCGCACCGTCCACGAGCTGACAGCCGGCTTCAAATGCCCACGAAAGACCGTGAAGCGATGGCGCAACGTTTTTCTGACCGCACAACCGGTCGGATCGGTTCCGCCAGCTGAAGGCCGCTTCTACGTGCTACTACAACATTACTATTCCGAGATTAATATTATGACAAAACCGCGTAATCCGCAGACAATGGTTTCAAACTTGTTTTACACCACAATACACGCGATTACAATGTTTATTTCTATTATATTATCCTTGTCCTTCCTGTTTACTTCTTTTTATTCTGAACCGCCTTCACTGGCTTCGCAGGCTTTTTAGGCTTGACGTTAGGCTTCTTGATCTTCTTTACGGCCGTTTTCTTCTTCGGGTTCTTTTTCCGTTTAGTTTTCTTTTTCTTATTCATCTTCTTTTTAGCCGGCTAAAATTAACAAAAATAATATTTCAGCATTAAAAATTATGTAAAATATTGACCAAACTTTACGTTAAAACTCGAAAACTGCAATTTCTCAAACAACTTTCACTAAATGTTACCCAAATTTGACCAAAAACCCACCTTTTTCTTCGGTTTGCCCTTCTTATCCTTCTTATTATCTAAAACATCAGGCAACTCTTTGTCATTAACATTACTTAGGTTGTTATTACTCTCCGCTCCTGCCGTCTCTGCATTCCCTGGGCTTATGACCGAGTCTTTGTTGTCGATATTACTTCCTTTATTATCACTTCCTTTGTCCCCAACATTACTTCCATTCATCCCGGCTATATTATTCACAGCTTCTTTATCTCCTTCTACTACAACTTCCGTCATTTCGTCATCAGAAGATTCTGAAAGGCTTGAATCCTGGTAGAACTCCATTTCATCTTCCACTTTCGCCAACTTCACTCCACATGTTATACATTTTGTGATAACGGTGTAGCATTCGACACAGTAGAACTGGTTGCATTCTATACATACGCGTGATTCTTTACTGAAACAACGATGATATAAGTTATGCTACATTAAAATAAAGTTAAAAATTAATTTTATACTTAAAATCGTATTATCATTCCAGTATTTTATCAAATAAGACTTGACAAGTTTTTCAATCTTCAAGAAAGTAAAACATGCCACAATGCACAATGAGTCAAGTCTTGCTCTACAAAAAGTTGTTTTCAATCGCATTGTAAATGTATCCTTACCCTCCCATAATGATTTCTATATCGCTTTTATCACATCTTACACAAACCTGTGTTTGTCTATCATCAATCTGACTATCATCCACATCTTCCAACATCTGTTTCGTTCTTCCGAAAAGATCGACCAAAGTTGAGCGAAGCTCGACCAGTTCATTGTACAATCTCAGAGCTCGTACTCGTATCTTCTCTGGGAATATTCTCTCAGCAATCACATGTCGCCATCGTTTCGCGTATATCTAAAACATCAACTATATTAACCTTGAAGAGTAATACCTGTAAGAAGCAGAAGACAATAGCAGCGACAAACAATGCCAACATCAACTCAAAGAGTAGGTAATCCGGAGGACTTGGCTCTTCGAAGCACTCCTTCCACAAGGCATCCTGAAGTCCACTGTGAAGAGGTTGGAAGATGTCCATCAGACCTTGTAGTAGCTCCTTCATGAAGCCGGTTCCTGCCACTTTCAGCTCGTAGTGATTCGGGATTTCGGCGACGGTAAGATTCTGATTGAAGAACTTGTAAGACTTTTCCATCATTTTGAAGAATGCGATGTCTATCATGATGATAACCAGTGGTACCAGTGCACTAATTACTGTCATGACAAGAGAGAAGTACAAGTAGGGCTTTTCGTTTCTTGAAAACTTGATGTCCAACACTTTAACTATCTAAAACAATACTTTTATTCACTAAAGCAAGCTTTAAGTTATGTAAAAATACATATTTCGAAGCCAAAGGTCAAATTAACAATATAAAACCTAGTAAACAGATGATGGACCATTAAATTTACTAAAACAACTTACAGTCTTTTTTTCCGCAGGCATTAATGGTAATATTGTTGGTGTTCCTTTCTTCCGTCGTTCGATCTCAACTTCCTCCAGATGGCTACTATGAAAGTAGTTATCGTACTTCGGGTTACGGTAGAAGCGGACGACATACAGTACTGCCTATATACTGATATTAACTTAAAAATTCACTGATGCCAGTTTAAGTACATTCCATAGTTGTATTAAGAAAACAATATTACCCTATTTGACTGTGACTTACAGTAAAGAAAGGCCATATAAACAATGGCAGTACCATCATGTTCAACAGCCAGATCACTGTTCTGATAAACCCCTCCAACCCACTGACTTGATCCCTCAACTTTGCTTTGATGGCATCTACATTGATGGCCAACATACGATTGTGATCGAATGTGTGTGATACGTTCAGTTCCATTTCTTTTGCGCTTTCTATCGTGTCATTGATGGATGACTTCTTATCTTCGTATAACTGATAAAAGAACGAGTCTTTGGCCATAGCCAGGCTCTTCTTCAGGCCGAACTTCACTGCCGTTCCTACCGTCTCCTCCAGCATCTTCTTGAGGTAATGAGGCCATTCGCACTTCAATGTCATCACACGACTCGCCGCACAGGTCTGGAATTAATTAATCCATCTGGTTACAGAGTTACTCATCTGGAGAAAACATTATTTACAATATGTGAAGTTATAAGCCTAATTTAGGGTAATCGGTATTAGAAACCTGATTTACGATAATAGTTCTAATTTATTTACAGTTGTACTATGATGGTTAAATTTCAAAATTATGGTGTCTTACCTGACGTAGCAGCTTGATTGGTGAACATATTACCTCATAATTGTCATCTAAACAATCGTAGTACATTTTGTCCACGGTCTCAATGCACTACAATCATAACAAGTTAAAATGAAATATTAAAAATGCTTAAAATATTAAACTAGGTCTGAAAAACATATAAATGTTACCTAAACCTCCATTTCCGAATAAGAAAACACAAAACCCACTCTGTAATATGGCATCCTGGTGTCTTCTTCACATCCCTCGAGCATTTCTTTGATCTTCTGTGCCATTTCCTTCTCCCACGCCAGCATTTTGTTGATGGATTCATCGACTTTCTTCAGAATCGCCTTCAATGTCTCGAAGGGACCATTATTGCTTTCCAGAAACTTTTCGAATATCTGCTTTGGTATCTTAAAAGATACATTTTGCTCTACATAACATTATATAAAACTACAAAATCAAAAAATTTAAAGAATAATAAATATTAACATAAGTAAGAAGTAATCGACCATAAAAAACCTACTATAATGTGAAATATAATCAAAAATTAGCTTTAAATCAATAATACCTTAAAATACTCAAATTTACCGCTCTCAACCGCTCTCCAACTCCACTCTTCATCTCCTTCACATTACCTTTGACCCCATCTTGAACACACATCGCTGTCATTGTCATCGTATGTATGTTCTTGGTGACATTAATTGCTGGAACTTGAAACGCCCAAGTCACTATCATCAACATAAAGATCGCCCTAACTTGGCCAGTCATTAATCCAGGTATGGCGATGATAATGACAGCTCGTATCATGGGTAACAGTTGAATGGCACATACTACAACTAGTACTACAAGTCCAATAAAAGTCCCTGTTCTGAAAATAACAATATTTTTGTAAAATTACATATAAAATAAATAGTTACTAACTAAAATGTGGATTTTATTATTTTTTATTTTCTTGTCCGTTAGAAATTCAGGTTTTATCGTATAAAATGTCGCCGGCAGTTCGCAACGACAACACCGACCAATTTGGGCGCTAAACTTTTTTCGACAATTTTTCTAAAACATTTGATAAGTTTTTAGATTTATCATGATTAAAGTACATAAATCTTGTCAATTTGCGACTTACTCTTTGGGAAACGAAGCGTATTTTATAGAGAAGGTGAGGTAGAACAGAAGACCAACAAACACGCACGAAGCCAAGGATACGATCAACGAAAGAGTGTTGTTCACACTGAAGGTTGTAGAATATTATAAATAATTTTAAAAAGTTCAAAATATTGTTTAACCTTTTGTTTTTTAAATTTATATTTTCCTTACCTGGGATAGCTGAGGACCTTTTTGATATGAAGATTGCAGTTCAAGAACCCATGGCTGTCTGGATTCTTCACGAGCTGTCGATACATTTTCATACACCGGTAGGCTTTGAGTTGTTGTAATTGGAGATCCACAAACCCCATTTCCACCGACCTGGATATTAATGTAAGTCGCAATAATTTTATTTATCTCATTGAGAATAACTTTGTTGTTTATTCGTGAATTTTTACCCAAAAATGGGTTCAAAATGAGTTTATTTATGTGAGAACGATTGTTTTCATACTGTTATTTGAATCTTTTCATGTTATTTTAGGTAGTTTTGAAAGAAAACGAATGTGTTTTTGAATATTTTATTGGTTTAATTAACGGTCAACGGACTGACAGGGTTTCACTCACTCTGATCCCTTGAGGGGCTAACCTTTCCCGCTTCTTCTCCTCCTTCCGAACGGAATATTCTTTATGCCATCAGATCCCCCCACTCTAACGGATTCATTTCTGAAACCGCCTTCGATTACCCTCTCCTCTTAAATCCCTCCAAAGCGGCGTTTTATTGCACCTCACGCTTTAAACAACTTCACTCAAACAAAACGATGTTCATCTTCGTGGGTATCATCATCTACGTCAGTGTGGCGGTGGCCAGGGATTCGATGGTGCTGATGGAGCCGCCAGTGAAGCCGTCTCCTGAGTTGAAGAACATGTTGTTGGAGAATCTGAACAAGCACGGTAACACGTTGGATGAGCTTGAACCCTTGCAGGCAGTCAAGTCGAAGGGATCCACTACTTTCACTTCAAAAACCAAAATTGAATTGAGCGACAATAAGGTTTGTTTTTGGATATTATTATCTTTGTGTTATTATCTTCTAGTTAATATACTGTAATGTTCGAATGAAGTTTGTTTTTGTTGCGCAATCCGTTCCAACAACAAATTCTTGAGATTTGTTTGTTTTAGAACTCGAAATCTGGCGTCGCAGATTCAGATGATCTTCCATTCGATGTAAATGAAGTCTCTACCTTGTTTGACGATAGTGATTTGACAAGGCCAGACACTGATAAAGTACCTTTCAAACCTTTAGCCAACTTCGAGGAGAGTTTTCGACCACAACCTTTAAGTTTGAACACGCTACACCCTCCGATTGAACTGCCTCCGCTGTCATTAACTGACTCTGGACAGCAACAGCATCTGGTACCGTTGTCTTATCGACCACTTCCGCCCTCGGCCGATTTGAAGACCGCTCAACCACCTGCTTCTAACTTTGCTGGGCCTCCAGCTCCACCAGCATCACCTGGTACTATTGGTTTCCAGCAACTGGTACCTCCTAATCAACAATTCTCGTCGTTTCCTAGTTTACAATCTCAGAATCCGTCTTTTCCGGCATTTTCCAATCTTCCATCTCATCAGAATCCATCTTTTCCATCGTTTTTAAGTCCACCTAGTCAGAATCCGTTTACCCATTTTGATGATGCTCCACCGTCAGCCGCTCCTTCGCCGCCTTCTGGAGCCTTTCCTGGATTTTTAAGTCAAAGTCAGTCGTCTTTGAATCCTCCTAGTCTATCACCACCCTCATTATCACCTAATCCACCTAATGTTGTGTATCCTTCTCTGTCTCAACCACAAGCGCCATCTCAACAACCTTCTTCATCGTTGTTACCATCTCAGTTTCCTCAACACTCAACTCACCCTGATAGTCAAGTAAAGGCGTTATCAGCTTCACTATCTTCTCCTTTACAAACAGCTCCACTGTTGTCAGAACTGCCGTCTTCTACTGTCAATGCATCTCGACTACCCTCACTCACACTACCGGCTCTGATTCCTCTACCTGATCTTCAGTTTGCTGAAGAGTGGAGCAGAGGAATTCGAACTACAACTGTCGCACCACTTTTGAATATACCTATTTACTCGACTCAGATCTTGTTTACAACTACATTAGCGCCGTTGGACATCAAACAGTGGCGGAACCGGTTCTACAAGACGTTCAAGCGAATCAACAAACGGAAGAAACTTATGGAACAGAAGAACAAGGTCGACTTTGTCAGGGACAGCGAAGTCATCGTGAACAAGAAGCCAGATTCTGAGGATCAGAAGCTTTTCGACGTTGAGAAGAGTGGGTATGAATATGCCAGGTATGTTGTAGTAGAAATTGTATTTTGTGTAAAAAAGGTACTTGTTTTATTCCATTATCTTTAGAATGAGCGAGGTTTTAAACATGTTATGTAAGGTATTAGACAATAATTCATGTAATATTTGTTACAAATTATATTTTAGAGTGCAACACGGCCGTCCTCAAACACCCGGGCTTCAGAATCGACTAAAAGAATATGCGTTCAATGGAAGCCGGCCTTCTGATATTTTTCATCCATTATCTTTGAAGGCAAAGGCAGGTGTTCTAAATTGATTAAATTGGTTTATTTTTAATTTGTCTAGGTGATATTGTTTTAGGATTCAAAAGAAAAGCTACGAAAGGCCAAGGTTCAGCCTCTGCCACAGAGAAAGTTTAAGGTTAACAACGATTTGGAGCCACATGAAGTAAGATACGATTAAAGGAAATATATCATCAAAATTTCGGTGAAAATTTACTTAAATCTACTATGAAAAACAAATTTTAATTTATTCATAGCTGTCAATGTGAGGTTAACCTAAATTTTTATTTTTTAAATTATTTTTATACCATTTGATGTTGTATGAATTATGAATTTCTGTTTGTAGACGCCATGCCTAGCTGTCGGATGTGATGAGAAGTCTCATAATCCGTGGATCTTTCAAAACGATGTTGTGTTAGATAATACGGACACGTGTAACAACGACAAACTACGTACATTGGCGGAAAAAGTAAGCTTTACTGTAACAAGTTTAGTATTTTTTAATTTCCGTTTTGAAATTTTATTTTAAATTTAGTAGTTATTTCAAAATTTTAAATTAAGTTTTTGCTGCAGCATGGGTGACATTAAACTGTAATACAATTGTGCTCATGAGCTATAGTGGTTATGGTACTATTAATAACAGAAGATGATCAACGTCTAGTCTAGCTTAATGTACTTACTTATTTACTTTTAGTTAATTGTACCTTCTGACGCCGAAGCCTCGAAGCGTTTGATTCAGAAGCAGTTTGAGGAAGAGTTCGGCCGCTTCTTCAATGTCATTTGTGGAACTGGTTTCTACAGTTATATTGCTCATACGGATGACTTTTGTCTTGTCAACGTACAAGACATGAACTGTTACATCTTCTCTCCTGTGTGTACTGACAGCCAAGGGTTAGGTAATGGAGTACTCAAGCAACGAAAGAAGAAGAGTTTACAAACCGTGAAAGTAAACAGTAGCCGGGTACTGTAACTCGGTGTTTTATAAGTTATTGTAAGTGTTTTTGCATAGTAATTATTGCGTTGTCATCGTATGTGTTATAGTATTGTGGACATTTACTTTGTGATACCGTTGTTTTTTACATTGTTACGAATATAATCTGTACATAAACATTTGAAACTATAGGTGGTCATCTTTTAAGTTATAAATGTTACTATGGCCAATATCTTCGTATAGTATTGATGAAACTATAAATGACCATTTACTACGATTAGTACAGAGTCATCTCTGTAATAAACATGGCTATGTTACAAGAAATGTTTAACTATATTGTACGAAGCATTACAGGCTTCAGAAGCTGTATAATACTTCCTTATTTCTCAAACATTGCATGATATTACACTGTGTCGCTACTACATGTTATGAGTGGTGAATTAGATATAGTCATAACACACATTACATCAGTGGGAGGATGACATAGCAGAGATATATATAATACTTCAAGAATCACGTAGTCATGCAGTAGGAGGGTGACATAGTATTGTCATGGAAAAAGGGCTTTAATGCAGAATAATTGGCATAACATTGTTTGGTAACTTCGTATCTTGGTTTGTTTTGGCAACACCAAACTTTGTTACAATATACTCAGTAAACACTTCGTCGTACCTTAGTTAGGTTTTTTAAATTTTATATCCGGTTCCTTAGCGTATGTGTAAGAAAACTACACATACAGTAAGGCTTTTTACAGTGTTTAATGCGCATAATGGTTAATATTTTGTGATTCGAGGTACGTCATTTTTATTACATTTTTGCCAATATTTTACTGTAATGTAGTAGCAGCTATTACATACTATGTCATATACATGTACGTATGCTATGTCGTCTTAATGTTAGTATGTTTTCAAACATAACTTCTTTCAAACGTATTATCGGATTACTGTAGTTGACTTTTGAAAACATGGCCATTCAAACCTTTTACTACTCCAACTTTACTATACTTAAATTGGAAAAAGTATTCGAAAGCGCATTTCAATTACTTTCGGCTTAAACATTTCGACATGAACAAATGTAAAGTAATATGTTTTCGGCTACAACTTTCGGCATGTTAGGGTTGTTTTCTTTCAATTATATTAACTTAGGTTCGCTTTCAGACGTTTTTTGAAATATTTTTACTTAAAATGCCATTATAGAGGTTATGTGTCAATATATAGTAGTTTTTAAAGAATATCAGCTTTACAGTATAGTATACAGTAATTATAAGCATATAGTAACAGTCCAACTATATGGAGTTACATTATAATACAATGAAATGCTTTTATATTACCTTTATATTATTACTATCACAATATAAATTTGTATATAGTGCATAACAATACTATGCCCAATACTATGCTCAATATACGACCACAGCGGCTTCATAACTATGCATATGTCCGCCCAGGTGCAATTACTGTCCTCCCTCGCCTACTGGTCATTCGCTTTCATACTTAAGCGACTTCGTATAGTCGAATTAGATTATAATATTCGCGGCACAGTAAACAGTCCCATCTTCTCACGATACGATGCCTTTTATTCTCCAAGAGTTCAAACTTTTGGATTCTGCTTCTTTGGTCTCCTTTCGTGTCTTCTGGAGCTTGAAATTCAATAGTATTTCGTTTAATCTTCAGTATTCCTACTCGAATTTAATGGTTTTCGGGCAAGAATATGACATTTTAGGCTTGTATATTTGATAACAACACGTTGTATTTGTTTCTGAGGTATTTTTAGGTTATATAAGGTATCATAAAAGTCTTGTCGTCATTTTAAGTAGTTTTTTGCGGTAAGAAACGACAAGACTTTTTATTACACATTAATATTAACAATGAATGCTTATTTTTACTTTTACTACTATAGGATAATGTAGTTTTTACTACTATATGATAATGTACTTCAATGTGAACTCTTCTTGTCCAATTCTTTCTAAAAACCTGGTAATAATACCAAAGTTAAGCCTTGTTAAACATTAAAACATGTACATATTAACGATATGTAAATGTTACGTAGGTTAAAACACTTTAACGTAAAACTGCTTTTCGTGACAAAGTAGAGTAGTAATCATAATGTGTAGTTTAACAGTCCTGTCGTCATTACTTCATCCTTGTTATTTGGTATATTCAGAAACCATATAATTTGACACAATCACGAACCATATATGATAATATGTTACTTTCATTGTGTAATATGCACTTGTCATAACATGTTTTGGCTATGGTTTCTGAGTACTATTTGGGGTATTAAAAAGTCTTGTCGTTTTTTAAAGTGGGAATCAATATTAATCGGCGACAAAACTTTTTTGTCATATTATTATAATTAAGCTTATGTGTATACAGTGGAATTCCTGTATAACGAATCGCTCGGGGACTTGAAATTTGTTCGTTATAAAGGAGTTTCGTTATACAGGAGTTTTAAATGCACTGTGCAGTGGTAGACGGGAATTTGAAAGTTGTTCGTTATACGGGAGTTTCGTTATAGAGGAGTTCGTTATACAGGAGTTCCACTGTAGTACGGTCATTAAGTTTACAGAATATTGTAGGGTAGGGTATTAAGGATTATATGTATAGTGAGATTATTTAGTTAATGAAGGTGGTTAAATGTAATTTTTAAGGGAAAAAAGCAAATTCTAAGAACTTCTTGACCTTGACCTATAATGATTAGAACTATACTTTTGCTATAATAAGAAGGGGGATTAGGCTGATATTTTACTTATTTTTTAAGTTTAATCGTCTTTTTTAGCTTCAGTACGAATTAATTAATGAAAGTAGATTGCGTTTTACTAGCTTCGTACTATTTTGTTCAAGAAGTATCTAAATTTGGCTTGTTTTTTAATTTTTAAAACTATTATCTCAGCTTTTAACAAAATTTTGAAATATTTTATTCATTTTCAGCTTTTTTAAAAATTTTTACTGTGTAGACTTTGAAACATTCTTTATGACATAGTGTGGCAATTTCTATTACTATAAAGTAACATTCGTGACCAAAACACATTCACAAATCCCAAGAAATGTTACAAGATCTCTGAACCTACCCCAATTGAGCATAATCGGCTATTATATGCCATTGTTTATTGACTCGAAAACAGCATCTGCACCCTGTTAATGCAAGACAAATAGTACTGGTTTTACTAATCAGTCCTTTCGTATGTTGGCGGAGGAAGTACGGCGCGAAGCCAATGGCCGGTTTATAGGCCAATGTCCGGTGGCCGTGGGGCCGGCTTCGTTTCCCCTTTCGAAGCCTCCAGGCATTGCGCATTACAGACAGACGCCTCAGGCAATGTGTCAAAAACAAATGGATCGAAATCTGTTGAATGTTATTACTGCTGTTTTCGTATCGTGCCCGCGTATTATGTAGTTTGTTTGAGTGCTATAGGGTACGTTCGTGCCGAGAGTTGTGTACTCGATTGTAGGAGGATATGTTTGAGTATTGTAGGTTATGAAGTTGGTCGTGCTATTGTAGTTGCGTGTAACACAGTTTATAGTTAATTACAGTGCGGAGAGATTTAGTTTTAACTTTTTTTTTGAAAACTTTTGAATAGAAATATAATTCTTACAGTGATTTTGTCGTATCTTGAAACTTGTAGGTATTATCTTTCGTGTCTTTATAGTTTTGGGCTTCAAACTCATTTCAAATTTGGTCAAAAAGTCCTTAGAACAAGCAACCCAGCCTTCTACCTTCAATCACATCTTTTTCCTTAAATTCTATGTATTTTTTTACCGTATATATCCCAAATATTACAAATTTAATATGTTGCCTCGCGGTCTACTGTAACACATTCTTTATTGTACTGTAGTTTCAGGAATGGCTCGACGTCTGTACGTATGTGGCCTAGCTTTAGCATCGATTAGTGTCGTATATGGGTTCTACATTCTTGCCAGTCGTGATGAAATAATCCCGGTAAGCCATAATGATAGGTATTGTAATTACATTACTTTGTTTACTCCGTATCTTGACATATGAACATCATTCCCCTAATTATGTTGTGTAGTTTGTCGTGGAACCAACAATACATAACACAACATAATACAATAGTATGCTGGCATTGCAAGTAAATAGTAAATAACATGTTATAAGATATAATACTATATGACACATTATATCATACTATACCAAGTGTATATAGTAGAGTTACATTATGTTTTTGTAACAACACGTTAACAATAAAATATGTCAAAGTTACGACATGTTGTCGTTATAATAACTTTCAACAGCCAGAACAATATTATAGTAGTATAACATGTCTATATGTCAAGAAACCAAGCCTTTTGTTAAACCTATCAAATATTACCATAAAATTTGGATACACTTCAACTTTGACATTAAGCATGAGTACGTTCTATACTGTTTATCGCAAATAGCATTAGTACGAACACTAATGCACGCATATTTAACGAGACAGCCGGCTCGCATTACATTTACATCAAAATATTATAATTCCAGCTCAAATTCGCTTCAACTCAATCATATTATTATAGTTTTGGCTGCAATTTGAAGAAGTTTTGTTGTAAATGTGATGTTTGAAGTTGGCGGTGTATATATAATGTTGTAGTAGGGTATTTTTGAAGATTTAGAAGGAAAAAAGTTAAAAACAAGACAGTTCTAAAGACTTTTTGACCAAAAGATAATGATTTTAGGTAACAAAAAACTTTAATTTACTTTATTTCTAACAAAAAAACAAGTTGAAACAACAAAGTGATATATCAACTAGTCATTTGTGGTCTTTGCACTTTAATGCATTTAAAACCCGCAAGCTGCGCCCTAATTGCGTGCAGTTTTTCAAAAAGACACAACTTTAATTTCCTAAATTATACAACTTTAATGACCCCAAATGTCAATCTATTTCCCAAGAAAACACCAGAAATGTCAATTTATTTCCAAAAACAAACCAATGACTTTACTTTTAGTTCCAAGACAATTCCGATGGTTTCATTAACGTGCCTGAGGAGTACAAAGAGAACTTGCCCGAGTTCGACGTTCTACCAGCCTATGAAGAGCCAGGACTAGTGGAAGAGGAGGATGTTGATGATGGAGAAGACGAGGCCGAGCTGCTGGACCGCACTCTCAGGTTACGCGACATTATCCAGAACAAACAAGAAGCCCTGAGGCTAGCTCAGGAGTACAATCAGATGCTGGGGCCTGAGGATTTTGCACAGTAAGTTGCAGAAGAAGTAAACAAACAAAGATTGAGCAACAAGAGTCATATTAGGTTGTTCAATTAATTCTGTGTCTCTCTCAAATCAAGTTTTTGGGGTTGAGGGGCACATAATTATTTGAACAAACAAATACTGAAAGAGCATTTAATACCAAAAAACAACCTAATATTAAAGTAGAAAATAAGTTTTGTCGTTTTTAATCTGGAAACCTTTACGAACTGACGACAAGACTTTTCTCTAACATTATTCAATATAGTAAAATCTAAGCGTAAAGAGTCGCGACTAGTCGTATCACACTAATTTTTAGCTATCCTTTAACGTATGACCTAATACAAGACTAAAATAGCCTTTTTCAAAATTTAAAGCAATTAAAAATTCTTGAAATGTCATACAGAGACATTAATTGCTGTTTTTGTCATGCATGTTGTTTACGCATATTATCTTCAGAAGAGTGCAAGCAGACGACCCGGAACAAGTGGAATTCATTCCGGTACCCCGAAGACGAGCCGTCTACTTAATCGACGAATGATTGTTTCATATCTTACTGTAATTATTTTATTTAAGTAAATTGTTTTACACTAGAAGTAATACTATAGTAGTAGTAATACTCTTTTGCTTATGGTAATGTTGTAGTAGTAACCGTTGTAGTGAAAGTAATTGAAACGCCATTAAGTTAAGTTGGAGAAAGAGTTTGGTGGAATACCATTGGTTTTGGTGTTGTTGTAGGTTGGTAGTACAATATAAAGTTGCACTAGCATTGTAGAAAGTTCTAATGCATCTAGCATACTGTAGAAAAATGAAGTATTACTGTGTAGTACTAAAAAATACAGTATCAACTCAAAATAGTACTGAAACAAGCCTCAGAATCACGCTTCCGGCTTGTGACACTGAATCAGAAACATTCCGTTGATCTCGTAGTACAGTGTTTTGGTCCTGTCATCTACATCAACCTCCAAGCCGGCTGCCTCCAAACATGACATCATGAAGTCTCTGGTTATATACAAACAAGTGAAACGACGTCCTCCAAACGAGCACCATTTCTCCTCCAGAATCCCTCCCATAAAGAAGTAGCCGCCCGGCTTTACAAGTCCGGCTACCCGCATGATCGCATTCTTGTACTCGTCTTGAGTGTTACAACAATATTCCAACGTGAAGATGGTTGTCACCATACCAAAACATCCCAGAAATTCTTTTGGTGCTTCTAGGACTTTGTCGTCCAAACAATTGCATGGGAAGACACCTTTGACCTGTAAATAAGATTGAAAAGTTATGATTTATTTGAAAATAAGTATCTTATAACATAAAATGTCATAAAATCATTAGAAAAACGAAACTTTAATTGTCTTTTACCTTTGTTCAGTTTCAGTTTAAGATTACTTGTTTATATGACATAAACAACATTATTTACGTCAGAAAACAAAAACAAAAGTTTTACACCAAAACGATAAATCTAGTCCTAAAACCAGATCTTCAACTGATTTTAAAATCAAAAAAATGACAATTTTGTAAAATACGTCATTTCCACTCAAAAGGTAACTATAATATCTAACAAAGTTAGCCTTACCTTCTGCCGTGTATCATTCTCCATTTCGCCAATTTTGCTCCATGGAATGCCTTCTTGTGTAGCGATCATCTTTAGCGTTTTAGCCCAGTCAAAGCTCGACCGGTGAGCCAACCATCTCTCCAATTCCTCTCGATTCTGTACCAGATAATCAGCAAGATAAATGTTCTCGGCTCGGTTTCTGAAGCACGCAGCGACGTGAATTGTTGGTCCAGCACCAAAATCAAGAACTGAGTTAAGTTGAGGTAGTCTAGCGACCATTCCAGGTAAGAAAGTCAGCACCATTTGCATAGCTGGGTCATCTACATTTGTGTAAAAGTCCTAGAAAATTAAGTTTTAGGTGCACAATTAAACAAATATAGTATTAAAAGCCTACAGAATATCTATTATAAAACATACACGTCTTTGAAAGTCCAAGTAATGTGTGCATAAGTTTACTTTTCATGAAAAATGTGACTAGAATTAAGGTAACCTACCTTCAAGTAAGCCAATGTATCAAACTCTGTTTGGAAACTGTCTCTGGTCAATAAATCTTGGCACTTTTCCTCAACCACATTCTGGTCGAGCGTTGGCTCTGTAGCCCGATTCAACAATGTCTCAAACTGAGTCATAACCACCTCAATATTAATGAAAATCCCTCCTAGTTATTAATAACGATCCCGGCCGCAAAGCCCGAACTTATAAACGGGGAGCGGCGGGGAAAGCGGAAGGAAAGCCCGCCTGTTACCCGCAAAGAGGAAGATTCTCGAAAGCCTTGATCCGGCCGGTCAGATTGGCCAAAGAACCGAGCTGCAGACGTCGCGCACCCGATTGACGTCAGGTCAAACAACCCGAGATCAGAGGCTATTGTTCCACAGGAACGTTCTGCGATTTCAGTTCGGTGTCGCGAGTTTTTGCAGCACATTACACGTTCTGACCATTGTATATAGGAAGTAATGCCCCCAGGCGGTTTGTGACGTCAAAAGCTAAGATCACAATGTGCTCGGCCAGCTGTCTTTTAATTCAAAACAGCATGTTCCAAAACTTTTGCACCGCGAACACACGACCGGTGCCATATGTTTCTCTCCAAGGAAACGTCCAGAAGATCTGTGATACGACGATTCTGACGGTTTAAAAGTTCACTCGTATAACATTTTCGTTTTGTGGTTTGCAAAATGAAACTTTAGTGCAAAGATCAATATATAAATCACTACTTTAAACGATGATGTCTCAAAACTAGAAATATAAATAATAAAATAAAAATAGATCCCAATCATACCTTTTAAAACAAAACAATACGATTTACATAATCAATTCCAAACTATTCAAATTTTAATTAACTTCGTCAACAATTAAAATAAAAGTAACACAACATTCTTATAGTAAGTCAGCATGTTATGATTAGTAATGTTTTTATTAAACAAGGCTATAAAATCTCGAGGATACATATCACTTCCAGAAGACGGCCATTATCTAACAATATATCAAAATGTAGTACCGCCATTGTTTATGAGTACAATTCCTTTACAAACTTAACCTTACCACACATAAGTAACTTTATACACATTCGAGTCAGTAGGTATACAATTAGTTGAGACTTCTGATATTCTGAAGTGGAGCAGCTCGAGGATTCTGAATAGGAGATTCCCACAACGTGGTCTCATCCAACTTCTTGTAGGTTTTCTTGCTAGGCCCTTGGAAGATGTCCGACACTCGAGGTGGCTTCACGACGCCAAAGTGAGCGTTGATCTGTTCGAAGGTCTTTCGCTGCTTCAGAGACGCGATGTGAATCCTCAACTGGTCCTTCTGTGCCCAGTTTGGTACCTTTTTCCTTGGCTCATCCTCGTTGTCGGTCTCATCGTTAGACGACAGATCAGCCACGTTGTAGTCGTTCTCTGTACTTGGCAAGGGTACCTTCTCTGGAGTCATTTCGTAAGCACTAAAATGTCATTTTTAAATACAGAATAAAAAAAGTTAAAATCATCGTAAAAGAATAAAAAGCATACAAATATCAATCCCTAATAAATAAACAAACACTATTTACCTGTGGTTAAGTCTTTTTGTTTGAGGAGTTACCGTAATATCCATAACTTCGTTTTCCTTATCCAAGAAGCTAGTATACCTAAAAACCAATTAAACTATACAACTTTAAAACTTTCAGTTAAATAAATAACTACAAAAGTTCATAAACATTAACTCACGTCTCCTCGATGACCAACCTCTGCGTCTGTTCTTCAGCTTCTCGCACAACAGCTGGACTTGCCTTAACTTCTGGAGCCGCCGCTTGCACTGGCTGAGCAATATTTACATGTTCAGTAGCATGAACAGATTGAGATTCAGAAGTCTCTTCGATTGTCACCGGTTTTGGTCTTGGTCTCTTCGGAGGTACAGCTTTCTGACCTGGTGTTCTCGGAGCATTAACAGTCTGACCAGGTGTTCTAGGTAGTGTAGTTGTGTGACCTGGAGTTCTGGGAGTGCCTGGAGTAGCCATTCGTTGTTCTTCTTGATACCTTTTGATGGCTTCATGCTTCTTCCGATGCTCTTCCTTCTTCTGAGCCTCCTCCAACTGCTTCTTCCTCTTGTTTTCCTCAACTCTTCGCTTTCTTTCTTCATTCTGATACTTCTTCCTTTCAGCCTTCTCCTTCTGGATCTCTGCTTTTCTTTGCGCAGCCAACTCGTTCTTTCGTTGCAACTAGAATTGTTTTAAAAATACACCTTTAAAACGTAACATATTGGCGCTTAAATTAAAGATAATATTTAAAAAAACGTAGTACTTTTAAAATCTCAACAATTTCAAATGAATTTACCTCCTCTGTAATGGCCTTAGTCGACTTCGGCTTGGGAGCTACAGCTGCTCTAGTGACTGGCTAAAAATAAGAAATAAACTTTTATTTCAAAAAAAGAAAAAACGTTTTAAACCCTTAAGTAAACTTAAAGCCAACTAATTCCATTTATACTTCTTTTAAGTATTCAAAAGACATACTCTAGTGATACAAGGCGACGGCGAAGCAGGTATAACATCGACCAAATGAATTGGTGTCTTCAACGTCCGTGGAGTTGGTTGTGGCGGTCTTTTAGGTGTTCTGGCTACAGGAGAAGCTTCAATGACTTCTTGAACTTCTCTGACATGCACTTCAGTATGAATGTGTTGCCTAAAACATATCCATAATCTGACCTTAAACAAAAAAATACCTAAAAAATCTAAAAAGTCAACAAAAACCTTTTAACTTACACATTATCATCTATAACCATCTCAGTCTCCGTTACCTTTGTTTTATGTTCATTTTTAGAAGCTACTACAATATCCAGGTCTTCACTCACTCGTGCTTCGTTCTCTGTTGAAGTAGTGGCATTTTCTTCGCCATCAAAATCTAATAGTTGAGGTTTTCGGTGAGCCAAAAACGCCGCCGGTGGTCTGTAGTTCTTCTTTGGTGTAGACGGAATCTAAAAAATGCAAATTAAAAGATCATAGATAAAATATTATTCGTAAAATTGTCATTGTGTCCACTATACCACTAATTTACCTTTCAATACCTAAATATAAAAAAGAAGATAAAACATACAGCATGTCCTTCAAAACAAGCTTCCAACTTCTTCTTGAGCTCCATCCGAACCTGAAGCACTTCATCGCAAGCTTCTGCATATTCTTCTTGAACCTGAGTTTCGATGCGCTCTTTGACAGCATTATAATCTATCCCAAACGCTTCCAATGCTCTAAGAATGGCACTATCAAGTGTGTCTTCTGTCTGTTTTGCTGCTCCACCCCTCGTCCTTGCCATTGTAGCTAAAATAACATTTTTACAAATTTCAATCTTCAAGCACAAGTGAATTAAATAGTAAAAGGTATGTTAAAAATTACATCATATTTCACCCAAAGTAATAAAATTTATTGTTTAACTTACCAAAAAATATTTTATATCGATATAAAACAGAAACCACTCGATTTTGCGAAAAATTATTTTTCGAACGCTTTCAAGCTCCGTTTTGCGCGCGTGGAATGTCGTTGTGAGACCAAGAAGATTAACTTCAACGTCTTCGTAACATAAAACGGACAAAATTTTGTCCACATTTGTATTTAAAATCAAAAATTTTACAATATCACCAAAATACCGTTTTTTTTTTCAAGCTTAAATATTTTATTACTTGATGTCATGATTTAAACTTTTTAACAATTTTCTAATATTGCGAATGAATGTAAGATGTACAACATGTTATATTATAATTTTGCAATTATTTTTCTAATTTCAACAAACAAATCATGCCGAAAATTGTTCTGTAGCAGTGATGACAAATCTGAGATATCAAACAACAATATCTTAAAAATGGTGTCTTACAACTTTGAGGTTATGAAACTGGCGCGAGACTTGGCGTTGATGGATTGTTTATTTAATTAAATCATGGTTTATACATTCTTCTAGGTTTTTCGCTCATCCATCATTCCAATTTACCTTATGACCGCCGGAAACTTGACAAATAATTAGGAAAAACATCCATCATCGCCCAATTCTTAAACTTTTGTCGTTGAACTGCGTCGCTGAAAGTTGAGAGACCACGATGACACATCTGGTATGATACGAAGATACGGTAGTTGATTGCAGGTTTTTTTGGTTTTGATAACGCCTCTCTTGGCGGGGTAAGTGAGGTGGTATGACAGGTATTAGCTTAAGTAAACTTGTGTGTGCCCTTTCAGTATGTGTAATTGCTTCAACAATCTGGCTAGGGTGGTGTAATATGGTTATTGTGTATCTTTTCATATATAAGGCTGCATAACATGCCTTATATTCATTCGACTAGTAAATCTTCACTTGAATATCAATTCTTCTCAAAAGATGGCTAACCTTGTAGCTAAAATTGAAACTGAAGTGTTTGGCTTGCCTTCATCGACCAGCTCCATATCTTCTCAAGAACAGAATGGACACGCGGAACTGGCTTCTGAAGTCGCCAACTGTAAGAGAATCCAAGCGATCGAAGAGAAGCTGAGTCCCCTGAAGGAAAGACTCCGAAGCCATCCTTTATATCACATGATCGACAATCTGGACGAGCTTCGCTACTTCATGCAAAACCATGTTTTTGCCGTCTGGGACTTCATGAGTTTGTTGAAGGTAATATTTTTTGATATTTAGTTTTGGAAAGAAAAGGTTTGCTAAACACTTCATTTATTAGGTAGCTAAAGTGATATTATTTAATGTTCTACTATTTTATATGAAGTTATTTGTCTTCCAGGCTCTCCAACATGACTTGACCTGTACCACCGTACCATGGGTCGCTAAAGGCTCTCGTACTGCTCGTCGTCTCATCAACGAGATTGTTTTAGGTGAAGAATCAGATGAGTTGGGAGACGGATTCATCTCTCATTGTGAATTCTACCAACAAAGCATGTACGCTGCTGGGGCAGACGACACTTCGTTGACAACTTTCATCGATGAATTACAAAAGGCGGGAAACATTGACCCTTCCACTTTGGAAACTGCCTTCAGAAAAGCTGGAGCTCCAAAACCGGCAGCTGAATTTGTGACCAAGACCTTCAACTACATCAGAACACACAAGGTTCATGTGATTGCTTCGGCCTTCACCTTCGGTCGCGAGGATCTGATTCCAATTATGTTCCAGAGTTTCTTGGACGAGATGAACAGACAAGCCAAAGGAGCTCTGGACATGTTTGTGCTGTACCTGGAGAGACATATAGAAGTAGATGGTGATGATCATGGTCCTATGGCTTGCAAGATGGTAATGGAGCTGTGTGGAGAAGACGACCAGCTCTGGGCCGAAGCTGAAGAAGCTGCTGTGTCAGCATTGGCCGGTCGTGCTGAATTGTGGGATGGAATTGCGGAAGAATTGAGGAAGATCAAGGAAACTCAGACCACCATGAACTGATTTTATAATACTTACACATTTTGAATACTATAATTTTATATTTTACATACTGTAGCCAGTGCCGGGCGGGGACTTTTGGTCTGGGGACGGGGGGGGTCGAAAAAAATCGGCCCAGGTAGCTAGCTACCTGTGCCAATTTTTTTTCAAAAAAATTTTTTTCGGAACCCCTGACTGAATTTGTACAGTAACCTGTTTATTTTTAAAAACTGTAATTATGTAGTGGAAACTGCAGTATTTTGTATTTTATTCACGATAAACTTATTTCAAAGAATTTACACAGTAATAGGTCATAAATAATTTAATGATGAATCGACTGCTTCGACGGTCTCATTGTATCCTAACTTACCAACCGAATTCGATCAAAACTCATCAATCAGAATATGACTGTAACAGTAAATATTGCGCTTACCAAGTGTTTTGTGATAAGTAAACTAAATCTTGTGGTTTAACACCTAAGGAAATACCAAAAAATTTTATACATAAATAGTTACTTAAAAATGCAAGTAAAGCATAGCAAAACACATTAAAATATTTTAAAATTTGTAGTTTTCTGCTATTGGCATTATGTTGCAAGAATGTTGAAATTGATTTAAAACAGGTTGCTCTCTTGAGGGTTAAATAATAATTGAATACAATGTGGTCAATCCAAAAAAAACTTAAAGCCTTGATTTATGTGCTGAGAAAAGAGCTTGCAACATAATGCCAAAATCCCGCCAAAATCAACCGTAAAAGTTAGTGAGAAGTTTTAGTTTCACAAAGAATAAAAATTGATGTAAAATTTAAAAAAATAGTAATTTGATTTTAAAACAAACAAGCTCGCTTATTTAGTTTTAATTTTTTGGCCAAAGCATTTACAATATTTGCATTTTAATAAAAATAATGACAGGTTTTTTAACTAAATAGTAAACTAGATATATTTTCTAAATAAACAACACTTTTTCGAGAATGATTGATAAATCTTTATCTCTTACTCATAGGTATTTCACAAAGACACGTCATTTTCACACAAATTTCAACATTGTCGAGGTAGTCTATATTACAATCAAACTTTAGTGTTAACATAGTTTAAACCAATACCTCACTCCACAGATCAGGACTAAAACTAAAAAACTTGAAATGCAATCATGACAGAGTATTACAATGGTATCCTTCGGCTTTAAGTCATTTCGGGCAATGATTAAATGGACAAAACAAAGAGGGCTGACCCTGTTGAACACCTACGCCTCTCCTGAGCCGTCTTGGTCTCTCCGCGATCCGCTTGTGACTTGAAAGAGCCGATCAATAGACGCCTTGGGGCTTGGCCTCTCGAGCGGCCGGCTGTTGCCTCCGATACTGGCCAGGATCCGCTTTAAGCCAGTTGATCCCGTCGAAACGCGTCGAGTTCAGTGCTTCGGGAACAATGGGAACGGTTGTTGTTGTTATGTTTGTGCCGTTGTCAATGTTTATCACGTTTACATTGGAGCACGATCAGACGTGTGTTTGTGTGTGGTCGTTCCGATTGTTATGATATTCACCTTTCGTGTCATCGTGTTCGAGCTTTGTTTTGGCTGATCACCACCTTTTTCAGATAAACCGTCTGATCTTGATCTAGAAACACAAAATGGTACGTTTGATGCTACTTACAAGCCTACTACAATATTTTTAGATATTTTTCATAATTGCAAGAAGTTTTCAAAAAGTTCATTTTGAAACAAGTTTAGTCATCAAAACCTTATCATTTTTTCATTTTGATGATATTACGAAACGTCAATTCTAGGCCTCCGGAGTAAAAGTTGATCCAGGATGTAAACAAGCCTATGATGACTTGCACTCTCGCCATTTGCACGCCTACATCATCTTCCGCATCTCCGACGACAACACCAGCATCATCGTGGAGAAGAAGGGTGACAAGAATGCCCCCTACTCTGAATTCGTCGAGGAAATGAAGGCCGTTTGTGGATCGGGCCAAGAATGCAGATACGCTGCCGTCGATGTGGACGTTACTGTGCAAAGACAAGGAGCTGAAGGGTCGACCAGACTCACCAAGGTCATCTTTGTTCAATAGTAAGTTTATTGCTGGCGTTAATTATAAGTCTTTATAAAAAATGACGTTTTAAAAAGCACCAGACATAAGATTTTTACATTTTTAAAAATGACCTTTTAAATTTAAATTTTAAACTTATTTTTCATTTTTTACTTCAATTTTACATTCGTCATAGCGTTTAACCAACTTATGTTCCAGCTGCCCTGACGAAGCCCCAGTGAAGCGAAGAATGTTGTACGCTTCCTCTGTCCGTGCCTTAAAGAACACGTTGGGCTTGGAGAGTCTGATGCAAGTCCAAGCCTCAGACTTGTCTGACATTGATGAGAAAGCCGTCAAGAGTGACTTAATGAGCCATCAACGCTTGTAAACGGGTGCTTTCGATAATAACATCTCTCACCGAAATCTAACTAAATATTTTATTGTGCCCAGCTAAGTTACCGACTCTGTTTGTGTAATTAAGAAAACATTTTATGTAATAATAAAGCATTTGAGTATTAAGAGTATTGTCATTGATATTTTCATTGATGTTGTCATAGATGTAGTATACAAAAGTTATTGGAACCAAGTTTTTTTTATGTTTTAATATTAGCTTTGAAACTTTATGAATATTTCAATACCTCTTTCTGTGTACTCTTTACACTTTTTATAAAAAAGTAATAGGTATATATGTATATGTCATGAGTACTTTTAAAAATCCAAGTCATACGTCCGTAACAAGTCACGGCTGCATCCAAATGAAGCGCGTGACATTACCTCGAACCGAGTGTCATCCCAACTGTAAAACAAAGCCAAATTGATATAGACGCACCATTTTGGCAGAAAACCGAAAGGCTTCATAAACGGCGGGGCCACAATACCACGGCCAATCCAAAATGGCCACCGTTGTTTGGCTTTGTCTTTTATGGCCAAATCGAAAACGCAAATGAAGCCAGCTTTGTTTGGCGGACAAGGACTTGGTGTGTAAATCCGTGAACATATATACTCATATATATAAGTAAGTGTGGCGGGTGGTTAAGGTAGATGCGGGTCGAAGCATAAAAGACTCTGGAAGGCCAACCGGAAACCGGTTGTTTGGGCCTTCAGACGAGAAATGGTTGACTGAGTCCCTCCATCCTCACGAATTTGCCATGCCTTCTACAGCGATTCGCTCTCATTCCAATGATATTACAGCAAACTGTGAAAACACCCCGACCGCTCTCACGCACAGTCAATCCCAGCGGTCGACGTTCGGCTGGAGTCGCAAGGTCAACAACGTCGGCGGCGCGATGAGCGGTCGCCTTTCGGCCGCTGGCCAAATGAGCTTCCGCCGCCTCAGCAATAACGCGCAACGAAAACCGGTTACTTCTGGTCGAACTCACATCTTTTCCGGCACGTTCAGAGTAAGTGTTTCTTTCGGCTTGTTGGTATTCGCCTTCCCCTAAGAACAACGTACCATAATGTCCCCGCATGCGCCACAAAAACACATTTCCAAGCTAGGTTTCGTCTTCCCGACTTTTACCTTATTCATGGCCGTCTCGACTCCTGACACGTTGTGAGGTAGGCATAGCGAAGCGAAATGCGGCCATCTCATCATCTAAGCATGAGTTCGGTGGGTTTTAACTAACTATCTTGTGTCTTAGGGAGGTGCTAAGCAACTCCATACATCATTAAACATGCGTGGTAATCTTGCCCGGGGAAAGAGCCAGTCAGGGCCACATGCTCGTTCCGGGGAAAAGCCCAAAGCCGAGTTATAATCAACCCGACCTCTGCCCTCGAGGCCATTTTACTTTTTAAAAGCAAACCTGGCGTCAACCAGTTTTCCGGCCCATCTCTCGGCCCTGGCTGCCGAGGCCCGCAGCCGCGGAAACCATGCGATTGCCGCCAGGCACAGCGTCCAGGTGGAGTGCATTCCACAACCCGGTCTCGTGCCGGCCCGGCTCAGGCCGCTGCCGAGTTTTCGCCGAGATTCGGCCGACCCACGTCTTTTGCTCCGCCGCAACGACACTCGGCGCAACTCCCAATTTAACGTCTGGTTGACTCGTAAAAACATACCTATGCTTCAGGCCAAGTTCAGCCAGGACCTGCAGTCGGACGATGGAACTCAGCCTCTTATCACCAAGCTGGACAAGTATACGCCGGAAGAACTCAAGGAATACCGACAAGTGTTCAATATGTTCGATACAGGTAGGCAATTTGAAACTTTTAAAAATAAAGTTTTTAAAATTTCGGAGATTTAAAGTAATTTTTGTAGTTTTTGAATCAAAAAATTGGAAAAAGATTGGTAGTAAAAGTATTTTTTGAAGTTTATCCTCAAATTACTAGACCTAATAAGTTGTTTTTTCAAAGTTCCACAGTATTGTATCTGTTTTTGTAATTCGAAATTTGTGAAAAACGGTTAGCGTGTTAATTACAAAGCTAACGAGGTTACTCATTAACCATGGGAACCGTTTTCAGACCGCAGTGGAGCCATAGGTCTAGACGAACTGGAGAATGCCATAACAAACCTGGGAATGGACCCGAAGCAGGTCGACCTGGAGATGCTGATAAAGGAGGCGGACAAGCGCGGCAACCACCAGATCGACTTCGACGAGTTCTGCGAGGTCATGAAGACGATGAGCGAGAAGACCCAGTCCTGGAACGAAGTCATCAAAGAGTGCTTCACCGTGTTTGATCGCGTAAGACCATTTGCATCATAATCCTCTCGATATTGTCTCGACTCAATACTCTTTCTACCGCTTCTCCTATCTGAATTTAATCTCGGTTTCCACTCTCGATACAAGTTTAAAAAAATTACCAAAGATCGAGAAGCTTCCTGTTTTATCGCAATTCTGTTTCAGAGCGAAAACGGACTCATCTCCAAACGAGACTTCGAGTTCGTGTTGAGGGAACTAGGGCATATCACTAACAACAACTTGCTGGATGAGTTATTTCTCGAGTACGACGTAGACAGCGACGGGTTTATTGACTTTGACGAATTCTCCTTTCTGGTCAAGAACTACTTGACCGACGACGACGTTTTTTGAGTTTTTTTACCGTTTTATATTATGTATATACTTTGAAATATCACTTTTTAACCTTCAGTTCACAAAGAATTGGATACATCAGTTATATGAGAGTTGAAGATATAAATAAAGCCAATCCTAAATGTTACAGCTGTTATTGTACTAGTTGAATTTAGAAAAGGCCATAAACTACAATATACTGCTCTATTCCTAATTTATTTACGAAGCTATGTTTCATTAGACATATAATATTGTGTTATACATGTTCGTCCAAAAAAAACTTTGCCGTATACCGTACCCAATTTTATTCCCCGGACATTCTTGTATACCGTATAGCATGCTGATTCCTAAACGATTCCTTGTTTTTGTGTTCGGACTTTTTAAAAATTGTGTACAAAGGAGGGAGGAGAAGGAGAGCAATGGAATTGGGGCTTCACTCCGAAATAGAACGGCAAAGCGAGAGAGCAGCAGAGACAAAGCCGGCGGTCAATACAACTACTACTTCAGCTCTTTTTATACAGCCATAGTTCCTTTCTGTGTTGGTTTGTCGCTGGAATTCTTCGACGCTATCACCCTGCGATCCATATGGATTTCTTTGCAGGAATTGATTGGTTTGGGTCGCTTCTCTATCTTTCTCAAAGGATTTGTACCTATTATTTCGATGTTTGTAAAGCTGAACGGCATTAAACTGATCCCATTGTCTTCAATAATTAAAATGTCAGAGTCTCTGCCTACCAGTCGAATAAATGGCAAAGGTACCAATCTAACTAAATTTCAACAACTTTTTTGCCGCTTAATCATGTCATTTCAAAACAATTTTACTTACCATTCATTTTCATCCCTTAGGGTTTGTTTCAAGATCACATGATTCAACGGTTTTTTATCACACGCATAATCACTTCGTCACTTTTTTGTCCCCGCCGTACCGTTTTTCCTATTAGGTCTCTCTTTTCGCGTTCCGGGTCCCACCACGAACGATTTCTCCCAAGCCACGCGATAAAATTCATGAGCTAAACAGGAAGAACAGATTAGCGTTTTCTTTTCAGGTTTTTCGATTTGAAACCTTGATTGAACCAGTGCGCCGTTCCATAGGTGTATGACATTGAGTTCCAAAGAAGATACTAAGCGTTTTATGGTTGACAGCCTACAAGGTAAGGGCTATTTTGTGTAGAAATATTCTGTTTATGGATAAGGGAACGGAGTTTTGATTTTTTGGATTTTGTAGTTTAAAATGATGCAATTGAGATTGTTTGGTCAATAAGTATATAGAATTTTGTTGTTTAGTTTGAAAATTTTCATTATTGGCGATAAAATTTCATGAACTTGTTGAGAAGTTTAGAAAAATTTGATTTTTTCCTGAAAAACAGCAAGATCCTGTGTTTTAAGCCCTTTGTATTTAAATTTTGTGTTGAAACCTCTCTATTTGACTCACATATTTGGTATATTAACATTATGTGTTGCACTTACCGTGGTATTTGCAGGAAGGTTGTCTCGTAAACGAAAGAAACTGAAGGAAGTTGCCGAGTGCTCATACCTTGGCAATCACGCCGGGCTTCGAGCAAATAACGTATGCAATTTGGCGTCAGAATCTCCGTCGCCATTTTCGGAATTTCAGTCCACGACTCAATTTCCGGTCGTCCTCGATCGGTTAGTAATTGTAAGTAATTTGCATAAGTTTTTGTTGTTTTAGAAGTCTACGCTTTATACCTTTTGTCGATTTAAAAATTTGTGTTGATCTTTTTCCTAGTCTTTTTAAAAATTTTGATTTTTCGATTAAAAATACGTAAAATTGGTTCATTTTGTGGCTGTTCTGTTCTCGAACGGTTGTGTTCTGTTCTCCGAACCTTTGGACTTCTTGTTTCATGAATATAGGCTTTTACCTGCGTGTTATCAACATTCTGGAGACTTTCGTTTCAGTTTCTTCCTTAATAACTACATAATTCTTCGACTTCCGACGTTCAGCGTCAGATTAGCAAGCAAAGATGGCCAAGAACGTTAACGTAAACCGCAATGTGCAAGATCCTTACTACCGTTACAAGATGCCTCGAATCATGGCAAAGGTTGAAGGAAAGGGAAACGGCATCAAGACTGTTATTGCCAACATGTCTGATATTGCCAAGGCGTTGTGTCGTCCTCCAACTTGTAAGTTTTCCTTTGTATTACTATTTTTGGTTTTTAGAGTAAAGTATAGCTAAAGAGTACCAGTATTTTGATCTGTTTGACATCAAAAACACATCTTTCAATATAATTTAAAATTTGATGTTTCAGATCCTACCAAATACTTTGGCTGTGAATTGGGAGCTCAAACCAACTTTGACTTGAAGAACGATCGTTACATTGTTAACGGAGAGCACGATGCCAACAAACTGCAGGACATTCTTGATGGATTCATTCGCAAGTTTGTTCTTTGTCCGGCTTGTGACAATCCCGAGACTACTTTAACGGTCAAGAGAAATACCATCCACAGCAAGTGCAAGGCTTGCGGACATGCTTTTATCGTCGACCCGAAGCACAAGATCTCAACCTTTATTCTGAAGAATCCACCGCCAACCGAGAGCAGCGATGACGAGAAGAACAAGGACAACAACTCTCCTTCTGAGGACATGATGGAAGGCGTGGATCTGAATGGAGCGCAAAAGATTCCAGTTATTGAAGACGATGACGATTGGGCTCCCGAGCCTTTGGATGAGAACGAAAAGCTGAGTGGCCAGATTGGAAAGTTGGTCATCGATCGTGACTTGGACAAGTCTATTGAAGAACGTCTGGATATGCTTCATCACTACTTCTTAAAGGCCAGAGATGAAGGTCGTCTTGGTGTAAGTATTTCAAACAGCTATATGTTTACCATTGTCATATAGTTTTGTTATGAATTACGTCATCTTTATTTATTTTAGGACATCAAGAGTTTGGTGAATGAAGCTGAGCGCTTGGAGTTGAAGACCAAGGCACCCGTTCTGTTGGCCGATGTTTTGTTCAGTGAAGACGTGTTGCAAGAGATCAAGGATCATCGCAACTTGCTTCTTCTGTTTTGTTATGACAACAAGAAGGCCCAAAGATACTTGTTGGGTGGAATTGAACAACTCATCCAAAAGAATCCGGAGATTTTGCCAAAATCAGCTCACATTGTGAAGCTTTTGTACGATGAAGATCTGTGCAGTGAAGATGCTATTCTTGCTTGGGGTGCTAAGGTAAGAAATTATGTTTTTACTATTGTTTTTGACTATGTTCACGTTGCTAATTAACTTATTTTAGCCAAGTTCCAAGTACGTCAAGAAGGAGTTGGCAAAGGAGATCATTAAAAAGTGCGAACCGTTGCTTGTCTGGCTGAAGGAAGCCGAGGAGGAAACAGAATCAGAGGAAGAAGATGACGACGATGATGTAGCCGTCGATTTTGATGAGCGTAGCAAGAACATTGGCGTTACCATCACCGAGAAGGTCGCTCCTCAAACTAACGGAAAATCTAACGGAACTCCAGCTGCCGTTGTTACCGAAGATGGCCAAGAGGTCGACATTGACGACATTTAAATATTTCAAAGCGTTTTGTTCATAAATATTTTCCTCACAGTATATTTTTGGTTTTGAAAATAAAGTTTTTAATTATAAGTATTTGGAATTTGTGTTTAATTTTTTGTTTTATAGCAATTCAATTTTTGTAAAAACCTTGTAATTAAACGCATGGTACCTTCAAACGTCTGCGCTAGCGTTTAGCTCTTCTCACAATCTGTTTTAAAATTTGAGAGCACGGTTTTCCCTAGACATCTGGAACATTTTTATGACCGGAAGAACACCGGCGATGGATGGAAGTTTTATTGCTATGATTTGTTTGATGTCTGTTGCGTCAAGAACGCAACATAAAGTTGTTTTACAATAGGAACGTTTGGAATAAATTTGGAACACTCCCTTTTGTTAATAACGTTAACGTTATGGCTAGCCCACGTTGCTTAGTATATATACGAAATGTCAAGCAACATTTTATCAAATATTGTGTCAATTCAATTGTCACATTTGAACAAATTATCTTTTGTCAATTGTAATATTCCCTTAGCGACATGTTTTCTGTAGTTTTGTGTTTTATTCTGATAGGCCAAGTGTTCGGATGTCAACCAGACCCAGGCAATCACGGGTCTTTGGCTGATTGTAAGTTAACTTTTGACTAAATCTAAATTTGTGGCCGTAAATCATAAAAACATGCATCCTTCAAAGTTATTATAACAATTATTTCGATGTCATTCAGACGAATTAACCACCAACCCCATCTTCACATTTGAATACAGTCCGCCACTTGCGTGGACTTGGTTTACTGAGCCTGTAGAGCAACAATCACCTTCAGCATCTGTAGCTTTGACTCTTATTCGTTCTACTGTAGAAGAAAAAGTACGGTAATATAACTTCTAAGTGTTTCATGCCATTATACGTTTACAAAATATATTTTAGTTCATCAACGCTCTTAAACTAGAGTCTCCATTCCTTCCACCGAATCTGAATCTGTCCACAGATCTGCTACAGCCTCTGGAAGTTCAGATCGTAACTGATCAAGCTGAACTAACGGAAGGTCAAGGACGAGTACAATTAGGAGTGGTGGCTACCTATTGTAACGCTACAAATGAAACGTGTACAGAAGAGCCGCTGACGCTTCAGAATCGTTTGTTTTTGTTTAATGGTCCGCTTCTGAATGGTCGACAGTGGAAGAACGTGGCCACATTCTTGTTCCAGGAGTTGCAATTCAATGCCGGGGTGTTATTCAAAGCTCCGATTAATGTCACAAAATAGATAATACGCTATATTCTGTACCTTGTTTTTGTCATTTACGAATTCGGTCAAAAAATAGCTAGAAATCATCAAAAAACCACAACAATTCCACTATCAACAGGTATCATATGGAGATTCTACGGACTTTTTGACCAAATAAAATCGTGTCACTGTATACATATCACTCAACTTTATCTCACTTTATCCTTACAATAAACTTATCCATTGATATTCGACCGTGATCCGCCCTTTCTCTGATGATGGTGTGCTCGAGGTACGTCGAGATGTTCCTCGCTCTTCTGCTTCCGAGTATTGACCGAGGCACTGCGACTTGACCGTGTCGAGTTTGGTGTGGTATGAGGACGTCGACGTTGTCTGGCTCTGTGATGTCGCTGCATCAGTGGAGAATTGTATTGTGATCCGAAGCCATAAGGAGTATCAATGGAAGTGTACGGGGAAGGGTCTGACCAGGTACTGAAGGAGGTTGGAGTGTAAGGTTGTAACGCCATTTCTCTCTGGAAAAGGTTTGCTTACAATGTTAGTTTTAGTAGAATATTGTAGTAGGGAACGTATACAAAGGCTATAACATTATATTACCGTTTGTCGACTGTGAGTGTACATCTTGTCAGTCCATGCGACACTTAACATCGACCAAGCACTAGCTGCATGAGGATAAGCTCGAACACACTCTTGAGAGAACATAATCTCGGCAAAACATTCCCCCAGCTTGTGCCATACTTGCCGTTTAAAACCCAGTGGAATGAGTCTGGCATGAGCTCGTCCGGAAATTAAAGAAGTTACAGTAAAAGAAATTGCTTTTGTTAAAGAACATCAAAATACAGTAAGATAATAAAAATTAAATCTAAAACATTTTTGATTACACTTTTACTGTAGCTTTTGAAATATTGAATAAAACCCTTACCAATCGTTGCCGGGTCCCAAACCGGCTTCTGCAGCGGCATATCGAACATGATGGCCATCAGAGCGTCGATAAAGTCAATCATCAGATGAGCATGATCTCTCAGCGTAGCTATTGAGCCAGAAGAACATCGTCGTTTCCTGTCCTCTACACACTTTACAAAGGCACTTTTATAAAATACGTTCATGATCTCGGGGTCACTCTCCAACAACTTCTCGAACACCTTCTCCATAATCTGAAGGGTTCCTCGACCAGAAGTCTTCGGAGCTTCACTCAACCGCTTCCAAGTGACACGGAGGGCTCTTCTCTGTAATTTTAAGAAACGTTACTAAAATTGAAATTACTGTAAGATTTTTTCACTGTTTTTAAATTTGTTATTCACATCAACAGTTTTGGATTACTTACATGATTTTCAGTTAGTCGACTTCCAAATTCACCAACAAAATGATGAAGAGCCATTGAAGTCATAGCTTCAGATGGAGCGTCTACATCACTCTCAGCTCGGCTCAAGTCGGAGCTTTTTCGACCACAAATGCTCGGAGTGGTCGATCCTGGCTTGCCAGCTAAATTTAGAACATTAAAATTACTGCCAAATCTTTAAACTCATAAATCTATTATATTGTCATACCCATAAGTACTGTAACTACTAAGTAAAAAAGGTGAATGAATTTAACATATTTCCGATACTAAGTAAATTGTAAGTTCAACAAAACTACCGTACTCCTATCGTCAGTGTACTCATCGTTTAGCTCCTGAATCAGCTTCCGCCTCTGAATCGCTTCTTTAATTCGCATCATCTTGGCAAACCTCTAGTAGAACAATCACTGCCACTCCTCGTAACTGATAACTGGCTCCAGAATCCCAGGCTTCAAACCTTCATAATCCCCCACTCGAAATCATGGCAACCCGAATTGAAGTGCCAACTTCTGAATAACAGATTCGAATCCGAAAAAGCAGCGGAAAGCGATGTCAGACTAGCCCGGTTTTTGCATATTTCCGGAAGGGATGGGTTACTTTTACAAACAGAAACAAGTTATTGCTCATATATGAGCTCATACATATAATAACATACATGTATGTCGTTATATACAAGATTTAAATTAGTAAGTATACGTCGATATGGTAAAAAATCATCAAAAAACCTACAAAACAGCTTTAAGACTGTCAAAACTTAAATAAAACAGCAGTTCTAAGAACTTTTTGACCCACAAACATTAACATTATAACATACTTATCATAAATCATAGTTAGCTGTTTATTAAAATGACATTATTATTCAAATATCCCTCCTTGGCATTGCTCCGAATCTTTCAAACGCTTCCTTTTCCAGCCGCTCACGATCTTCTGGATGAGATACCCGAATCAATTCATAAGCTCTATGCAAATTGCTACGACCCCAAATGTCAGCGATACCGTATTCTGTCACCAAATACCGTAAATGTGCACGAGTTGACACAACCCCAGCACCCTTTTTAATGTACGGTACTATTTTAGAGACTCCTTTCTCTGTTCGTGCAGTTATGGCAATGATCGACTTCCCTTTGCCATCTTTACAATTGGCAGAGCCGTATACAAAGTCTACTTGACCACCAAAACCTGAAAGGTTACAGTAGTCAATGATTGGATCATGTTAATATTGTTTTACGTAACAATGTAGAATTGTTTTCATTCGTAGTTTACAAACAACTTTCTATACCTACCTGAATATATGGATTTGCCAATAGTATCAGAAACAACTTGACCAGCCAAATCGACCTCGATTGCTGAGTTAATGCCAGTCATTTTGTGACTTGTTGCAATAACATCAACATCATTTGTGTATCCAACGCTACCAAACACTAAACGACACTGTAATACTCAAAAACTATTCAAACATACGAAGTATTGTAGAAAAATAACCAAAACCATAAGTTTAACTTACAGATGTCCTCATTTCCATCGATAAAATCGTAAAACTCTTTTGTTCCCATCGCAAACGCCATAACTCCTTTACCTACATCTCTGGTCTTCTTCGAATTGTTGACTACGCCTTTCCTCCACAAATCCACAATACCATCACTCACCATCTCCGTATGTACACCAAGGTTCTTGTGAGTTGTGAGCTTGCTGAGAACGGCATCAGGAATCGAGCCGATACCTAAAACAATGTTAATTATATTATCTACGACAAACATTCTATAAACTATTAATTCAATCATAATTATTGTATCCTAATATTTTAGTAAATTCGGGTAAAAAGCACTATTTTTGCGTTTTGGAAACAAAAAATTGTCAATGATTTATCCGTCTGCAGATCTTAACGAAATGCCACAAGCCGCAACTTTATCAAAATGACATTTCGTTCTTTTAGAATTAGAATAACCTGGAAAAAAATATTTTTCCTTGTGAATGAAAGTTTTACCTAATTGAAGTGTAGCTTCATCTTCGACCAGATTCTCAGCGATTAACCGACCGATTTCTTCTTCTGCAGATTTGATCGCTGCTTTTGGCACACATGAAATTGGAGTTTCGGCTTCAGGAACAAGATAATCCACGTGGGAAATGTGGATTTTAGAGTCTCCAAAGGTTTGAGGTTGAGTCTTGTTTATGGTAGCTGAAAAAGGAGATTTTAGGTAACACTTGAAATATAGTTTTGTTTTTGTAAAATATAAATCTTATGTTTGTATTTTGAAAAAAAAACGTACCTATAATGATTTTGGCGTTTCTGGCCGCCGGACTAGACATATCACAGTTCACACCCAAACTGCAGAATCCGTTTTCGTCTGGGGGACTTAGGTTAAGAAAAGCGACGTCTACAGGTACCCGTTTCGTGTCGTAGATTCTACCGGATTCGTTGAGGAAGATGGGAATGTAGTCGGCCTTGCCTTGGTTCACGGCCTTTCGAACACTCGGACTGGTGAATATTACTTTCGGGCGAATGTAATCTAAAGAATTCAAGTTATGATTTAAAGATCATGCTTATGTGTTCTTGAAAAATGTCAAAGTGAATTAAAGTTACCGTATATTTCTGGATCATTAGCAAAGGGATTGTTCCCCATAATCAAGGCACTGGTCGTTGTGATGTTCTTGATGTTGTTTCTCTTTGCATGTTTGGCTAACGCATTCAGCAAATCTATGGGCGTCGAAGCAGCATGGTGAAGGTAAATCCAGTCTCCCGATTTAACGGTCTTCACCGCGTCTTCTGCTTTCACCTTCTGTGGCTCTACTAGAACGGAGCCATTGTAGCGGGGTTTTGCCAATTGCCGTAGGGGTTTTTCGTGGGCCCGCAGCCCGCTCAGGTGGCGATTTTGGACACGAAACGGAAGGGAAAGCCGCATTACCGGGTGGTCGATCTGAAACAAATGGGAGACGAAAGAGTCTGGGTCATCACTAACGCCGCCTTTTCATATCAAGGAACATTCACTTGGATTGTCGCGTGCATGTTGTGTTCGAATTTAATGTTGTTATGGATGTTCTCTGATGGCGAGACTGAGTTTGTTACCATCGAATACCTAGAGTTATTGATTGAGGTTGAACTTGTAACAGTTCTGACCAGTTTTAGGTAATAATCCGAGTCCTTGAACCTAATTTCGGACGTGATTTATTGTATTCGCTTCTGTCCGATACAGTTTTTTGTGCCTTATCAACCTCTTTTTTGCTAAAACACAATTGAAACATTAGCAGTTTGATCAATGAGTAAATTAAAACAAAGGAAACTCACATAGATGATTCTACTCAAGTTTTGACCAAAATAGTATGGTTAATTTACTTTCTTTTGTTAAAATACCCTCAAAAAACTAGTTTTACCCAAAAATATTACATTTGCACTCTTAAAACACGATCATAGTCAATATCATTTAGCTTTATTCGATTATCTGACCATTACTATTATATTTTCACATGATATAGTACTATATATAGTCATGGGCCCGTTTGTTTTCTGCTGTGAAGTTGAGTGATGTGGAGAGTTAAGAGGTTTTCTGTGTCTCGTAGCCAAAGTAAGGTGCTAATGCTGGTTGTTTGGCTTGCTGTGCCAACAAATTCTCCAAACCACCGTATAAGAATTGGCATCCGATGAAGAAGGCTGTAGTGAGGAAGGCCAGCATGAATTGGTAGCTGTAGTTGAACATGATGTACATCCACACGAACAGTAGTACGCTCCATACACTGACTATAGCTACTTGGATGATAAAAGTTTGGGTGGTGAGCTGAAAATAGGATACATAAGCTTAAAGACACATTTTATAGGTATCTACTAGTTTTAATCCTCTGTGATTGATCTCGTGCAGATATATTAACTTACCTTGAACTCGACATCTCCTGGCTGTGGGTCAAAGAATCTCTTGTCTACGGGTTTATCGTAGAACTGTTCCAACTTTAGCTCCTTCTTCTCCCACAAGTTTATCAACCATTCACCTAGCTTATCTGTGTCTTTTGGCACGTCTTTCATCTCGATCTTCCTCACATCGAACACGATCTTCTTGGGACAAGCTCCCAACACTCCCAAATCAACTTCTGATTGTACTATTTCTTCTGGATACCCTACTGTAACATCGTAGATGTTGTCAATATAATTGCACTCTCTCATCTTTTGTACGATGTGTGTGAAGCCAGTAACTCGGGGGTGGAGAACGTAGCCATAGTGTACTAGACCACTTCTGTCGGCGAATCGTTTCGAGTTTGCCGTAGCGATAGGACACTTGTCTGTGCCTTCAGGGAATAACAGAAGCTGGTAATTAAAGCCTAAACTGGAGTAGTAATCGACCAAAGTCTCGATTCTGGGGCCGTCTTTCTGGAAGATTCTGTCCAAGAAGATGAAGCAGTTTGAAGCCATTGCCCAACCAGCTCCAGGGACGTGTTTCAGCATCCCCTTAAGCGAGATCTTCTCTGTAGTCAACAACCACGGATCCATTCTGAAGAGGGCGTTCCAGAAGAAAAGCCAGTCCAGTCTGGTGCGGTGGTTCATAATTATTAAAGCTGGCTTGTTCCTGTCGACTATCTGGCCCCTTACTAGGAGTTTGACTCCAAACGCGTATTCCATTAAACCCTAAATTGGAACCACTACTTACAGTAAAAAAATACGTGATTGGTCAAAAAGTAAAGATTGATATGAGGAAAATCAAGTACAAATTGAGTATCATAAAGGCCTTCTGACTACTAGATATACACTTATAACAAAGAATGTCTTACCGATGGTAAAACCACCCAGAATCCAACAAATCGGTCGACCAGCTTACGATACAACCGCGGCCGAACGAAAAGTAACGGCATTAAGGGCATAAGGATGTATATAGTGCCGAAGAAGGCTGACAGCAACATACATACGACGAATACCCATCCTCGTATCTTCTCGAAAGCCGTGGTGGTCTTGGTGACCGGTGGCTCCGCCATTATCCCTAAATCACAATACTTTCATTATAAATATTATACATCATTGACAGAGTAAAACAAGTGTATCATCTCAAAGGTAGCATAATGTCAATAACATTTAAACGCTAATATAACCATAACAAAAAATATATTTATTATATACATGCTTTATACAAAACAACATCTGCAATATTAGAAACCCGTTCAAAGGTTGCAAACGACATTATTCACGCCAAAAACAGTTGAGATCCATAAAACCACTCCAGAAATAGAAACTCGACACCTCCTTTTGTTCTGTGAGCAACCGAGAAGAAAATTACAGCCACTGTAACATACAGTTTGACATAAAAACTAGTGTATATCCAATATATCCAGAATACTGAAAGAAATGTCCATGTAACAAACGCCAGGTAATAACCGAAGGAGAAGGTATCGACCTGAAATTAGAGATCATTTTATGTTATACACGCATATATATCAAAATTTGTCGACATTTAACTTCAAATGATATCTAAATGTTGAAAACTATTTTGAAGTTATAAACATACCGGCCAAATTGCAGAATCGCCTCCAGAAGGCTTAAACTTCAGCTCGTTTTCGTAGAAATCCTTCAGCCTTTCTTCTTTCTCCGACCACCGTTCTTTCAGCCATTTGGCACAATCAGTATCCTCTTTACCTATGACGTCTTCAACACTATATCTTCGTACGTCAAAATGAGCTTCTTCAGGTATCTTGCCTGTCTTCAACAACTCCATTTCAGAAGCCACAACGCCTTTTGGGTATGCTATTGTCACATCATAAACATACTTTATGTATTTTCCTAAAATGTTGCAGGACTTTATAAATTTAAAAAATTGACTTGATCTATAAAAAACGTGTAAAAGAAAACAAAGACAAATGGAGAGAGTTACAAAAACTAAGAATAAAATAATATTATGTACCTACTTTTCTGCATCTCATTCAAGATGAACCCAAATCCGGTTGTCCTCGGATGAAGTACATAGTCGTATCTTGGAAGTCCCTTATCATCAGCATAAGCGTGACTTAAATTAGTAGCCCGCTCACCCCTATCAGTGCCCTCAGGAAATAACAAGAGCTGAAAGTGTTTGATTAATTGTAATATAAAATAGAGAACCATTAAGCCAACAGTTTTTGTAGCCCACCTGATAGTTGTAGCTGGAGTCTTTGTAATACTTTATCATAGTCTCCAATATCCTCTGGTCTTTGCCATAATTTCGGTTTAAGAAAATATATGAACCGCATCCCATGGCCCAACCTGAAAAGATCTTTTTATAATTAAATTTTATATTCGTTTTAGACTTTTTTTACATCTACAGATGACAAAGTTCTATCTAAAATCGTAGGAAATTTTTAGGTTCTATCTACAATTTGAAAGAAGTTACACTAAAAACTAAAGGGTTTCATAATTTTCAACGGTTAGTGTAACATAAAAAGCTGCATCTTTCCGTCCAATCAACTTACCTGCTCCTGGAATCTTCTTCAAATCAGACTTGAGACTGATCTTCTCCGTTGTCAACAGCCACGGGTCCATCTTATACAAGGCATTCCAAAAGAACATCCAATCCAATCTGGTCCTGTGGTTCATAATAATTACAGCCGGCTCATTTTTGCGGATCAAGTCTCCGGTCACCCGGACTTTGAGCCCGAACAAGAAGAACAATATGCCCTAAACAATACACATAGAAATCAACTGATAAACTTACAGCAGGGAATGTCAACCAGTAGCCGATGAATCTGTCTGCCACGAATCTCCATGCTCGGGGAGCAAAAAAGGCCAATGGCACAAACGGAAATAAAAAGAAAATAGAACCTAATAGTGAAGATACAAACAAAAGTAGAAATAATATGAACCCATTCCCTCGCCCGATCATTATTACACTTTCCGCGAGGGTGTAAAACGACAAACTTTATCAGGGATGTCAAGTGTTGCTATGGGTCAGGTGTCGCTCTTTTCAGGATTATTTATTTTACTGTTGGCAAAACACATTTTTGATATTCCCCGGCGGAAAAATAGAGTTATGGTGGTAAAACGGGATGTGTGGTGGTAAAAGTCAGGCAGTAAGTTAAAAGAACGGCGTCACTTTCAGAAGACTGTTCTTCACTGTGATCCGACTTTCGAAAATATTGTTTTTGGTTTAAAAAGCTGTTTTTCGTTGGTTTTCTATATTGACTCTAATTAAAATCGGAAAACCTTCATTATTTACAAAATATTGTTGTTTAAAAGATTTTAACGTGGAAGTCCAGATTTTTGGACAGATAACGAAAAGTCTATAAAGTGGATCAAATCTAAATGTGCTTTTTGTTACTTTAAAAATCAATCTTTAAAACTTGTAACACAAAAGTTTAATAGTTTTATAATCAGACACAACTTATACAACAGCTGCTATCAGTAAAATAACTTCATATAAACAGATTTTATCAGTAATTGTCATTTGAGAACTCTTAGAAATATTTATTGCAGAACAAAATGACTTAAAAGTGTAAGCCTACTATGTCAACGTTTACTGTGCTTTAATATATTAATTTTTCGTTTGCTTCGTCATTTAACAACGTCAATACAAATAAGATTTTTTGGCTGTTGGGGGGGGGGCTTTCTGCTGAAACAATCTGGCTCTCGGCCAAAACTTCGACGACCAACTAGTGCGTCATGTAAGGTTGAAAAACAGTATTTTTTGGCTTTCATCGGCAGGAAAAGGTATTTTGGGCATGAATGGTGATAAATGCGTTAAACGATTTTCAGTTTTAAATTAAAAACATTCAACCCAGTTGGGTCTACTATAATATATATATGGAAGTGTCGAGGATTGTCTGAAGAAAGTTTAGAAATCTTTATTGCAGAAGAAAATAATTGCACTTTTCAAAAGTATGGCTCTTCTTCGAAGTAGGTAATGGCCATAGGGCATTGTTTGGCAAAATGATCGTCGGCCTTAAAATTGGAATTATATAACTTTAGGCTGAGGTTATAACAATAAGAAATTAGTTCAAATCTTGTCGCAACATGTTAGTTTGACAAGATATAAGAAGGTTTAGTTGGCGATGCGGTCGAAACAACGAGGACAAAACAATCGACCATGGCTGTGCTTAAAGGTACCCGAGCACAACATCTTGTTACAGTAACAACAACAAAAATGCTCCAAATGGTACTTGTGCCCCAAGGCAGTGACACATTTGGATGTTATTGGCTCTCGACATTGATAACAAACATTTCCATATTTTAGTAGGTAATGGGTTTGGCATAGGACGTTGTAGCCATCTTGGTAGAAGGTGGATTCGAATAGAGAGTCATGACACACCTGAACAACACCAAACCAAATATCAAAAGCTACAGTAAGAGGAATGCAAAGTGTTACAGTATGTAAAATTAACAACAATACAGTAATTTCAAAATTAAAATAAAAAAATTAAAACCACTCAAAAATACCATTTAACCACACTAATACTACAGTAAAATTACAGTACTCTTGTAATATGAACTTACATCACAGACAAAACATTCAGGGTGCCAATGAGTGTCCAGAGCTGTAATGAACTTGGCAGTAATCGGTTTGTCGCATCCTTTACATTTTGGTGCATAAGTATAGTAGAAATCTTCATTACAGTAAGCGTAGCCATCTTTTTCGTGGTATCCTTCCGTTCCCAGCTGTTTTCCACATTCAGCACACGTGAAATGGTCCTGGTGGAAGGTTTTGCCGAGAGCACTGATGGCACGCTACAATTTTTTAAGTTTAAGATTATTTTATTAAGGAATATCAAGTAGCATGAAGAGCTTCGTATCGAAACCATTCTACGTTCATTTTTACTAATATTTGAATTTTAAATGCAAAATACAAAAAACAGCGATCAGCCTGACCTACCTCTTTCACTGGCAACTGACAGTAGCCACATCGTGGCGAAAAGTTTTCATGGTAATGTTCTTCACAGTAGGCCTTCTCGTCCTTTTCGAAGAATAATTTATGTCCGATCTGATCGCCACATTGACAACATGTGAAATGTTCGGGGTGCCACATCTGTCCGAGAGCAATAATCACCTGAAACAACAACGATATAACTGAAAGTACATAATGGTCGAAGAATTTGTATAATTAAGTAGCATAGTAACTTAGAGTTTTTATTTGTTCTATCTGCTTTTTGACTAGAAATAAATGAAAATAGTGACAAAGATTGCTTTAAATGACAATTCTTTTTAAAGTAATAATAAACAAAACGGCTAAAATAAATACAAAATGGCTAGTTTTTTCAAAATTTCCGAAACCAACCTCGCCAACGATCGTCTGACCACATTGGCCACAACCACCTCGAGGGATGGTTTGGTAATCAGCAGGTATGCCTTGGTCGATGGAAGAGTCCATTCTGGTCGAATCCCTCAGAGAATCTCTGATGGTCGAGTCTCTACCGGTCGACTGGCCTCTGACATCGTTGTGAGATGAGTATCGACTGTCCAACGCCGACCTCAACGACCGGTCGATATCTCCGTCATCGTAGCCTGAGTTTCGTTTCGGCCGATAACTGAACTGGGAAGACGTCGATTCCCATTTGTCATCGTAGTCTTTACTCTTACGCTGATGTCTTCTGAGGACTTCTGTGGTGCGTTGGAGATCTGTCAATAGGCCTTCTGAAAGTTTCAAAGGTGACAGATTTGAAATATTTTTAAAATTAAGTTTATTAAAAGACTTTTTTTGAGATGCTTTTATGTTGCAATTCAGACCACAAATGTTCACTTAAAACTTTATTTTATGACCAAAACTTATTTTACATTAAGCATTTAAAGCTGATGAATTCATTTGCTTTTCCACCAAAGTAAAGTCGTTAACTAACAAAATAAAGCTTAAAACATGTCACATTAACCACTATAATGTCACATTAGGTCTCTAATCCAACAACCTACTCTACGGCGGTAATTAACGACTTACCGAGCGCCGGTTTGACCGCATCAACGAATTGTCCCTTCTGAGCGGGCATGACCGCAATCGAAAGGTACGTGAAAGAGATAAAAAAGACTTGGCCTATCAGCCAACTGCCATAAAATCTCTGTGAGGGGGCGAATCTTTACGAACAAAAAAACCGACGGATCCTCAGTTTAAAACATCTCACGGCCCGATGTTATTATATAGTGAGTAAGACGAGCTGCACACGCTATGAGCTCGTATAATTCGGAACAGCTCATGCGTTTTTTCGAAGGAACCTTGGAAATTGAATCAGTTAGAGACAGAAGAAGTTGGCATGCGTATTTTTTATTATTTTTATTATTCTGGATAAAAAAAATTAAAGTTACAAGTAGTTGTTTTGCAAACTGACGCTGCATATTAGGCTATAAGCCAGTTTTAAATATGAAAACCATAAGATTTTTTGACCAAATATATTGAAACTTATCTTAAAACGTCATTATAGTAAATTACTTAGATTATTGGGTTTATACTTCTTTATTTGACCAAAAACTCTTTAGAGGTATCGTTATTTCTAAGCTTGCCTGACTGTTTCGTTTACTTTTAGACCAAACCGGCCATTTAATTTACGCCAAAAACATCAAAAAATGCTTTTTAAGCTTTAAAGAATAATAACAAATGTAGTAAACATGTTGCATCTTTGCACTTTAAGTATTTCAACAACATGAAGTTGTAATAGACACACTTTAATGACAAGTTCAATGGCAAACTATTGTAATCCTACCTAAATTCTCAATCGTTCTCGAAATTGAGGGTTTCTGTTCGTCCATTAACCAAATCTCGGAGCCACAAATATCGATGGAATGTAAAAAACACGCGGAGAAAGCGCAAGGCAGCACAAATCGACAAATGGTCTCTTTCCTTTTATATTCAGAACAGTCAAAGCGAATCTCCGTTTCTAACCCAAGAGACTCAAAGAAGGAAACAAATTTATGCACAATGATACCGCCACTTAAACCGCTCCAATCGTACGACAACAAAGGCTACACTGACTCATAAGGCGAGGTTATGCAAGAGGAATCTTGTAATTAAGAGCGTTAATTACATTATCGATAAATTAGAATAAATTAACTTTACAACTTTTAAAAATTTCAAAAAATTGTTGTTGATTTGATTTATATTACAACAATAAACATCTTTCTGTCATCTCAATTCATCATCGTTCAGTAAAAAACAAAAATTTGCATCTGGATGACTTGACTCAATTGTGTCAAGTTTTCCCCTAAAAATGTTTTTTGCCAAATCTTTTTTCGGAGTAAGTTTTGATGTAATTTATTGTAGTATGAGAACAAAGCATATCTTAATAAGATGTATATTGATAATAAACTTGTTTGGAGCTTTGCAATGTTTGGTTACAGATTTCCCTCCAGAAAGGATCGCCCAATACAGGTAAATTCACGTTTTTAATGTCATTTTTGACGTTTTGTTTTAGGGAAAAGGTTAAAACAATGTTCTATCATGCTTATAACGGGTATCTTAATTACGCTTATCCATTGGACGAGTTGAAGCCATTATCATGTACAGGCAAGTCTTAAACTTTGATTTTTATTAATTTTAGGTAATGAAAAATTAAGAATCAGTGATCAAAATTAATATTATAGGTATGAACACATGGGGCAGCTTTAGTTTGACACTAGTTGATGCTTTGGACACTCTTCTTATTATGGGTAATGAAACAGAGTTCCTTAGAGCTGTCGATCTTATACTGGCCAATGTTGATGTAGATGCGAACGTTAATGTCTCCGTTTTTGAGACGAATATCCGGGTAGTTGGTGGATTGTTATCTGCTCATATGATGTCTGGCAGAGTAAAAGGTATGTTTTTATAGTTTTATTTGAAATTTATTTGCAATAGTATAATTCTTGGTTTTTTAAAAATTAAATACGTTTTTTTATATATATCAAATTAATTTTAGACATGGATCTCCATTCTGGATGGCCATGTGCGGGTCCTTTGTTAGACCTTGCTGAGAAATTTGCTCAGAAGTTGTTGCCAGCTTTTAATACTGAGACTGGTATGCCCTACGGCACGGTGAATCTTCGTTATGGAGTTGATAAGGATGAAACTCCAATCACTTGTACAGCTGGGGTTGGAACGTTTATTCTCGAGTTTGGGACATTATCACGATTGACTGGCAATCCAATTTATGAAAGAGTTGCCCTTAGGGCGATGAAATCGTTGTGGGGAACTAAGAGTGCTATTGGATTGGTTGGAAATCATATTAATGTTCAGACAGGTAGGCGTCTTGCTTAATATTTTAGGAAACTACATGCTAGAAGCTTTAGAACTTAAATATCGGTGTTTTAGGTATATGGACAGCTACAGACGCTGGAATTGGTGCTGGAGTAGATTCTTATTTTGAATATTTGGCGAAGGGAGCTCTACTTTTCCAACGTCCATTGTTTATGTATCAATTTAATGGTAATTTATATTTTCTTGCTTTAAATTTTATTATCTATGATATTATTCCTATAAGCAAATGATTCTACGATATAATTGTTATAATTATAATGAATTATCAACAATATAACTATATTATTTTTGTGTTCAGAGTACACACAAGCGATAAACAAGTACATCAGGAAGGATGATTGGTTCATGTGGGTATCCATGACCAGAGGAACAGTCAATTTCCCTGTATTCCAATCATTGGAAGCTTATTGGCCAGGAGTTTTAGCATTGGTTGGTCAAGTGGAAGATGCAGCTAGAATAATGTTGACGTACGATCAAGTTAACAAACAGTATGGAGTACCACCAGAGTTTTACAACTTGCCAAATAGAGAAGCTGTAAGTTTTTTGTATTGAAGAGATCACGTTAAAGTACCGTGTTGTATAAAAATACCGGTATCTTAACATTTTATAGTTGATATTTTAAGGCCTAATATCCTCAAAATAATATGATTTTAGGTTGACAAAAGGTCAGGCTACCCTTTGAGGCCGGAGATCGTGGAGAGTATGATGTACTTGTACAAAGCCACCGATGATCCTCATTACCTTCATATGGCTGCCAGCATCGTAGAAGCGATAGAAGCCAACACGAAGACAAGTTGTGGGTATGCTACCATCAAGGACATCAATAAGAAAACACTGGAAGACCGGATGGAGTCGTTCTTCCTGGCTGAAACCACAAAGTACTTGTATCTTCTGTTCGATCCTGAGAACTTTATTCATTCTGATGGGCTACATGCTAGGGTGTTTGATCACCCTGCTGGAGAGTGTGTTATGTATGGTAGGTTTTTTGAAATAACTAGCAGGGCCGGGAGGGGGACTTTTGGTCTGGGGGCAGGGGTCCAAAAAAATCGGCACAGGACCTGTGCCGATTTTTTAAATTTTTTTTCCGAAAATCCACAGGGGGGACCACGTTCAATTTTTTTTCAAAAAATTTTTTTTCTGGGGGGTACCCCCCCCGCCCCCCCCTCGCGCCCGGCCCTGATAACTAGTATGAAAATTACAAAAAAAGGCAAATTATGGTTAGTTTTGTCGTAATATTACTATTTTTAGCTGGAGGCTGGATCTTCAACACAGAAGCTCACCCAATCGACCCGGCCGCTCTTTATTGTTGTGGAGCAAAACGAGCCAAAGATGAGATCTTGATCCAAAAGTTCAAAGAAAACATTGATTTCGTTTCGTTTTTAGATTTAAATGATCCCTTCTTGAAGGATCTGGATAAGAAGCTGGACGAAGATGACCTTCATGAGGAAGTAAAAGAGTTAAAAGTGAAGGAAGAACACCCAGATGATGTGGAAAATGAGCTGAGAGAGTTGGAACAACACATGTGGGAACACGAGGAGAAGATACGGCGGGAAAAGGAAGAAGATGACAATAATATTCAAGTTGTTCGAAAGGATGACAAGGCTGATGAATATATCAAAAATGACGGCGAAAAGAATAGTGATGATGGGACCGCTGAAGACAGTCGCAGAGAAGGTGAATATAAAGAAGAAATGAATAATGAAGTGCATGTTGATGAACAAGATGAAGAGGTAGACAATATGGCTGATGGTAACATTTTTGTTCAAGGAGTAGATGCACAAGATGTCAAAGAGACAAGGCGAAGAAGGAAAGGGAAGACGAGGAGGATATCTACACTTTTGAAAGGTCCAAATGATGTGGCATCGGAGAAAGAAGATCGAGAGTTGGTCAAACGCCGGGTGAGTAATTTATGTTTACCGTAATGTCATTTTTGTTTATATACATTATCCTTGTAGCTCTCGTTGCAGTATTAAAATTATTTTAGTGTAATATATCCAATAATTGGTTTCAAAATTGTTTATGTAAACCAATATTCATTCAGTAAATGTGTTTAATGACCATTTTTTAGATAAAAGACCTTGTGGAATCCCTCGAGCGTCTAGATGATGCGGCTGGCCAGAAGGACGAGCCAAGTAATCTCCTCAAACTTTTGGGAACCTTAGGCGCCGAATACTCGAATCTTCTGAAAGCCAGTACTAAACTACAAGCTTTGGCCTCAAGTAGAAGGTCACAGATGTTCGAAAAGGTCAAGAAGGAGTTGATGAGTAACAGAGTACAACAACTTGTTCCTATCAATGAAGTTGTTTGTCAAGTAAGTCTAGTTACAGTATGGTATACATTATTGTATACAATGTATAATATGAACGGTTGTTTATAAATGGATCTAATGGGGTTGCTTTAGGACTGTTGTGTCAAACTAGATGCCCAATACGATTCTGTAGCTTTACGTCAGATGTTGAACATGATCTACAGTAAGCATGTTTACGCAAAAAGTGGCTTCAATTTTGTTCCTGGGCCTATTTGTAGAGAAGATGAAAAGCCCGATCTAACTAGGAACTACAATTCTACGTCACCAGGTATGTTTATCTCAACGTTACTATTAATGTTTTGGCCAGTAAGTAATTTCTCACAAATTACACCTTCTTTTTATTAGTAATATCTGTCATTGTTCTTCTTCCACATTTATGTATTCAACAACGTATATGCCTTTACATTGTTATGTTTCAGATATAGCCAAGTTAGAGTCAGAAGAACAAGCCCTGGACGCTGTAGATCACTTCAACTTTGGGACCTTTGCCTACAACACTTTGTCTAAAGAGCACCACGAACTTTTATCAAGTCCACCTCGACCGTTTTTGTCACTTCTGATGGGAATGGGACAAGTTCTTCCACGAGCTGCTTTCAGTTAATTTACTTTCACTTTTCACATTGAAGATTGTCACTTTACGGGTTTGAAACCATCCAAATTATTATATAAAAGCTTGTTGACATTATAGATAGTATGGTAATTTATTGTACCAAGTTGTCTTTTTACAGTAATTTATTTCGTCAAATGCATATTCTAAAAATTGAACTTATCACTTTTGCCACGGTAATTCATACTTCAGAGTTGGTAGTAACTTATCTTTCCAAATTTTATACTGTAGTTCTGTTGTTTACATTACTGTAGTTATATCTTGTTTTAGTTGTATTGCGGGTTGTTTCTGTGATAATTAAATTATAATATCATATTGTTATTGGCTAATATTCTTATTGTTTGTTCAATCAATGAATACTACAAAGGTGTCATATACGTAATCTTACTGTAGTTAAGATGAAATTATCAAGAATCTGGTGTAATTGTGTTCAGAATGTAAACAAGTTTGCCCAACGAACCCATAACTGTGGACAGTTGAGGCTACAGAACGATGGTGAGTTAACCATCAATATAAGTTAGCGTTACGTAACTTCAAATATACTGTAAACTGTTACCTAAAATCACTGTTTAGGAGAGCGAGTCAAGTTAAAGGGCTGGGTATCGTATAAACGGTTCAATAAGTTCATGGTCTTGAAAGATTCCTATGGCGCTACACAGGTAGTGGTACCAGAACATTTGGAATCTGAGCTAAAGCACATTCGACCAGAATTTGTTGTAGAAGTGGAAGGTGTTGTGGTAGACAGAGGTGATCAGAAGAATCAGAAAATGGCTACAGGAGAGATTGAAGTAGTGGCAGATAAGCTTGAGGTCTTGAACACGGCACTAGCTGAACTTCCACTCCACACAAAGATGGATTCACAGGAGAAGACGAAACAGATGAGCCGATACATGAATCTGAGGTCGGAGAAGCTACAGAGCAATCTACGGTCGGTATACCTTTGAATTTTGAATGGCAGCTATTGTAGTACAGTTATGATATATATCTATACTGCCCTGATTTGTCCTTCTCTCTAAATAAGGACATTTTAAGAATTAAGATTTTAGGTTACGATCTCAAATCATCCACAACATGCGCTCCTACCTCATCGACCAATGTGGCTTTGTTGATGTAGAAACCCCGGTGTTGAGTCAATGGACTCCAGGTGGTGCTCATGAGTTTATAGTACCCTCAGGTCAGTTTCCTGGCCAATTCTACTCTCTCCCCCAGAGTCCCCAAGTCTTCAAACAACTTCTGATGGTCGGCGGAATCGACCGGTACTTCCAAGTGGCCAAATGTTTCCGTGATGAAGGCTCCATGCTCGACCGACAACCAGAATTCACTCAACTCGATCTAGAAATGTCATTTGCGACACAGGACGATGTTATTGGCCTTGTGGAAGGAGTATTACGTTCATCGTGGCCATCAACGTTACCATCCTCAATATCTTCATCAACATGTTCCTATCTATCGTTACCATTCAGAAGAATGACGTACGATGAAGTCATGAGTTCGTACGGTTCAGACAAACCTGATCTGAGGATACCCTGGAAGTTTGTGGATTGTACTGAAGAGATGAGTGTCACGAACTTGAAGACGACTGATGATTGGAATTGTAACGCTTTTATTGCCAAAGGGGCTGTGGAGTATGACAAGAGGTTCAAGAGAACGGAATGGAAGCGATTGATTCAGACGAAGCATTCTAACGCACGGTGGAGGGCAGTGAATTTGCATAAAGAAAATCCTTTCAAAAACTTTAATGCCGAGAGCTTTAAAAGTAAATATGAGGTCAACGAAGATGACATTGTTGTGTTCAGGTGAGCCATCACTTTTTTATCTTGTTTAAGCCGATTACTGATCTAGATTTCTATTTGAAAGTAACTGTTCCTGGTTAGTATATTTATGTATAGTTAATAAATTAAGAAGATGAAACAAATTAATGACATTATTTAAGTTGGGGTGACCTGGAAACAAGTCGCCAAGCCCTGGGAATGTTACGAAACTTTGTTGGAGAAGTCTGTGGCCTCAGGTCGAGTGGCTTCGAGTTCCTATGGGTGGTCGACTTCCCATTGTTTCGTATGGAAGATGGTTCTTTTCACAGTTCTCATCATCCATTCACAGCACCGACACCTGCAGATCTGCAAAAGTTAAAGGATGAAGAAGATCTTCTCGATATCAAAGCGTTACATTATGATCTGGTTATGAATGGAGCTGAATTGGGAGGGGGATCTGTGCGGATACATAATTCAGAATTACAAAAACATGTCATCAACTTGTTACAGTTGCCAGAGGCGCCTTTGGTAAGCTTTTTTAGGAGATTCTACGATTTTTTTGACCAAAATAAAGTTAAAATTGTCATAAATGTACAGTAATTTCAAATTACCGTAATTTTTTTTAGAAAAACCTCAAAATTAAAAAATTTCAGGAAGGCCTTCTAAAAGCTCTATCATTAGGAGCTCCACCTCACGCTGGCTTCGCTTTGGGAATCGACCGCTACATGGCGCTACTGGCTGCCAACGGAGGCTCTTCCGCTTCTATAAAAGATGTCATCGCTTTTCCCAAAACGAAGGAAGGACGATGTCTGACTACAGGAGCACCAAGTGAGCCACCCAGCTACGTACTCGATAGGTACTTTGTTCAAGTAGTCAAACAAGAAGAAAAGAATGAGAAGGAAGTCACAAAACAGAAGAAACGAGAAAATTCAGAAGCCGTACAAGAAAGCTCGCAATGAGATTCAGAAGGAACTAATTAGGAGTGTAGACTTACATTTGTTGTTACTTTAGGCACTTTGTTGTTAATTTGTTTGTTTCGATTAAATCCACCACTTTGTCGGGTACTGTATCTTCGACTAGCTTCAGTTTCTTACTGTCGGTATTGAACAAAGAGTTGTTCAGATCGTTCCAGATGTCAATACCATCATCCATGTCCAATTCACCATCGACCAGCTTCCTTGATCGTTTGGGGAGTCGAGAAATTCTGTAATCAGCATGAGTTAAGGTGAAAGAAATTGAATGACAATATAAGTGCTTTCATATAACTAAGTTCATATTAACAATACAAAAGTATAACAAAATATGTTTGTAACTTACAACTTTTTAAATTCATCTGCCTCCTCATCATCCATCATATCATCTTTTAACATGTTTAACACGTCTCTGCACTTTCTGTGACGATCGTTCAGTTCTCGTAGCACATCATTCTTTTCCTTCACATCTTTCTCTAATGTTACACATTGTTGTTTAAAGTAATTTTCAGCACTGAAAAGCAACACATATTACTTTACAAATATTGTAATAGTAATACCGAAAAACGAATCCGTATTTTACAATTAATTTTAAATTGACAGTGAAGAGGAAAAGTAATTCATTTTCTTATTTGTATGACTTTTTTTTTATTGACGACTTACCATATAGCGACATCTAACATTAATCCGCCTTCAGAAGACACTCCTTTCAAATTTATCTCATCTCCACTTTCTAATGATGACACACTAAACTCAAAACATTAAATTAATTAATAAAATTAACTAAAAAATCTAAAATTACTTACAATCTAGCCATTTTCATCTTGTCGTTGATCTGTCCGACTTCTGTTTTCAAGTTTGCCACTTTGGCTGACAGTATTTCTGCTCCATTACCAAAGGCGCTTAATTGAGATTCTAACTAAAAATAACCGCAAAGTGTAAGCTAATTATACGATAATGTTTATTTACAATGTAAATGGTAATATGAAGCTTTACATGACAAAAGATTAATATAAAATTGATTGACTTACCAATTGTTTTCTGTCTTTAAACTTAACATATGCATTCTCACTACTACTGGTGACCTCTTCCAACTCTTTTTGTAACTGCTTTACATCTTTTTCTAGTTGATTCGTCTGAAAATACATAGTTAATAACTCGTTAAATACGTAAAATTTATAGTAACAACTTTATTTTCGAATTTTAGTACACTTTTGAGTAAACATTATTACCCTAAATCTCAAAAATTTTAAAACGTACCTCTTCATCGTCGTCTGATTCCCCACCAGTAGCTAATATAGTTTTTATTAACTGAACTCTTCCTCTGCCGCAAGCTTTACAACGCTTCGTATCTTCTGGCATACATACAGCACAGAACAAGGTTTTACATCCTGTACAACATACTATACCGACGTCTTCCTTTAAAACTCCATCACACATACAGCAAATCCATAATTCTTGATCACATTGAAAACTAAAATTTAAATAAGAATATAAATTGTTTAACACGTACCTTGTGCCTTGAGAAAATAGCGTAGAGTCATCTAAACACACTCGACTAGGCTTTGAATTGTAATTCATGGTACATTAACCCGTATTTTAACTTTGAAAGAACTTTTTATACCTAAAATAACGTAATTTATAAATAAATCTCCAAAAAACGACTATATGCAATATCAAATGAAGAAAACAACCAAGAAAACATTTCAACAGCTTATGGATAACATTTATTTACATTAGATAAAATCAGTTTAAATTCTTCGTGTTTATCTTGCAGACATGCATCTTGACATAGCTTCAAATACTTCCTTTCCACTAAACCAACATCCAATGTCCTTGGATCCAAGTAGCCTGGTAGATTAGGACAAGCACAAACTACTTCCAACTTCCTTACGTCAAACGGGTTCTGATTCATAGTTCCGATCTTGTAGTTGGTTGGATGAAATGCTTCTTCTGTTACGTTATCCATAGCCTCCAGATCAATTAAAGAAGCATAGAATCCAAGATTTCTGCCTCGGAAAATATTTACTATCTGCGAATATACAACTTCATCTGATGCATTTGTCCGTTTCACGATATAACCTAAACATCAAATCATGATTTAACACCTTTGATTGTATTAACTTTAAAAGTACAATAACATACCTGATACATACCATTCTCCATTAAAATAACATCTGTCAAAACGCTCCAACTTATCAACTTGTTCTTCGTAAAACGGGTCTCCAACTAGATACCTCAAATCTGGATAGTCCTTCATAAATTCATCTTTCTGTGTTTCTAAATCCGACCTCGAAGCCTGTTGGCTTGTTGTTGCTTGCTTCTTATTAATCATTTCATTAAATAAATATAAAAAATATAAAAAATAACTTTAGACACAAACTATCACATAATTGATTTTACAAATTCAACAGCTGAATTTCTCGACAAAAAATAAATTTTAAATTTGGGCGCAAACTGCTATGTACTAACTGCGGCCTGCGAAGATCCATTTCTAAAGAGCGCGTTTTCTGTTTTTGTGCGGATTTTTTTCTGTTTTCCGGAGATTTGGTAACATTCATTGTTTCATACAGGATTTTTAATTGTTGTTTATTTTTTTTAATAATAATACTATATTAAAATGGGTCGCGATCGAAGTCGCAGCAGAGGATCTCGAAGGAGCAGAAGTCCAAGGTAAGTTATAGGGGAGTTCTTATATTTTAGGTATTAAATCGGCCAAAAACTAATAATATTTATATTGATAATAATATTTTTTGATATTTTTATGGCAAAATAGGAATATAAACACTATAATATTTCGATTTTTCAGTGCTTCTTCTGACGATGGTTCCAAAGAGTTGTGGAGGGTTGTGAAGGATGATCCTTATTCGTTCGAAGGATGGACAAAATTGTTACAATTTGTCGAACAAAAAGATGATATGGAGCAAGCGGAAAATGCATACGAATCGTTTTTGAAGAAGTATCCGTTTTGTTATGGATACTGGAGGAAGTACGCCGAGATGCAGAAGCGGCACAAACGATTTGAAAAGGCGTTAAACGTAAGCGTTTGGTATTTTGTTGGTTTTTAGGTAACAACGTAATTTTTACAATAAAAAGAGTAAATTATGTCTAGTTCAATATTTGAATAACTATGTTCTTTATAAAAACATGTAATTTTAGGTATATGAACGTGGTCTACACGAAATCTCTTTGAGTGTTGATTTGTGGTTGAGCTATATTAATTACATCAAAGAAATTGCACAAGGACAACGTCAAGCGGACGCTAAAATTAGAGCGTAAGTCTTAACTAACTCTTTATATTATGCTATACAAGGATTATTTGTAATTATTTGAGTATCTATAATTAAAATAGTTAAGTTTTCAATTGACAAATACTATATTTTATCTTTTAGCATTTACTTGCGAGCATTGGAAGCATGTGGCATGGAATTTCGCTCAGACAAACTCTGGACACAGTACATTGAATGGGAGATTGAGAACAAAGAATACGCGAAGGCTAGCCAGGTCTACGACATTGTTTTATCAACACCTACTCAAGGTTATATTGGCCATTTTGATAGATATCGCAAGTTTATTGATGAAAGAGAGCCGGATGAGGTTCTGAGTACAGAAGAGTACGAAGCCATCACTGACAAGTTATATGACAAGATCAAGAACGAGTTGGATGGAGCTCCGTTGTTTGTGATCGAAGAGTTTGAAGAAGACTTGACTGACGATGAGGGCATGGACGATTCTCAAGGGAAAAGGCTTATTACAAAGAGGAAACATATGCCAGTAGCTTTGAGCGCTTACAGAGACGAGATTATGGTCAGAAGGACAAAGTTACACTTGGCAAACGAGACTGAGGTCAACAAGAGGTTGAAGTACGAACTTGCGGTAAGTTTGACATTTAAGAATTATATAGTAAAGAAGACGTGTAAGGAAAAGCTACTATAATATATTTTTTTTGAGGGTTTTGTTTTCTTTTAAAGGCTCGCCCGATTAACCCATACTATATTATAATATTTCAGATCAAGCGGCCTTACTTTCACGTGAAGCCTTTGGAGAGAGAACAACTTAACAACTGGTACAAGTATATTGAATTTGAAATTGCTGAAAAGAAGAGGAAGCGTATTCAGATGTTGTTTGAAAGATGTGTCATTGCTTGTGCTTTGTACGAGGAGATGTGGGTACAGGTAAGCTTGAATTTTTGTTTTGTCAACTTTTTGACATATTTTTATTTTTTATAAAAAGCTTTGAAGTTTTTGGCATTTTTTTGAAAAGACTTGTTGAAAGTTATCTTTTCTGACACTTTAACTACGTTTTGCTCATAATTGTTTTAGTACGCGACATATTTGGACTCTGTGAAGGATACTGAAGGTGCTCGCGACGTTTTCAAACGAGCGGCCGAAGTCCACTGCTCCAAAAAGCCGGGAATTCACTTAGCATACAGTCTGTTCGAAGAGAAACATGGTAATCACAGATCTATATTGTTATATACATATCTAATGTTTGTGTTACGGTTATTTTTATTATCTGAAAAAGTTTTCGAAACAAAGCCGGTGGAGTTTGTTTGATTATAAGAGGGAGGGGTTTATTTGTGGCAGTATTTTGGTTTTACAAGTGCAAAAGTTAAAAATCAACTGCTGACGTTTTTTTTGGAAGAAGTTATAGTCGGTACTGAGATTTTATTTAATGTGATCAACTGTACTTATCAGGTTTATGTAAAAAAGGTGTTTTGGCAGTAAAATTGTGAAAAAAAACTTTACTGTTGTTTTTGCATATACTTCGTATGAGGAGTACTGTAGATTGCATGAGATCAAGCTGATAACCCTGTAAAACGTATGTAAATGCGACAAACGATGGCTTGTGCTCCGTTGTTATCTGATTATTGTACATCTACCGTACAATCACAGCTATTGGTATTTTATCGCATTTCAGCGATGCTACCTTAACTAAATTAGTATGATTAAAGTTGGAAAAATTGGAAATATTTTTAAAAGTTTTAAATTTGAAAGCCAAAAACATAAAATATGACATTTTAGGGGACTCAAGCACAGCAACAGCCATCTTGTACGACTTTGACAGGAGATGTCCTGGATATGCGGCCATAAACTTGAGAAAGATCAACGTTAGTCGAAGAAAGAATGGCAGAGATAAGAACCCTGACTACTCATCGACCGTCTCCAAGTTCGAAAAGTTGATGAATGAACCTGGAAACTCGAGGAGAGTGTCGTCGTTCTATGCTATGAAGTTGGCGAGGATTCATCTGAAGCTAAAACACGACAGGAAGGCGGCCGAAAAGGTTGTTAAGGAGGCCATTTCTAGGGATAAGGTAAGAGCTGGGCTTGTTTTTATTGGGATATAATTTTGATATCTTTATCGCTTAAGTTTACTTTTGTAATGTTCTCTCTTGTAGTTTAAAATATAAATTGTTGTAGCTTCAGTACAATACAATGTCTTATGTCTTATACTCTTCTTTTCAGGATAACCTCCAGCTCTACATGACTCTAGTTGACATTGCCTTCAGCTCCAGCAGATTCCACGAACGTGAAGTGTGTGACGCTTTTGATTACGCGATCGAAAGTCGGTATCTGTCGCCGAATCAGAAGTTTGTTTTCTCGCAACGCAAACTCGACTTCCTGGAGGATCTGGGCAGTGATGCAGGCAAGTTGCAATCGCATTACGTCGAACACCTCCGCCTCGAAAAGGACCTCAACGAACCCGCCCCAACCCTGTTCAGTAATTTGAAACGCAAGGCATCGTATGAGTAAGTCGAGATTTGTGGTCAGAAAGAACGGTATGAGTAATCAAAGGCTAGCTTTGGTTTGAAAACATCGGAGTGTGTTGGTATACGGGTTGGTATTAAGAATGGCATGGAATTCAGGCTTTGGAAGGGGAAAGACAAGAAAAGTTGGCAAAAATGATAAGAAAACCGCTAAATTAAGCTTGAAATGGGCTATGAAATCAAAAAATGGCTAAAGAAAAAATCACAATTTAAAAAAAAGATTTAAAATATTTTCAGCGATGAAGAAATTGACAATAAACGATCGAGGGATACAACGGATCTCATTAATACTAATAACTCTTTTGTGAAGACTATGGGTAAGTTACACTTCTATGGTTATTTTAAAGTTTTGGTAATGAAATTCTGAGAGTTGATATGAAATTTATATTTTTTTGAATCTGTAAATGAACATTTGGTTCTTTGTCTATAAAATGATCAGGCTTTGATACCGTCCTTACAAAAATGTAAGACAACTTTCTCAATTTCAGGCAACGGAGACGGCAACGGCGGCTACTACTCGCCGAATCTGGAGCTGACCGGCCACGACAGCCAGCTGAATACCCCCTCGTACACGGACACTCCAACGCAACTCTTCTGAAGCAGATCCGATTTCATTGTTGTCCCCAGTTCTGATCTGTTAATAAAGTTTCTTCGCGACGCAACTGATATTTTCGAATTTTGAGCGGACACTTCGTAATGAGTGACCTCGGCTTGTTTTTTACTGTGATACTTTTGTTTATTGTGTACTTTCCTCGCTTCCTGTTCCTTAAGTAAAGTGACTCTCGAGTCCGACCGCGATTCGCTGTTTTTTCGTTTTACTCACTTTTGTATCGCGTTTCTGTGGCCTAATGGGGCCGGGGGGAGGGTGGTCGAGAATGGCGTCTCGCGCCTTTTCTCACAAAAACCTGCCCAGGTGGCAAGCGCCTTCCTTCGATCTGGCCCGCGCGACTTTCCCCCCAATTTCTTTAATTTCTCTTTTCGGGAGGGTCAGGTGGGGTCGTGGTTGAGGTTGGGATTGGGGTTGTATTTCAATGCATAAAACATGGTTTGGGCTATAACATATGCAAGGTTTTTTGTACACTTTTATCTTATGTTAGTTTGGTCAACAATTGTTCAGAGAATGGTCAAGAGGAACGAGTTTCTACGTACTTTTTGACCAAAAGCATATTCTCATGATGATAAGTATAGTATTTTTCTTTTTACGCTGTACCTTATCAAAAGAACATGTTTTACAAAACTGGATTTCTTAGTTAGTACACTATAGATATAGTATATTATAGTAGTGCAACGAACCCTTAAACTTTTAAATCGTTGTGACATTACTCATCGGATGCTAGTTGGGATTACTATTTTGATGGCTTCTTTGTTTCCTGCTACAGCGTTCTTGAGGCGGAAGATGAAAGGTTAATGACGAGGTGTTCTCATGGGATTCTGAAGGCTTCTAATGACGGCGCTCCAAGGTCGATTCTTGGCTGGATTCCTTTTCTTTCGATTAATTTGAATTGTTGTTGCTTTATCACTCATTCTTGTCATGGTAATCCCTTAATTAAGCGCTGCGCTAATTAAGCGGCTACAATTTATTTTTTCAAATTACTATTATAAATGTTGTTGTGGTCACAGTAGGCTTACTTTGATGTTTTTTTTTATCTTGGTGTTTTATTTTACTTTGGGGTTTGGGTTAGTGAATTTGTAGTTTTACCTTGTTTTTTGGGTTGTTTACTGTCATGTAGGAGGTACAGATACATTTAGTCTACCGGCGGGGTAAAATTGTTCTTTTTTAACAAGTTTTTTTTAAATTTAAATTTTTTTTTAAAAATAAGTAATAATAATGCTGAGAAGAGCCTAGAAGTGTCATACTCCCCCTGGAGGAAAGGAAATGAAGAAATATTATTGAGACTAGCCCATGTGGTATCCTAGCCCAGCCTCATTTTATCTCAATGTTAACCAACCCCAGCGAACCCTTAACAATCCTTTTCTATTTACTTTTTGACCGTACAATAATAGCTAATCTTGTTAAACTTTCAAGCCTCTGATCCTCCCAAACCGCGCAGTATAATATATTTAGCAGACAACATAACATCGTTATGATGAGATAGAAACTATAGTCCCACGTCCTGAAGAGTGTCGTCAAGAACAAAGGGGAAAGGCTTAACTCTCGACGCGTGAATTGCGTGAGCTTTCTCGTGTCCAATAAATCCTCGGGCGGTCATTCCGCTTGCACTTTGTGATCGTACAGATTCCAGGTTTAATCTCCAGTGTTCATGTCGCATTCATGAATGAGGACCAGTTTTGGGACAGTGCATTGGGCCGCTGGATACGGTAGGCTTCTATTTTTGGTTATTGGTTTGAATATTTTGGTGTTTTTGGAGTTTGTTTTAGTTATTGTTTGTTTTATATCTTATGGGCCTAAAGTAATATTGATCATACGCTGCTTTTGGTCAAATTGTAAAGATTTTGAAAAAAGTCATAGTATATTGGTCAAAAAATTGCTAGAAAATATTAAACTAGCCAGAAAACTAATATCAGTAAGGCAGTATGATTTTTACTAAACTTTTTGACCTGAGGCCAATAAAACATCAGCTTATCCATATCACTATCATACCATGAGTAATACCCTTCTCAAACCCCACTGATAATTACCACAATACCATGAATAACATCACTGATACGTTTAGGTCATGCACGTCGCAAACAAACCCGGTGATCCTCGAAAAGGTATGGCGTCAGTCACAGCACGTTGGCGGTCTAATACAATACGAAGAGCTCTGTGACGGCTACTTTGTGAATGTTTTCCTCGAGTTAATGTGAGTTTTCTGGTTACTACGGTCTTATTAAACGCCACATTACTTTGTTTTCGCAAAGGCTTACGGTATTAACAAGTTAGTTTACTTGTTTTAAGTAATCTACGTTAATATAACGCTTACCTCACGGTTTTGTTTTGTGTTTTTGAATTTTGACATTCTTCAAATATTTTAAAATTAAAATTTTAAATTTGCTTATTTTTTAAATGTTTAGGACTAAAACTAGTAAGATTAAAGACATAAAGTAGATAATACAAATGTTGTCTCACAGTAGGTAACACAAATTTACTTAATTAATTCTTTCAGATATCCCGAATGTACAGTTTGCCATTTAATTAAGTACACAAACCGCCCTTACTCTAACCGGCTGTCACTTCTACGAAACTTTCTTTCCAATCTTATACAGTTTTTCAAGGTAAGCACTAAAGCTTTATTTCATATTATAGTAACAAAAATAATGTTTTATGCCATGTTCAGCTTGTTTATAATGAAAAATCTACTGCAGTTTTCAAGTTTACTACGGTAGCCTTACCATATAGATAACAACTGACTATGTAGTAACTTTTTAAAGCCTTTTTCAAACTTTAGTTTTTATTACCTAAAGTTGTTGAAGGTTACACAACTTTAAAAAATTAATTAAAATTTCGTATTTTAAACTATTTTTACTATTATAATTCACAGCCAAACCTCTGTGAAAGTAATTATGCAAATTTGAGTTAAAAGCCACCATTACATTATGCTCGACAACAAAAGAGTTTTCGATTTCAGCGTCACGAAAAGATTCCGCTCACGTTACCGGATGTTATAAATGTCTCTCAGAATTCTAGTCCAGGTCAGTTCTAAAACAGTAATGTAAGCCAGCTGAAAGTGTTGTAAACCGGGTTTTATTACCACCGCAATCTGTTTACGAGCCTGGATATGACTCCATCTTTCTCGGTTTATGACAATTACCCGAGTTTTTTTGAGGGGGGGGGGTCTGTTAGGTCATGTCATTGTGACTTTGATAGTAATTATATTTTGATTGTAAAGCTTTAATAATTTAAGAGACATTGTTTTTGAAACTACCAATATTTGTAATACTTGGTATCCCAGTTTGCCATTTTGCCCCCACCACCCCCTCCCATAGCCAATAAATCACCCTATCGGCGGTGCTAATGCACCATAATGTAATAATCTAACGACCACATTAATCCCGCATATTTTACCTTGCCATTTCATAACCTAAGCGCAGCTATTTACGATCGTATGTTGGCGGGAGCGGTGATTTGAATTGGAATTCGGGATGGGTGCGTGCCAATTTGCTGGAAGGGCACAAAGCGTTATTGCGAGCCGGAGGGGACAAGGTCAAATTGCGGGATTTAAAGAGCAGCCAGGGTCAGCTGCGGCTCTCTCTGATTTGAATAAAGGTGCATTAGACATCCCGTTTGTTCGGAAGAGTGAAACTATTTGAATACTCGACTTCTCCGCCGCCACCACCGCCCTGACCCAGGTGCGGACAGTATAGATTCTGGGGTTGAGGTGACGGGGTTAGGGTGGGCCAACAGGGTTTGTGGTGGTTGATGAGGCCTGATAAAGGGTCGTGGAGCTTGGAGATAGGTTTGATAGCCGTTAGATCAATATATGGGCAGTTTTTCAGTAATAATCATTGCATTGAAGTCGGCATGCTCGACGGTTTGTGAGATCAGCATAGCCTTCGAGCTAGGAAGGCCTGAATTGGCCTTGGCAAAGCTCGAGAGTAATGTCCTTCATAATACTAAAAGTAAAACTAAATACATCATTCAAACCAGTACTGTATTCAGCATGGAAGGTCTGTAACCTCAATACTAGCCAGTAAAGTACCCAAATGATTTTCTCTAGCCCTACAGCACGTTATCCTCATTGTTTACTAGTACATTCCGATTATTGATAGAGCTCGATATCAACTCAAGCCCACTTGAATTGATATCGAGATTAAAGTGGCTTCAAATTATGTTCGAAAGTATCGGTTTACAGGATGTTTTTACAGTGTTTGCTTACTGTGTTTGATCCATTTATCGCATTGCGTCGTTGTCGAAGCCAATGTCGTTTTGTGTTTGAGTTGGCTCTTTGTTTAATTTTGTATCTTCAAATTCGTGCTTCCACACCTCAGAGGCAACGTGTTGTTGCTACTGGAAAAGGTTTCTTTTTGACTCTGAATTTGCATTCTATCATCCTGCGTTCTTAAGGGTCTTGTTTAATTATGCAGGCATCCTCGTTACAATTAAATTACATTTTAGTTATTATTACAGAGAAATGCATTTGATAGTATAGAACTGGCTTTAAAGTAATGTAACTTTGTAGTTATGACAACTTTTTTCTACAAATTCAGCTTTTCAAAATCGTATAGCTTTGGAAGTTCAAAGGGAAAGCCAAGATGCAAATTCGAGGCCTGAGTGATGAGCATAAAGCGCTTTTAAGGATTATTCGTTCTGCAGGCTGTGCGCGATGCAATCCAATCTCGGAATGCACATTGTTTTTTCGTCTTATGTGAGGCCATTCCTTCCTTCAGCCCCCCCCCCTTCCTCCATCGAAATCAACCGGCTCTTAACGGGATTGCGTATCCCCCCGCTGGTTTCTTACAATTACTTTTTGGAGGTATTACTAGCGGCTTTCCCTTATTTGTAATTCCACTGATTGCTTCGTCCGGGAGCGGGTCTTTCGCTAGCGTCGTAAAACTTGTGCTTTCTCGTCGCGAGGATTATTGTGAGTTGCATAAGAAAAGGGGGGAACGACGTCTTCTTCCGGAGACCGGTTCGGCTTTGAACACGTCCAAATTTTATGCGTTTTTCGAAAGGAACAGATCACAATAGGCTGTTCGGGACCGTTTGTCAAATACCTACAATTACATTTTATGGGACGTGCTTTCGAACGTGAACCGACGTCTTCAAGGTTGGCAATTAAATTCCCCAAATATTTGCATAGGAACTGTAGGTATCCCGGGGCGAAACTTCTTGTTTCAACTGTTGTCTGAAGAACGCCGATTTCGTTTTTACGATTTCCGACTTTTTATGTTATTATAGAAGACAGCACGGTAGATATGTTATTCTATGCTTGTATATTGTTTTAAAGTCGTTCTCTTTAAACCATAAATATTATAATTAATACCAATTAATAAGCAAACTTCAGAACGAAGTGGCCATGACATTCAGAAGTTGTTAGGCTTACTGATCGTCGCAACTTTTCACACCACCCACAAATCAACAACCGTTGATCAGTTACAGCAACTTATTGCCAATAACGAGCAACATATCAAAGAAGAGCTCGAGACCATATTCAACCGACAGGAGCCTGTGATCGATCTCAACACTAACCCACCTGTCATAGCGTCAATAGCTGAAGAACGACATAGCACAACGTTCCAACTGATAAGCAAAATGCTGGAAGATACGGTAAGAATGATGATATAAATGTTTAACTATTTGTAGGAATCCGACGAAGGCAGCTCCAATTCTGGAGAATTCCAAAAATGCGACAAAACACCAACGATAGATGAGTACGAGGAGAAACTGATGGACCTCGGGCACAAAATAAAAATGTTGGAAGGAGATAAGTAAGTGGTTAAATAGCTCTAACAAAATGAATATAAAAAATTACGTTTACATAAAAATGAGATAACATTGAATCACAATAAACAGTAAATCAATTTCAGACAAGTGTTAAGCGAAGAATTGGAATCAATGGACGCAGACCATTCAGAACTAATTAAGGAGCACAAGGAATTGAACAAAGCAAATGAGAAGCTGATGGAAACGATACGAGACCTGAAAGACAAATGCCAAGGCATTCCAGACATGGAGCACAAGCTGGATAAAGCCAAAACCGTGGAGAAAGACAACGAGAAGCTGAAGGCTGAGAACCAAAGGTTGAAGATGTTTGAGACCGAAAACACAGTAAGTAAGGGTACAAATGACAATTTAAATAATATTTAAGTTGTTATTCGTTACAGTGATATAGAGAGTATTTACAACATACTCAAGTAAAGTTAGTTCCATTATAGGAATTAAAGCATAAGATAAACAAACTCCAAACCACGATCAAGAAACATGAAGGCGTGTTAAACGGCTACCGCAAGATAAAACCCTCGGCCACAGCGTTAGAAGAAGCGTTACAAAAGAAAAACGACAAATTTGCTGAGAAACTGAAGGAATTGGAATCAGAAAAAGAAGAAGTAAGATTCACACATTGCTTTAATTGCTTCCGTATTTTATGATTTATCACATAATGTTACGATTACTGCGTTTGCTTTATGGTACGATCTCTTTAGATACAAGTCGAGAACAGAAACCTCAGGCACAAAATCGAGATGCTCAACCACAAAATCGACCAAATGAGACCGTCGGCAGACGAGAGCTTTGTTACAGCACCAAACATATCACTCTGTGACGAGCTGAATGACAGCAGGAGGGACGAAGAGATCAGAGAGTTGGAGGAAAGGAACATCAGCTTCGAGGAGACGATAAAGAAAACGTAAGCTACCATAAAAGTTTTTAACTTCGAACAGTTTAGGCCAAAATTTAAAGCAATCTTAAAGAATTTGACCATTATATGTTTGTATTTGTACCAGTTGTACTATAACTGTCTTTACAATGTTAAAACACAACTGTGTATATTATCATTTACTTTCAGTAGGGAAGATCTGGAAGAGTACGAACGAAGGAATAAACAGTTAAAAGCAGAGATCCGCAACATAGAAGACCAATTAAACCGGAAGAATAACGACGTGGAAATCAAAGAGAAAGCGATTCTCGTGGAGATTAACAACTACAAGAACAATATACAGAGCAAGGATCAAAAGATTTCCGACCAATTAAGGTTGATTGAGGAGAAGGATCAATTAATTACTAAAGTAAGCGGCTCCGTTATTGCATTCACAGATTAGCTATGGGAAAAGCACATAAAGTTTTTAAAATGACCTTTCAAAACCATTTAATTTTAACCTTAAATTGATGTAAACCCTTTTAAAAACCCCTAAAAATTATATCTTTTGCCCTAAACAACTCGTTTTAGCTGTCCAATTCCGAAGTAGCACTAAAGTCAGAGGTAAAAAACCTGGAACGTATCCGGAAAGAGAAAGAGCACATTGAAAGTGTGATTCAAAGCAAAAACAATGAAATCGACCATACCCGGGCCGAGATCGAAGACATTAAAGATGAACTCGACCGACTCAAAAAGCAACATTCCAAATGTGACCGCTCCAAAAAGGCCGTACAAGAGGAGCTAGAAGGCCTTAAAATTCAATTAGAAGCCTCAGATGAACAAAACCGACAGCTTCGAACCTCCATGTCAAGCTCCAAACTTGCTCAAAGCCGGCTTCAAAAGATGGAAACAGAGCTGTTAAAGCGAGATGTTGAGAATGAAGAGCTCAAATCACAACTAAAAGCCTTAAACGAAGAGCACCAATCAGAAAACAAAAAGTTGCAGCAACTTCAAGCCGACCTGACAAAAGAAAAGAGTCGATTGAAATGTGTGGTCGGTCAACTGAGAGCTGTTTGTTCGACCTGCTCTATCAAAGAAGACCACATTGATGACAATGAATTGATTGAGAAGGTCGGCGATATGTTAATCAAGGGACATACTAACCAATTCAAAGAAACCCTGGCTTTAACACAACAACGCCGAGCCCAAACTGAGGAACTCGATGTGATCAAGAAGAACATCATCAATCTCGAGAAGAAAGGGGCTGATTTAGGAAATCCAGAAAAAGATTATGTTACAGTAATCCAAGAGCTCGACAGTACGAAGGAACGGTTAAAAGGAGCACAACGTAGAGAGACGGACTATATTGAACAAATAAAGAACATCAAGAATGCCAAGGAAGATATTCTAAAACAAAACGTTGAAATCAAGAAGAACATGTCTACAGTAACTGCTACACTTGTAGCCAAAGAAGAAGAAAACAGAAAACTTACGGAACACCTGAAGGCATCTGAAAGACATATAAATAAACTACAGATGGAGTTGAGTGATGTTAAGAGCAACAGGGACGCCATACAAGCCGAGTACAACCGCCTAAATGAACTGTACAACAGTGTGACAGCCGACTTTGAAAGAGCAAACTGTGAGAAGAACGAACTAAAAAGAAGGCTGGGCAAAAAAGATGTAAGTAACAGTATTTTCACCTACTTTATTATTGAGTACTTAGCAATACTAATATTATATTACTCATCCAAGTAATACGTAAACGAGATATAAATCACTGATATGCCTATCAACTTGAACTTTTTGTTTTTGAAGTATGATAGTAGTATATTAAAGCACTTGAATAAACAAGAATACCCGCTTTCAGGATCTAATTGAAGAAAAAGCCAAGATGGAGTTCTATACGGAGCGTACCGTGCTGGAAGAACGTTTGAAGCAAACAAACAGAGACTTGTGCCTCAAGAATGAAAGGTTACTGTTATGTGAAGCTGATGTAAAGAAACTGACTACAGAGTTGGAAGAGACGAAGGCGGACTACACTATCCTGTTGAGACAGAAGAACAAGAACGACGAGATGCTCAATAGTATCAGATTGAGCGAAGCTGACCACAGGAACAAGGTAACGTTGCTAACAGGACACGTCAAACAGTTGAAAGAAGTGATCAACGACAAAAACAGTGAAATATTTGACATCAAGAAGCAGTTAGACGTGAGTTATTTAAAAAAGTTGTAGTCGCGACTAAACTCGACAAGTCGAGGGTTTAACTTTATTTAAACTTTTTTAATTTCAGCATCTGATGAACTGCCATTCAGACGTTTACGTCTTATCACGACATGGATTAGATGACAGATTGAATGATGCTTCACAATATAAAAGAGCAACTGACTCCAGGATAAAAGAATGCAACAACAACGACAACAAACAAAAAACCAATCTCATGAACAGGGCTGCTAAAGCGTTTTTAAAACCTAAGGTACGATTTTGATAGCCATTTCAAATTTTTAAAAGGAACCCAGACCTTAAAACGATGAAAAGAAACGATTTACAATACCAATTTACAAGATTCAAACCCTACTACAACATGGCCTAGCCTGACAAACATAATTTTAGAACCCTCGCCGTTCCAAACCAATCGAAAAGAACTCTGGCTCCAACACCGAAGACTCGAGTATCTACTCCGCCGACGAATCCACCCTGCCACCCCTCCCCGAACCCCGTTTAGAAAGTCAGTCGGTTTTGAGTGATAGCACGGGAACGGCTTCAGATTTGTTGTGCACATCGAGCGACTCCGGCTGTGAATCCCCTCCGTACACGTCTAATTCCTTGAATCGTATCCTGAAGGTATCGTTACGAGATGTAAAGGGGTTGGACAAACGAGGGTGTTCATGTCGTCGGAAGTCATCGCTATCACCTTTCTGTTGTATTCGCGTGCCATATAAGTTGACAGCTTATGAGACCTGATTGTGTTGTCCATGTTCTTAGTTGATTCCATAGATCTGACATTGGATTCATACTTGATCCATCAATGTCAGACCTATAATAATATCAGTTTGGTCAAATCGAATCGTGTAAAACATTCATTTCTAATTGGAGTATCTCTATGAGATAGTCCCACGAGGTTTTTTAACCAAACTACTTGTGTTTTGTCCATTTGTCCTAAGTGTTTTGTAGAAGTGTTATGTCCACGTGTTCTTGCCTCAGCACGCTTTGTTTGTAAATATTTATTGCACGTCACGATTGAATAAAGCTTTGCACGTTGAATGTCATACACGTTTCAGTGCTAATCCGTATTTTAGAATACAGAGAAAGCGTCCAAGTAACTCCAACATGTTCTTCATCAGACAGAGCTTCAGGTTCGTCGCCGGACTACGATCAAGTGCAATATTACAGTATTCCAACTAAACGTAAGTTTAAAAAACGTTAAAACTTACCTTTTTAACCAACATAAACAAAAATAAAGATATAAGAAGTGAAAGCAATGCCAAAAAACATTGTTAAGGTAATTTTTAGGTAATATTTCGCGCAGACGTTTTCTATAACATACAAAATGTGTCAAAACCTACAATAACATTCACAAAACAATAAAATCAAAAATAAACTTATAATTCCAGGGCCAGAACACAGCTATCCAATGATCAGATCTCCACCTCCACCTCTCGCGCCATCTTCTTTCTCCAGAATGAGAAATTCCAGAATCAGCAGTTCAGTCAGGTATCCACCAGCTTACAAGTCTCACCCATCTCTGGGAAGTATCCCCGTCACTAGAGATGACGACAGCCTCAACTTCTCGTCCAATGGATATTCAACTCCAGTTGGATCTCCATTGAGAAGTCGACCACCTCCACCACCGTATCGTGGAAGAGCCGTGGGGGTAAGTAAATTGATATCAACCTAAAATAAGGTAACCCAAAAATTGATAAACGCCTACAATGCTTTTATTCTTCAGTAAACTTTTGTCTGGAGGCATTTCCTCTTAAGGAAAAAACAAAATTTTGTATTTTGACCTGCGTCCGGCATTAAAACACGTTTAATCGTATAAAATGTCTTAAAATTAAATTTTCCTGTTTTGAATAACGAAGTCTTTGCTTGCTTTATATAACCTAACTTTAGTCCTCGCCGTTGAGTAAAACCACCTTCAACCCTTTGGATACATCAACACCAAAATCAGCTGAACGAATGTTCAATCGACCGGTCGGCGAAGGCGAGAACCGACTAGTCGTTCGTTCTCCGGAAGAACGCGAAAGCAAAGCTCAAAGTTTCTATGATAATCACGACATGAACAATGTCACAAAGCAGAACGAGTTATGGGTAGGTTACGGATGTTTGTAAGGATAATATCTATCTTCCAGTGATTATATTATTGTATCGGTTCGAATAAAGGTTACACAATGTGATTATGAGGTATATTACAGTCGTATGACGTTATGGAATGCTTAGTATTATTTTTGAGTGCATTTTGAGTTGAGTTTGGAGAGAATGAGGTCAGAAATGAGATCGTGAGCTCCTTCTGTCGGGTGAAAGCTGCCTCCGGCGTCGTTTTGTAGTCGGATCGCGTCTGCGTAGTTCCTGAAGACAGTATGAATATTAGTTTTGACTTTTTCACATGCTACACTTTGTTGTTATACTTACCGTATAAGCGATTTTCTGGCACATATACCACGTCGTCGAAAAATTGCCTTCAAGTTGATGTAGGTATAACCATATATGTTACTGTAGCGTTCTAACAAGTTGTTTAACTTTTTTCAGGATTATTTTTTTGAGATTGTTTTAAGGTTTTGAAGGACACCTGAAATTAAAATTTTTTGTTATAGATTTAGTTAGCCTTAATGAATCAAACTACATAACAATAACATCCTAAAACAACATTAAAAGTGATGTCTTAAACCTTCATAAGCTGAAAAATTTAAAAAGTACACGTGATTTAGTACATGTAATACTTACACGTGAAAGATCTTCACAGTTTACATCAGTTCTCTTCTTCTCACTCGATGAAAAGTCGTAGTAACTTGGTACGATGACCTGGCATGGTTGTATGTCATATATAGCTGAATATAATATGTCGAGTTCTGAGGATAAATACATTAATTTGAGGTTTAGGTTATGGTGGATGTTCGATTCTCCTGCTAACAGCCTTCTTAACATCTGTGAGTACCCAATATCGTTACCTCCGGCGGTTACAGTCATTAGATCAGGTGGTCGATTGCTAAAAGATATATGACATATAAGTAATAAAAATCACTGTTTACAGTCTAGAAATATGTCTTAAAGTATGTGCTTACAGTCTTTCTTTCAGTAGCTTAACCTTTTTCAGTTGAGACATAACAGAAACAGTACCACCTTGTACCAAAGCACCAGTACAAGGTAAGAAAGTGAAGTGAGCCACCACATCTTTAGGTATTGTACTTTTGTGTTTTTTGAATATTTTGTGAGCAAATGACTTTGTACTCCTTCTACATCGGGTAGATAACCATAATGAAGAAGTCGGCAGATGTTGTGATCGTATCTCCTCCATCGTATGTTCAGGATTACCTTCTCCAGATGAAAACGAGTCACCTACTGCTACTATCCACACATTTCTTACTGCAAAAGCTTTACTGTACTCATGAGTAGCAATATGGGCGTCGAATTTTCTGACTGTAACTTTGAATTGACTCTAGAATACGGTATATTGTAGTAGAATGTTCGTTTATAAGCAGCTACATTTACACTTAGAAGGTCGATAACATTATAATTCTCTAAGAAGTCTAACCATGAGGTCGTTCAAATAATTCCGCGCCCTTTAACTCCGAAAATTTGCATCGCCAAGGAGCGCAGAATTATTTGAACAACCTTATATATTGATATAACGGTGCAAAATGGTACCCTTTTAGTATTACCTCGAATGGTGCTTTCCACTGGTAAGAACACTCTGACGTTGATATCGATTGTACCTTGGTATCATAGCTGTCAAAGAAGAGGTATTGAAAAGATACTTCTGGTGATATTTCAGTTTTATTACATACAGATACTGTAACAGTATAAAAGTCGTCGAGTATCTTAGTATCAGATATGTTATAAGCAAACGTAGATGTCCTTGATATGTCGATATCTCTGAATGGTAACAGTAAATACGATCGGAATGGATAGTACGACCATGAGTGTAACGACGATAAGACGTACCTAAATTTACTATTATAAATATCAAATTAGTTTCTAAAATCTATCGTATACAGTAATGCAAGTCTTTACCAGATACTGTAACATATATTACTCCACAGTATACTTAAACATGAACAACTAATATCAGTTTAAAATATTACAGTATGTCACAGAACCTTACCATACAAACGAGGGAAAGAAGGGTGTCATAGTAGTGCAGACAGGGTAATATACATATCTATCTTGTGCCTTCGGAAGAGCGGCAAACATAAAAGAACTACTTATTTGTTTTCGAAGCGCCAAAGAAATGCCGCCCCAAGATCATACGACATGGCTCCACACTATCATATCACGAATATTTTATACATGTTAGGCCTAATATACGACCAAAAGGATTTTGGTAGTAAAACTATATAAAATAACACAAAAATATTCTAATTTACCATTATTTGTTTAATTACAATAAAATTGTAAAAATTAGATTCTAAACAACAGTAATAACTGAGTAGAATACGTCTATACATGTTCATAAAACCACTTCAAATCAAGTTTATTCAAGAATAATGAAAACAAAACCAACTCCAAAGAGAATCATTCATCGTTTATCAGCAGTGCCATAATTCAATACACGATCAGGTCCATTTTCTACGGCCGTCTGAAACAACCAATATCAAACCACTTATAACAGTTTACAATTTATTTACCATCTTTACCATTAAATATAAAGTAAAACTCATATCCTAACATAGATATATAATTGCGTCAACACAGCTGGATGATGATAAAGTAAAAAAATCAAAAATATTGCCTGTGGAAACAAGCTTACATTACCCTTTTCTACCATACCCTACTCTAATATCAAACGCAAAAAGTTTTAAAGGTAATTTTAAAAATCCATACTTTGAGAGTGAGTTGGAAGATCTTGTCGATGAGTTTGTCGAAGCATTCGATCTGTTCGACCAGTGACATTTGAGAAGCACCTTTGGTCAACCGTCTTTTGTTTCCCATTTCCAGCGACACAACCGACCAGAACCTTTTGGAATTGACAATTGACCAAAATTTTACAAAAAATATAATTTTTGTTCAAAAAAGCACAAAATTTGTTTAAAAATAGAGGTAACGTCAAGTAAGACTCTCATTTCTAGACTTTATTCACAATATAGCTTTAAGCCATTAATCTATCTAGACGTCTAGTAACTAAATATAATAGTTAAGAAGAATAAGTTAAAGGAGGATGTAGATAACCATATTCACGGATAGCACGTGCGTTTTCTTATCATTCCTTGAGCCAACTTAAAGCTGTTTACCATGTATCCATCAATAGGTAACAGTTTAAAACTGTATTGGTTGCTGTCAGCCATACACGGGCTCCAGTCGGACCAGTTGAACTAAAACAATATCACTGTGTAGAATAGTTATACACAAATAAAAGACTATTTAGAATTTAAACTTACAGTTCCAACTTTGACATGATCAATAAACTGCATAGTCTGTCGATTCTCGGCCGTACACTGTCTATCATCGTACTGTAATATCGGGTTTACTGTCCTCGATATCTCTTCTTTACCGCAGATCCAGTTAACATTGTCATTGTATATACAATCCAGATGTTCTAGTATCAATTGAGTCTATAAAACGACATTACCGTAAGGTTACATTACTGTAAAGATTATAAAATATACATAGTTAAAAGAGATGGTACTGTTAAACTACTTATTAAGCTGTGCACAAGCTTGTATCTGTAGAACTATGAGAAATTCTATAAACTTTTTGACCAGTAAGAAGAGTTAGACATGACTTACAAGGTTTCGTCTTCCGGTGTCATCAATCGTTTCCAGATGAGAGTTGAACAACAAAACCACACCTACAGCACCCACTATGATAACATACAGGATGTACACAATGACAAATAACCCGATTCTCCAGGTTGGTTCAGGCACTAAAGAAGTGACATTATAAAAACTTAATCATTCAAGGTGACTTTTACATTAAAAATATTTTTTTCTATCAGTATATCGCAACCTTATACCAAAATTGATAATTTCCTATTCCATCTTTAAAGGTATTTGCCTCAAGAAGACTAATATAGTGTTACAGTAGCTACTACAATAAACAGAGACTTACCCGGAGGTAGTTCGACGTTATCAAACAGTCTTTCCTTATCATTCAGCACCTTCTGGAGTAATGGAATCTCTTCTTCTCCAGACGGCTTCGGCTGATTCGGATCAGCTGGAGGAGGTTCGCCTGACATTTCAGTTCAAACTTTGATAAGGAAAACAACAAACGACCGGTAAATAACCCAAAATGTATAAAAATAAGACTCAAACTAACTATCACAAAACTAAAAAATTCAAAGTTTGGTCAAGTTTTGTGGGTAATAAGGAAGAAATTCAGATAAAGTGATGTTACTAAACATCCACGTCTCGCGCTTTAATGTCCTAAGCTCGAACATGTCCAAACATCCAGATTACAAGTATTTAGTTGTTGTATTTCTTTTTCCTCTAGTTACACTTGCTTGAGAGAATCCGAATCAGTCAGACCAATATTATAGTAGAGATAAATAAATTTTCGTCAGCAGAAAATGAAAGGTGTAGGCAGGACCGTAAGGTCAGTTCAAGACGAACAGGCTTTCCAGCTTTATTATACCTTTTCTATCCTCACCCTATCTTGTGCGACGACATAGAACGCGCTCTTTTTTGGAACACTTACTAAACATAACAACCTTAATATCGGGTCTGTTAGATCACTTATTCTCTTGTAAATATGAAGGTTTTTCTCGAAAATCTTCCAAACGAAGTAAGTTATCTAAAGCCAACTTTTAAAGCTAACTCTTATTTATATTTAGTTATGGCTAAAGATCTTTGCTCAACTTGACAGTATTGACATTTTGGCCGCGTTGGCTGAGATTAATAAAGAATTTTACAAACTGATTAACAGAGACTTCAAAACAATGTGTTACCGTGACGGCATCTAAAGGTTTCAGGGAGAAACGTGGGCGACGGCTTTTAGCATGTAAAACCGGAGAGTATGGCTACAACAACATGCGGTTCTATGACTTGAAGACCAAGAAAAAGTTTACGAACGTTCTTTGGATAATGCTGAAGATATGTGGACCAGCTTTTCAAATTACGGAGTAGAAAACTCTAGTACGGGTGAAGTAAGTGTTGCATAGAAGAGATGATTAGTAATTCCATACTATAATTTATTTTTTAAGCTCGTGCTTTTTGACTCCGTCAAGAAAGAATTCTACACCGGCTTTGCCAATTGCAGACAACTAAAGCTCCATAAACAGAAACCCAACCAAGAACAATGTAGATTTGTATCGTGGTACAGAATGGAAGGCTACAGAATGTTTGATTTTTGTAAAAAGCATCTTGATAAAGTAGAGCCAGTCTATTTAGATTACTCTACAGGCAAGTTTTAAGGACAACCTCTAATAGTAGCCACTATAATAGGCATTTAAACTGATAACTTCTTTGCAGGAAGACTCAAGCTAATGACGATTAAAGATTTGAATGTTCTGAACGACCCACCGTTTGTTATAAAAATAACCAACGAGTGTAAGAAGTATCTAGACCAATGCGAAGCTGATTCATCTGATTGTACAATTATGGCAGAAAACTTAAAAACTTACTTTGAAGATCAACTACAACTACTTCTTAGTCGCCAACCACTGCCAGTGATAAAACGATGATAACAAAATATTAACAAAACTATATACGTTTGAACCTTATCGTTAAATTAATGTCATCATAATATTTATTTGAGTTATTAAACAATTTGCTTAAAATTATACGAATGAGGAAGGTTTATTTGATTTATAATATAATATTTAGTTAGTTCACAACGACAAAATAATGCATTAAAAGAAACATAAAAATTGAGAAAAATGATCAAATTTAGAAAATTAATAAAATGAGTAACATTACAAAGAGATTATAAAGTATTATTAAAAAAAGGATTACAAATTTGTCATTACAAAGGACATCCAATTGAGTATCATTAAAACAAGATCGATGCACCGAGTATCATAAAGGCAATATTAATATATAAATATTACCTAGAGATCAATTAAAGTTGAGTAAAAATTAATAATAATAAAAGAAACACCATTAAATCAGTAAACAGTACCATTAGATCATAATAAAGTTAGTCAGATCAGATTCCCATTCGTGTCCACTCGTCTGCCCGTCATATCAATCTTGTTACCTAAACCTGGCTGCTTGGTCTGTTCCTGAAGAAGCTGGGTCTTGTACCAAAGATGGACAGCCTTCATACGATCCGTCATCTCATCCACGTCCTCGTTTAAATGATCAGAGACATTGAACTTGTCCGACACATCAAACTCGTCCGATTCGTTGAACTTGTCTTCCGAAAAGGTCAGATGTAATGGAGATCTATCGTCGGAAAGATTGCACTTCATTTGTTGTTTGGAAGGACGAGGAGTGTATCTGGAGGTAGGATAACATCTCTTCGCTGGTCTGGTTCTTCGTCCTCCTCTGAATCTGGCCATCGGCTTTCTCTTCTCTCCAGAATAACAGAATCCAGACTTTTGATCGGCCTTTTCACTTCTAGACTTTATTTTACCATCGTCCAAAGTTTGATTTGCGTCAGCACGAGCTTGACGAGGTCGGCAGTGTACCTGAAGTTGAGAAAAATGTAGAAAGATAAATACACTCTTAACGAATTGTAAAAGATCCTCATCAATTTAAAATATAAACTTACATTTTCACGCCTACCGCTTTTGTTCATTTTTTGCACTTTTAATTAGCCTCCCCAAATTACCAACACTAAACAGTGTTTGCCAGACAGTTTTGTCCAAAAACTTTATGATTTTTGTTTTTCAAATGTTGTTCACATTCCTTGCGTTTCGGTCCCACCAAGATTTCCCTGAACAAATAAAAAAAATATTTTTTCTTCGGAAAAATTTTATTTCTCGCAATTTTTCACAGATTTGTGTTTTGGTTATAATATATCGAGATTTTATCAATAATATTATTGTAATATTGATTATCTTAAACGTATTTTCACGTAATTGGACTGTTTTTAGGATGTGGTATGAGCAGATCTATTCTGGAGCTGTAACGATGGCCTTTATTGTTGGTGCGCTTTACGTGAGCGGTCCCTTAAATTACCTGGACACTGCTCGACTTTATAGACGGAACACGGCCAACGAACCAAGGTAAGTTTATGTTATTCATGTGAATTTAATGTTTAGGGACGTAATCGATGTTTGATTTTATTATCGAGCGGTTAATGCGGTCGTAGGTAGTTAAAGTAATGTCTTTTTCGTTGCTTTTACGAAAGTGTAAAAAGTATAGTGGATAGTAATGTTTTTTAATTTTTTGAGTAGAGTTCACTGTTCACAAGGGGGGTTCATCACATTGTTTTTTTGCTTATGGTTAAAACCAGGGACGTCGTTTGGGGGACGTCCCTGGTTAAAACAATATTGAAACAACACACCTATGTTTATGACCAGAGTTTTTGTGTTTTTTTTAGGTTTATAGTAACTTTAATTTGTCTAACTAGTGACTGTGCTAAGTTTTTGAATTTAAATTTTTGTTTTATACCTAAAAGTTAAATGTTTTATAAATTTCAGCTATTAACTTCATATTATTGATATATCTTTTATTAATTAACGTGGAAAATATAGAAAAATAACCATAAACATATTTTTTACGAAACAATAATCGGTACAGGCACTATGATACTTGTGAATATAACAAATGACTAGATATTAACAATGAAACAATAATTTGCAGAATTTCCATCACCAAGCGTGACCACAATCTCACTGGAAACTACTACGTCATTAGTGGTCTGGAGTCAATCCCCGACGAATAGAGAAACAAATATACATATGATAGTCGTATCTTGTCTTCTGAGTAAATGTTAGATACCCGTATCTGTGGGAAGAAATATCGATGACAAGATAGTTAAAGAAGGAAAATAATTGTAAGCCTGTAAACAAGGACCAAGGTTTTTACAAAGTACAATAATGTGTAAAAGGGTATTGTTGGGTTTAAAATATAGTGAAAAAATGTAACAAAGAGGATATTGCAAGCTTAATATTATAAGCTTGCAAGGTAAATTGTACATATAAACAATTTTTACGCTTGTAAATAACATATGGTAAGCAAGATGAGCAATATTATGAGATCAGGCCACGTGAATGGCTGGCGCGCTGTAATGATAACGAACTGGGAGGTTGGAGATGCCGGCCGCATCAGTGTGGCCGTCTTCAATCACAACGACGGATTCCAGTTCGTCTGGACTAAAGCAGTTTTGGACGTTTGTCTTGTTAGTGTCCTCTTGTTTGTGGATTGAAGGGTAAAGTATTTGAGAAATGGAAGTGACAGTGAGCTAAAAAGTGTTACGTTGTGTAAAATTATATTGTTTCAAAAATATTAGTACTGTACAAAGGGAATATCTAATTTCAAGTTTGTTTGCAGTAAAAATAAGTAGTATTTTAAGATAAGGTAGAAAAAGAAGTCATTGTTTTGTGCTGACAGCTTTAATTTTTTACAAACTAGTTATCATGATCTGCTTACTTGTTCATCTTGTTCTGGAACAACGCTCAACTTCTTGGGATTTCCTTTCCCTTGGCCCAGCTGTAAATAGAAGCTGGAGGTTTCGGCTGCACAGCGAGCCGCGTTGTTATCGTGACCGTTGTCATCGTTTTTATTAATCAGCTCCTTGCTTTCGTACGACGTTGAGCATGTCGAATTACTAAACTCGAATTTCATCACAAAGGACTGGTTTCTTACCTGCTAGTGCCATTCAGCCAATCGACCATTTTGTCCGGACATGTGGCCATGGAGAGAAGCCAGGCACAGAAGACGGCGCAACATATCACGACGATTATGATAATCGCCAACAACTCGTTCATTTTCCTTATCGGAGCCGGGGGCTCAGCAGATCAGCGGTGGCTTCACACGCATTGCCGTTAATGATTCCTCTTGGATTTGGATGCACGAGACTCCGAAGCCCGTCTGTGTTTTGTTGGGTCCTGCCACGAAATTGGCGTTCCGCTAAAAACAAGTGAAGCAATAGGGGCTCGAAGCCGTGGCTGTCCTTGCAAGAAAGGGGATCAGCTGTTAGTACGATAAATATTATAAACGGGTCTCGTTTCCACTTTATAACAGTACAACGCGGCCCGCTTAACCTCGCGGGCGCTGATAACAGAGTGATTACACTCGAAACGATCGCTTCGACGACAAGATAGTTACTTGAAAATTTGATTTGACTCTGTGAACTAGCTTGTCATTAATTAGGGTGTAAAAAAGTAAAAATGAGAAAAATTTTACAAAAAACTACAAACTGAGAGAATCAATCACATGCCCGCCCGTTCTAGATGTTAATATTTCAAACAGGCTATTTTGGGAACGTCAATGAATCAGCGTTGTAAAACTATTTGTAATCTGCGACAAGCAGTGTTGTGATAACAATAATAATCGCTGAGATCAAAGACGAGACGGGGGGTGGAACACAATGTTTTTGCATAAAACAGCTTTAAAAAGTAGTGTTTGGTCAAAAATAAAATAAGCTGAATGTTAACCTAGATGATGCTTAGAAGTTATTTTAAACTTTTTGGCTTGATATGTTATTAAAAATGGCAAAAAATATTTTTAAAATTCACTGAAGAGGGTATAATGAGTTTTTTGATTGATAAAAGTATCATATAATATACTCTGTAAAACCCTGGCTTTCAAGCTTCTAGTTTAAAGCCCCTTACCTATTCTTCTACCAACTTTTCGACCAAGTGTGATGAAAAGTGAAGGGTAACATAACTCAAATAGGCGTTGTTTCAAGGCGCGCCTGTCAAACTCGAGAACAAACAAATTAATGTCAAACTTAATACAATTCTTTATTGAGCTTGAAAACACCGGTGTTTCGAAAAGCAGATGGCTAAGAAGGCTGTGATCAATAATTAGTGGCGCGGAGTTCGCTCGGAAATTGGAAGGCGGAAGTGTATTGTTGCGAGTATTTGGGATAATCACTCTTTCGTCGACGATTCTGAAACGATTGTCGATGAATTTGGTTAAGCTTATATAAATCGTTTTGACAATAGAAAGCCGGTTCAGGCGACAGATCCTGTTTACAGGTGGTCTTACGAGTTGTTGTAGCTAGATATTGTTTATTTGTGTTTAGTAAGTTTTGGAAGCGGAGGCAAAAGGTAAATAGAGGTACAAAAGGAGTGGTAATCAGACAAAAGAAGCTGTTCTATGAATTTATAGACCAAAAAAATGTTTTCATTTTTTACTATTTACTTTATTTTTATATTTTAATTTTAAAAATCTCAAAATTCAGAATCTAAATCGGTCAAGAAGTGCGTAGAATAATCTTTTACCAAAAACATTCGTTGAGTTTTGCTATCACTTTTTGAACAAAAGTATGTTTTTGCAAAACCAGGTCACATGTTTAATTATATTGTCCATGTGGACTGTCTTTGTACCTTGATTTCTGAATCATATATTAACTATGAACTTGCACACAAACAGTTGTTAAAACAAACGTGTCCCAACAGAGAAGACCAGAGATTCATCAAAGTTATAACAACATCACGTTCAAAGTGTCATGAATTTCAGCCGAAAAACAGCTCAAAATTGAAAGTTCGGTCAAAAAGTGCATAACACTTGGGGTCTACGGGGAATTTGGACGAATACTTTTGAATTTTGTAGTATTTTTTAGAAGGAAGCGAATAGAGAAGTTAAAAGTTGAAAATATAGTTTGCAAAGAAATTCTACGGATTTTTTGACCTTTATACTTGCTTTATATTAAAGTTATTTTGATTTATAACTCATTCAGAAGCCTGAGATAACTTACAGCGATTCTCTCGGCAGTCTCATCTAGCATTTCACAAGAATCCTGTAGAATCTTGACCGCCTTCTCAATGGCATCTGAATCCGCTTCACGATGGGTTTGTTGCGATGGAATCGAGGAACTCAACGATGTGAACGTCGGCGTCGATGAGGAACAGTGACTCATGGGCGACGTTAATGGAGTCCGTCGAGGATGGTCGAACACACTCACAGTCTCTTGCCGTACCGTGCGGAATCTGTCGATGGAGGGGAACGTTGTCTCTTCAACGTGAGATCGGAAGGAACGATGCACGAATTCAGGTCTTTCGTAGTAGGTTCCTACGAGGGCTGGAATGGCAATGTCGCCCGGACTGAAAGTAATATAATTAAAAAGTTTTAAAGCTTGTATTGGTCAAAAAATACCTAGAATAACAATATTCAAGCATAGTCGTGACAGAAAGCCTTGGGCTGTCTTATACTTCAGTATTCATTTACCCTACTACATTAATGTCGGCTACAGACACTGTGGTGGACTTACTCTGTGATGACATAGTTTCCTTGATGAGATATGGAGCTTCTAGGTATGCTGATGACAGACGGCCTATGGTCTTGACTGTAATTTTGTGAAACAGATTGTCGATGTTCAAAAGCGTTTGAATCTCGTTTTGTAGATGAATAAGTATTGTCGTTGAGTTGTTTGAAATGTACAGAGTTGTTGTAGTCGTCGTCAATGGTGCTTCTCCGACCATCAGTGGTATCATGGTGATTAGTTCCTCTTCGATCATGAACATTATAATTCTGGTCATCGATAGTACCTCTTCCATCGTTAGTACTATGTTGCTCATAAACAGTGCTTCTGTGATCATCAAAGGTACTTCTCCTGTCGTTAGTGGTACTATCATGAACAGTACTTCTGTGTTCATCAATGGTACTTCTTCTGTCATTAAACGTGGGAGTTGTGACCTCTGGGGACCTTAACTGTTGTCGAGTATCAATAACTTGTTGTTTATGTTGGGATTGATCCGAAACATTTTCCTCGACTCTTATCATCTTAACACCCGTTTGGTCGACTGGAGGCTCTGTTTTCTTAACATACTTTGATAAGGGAACAAATGGCAGCTCTGTGTTCTTCTCGAGGCCTTCTGGAGGCACAGGTGAACTCAGCGTGAAGTCATCCAATTCTGGAGACGAGGGATTGAAGTTGACTCCAGAATCCGTCTGAGTTCGGATCTCGTCCTTCTGATGCTCTTCATGGGTGCTGAAGATACGATGTTCGTCGATCTCGAGGTCCAGTTGTTTTATCAGCGATGCCTGCAAGTATGTTTATATAAGATAGTTTAGAAGTTGTTTTAGTTGCAAAAGTAGTTATAATGTTTGTACAAGATAATTAGAAGCTACTTTAATTACGTAAAGTAATCAAAACAGCGTTCTTTTTATTGGTCAGAAAGTACTTAGAATTGCCTTTTTTTGTACTTTTAGTGGAAAAGGAAAGAATGGCTAACGAGCCAACCTTTGTAAAACAGTTTAATTGTTTGAGCGGTCAAAGTGTTTACCTTCATGATTTCCCCACTCCCGTGATCTGTGAGGACAAGGACTCCATGAGCAAAGCGAGGTCTTTCCTCTAAATACGGAGCTGAATCGGCGGCCAACTGATCCACCAGCCACTCCAAGTGCTGTCGGAAATCGGTCTTGTCGATTTCGAGCATCTCTTAAAAGGATAAGCTTATTTGCATATGAATAAAGAGATACAACTTTTATTTAACGATGATCAACTTCAAGCTTAGACAACGTGTTTAAAAACCTACACAACTCAAGCCTAGTTACTGAGTAATATTGTATTGAATTTGCGATATATATTAAAGTAAATATACAAAAATTAAAGTGAAGAAACAATATTAAAAGTTGCTTTAAAGTAGCAAAAAACGAACTTTTGACCAACAAACTCAAACTTCAAACCAGTATAACATGGAAATGAGGATTAACTCTAACGTGGCTGTAAATACGCCCGTGCAAGCCGGCTGTAAATACGAAAAGGGGAAAGGGCAACTGATGGCCGCCGGCTGGACAGTCGCGGGAGCGACAGAAACCCTTCGGTCAGCGCTCTTTCATATCAGGAAAGTAAAAGGAAGGGGGAACACGCGTACACAAACACAAGCAACTGTAAAAGTAATAACAACACGGAAAAGAATAATCTTGGGCTTCGGAAGCGAGAAAGCCCTAAGGAAACATGACTCAGACGCGTCTTCAGGGGCCCGAGAATAATTATTATTCAATAAACAGCGCTTTATCATCAACGTTGTACGTGTATGTAGATAGCATTTGGACGGTTTATTAAACTGTAGCCGTTTCCATTATTAGATTGTAAAGTTTGCGGGAAGAAAATGTCAAAAACAACGTTTCAAATGGATGATATGAAGGATTGTAATAGCAGGAAGGGAGCATTGTAAAGGGAAAATGAAGTATTGTAATGTAAGAGTAAAGTATTGTATTGAAAATTGTTTTAAACTTTAAAAACAGTTACTAACATTACAAAATATGAACAGAATTTGTATCTAAACTCTTTATTATACTGTTACACCCTACTAGAACCACCTCACACTTTATTAAAAACAATTTTCTAAAACAACACTAATTCAAGTCAAAAGCTACCCAATTAATCGAAGGTAACACCCGCTACACACGCCAATCCACCTCATAATCGAATCGCTTTAAGCGAAAGGTGAGGATGATAATTAGCGCGCTGAACAATATGTTGTTTGATGGGTATAACAAAGGCGACGTAATCTAGGAGAAACAGGTCACGAAACCCAAATCTGGAGGTCAGAATGGGTCAAGCGGAAGAAAGCGAAAGTCGGGAATGATAATGGGGCATACCTACAAGGCTGATCACGTTCCCGGAGACAGGTTCCTACGTTACTTAGCGCGCTCTCTTAGCTTAGCTTCAGGAGACTTTTGGGGAATCAGAAGACCTTAAGAGGAATCAGAAGACGAAGCCTTTTTCGATCAAGCCCCCTCCCGAGCCCCTTAGCTTCAACAGAGGGAATGCAACCTCAAAACGTCGAAAGAGTTTATTTTTTAACAGGACTACTACCAAATGATTGCGGCTGAATGAGCCGGCTTTGGCGACGCTTGAGGAGTGCATTTGCCACTCGTCGATCAAACTCGCTGACGGTCATTCGCTCGGGGCGTTGCTTGTCACGGAGTCTGGAAGAGAAGCCAAATTAAAACAAATGTTTTGTCATCGTCACAAATTTGATTCAAAAATTCGTGGCGAGATTCGGAAAAATTTGATTTTTTTAAAAATAAAAACCATTTTTTAAAAAAATCGTTGAATTCGTATCCTGAACGATCTTTAACATATGAAAACTAGTAAACTAATGGGTTAGTCAAAAAGAAATCAATGGAAAATAGTTAGAATTATCACATAAATTATTCTACAAACTTCTTGACCTACCGATGAACAACCTGTTCTACTGTCAGCCGGTTGTCAGTATCCTGATTTCCTGTTTTGAACACATTGTACTGCCATTCCCTCTCAACATGAAGGCAGAATGCTGCTGACCCATCTTCGTGTTTATGGTCTGGTATAGTCCAGTGTACCATGGTAGAGACTAGTTCGGTTTCCTTTACTATCAGCACTCCCCACGTGCCACCGTAAATGTCTTCCATTATGCGACGGATCAGCTAGAAGTTAAGGAAAGTAAATTAAAATATACTTTTGATAACAATATAATGTAAGTGCATCTTATACTACACGTAAGACTACTATAAAAACTAAAATATTCAAAAGAGTCTCGTGAATACCTGCATCTGAAGCGCGGCATCGTTCCCCGACGCCTCGATGGCTCTCTGAATGATCGGCTTCACCGTGCTCATCGGACAATTGGATATGGCTAAAATACGAAAAGAATACTCAATACTATACACAACAACATACCATGGACGGCGGCAACTTGTATGAGCAACAACAACAACTTGCGCATTATTTTGTGTCACTGGAGACATTTCTTTTTTAAAAGGTTATATTATAATATGAACATTGCGCAACGAGATGCTTGAAAGGTTTGGGGTCGAGTGGTTCCGTCACCATTTACGTGGTAATTGTGGGTATTCAAAAAGTTCAATGAGTTTGAGCTTTCACTTCCTTCTGCAAGTTGGAAACTGTAAATTGGAAAAGCAAAGTGTACAAACGTTACTGTTACTCGTAACTGTCGTAGTACTGTTAATGAATCTTTTAATTTTTAAAAGTTTTAAAAGAATCAGAAGCTCAAAAGCATGTTTATATGTTAGAATCATCACATCGTTATTTACTTTGTCATCATAACTGTCACTTCATCAAGTTGCGATCATAACCATGCATTACCCTTAATGGCTTCCCTATAGCAACGTGTTGGTTGTTGACCATGTGCCTTAATCCTCCGAAACGTTCCATGCCAAGTTTGAATGCCGGTTCTCAGGCGGATTCTTTTGCATATTCTCCTTCGAAAAACGGCGATCGGTCAGTCAAGGTCGGCGTTGTCGCGTCTTTCGTCCAGCTGGGAGCAGCTCTCGCGCTTCACCTGAGGGCTGACTGACTATAGTTGGGAAGGCATCGCGCAACCTCGCCTACTGCCCTCGTCGCTCCACTCGACGCTGCTCCGGAAATCTCTCCACTTTTTTGTGAAAATGTTTTTGCAGTTTCTCCTGTTTTGGGAAGTCCTGGTCCCTTCTTGATATGACTTCTCAAGGTCGCTACTGCCCAAGTCCGAGGGTTTCGGGCGTTTTAAGGTAATTTAATGGCCTAATATTTCCGCGACTTTACCGATTTATGACTTTATTCTTTCTTTCGCCGTCTCTGGTTTGAAGAGATTCTATAGAAGGGCACGCGGTCTACTATAACATTGTTTTCATTTCTTTTAAATTTCTTGACCTGTTACACAGAATCACCTTTCAAAAACTATATTAATGTACCTAAAAACAAGACTGTAGCGGTTTTTGTTTTATTTACTTTGTTTACAACAAAGTGCAACTCCCGTTTTACCTTAATAATTTAAGTTAATGTTGAGTCACGATGTGTCTTTCGGGCGCCGTTGATGCTATCGTTACTTTGTTGAAGGTCGTTTCAAGGTACCTCGCGTCCCTCCAAAATTTAAACCTTTTTCCCTTCAGACGCGATGGTCAGTACGGCCACACAGAAGATCCTGCTTGTCGTGTCCATCTTGCTGATCTTGCTCGGACTTGGCTTGACCATAGCTGGCGCTTTCAGCCCGGCATGGCAAGTGGTCGATATTCGAGAGTTCCGAGCTGAACATCAGGTAATTGCTTTGTTTACAGTTGTTTTAAAGTGAGCGAAAGTAATATAAAGGCAGTGAAACACGTTATGTGTTTGTTATAGCATTATAACTTTGAGTTATTACTTTTTCTGTACGATGACTATATTTAAACTTATTATGAATGATTTAATTTTTGTATTAATATGACCTTGGTCTATTTAGCACGGTTTGTGGTGGGACTGTATCAGAGCAGAACGTCACGTCGTAGCTGTTGGAGACTTCTACGATGAAACACCTCTTCATTGTATGTACAAGTTCGACCAGTCGGCCGAACTAGTCATCGATAACACTTTGAACAACATCGATGAAGATGGTGCTGCTGGAGAATCAGAGCATCACAGATTCTGGATTTGGCACAAAATCATCCTGTTTTTCATTATTTTCAGTCAGATTCTGGCTTCCATTTCTATTTGTACCGGAGCGTGTGCTCCTTGCTTCCGTCCGACAACTTTTGTTTTCACCATTTCATTGTTTGTTGCTTGTAAGTTACTTTTTGTTTAACATGCTGGTTTCTATGTATTTTTTAATCTGGTATGTTGAACCATAATGTAATAATATCACCTCTTCAGTGCTATGTTCGTTGATCGCCGACGGAGTATTCTTTTTGGCCGCAAACCGTGTTGACAACCGATTTGTACAAGGAATGGTCGGTACATACGAACAACAGATCGGATACGCATTCTACGTGCACTTACTCGGCACTTTGTGCTGGGGTGGAGCCTTCTTGTGTGCCTTGTTAACCACGTACAAGTTCTTCTCGTCAAACGGCCAAAGGTGAGTCTCGGATCGTGTCCCCGGTGTCTGTGTTCGCTTGACGCATAATCGTCTTTTAGCTAACGAGATTTTTGTATTTTAAAAATGTTTTCGTGAATCACACACCCGGCCTCTGCACCTCTAACATTTCTATGCCTAACACACTTGTTGAAACTGTTGAACTGATCGCATTTAAGAAGGCTATTCGAACGCGACGATGACTTGCGGTTGTCCGACACGGTAAAGTTGCGCGGTGACTGGCCATCACAAAACTTTGGACAAAGCACCTTCATCCCGGGCCAGAGAACGTTCCATCTCCCATCGAATACACAAGTCTAAGAAAGGTCAGAGTTCTTCTTCTTCTACGTACTCGGAGCCCACGTCACCGTGCGGAATTGGTCACGGTGATGCGTGCTTCGAATACTGATTCTGTAGTTTCATATGCTTACTTCTTCTACGCATTCAGTAGCATCCACTCCAACTAATAAACGTGATTTCAGCGAAGAACGGTCGTTCCAAGATCCTCGATTCGAGCACCGTGACCCGCTTCTGGACGTTCAGCGAAGCGGCTACCGACCTCCATATCGTCCTTATCGCGAGACCAGTGCATGACTTTCCACTCACCCTCAGGGCATTTTCATTTCTTCTGCCATAAATCTCAGTTTTTGTTGTTGTAAATAAAGTCCTGGCCTTAAAAGTTTGCGGCTCCTACCTGTGACGTCCGTCCTTACCTTTGGCGTCTTGGGGGTCCTAATTGTCTCGAAATGAGGTGCAAGAGGGAATGTCGCCTCTACTTGGCCGGTGGGCCGTTTGAGGAATCGGAATTACGTAAAGGCGAGAAACGGCTTCGGCCCTTCCGATCTAGCAGCTTCGTTTTTCTCAAATTAGGTTTGGTGAAGCGCCGGAACGTATCTATAACCTGACCGAAGGAAGGGTAGTGATAAGTTGAGCGAAAGTCCGGGGCCCAAACAACGCCTCAGGGTTTCAGGGAAAGTCTTTCTTCCGGTCCATCGAAGCGCTCATTCATTCTTCAAAACTTGACTTTAGTAATCCCACCGATTCTGGAGCTTCAACTTGTACGTGCTCCTTTTTTATGTTGTGAGGCGAGACTGGAATGCCAATAAACGTTGTGAGTTCAGCCGCTTGTTAAATGCTACTTATTCGGTGACAAATGGACATCTTCTTGACATTGTGTCTGCTCTGGTACAACGTCGGCTACGGGTTTCATCAGTTTGACGATGCCGACTTTGGCGTGGTCAAGATGTACCCATCAAAGTCGGGCAACCCGCAGGACCGGGAACAGAACTGCACGTCTGACATCATGATAATCGACAAACTGCTCAATGGCACCGGGTACAACAAGTTCAAAGTTCCAAGTAAGTTGACAAACGTTGTCTTACCTTTGCATTTATCGCATAGTTAAAGTATAATATTAAATAAGATACCAATAATGATTATTATTTATTATAAAAGTTATTTCTAAATATTTTTAAAATAAGTCTTTCTTACCTTTAACGCCTCGAAGTCTTGAAAAGAAAAATAGGTATGATAACAAGGTTTTCTTACCGTTGGCTTCTTTTACTTGTCTAGTAAAAATAATATTAAACTGAATTCTGATTCCAGAACAAACGGGAGTTGATGTGGCTGTGGAGTTTTGGCTACAAGCGATTACCTCAATCGACGAAATTACCAATGATTTCGAAGTAAGTCGGAAACAAAAACAAAACTGTGCTAAAACACCTAAAATATCTTCCAAAAGTCTTCGGAATATCGTTTATTTATAATTTTAAGCGCCACTTTACACCAAAACATATTATTAACCCTAATACTCGTTGAGTCTGATCCTCAAGACAAATTTTTTTACGGAAAATGTTCAGAAATTCCGTCATTTGGGCATCTAAAAAATCGATCGTCAAGACGTTTTTCTGTAAAATCAGTCATGCTTAAGTCAGGAAAATTACTGTTTTAACAAAAAGTTGTTGCTTGTTTGGATAACAAGACGAAAATAATTAAAAATACTAAGTATGGCATCTAAAGGTAACTATAATTAACGATATTTTGATGTTTGATAGTGTTTAGTGTTATAATTTATATAAAAAGTGTCTTTATTATTGTTCTTTGCAGCTCGACATGTACATAAACGAGGTGTGGGTGGATCCGGCATTAAATTTTGAGCATCTATCACCTTGCAAACAAAATCTCTCGATTTCACATCAAGTTCTGGAGAAGTTGTGGACTCCGAATTCCTGTTTCATCAACTCCAAAGTGGCAGACATTCATAATTCTCCCTTCAGGTAATCCAATTTGCTCCATAACTTTATTTGATTCAGAAATGTGTTTCTTATGTTATACCCGAACGGAACCGTGTGGGTCAACTACGTGAGTTATAAAGAGTAATGTAATGTGCTTGTGATGTAAAATTGGTTCAGTAGTAGTAGATATTGCCAAATGTTTGTAGTGTCATTTAATGTTAAATTTTTTTAACGTTTTTGTGGCTTAAGGATGTTTTTTATTATAAATGAAGCCTTTATTCTAAACTTGATTTTAAATTTAGGTATAAAGTTGTAATAAATTAATTTGTTACAGAGAGTAAGAGTGAAAGGACCATGTAATATGGAGCTGAGTAACTTCCCAATGGATACACAAACGTGCCATTTGGTATACGAAAGGTAAAGTAATAGAAAAAAGTTAAATAATTAGTGAAACATTTGATTTTAGGTAACAAAAATTAAGAAAATGAGTTTTATTACTATTTACTGCAATATATATTATTTTAATAAAATTTTAAGGATTATACTATTATTTTAGTTTCAACTACAATAACCAGGAAGTTAGGATGAGATGGAATCCGATGAACGGTAATCCAGTCTACGCGATCGGCTCCATTTTACTGCCAGACTTTGATCTAATCCGAATTGAAGCCGAACTTAAAGTTGAGGTAAGTCGACAATTTTAATGCTATTATATTTTTTCAAATTTTAAATTTTAAAAACGTTTCAAATTACTTTTAAATTTAATTATTAATACATTTTAGCCTTACCCTGCGGGCATGTGGGACGAATTGCATGTTCGGCTGTCATTTGGTCGAAGATCTGTATGGTACTTCATGCAAGCTTATGTGCCATCGTACCTGACTATCTGTATCTCTTGGGTATCGTTTTCACTCGGCAGTAAGGCTATACCAGCTAGGACAATGTTGGGAGTAAATGCTCTCTTGGCCATGATATTTCAGTTTGGCAATATCATGAGGAATCTACCGAGGGTTTCGTACATCAAGGCTATTGGTATGTTTGGTAGATTTGGCATAATTTGTTCTTAGCTTGGTTATTTGATTGTTGTTTTTAGAGTAGTTTATCTTTGTATTATTGCTTTATGTTGTAGAATAAAATCATTGGTTTATTCAAAAAATAGGATTGGCTTTAGATTATCATAAAATTTTAATTAGTAATGTAATTTTGTAGATGTATGGATGTTAGGAGCAATGACATTTATATTCTTGTCCTTACTTGAACTCGCTGTTATTGGGTACTTGGTCAGAGACGAAGGAGGGATAAAGAAACGACCGGTAATGTGCAAAAAACGGGTAAGGTTCTTTCTTTTATTGAATGGGTCATATTGTAATGTATTTTACAATTAAGTGTTTTAGACAATAATTTTAAAAGTTTTTGCTTTTTAGTTTTAAACTTTGAAAAACGATACTTAAATGTACACTTAACTAAAAACTTAATTTAATTTCTATACTTCAGTTATCAGAATCCCCGCCGAACTCGCCCCGCGGCATTTGCGGCTACGAGAAGCGGTTCATGTTTCCAGTTCAGAAATGCGAACTGGCCTGGACCCAGCGGACGGTACTGTGGCTGCCGAAGCTTTCGTTCAAGCCGTGGACGCCAAACGAGATAGACAAGTTTTGCAGTATCGCTTTCCCTGCTTGTTTTGCCCTCTTCAACGTAAGTGCTTAAGAAGACGCGGTCCTCTACGCTGTGCTGCTTTCAGATTGCCTACTACTCCTATTATTTGACCAGAGCTGGGATTTCGAGGGACGTTTGAACTTGAATTGACTTCACGACATTCATGGTCTTTTATTGTGAGCTTCTGGGTCTTTAAGTTTTTTGGCATCTGGAGAGTTCACGGTGGTTTTCGTGAACTCTTCAAGGTTCTTTGGGGTTTTATAATAGGTTTTTGGGTTTTTACTGTGAACTTTTAAGGCTATTTTAAGAGAAATGTATATTTTGTTTGTGAACATTTGTCCACAGAACACTATTTGTACCAACCACGGTCTTTGCGACTTCATATCGCTTTTTTAAACAATTTTAAAACATTTTTAAAGTTAATAAATTTTAAAATTTTTGTTTATGACAAGTTTATTCACCATAAGAACTTAAATATTTGCCAACTTTTTGTATTTTTAATAAATTTTTAATTTTTGTCGCAAGTTATTAATTTTTGTTTGACTTTGAGCTTTGTCCGAAACGACCGCGGGCCTCACGGTGAGCACGGTCTAATCAGAGTGTGCCTCAAATCAGTTTATGGACAAGCCCCCTGGTGTGCTGAAAGAGTACGAAGTGCTAAAACAGACCTTTCCAAACATGCCTCAATAATAATGTCCTGAGGGGAAGAACAGCGGGCACGTTTAGAAACTGTGTGTTTGGAATGGCGGAGAGTGTGGCCGTTTACGCTCGCTTTATTAAGTGCATTTGAATTGTTAAAAACAATATCTGAAAACAATTCAAATTGGCGTTTAATGCAGGGCGAGGGCTCATCTATCACGTTCTGACAGGAAACGCTTGTTTTGAGACATTCTGGTGATTGGGTGGAGAGACAGTTTATTAGTTCAAGTGTTATTAATTTCAGGGTTTGGAGGTGGGCAAGGAGTGGTCAAAAAGTTTGTAGAATTCAATTTGTTTTTATAGCTCAAAAAAGTTAAATATCTTTGCATTTTTAATAAAAATTAAAGAGGGAGGGGTAAATTTTACTTTTTTGCCCCTGCCTTCTCGTAGCTTTATTTTTAACCTCTTTCCATATCTCATTACAAAAGGCATAATTACCCACTTGAAATGCTGATTGTGCCATTATATTAGCATTGTTTATGGTTATGACTCGCAGATGTAACCATATATCGTACGTTGAAATTGTTTTTTCCCATCCGACAGATTTGCATTTAAATTCGAAAAGGATCTCGGATGGCGGGCTTTATGCATTTTTGAGTATCGTACTCGTGCCCGATCTTACTTTGTTTACACTGCTTTACAGAGATGAACGAGAATGGCCGCCGACGTTGTTGTCTGCTCTCCGGCATCGGCTTAACCTTGTTTGGATGTGTCATATGCGCCTTATCTATCGCGCTACCTGGCTGGCAGGTAATTCGTGTTAGTGACAGCTGTCATTGGCTTTGCTTTTCCAGTTTATGAGAAGATTGGGATGATATTGTTGTTGAGGTTGCTTTTTCAGAGTCTTTAGTTGTTTTAATGCTCGAGAAATTTTAAAATTCTTTATTTTAATACAAAACTAGAATTGTTTCTTTATGTAATTAGTTACCCTTCTATTTTTAAGAGGTGTTTTGTCTATACTTTATACCTAAAATGCCGTAACTTTTACTTGTAGGTAGTAGAACTACTAGAATTTAACTCAGTACACGAGCATGGTATCTTCTACGACTGTGTACGGTCAGAGACGACACCGCTGGAAAAGGTGCGAGGCAAAGACTTTACTTTCAGGACCAGTAAGAGGTGTACCTACAAGTTTGATTCGTCTGCTTCAAGGACGATACGAATCGCGGTAGAAGAAGGCGATGTAGCCGCTACCGAGATGTTGCTACATAGGTTTTTACGTAAGTTATATCTGGCTTGTATTGTTATTGATTGCGGGAGTTTTTGTGTTACAGACAGTTTTTAGTGCCGTACAGTATTTTAGAAGTATGTTATGATTACATATCGCTATAACTTTGTCTTTTAGCACAACATAAAGCAGTGATATTCTTCTTCATATTTACTGTGATATTCGCCATGATGTCGATGGTGGTTGGAGCTTGTTCTCCATGTTTTGTACCCAATGGTGTACTTCATGTTGTGTCAGTTATGACAGCAAGTAGGTCTTTATTTGAGGGTATATATTGTAGAAGTATAACTATGAGGCTGTGTATAATATCTATAATTCTGTAACTATTTACTGTTTATCGTATTACGTGACTATTTTTAATTTCCAGTGGGATGCTCACTGCTGGCTGACTTTATATTCTTCATGGCATCCAAGAAGCCGGACAACAAAGATGTTCAAGGTATTGTCAACACATATCAGGCAAGTCAAGTGTTACTAGACGCTTTTTATGTGTACTGCAAAGGATTCTACTTTTAAAATTTATAGATTGATATAGTTTTTTAATGATTGTAATCAACACCCCGATGTAAATTCATGTCGTAATTTTATGCATGATATATATCTAAATTTACTTCCAATTCTTATAACTATGTCATGAGAACCCTTTCAGCAACACCTTGGTTACGCTTTCTTTGTTCACGTCTTTGGGACGTTGGCGTTGTTCGCAGCTACCTTATCATCTACCGTATCGGCCTATCTGTTGATACGACGAGAGTGGAGAGTATATGGTTGTTGTGACTCTAAAGACAGTCAGAAAGGTTGTGGCAGTGGCTCTTACTGTCACTACCCTTCCTTGACATACTACGGAGCAAACGATCTGGAATCGAGAATGATGGAAGCTACTAATTTGAATAGTAATGTCAGAATGCCCATGCCCGCTCCACCCCCACCCCCGCCCTTGTTCGCCACCAGAATCGAGCACAGAAGGGGGATGAACGGGTATGAACATAACGAGCGACTGTTCCAAGAAGAAGACGTTTAAAGCACGTTAGAGTAATGTGATTATAGCTGGCATGGTTAATATGTGATACGATTAGCTGCAAGGTTACTACACAAATGGTATATGATTTATTCTGCAAAAATGATAGAGCTTTTACTAAATTAAAGACTTTATAATCAAAATATAAAGTCTTTAACTATATCTTTTAACTAGTCTTTAACTATAGAATGTACATAATATTATTTTTACCATAAATACACCGGTTACATGTCTACTTTCAAGAAAATACGATATAATTTCACTTTTACTGCGATTTTATACATTACTGTGTCACATATTTACAAAATCAGATATCAAGAATAGTCTATCTTTTGTTTTTTTATAATTTTTTGCTTTTTACTGATTGCAAGCTGCGTCCGAAAGTTTGGTGAACGCAGGCTGCAGAGTTTTTTGTTTTTATTTTTTTTTATTTAAAATTTATACATACAAGCTTGAGGTTAAGTGTTTATGAAAGCTTTAACTTCAATTTTATTTCTTAATAAAAATTTTAAAATTTTAGTTTTTAATTTTTTAAATTTAAAAATTTTACTTTTAAACTTTTAAATTTCAAAATTGCTGAGACATTTTAGAGCCCTGAAAATGCACAGACTTTGGCGACACAAAACAGTTATAGACTTGCACTATGGTGAACCTCTCCAACCTTTTTTGTCTCAGATTTTTTGCATAAATTAATTGCGCGATGGTCGGAATTTTTCAAATTTTGGCGGAAAAATGGAAATAAAAGAAATTAGCCGGATTCTGAAGACAAATTGCATATTAGATGCCCGGAGGGCCTGTGGCGCGATGCTCAGATTGTTCTCGGCTTTAATTTTACTCGATTCATATGCCGCTAATTGTGTTACCGATCAGCGCACATACGACGACGGCCAGGTCTGGGTGCATCAGGGATCGTTCAACGTCACCTGCAGATACGATCGGATAGTTGTAAGTTGAATATATTGGGTTTTCTGAGTAATATGGGGGTTTTGGGATGTTCTTATAATAGTACAAGTGTAATTTTGAGTTCAAAAAATGAATTTTTAACAAAAGTTTGGCTAAAAGCTTGATAAACTAAAGGCTTTGCTTCTATTTGAAGCTATTTCTTGATTTTCTATGCACTTTTTGATCACTTAAAACAATTTTAAATACCCAAATAAAATCTCCAGTTAACTGCTATTTAATTACACTGCTCATCAAAAGATGAAACATCTAAAATTCGAACTAATCTTTCTATATTAACATCGAGATTACTCTGTAGAAAAAATATTGCACTTGCCAAAGCCGGGTTATTGATATTAATGTTGTTTTGGGGCAAAAAGCGGGATAATAAGTCATGTTGGGAGTTGTCACTTGGGCTTCATGAATATTTGCCATACTTAAGGCCCGAATGTTTCTAAAAGAATAAGTAATTCCGAGATGTTTTAAGTGACATTTTAATGAACCTAGATTATGGATTGGCAGAGGAATTGGGGCTAATTATAAAGCGAGTGTTTTTGGTCGGTAGGTCGGTCAAAAAGTGCGTGGAATTGATTATTATAATGGTTTTTATAGTTTTTTTGAAGGTTTGAAAACAGAAAATGGTCAGGTTTGGTCAAAAAGTAGATAGAAAGATTAAAAATAAAGTAAAATTTGTGTGTAATAGGCTATCCTACTTTTGTTTTAATTAGATTAGCATTAAAAAAGTTGAAAATGACAAACATAAACGCTAAAAATACAGCTCTACATCATTCAATGACATGTTTTAGTTAGTAAACTGCATAACAGAAGCAGGTACTCAAATACCCTTAGGAACTTTGAATTTTGAAGAAAATGGGTTTAATTACACTTGCAAGAACATATCGACCAATGGTCATGCCCCAACCTTGTTTGCCCCATTGGAACAGGTAAAAGAGTCAGAGGAATGTGATCGAGGACAAGATAATTATGTCAGAGAGGGGTTCGTAATGTCATGTGAAAGCAATATTATACTCGGGTGTGCCGATGTATTTGGAGACTTGGTGAAGGAGGGGTTCTACATTGGGGAGAGGATGAGCTTGAAGTACTGTTACGTGTACAAGAACAGGAGGAGATCCAAGGTGGAGAGGAGGGGTAAGAAGTTCATGTATTATGGGGGGATAGCGGTTCTTATGTGCGTAATATAACGTATTTAGTGGCTACTGTAATTTATAGAAATATTATTGGTTATTACATACTGTACTTTGAAAATAAAGGCAAATATGTTGCAGTAATACAAACCCGCATTATAATATCCGTACTATACTTTTAATATTCAAAATAGTGTTTTTATATTGCAGGTTGTTTTAATGGTACAGAAAGAGACGACCCATCAGATAACAAGTATCACATGAAAAGGGGTGACATCTGGAAGACTTCAGGCACTACGTTGCGATGTGAAGATGACGGTCTTCAAGTCTACAAATGTCATCCCACGCCAAAAGAGTCGCCTCACGTCGGAACAGCGTGGTACGACAAAGACAATGTGCTCAATTTTTGTCCGTTTAACTAATAAATATTTTTTATACTTACATTGAAGTAAAATTTATATTACCATTAGCTGAGGTGACATACTTTTTGTTTACTATAGTAACTTTTACAATTGCACTACTGTGATAAAGCGTACCTTTCCTTAAGTACGGCATATCACAGTAAATAATAGAAACAGTCCTGTAAGATTATAAACTTAAAACAAGCATACTAATGCTTACTACAATATAGCAAAAGCTACTACAATGCAATAAAACCTAATACAATATAAAGAAATGTAATAAAATATAGTAAAACCTACTACAATATGCATAAATATTTATGTACAAATAAAAGTTTACATAAGTTATCCTAATATACTCTCCTGATATCTTTGGCATGGCTGAGATCATAAGCACCTTGAAGTGGGGTTGAGCACCGGTAATTTGAGCCTTCTGAATCCTCTAGACGTACTCGCCCTTTTGTTCTCGCTTCTCCGAGAACGAGCCGTTTGGACTGTCGTTGTCGCTGGATTCTAACGCAGAATCGTAATTCGCCTCCTTCTTCTCGACCACCGTGTCCAGGGTTTCGTATTGCGGATACATGTATCTGAAATGGCAATGTTGGGTAAAATATGTTTTGAAAATTTAAAATTAATTTTTTTTATTACCATAAATTGGTCAAAAAGTATTTAGAACGTTTTACTATTGAATTCCAAACCTTAAAAAATCATTTTCTATAAACTTTTTGACCAAAGAGTAGATTTCCATCTGTCTTCTGATGACCTTTTGCTTAAATTACGTAACGTAACATCTTGTAATTGACTTGTGTCATATTAATTATGCTTTAACAATTCCTTTTAGTCACATCGTCCTACTTAAGTTTACTATGGCTTATAGACAAGATATTTCCTATAAACCATCATATATGGTAAAGGAAATCAATAAGTCATTATGAAACTTATAAAAATGATTAACCTATTATAACCCTGGCTTAAACCCCAATTATAATTATATAGTATGCTATTAAATCCCAAAAGTTTTGGCATGTAAATAAATAACAAACATACCACAATATTTTAAGTCCTTATATCCACTGATATACTCAAGTAACCCCATCAAGTAAAACACTTACGGTCCTTCCATATGCAAATTATGCGATGGCAGAAGTGGAGGTAGCAACATTGGCGGCATCGGAATATTACAAACATTATTTACATTCCGAGTAAATACAGTATCCGGTAGAGACGGGGTACTGTAATGCTCGTTGTACTTGTGAATCTGATAAGCTTTGTGTAAACAGTACGATCCGAGTATGATGCCAATGAAGAAGACTAGGAAACATACGATAATGGCACCGACTACGAACGGAGATTCGAAGAGTTCGGCTAGTTGTAGTTTGGACTGAAATTCGAAGTTTAAAATTTAAAAAGTGATTTTATCAAAAAACTTTTAAGAAATAGTATTTTAGGCATACAAGCAACTAAAAACTTTTTTCATGTTGCATAAGACTGAAATTTCTATTTACTTTTTGACCAAACAGTTGTAAAACTTACAGTAACCAACACACTGCCCTCGTCCTCCTTGTCCTTCTTAATCTCCACACACCAAGGGCACTCCCTTCTGTAGAGTTTGATCTCCGCGACAGCATGATAACACTTGCCCACTAATCCCACGATCCGCGTCTCTTCTGGATTCACAAGATATTCGGCCGAAGGTCCATTCGAAGCCAAGGCTTTGATTGACGGAACGAACGTTCTTAACGGACTGCTTTGGTCGCATGGGCGAGGAATGTTGAACAAGACGTCTGTGGCTGTCAGGGATGAGTCAATCGTGATATTTTCTTGGACTGAGCTCTTCCAGTAGACTGTCAGTTCGGCGTTTGATGTCTGAAAGTAATTAGATTAGGGTTTGGCATAAAGAATATGGTTTGAAATTCAAAAATAAAATACAAAATTAACTTTAGTAGTACAAGTAGCTTAGTATTTTAATGCCATTTTACCTTCATAACACTTACATCTCGAGTGACCTGATTGAGCGGCCAAGAAGCCTGTTTTCGACCTTCACCATCAGCTGACTGGAATGAGACAGAAAATGTCATATCTTGACAGTTCCTGTCGGTTATACATTCTGGTCTCCATGTTATGTCTTGAATCCGAACACTAGTCCAGAACGGCGCTGAGCCAATGTGAACAGGCGCGCTGTTAATGCCACAAACCAAAATAAACAACAGAAGTTGCTTCATCGTACGGTGTTGACTAAAAAACATAACATTAATACAATCGACAAAAAATGATAAGCTTTAAAGAATTATTAAACAATGAGCACGTTAACAACCATATAAATAAGAAATTGAAAACCAAACCTTTTTCACAGTAAAATATCAAAATATCGACCAAAAACACTGTATTCTAAGCCTAACCATACCAAAATGTCCCCCAAAAATAACAACAGTGCCATAAGTTGGACAAATTATAGCCGCGCCCTCTCTCGTCGCACTCCCAATGTCCTTGAAACAAACCCTCCAGGAGATCCTCAAGTTTGGGTATCACTTTTCCGAGAATGGGATATGAGTGCTTTGGGCCTTCTGCAGATACGATCGCCTTGAGTAAAGGCCTACTAATGTAACGATCGCCTTCAATAAAGCCCTACGAATGATACAATCGCACCCGACGCAGTAAAAACATGATGGCTTGTAATTAGCAGTGTTTATAGTTGCGCAATTACAAGATAAATGGTCGAGATTGGGCGCGGCTAAAACAGGCGTGATTGCCGGCTTTAAGCATTATGAATATAAGCGAGATTGAACACAGTAAGGTGTAAGAACCTCAAGATTAAAAAGAGTAGACGACGATAGTTAACCATTAACGATGATATTATATGTTAACCATTAACTATGGTAGTCTATAATAACCATAGTAAGTAACTAGATTGAAGACAGCCAAGATTCAGCCAAAGTTATAATAAACATACCAAGGCCGAGTTGCCTTGTAATTAGCGAAGAATAGAATGCTTAATTTAGCCTCTTCACTTCGAGGACTTCGCATATGTTTTTGTAGGACAATTGAGCGACAAAAAACGCGGCGCCAACGTCCGGATCGCATTAGTCGTGAATTGGATTTGAGCCGAGGCTTAAACGTTGTATATGATCTTCTACTTTGATATATAAGACTATTACATTACAATCATAGACTTGTCTCTTACTATCACTATATGATACTGTAAAAACTACTATAACAGCACAATATATCAGAAATAACTTGTCAGAACGTAAATATAAAACTAAAACATACCAAACCTTAAAATAGTAAAACATACGTTCTTACTAACCAGTATGATACTAACATACCACAATAAGTATATAAAACTACAACTTCTTTAAAAACATACTACCAGCCCGTCTGCTACTATAATATAAAATAAATCCAGATCCTTCACTATAACATAATACGCCTACTTGATCCCTACTATAATATGATCTTGGGTTATGCAATCGCTACTCGCACTTCTTATTAGCGCTTATCTTGGGAATATTTCGGAAATCATAAGTTAGACCTCTGAAAGATTTAAAAAATGTGTACGGAAAAGGTTAAAATGTAATTCTTGGGAACGTGCTGATGTTGTGAAGGGACGACAAGTTAAGACAACAGACAAAGATTTCGATGAATCAGCTTCAAAAAGTTTAAAAGTTGTTTGCTTTTTCATAACAAAGGTATGAGGCTACTGGTAAGGTCATGATGACTAGACTATCAATTCAAATTTCATCCCCCTCCCCACCCTCTATCACCCCTTATATCCAAAAAGCTGAATCTAAGAATCCGGAAGCCTCACCTTGTCGGCCGCGTCCCCTCCCAAATGTGGAGCCGGCTCTGTTCCCGAGGTCCCATTTTTTTCGAAATAAACAATCCGTCAAATGTTTTGCTCCAAAAACAGTCACTTTCGCCTATTAATCGCCCGCACTGCTTATAAATTCGCCTAAACTCCACAGCTGCGCGCATGAAGAGGAGGCGACATCAGTCAACTTGATATTGGACATGACATCTCCCGGACTTCTAATTTTTATAACGCTGTAGGCCTTTTTTGCGGAAGCCTAAATCAAAGCCGACAAGTCGAGGTTGGCAAGGCAATGTTGAAGTAGAGAAGACAGAAGTACATTTTGGCTACTATGAGAAACATAACGTCATCAAAGTTACAATATGACAATATAGTTGCAAATGTAGTTAGGAAGAATAAGTAGAGAAAGATGATGAATTATAATTACCTATACCTACAAAAACATTGTAAAAAAGAGAACGTACTCTCCTTTGTAACCCCGTAAATCTGCTGCACTAAAATACCATAACCTTTTCCATCCAACACATCAAATTCGAAGCTTTTAATCCCCACGTTCATTACTACCATAACTTTCCGCCATATAAACCTTTTTTTTGGAGTAAAAACAAAACTTTATAATAAATTAAATTCATAAAACTGAAAGACATGACTGTAAAGCCATCCGGGCCGAGTGTGTCAGTCCATAAAATAACAGGCCATTAAGCGAGCCGCCTAACAGACGTCTGATCACACCTTTCGGGAATCGCCTTCAACGACGCATCGTAAAAGCCGGTGTCGGAGGCTTAATAAAAGCTAAATGGAAGCCGAAAAGAGCCGAGATTTATCCCGCTCGACAAATGAGGTTCGCTTTGACAGAAATCCGAAGCCGTCCAGCTGCAATCGAAATTTGAGGGTTCGAGGACAGGCTGAATGAACTTGACGAACAAATCAGCTTAGCGACAGCTACGACAACTAACATCAGACGGTACGGTATACGCTAAGTATAGGCTTAGAACCCATTTCTGACACAAACTATTCGAATAAAATGAACGTGTTCCTCTGTAGATTAATATCAGTTATCTTTACCTCTCCCTATTAGACTAAACTCCCCTCTATAAGTATTTGTTAAAAACTCATATCCACCCCCTTTAATTAAGAAAGCAGTGAAAATTTGCATATAATACCACCAAGAGCGGGTATCCCAACAAAAACTAGCCATTAATTTAGAATTAGACCCGCGCTTCTAATAACCGACACTTATTACCATTTTAAGGCCGTTTAGCCCTAACGACAGCTTTGAAATTAGGATGACCGATTCGACCATTAGCCGTTACCCAATAAACCTGGCATAAGCGGCCCGTCCCTTTCAAGCAGCGCAAACAATAACGCCTTTTCTTAATGGATTGCGCGAGGACACCGTTGTCATAAGTGCCGTCAAAGTCAGATTTCTCGACTCCGGAACAAAAGGAAACCGACCTCCCCTGGAGTCCTCTGACCCTCGACCTACTACCTTCGCCACATTGTTCGGATTACATTAGGGTACCCCACCTAGCGCCTTCGGTTCCTCACTTTATTGCGTTGACAAAGGTGGGAATGTTCAAGTATCCTACACCTAGGATCATGTAAAGTCGACCATGCTCCTTGTCAGTTTGTATTAAGATAATTAATGTAATCTCAAGCTTTGTTGAGCTTACTCTTTATTGATAAACAAGTTAACAAAACTTGAACCAATTCATTTTTGAGAAAACGTTTGTCATCATATTTAATGACATTTAAAAAGCGTTTTGACTTAATAAAATTAAAATTTTTTACCTTATCAACAATTTATTATAAATTAAGCATATCACAATACATTACTCCTTGACCACCTTCGTATGTTGTCTTTTACTGTCCCAAGCATCAAAAAACAATGCCAAGAACACAACACCAGCTCCAACAGCGTCTTTGGTTGTGTACGGATGTTGGAAGATAATAATCGAGGCTACGACGGTAAACAACTTCCGAAGGTTGGTCACAATGGAGCAGGTTAAAGGCCCGTATTCGGTTACAGTGTGGAAGATACAGCACTGCAACAGCCAATTTTGTTTAATAAACAAGATATCGCTTATTTTTTATGTTATTTTAAAAAAATAGTAAAAATGCCTTACCTGACCCAAGGCTCCACATACAGCAAACGCGGTCACCAGGAACAGCACGTCAGGATATGATTGGATGAAAGAAATAAATTCCAAAATCTCGCCAGTTACAATTGCACTAGACCCGAGGATGACAGAAGAGATCAAGTTCATGTAGAACATCATATTCCACTTCTCCGTATGATAAGAATGTCTGATTCTGTCTTGAACAGCACCCGTAACTCCGTCCATGACCAGTGATAATCCCTAAAAGTACAGATTAATGTTGAAAATCATTAAATTAACATTTAAACTATTGTAGTTTATGTACAAACCATATAACGTACTTTTCCAAACTAAAATGAAAAAATCGTTTATTAACTAAATTCATCAAAAGCGTTCAAAATCTTACCAATAAACCTTCACCCCAGCCAAAAGAATAACCTTTGGTATGGGTTCCAGGTTTCTCTTTGTACAAGAATATTGCCATGCCCAATACGATCATCAAAATGTACATGTACTTTCTCCAGTGATATGATTTGTGAGCGAAAAGTACGCCAGCAACAAGAATTGGGATTGGCTTGCACGACTTGCCAAGAACCTAAAATATAGCTAATTTAATCATTTTTTTATCTTTGTTTGATAAAGTGAGAAAAGATTTTTTTTCAAATTTGATACCTAAAACAGTAACTTTTCCTTGATTTTCACAAGCTTTTGCATTTTAAATCTCTCACCTGAGTTGGATAGTTAATATACTCCAAAGCCACGTTACTAAACAACATAGCTAACGAATAACTAATAGAACAAAAGCAGTACATCCGTAATGGCACATTATCCACATTTCTAACGCTAGATTTCTTGGCGTAAGCCACCAAACTATTCAATAAACATTGCACTAGGACCAGACTTTGCATATAAGTAAACTGTGTTTTCTCCTCGCCATACTTTCCTTTCGTTCTAAAAGGCAAACAATAGAAAGATGAAGGTCCAACTTACATTTTCTCTTGGAGATAACTGAAAACAGAGTAAAACAACACGATTCCGCCGCCCCAGAACAAAAGTCCCCACGCCAGCGAGCTCCATGACTTCTGGGAGACGCGGTTTAACGTGCTCATGGTTCTCGATCAGACGAACACGTCGAATGCCAGACGTTTCAATCGAGACTCTCGAATATTTGTCGTATAATAATTAGGGCGCAGTGCGAGCGAGTTTGTTTAGCTGCAGTCTGCAAAGAGTTCTCGCCTTTCGCGTCCTATATAGTCTGACCAAAAAATGTCCAATAAAATCTGTCAAAACGAGGGCGAACTGATGAAAGGGAAACATTATCTATCTTTTCCTTGTGAGTGACCATTTCTTTTTGTTTCAGGGCTTCAAATAGACCGAATGAAAACAAAATTGAAGCTCATGAACTTGTGATGAACAACGGGATCAGTCGTACCGATCCATCCGACGACTACCAACTCTTGCAACGCGTTGGACATGGCACCTACGGCGAGGTCTACAAGGCCAAGAAGATATTGTAAGTCTGAGATTGATTTATGAGCTATATTTATAGATATTGTTGTTTTCGAGGGTCTGTTTTTAGTGGATTATCGAACTAAAGTAATATTTTTTGGTTTTTGCGAATGTTTTTTGTCTTGTTTGTGAATAATTTATGGAGGAATGTGTAACAGCGGATTAGTATGCAAGGATTTTTTTGTTTTTGTGGTGTTATGCAAATATTATAGCCAAATTTGTAGGGATTGGACTTATACTGAAATTGAGAAACTGGTTTTTAAAATGAACTTACATAACTGAAAACATAATTTATAATAAAAACGATGTGAATGAAATTAATGAATGTTATATCTAAAATTATAAATATTTCTAAACTTACAGAGATGGAACCTTGGCAGCTATCAAGGTGGTTAAGATCGAAGCAGGTGACAACTTTTCGGTAATACAACAAGAAATTGTTGTTTTGAGAGAATGTGTTCATCCCAACATCATATCTTACTATGGGAGTTATCTTCGACGAGAACGCCTATGGATAGTAATGGAGTATTGTACTGGAGGATCTCTACAGGATATTTATCATAGTAGGTTTTGATCGTATTTCTTGAATTTAGGTATTAATTTTTTGTAGTTTCTCAACTTGTTTTTATTTATACTTAACTTATGTTTGAAAGTATAACTTTACTGAAATTAATATATTGTTTCAGTGACGGGTCCTTTAACCGAACTACAAGTAGCCTTTGTTTGTCGTGAAACTTTGAAAGGTTTGGAATATCTACATGCCAAAGGAAAGGTGCACAGAGACATCAAAGGCGCCAATATATTGTTGTCACATTCCGGTGATATCAAACTGGCTGATTTTGGTGTAGCTGCTCAGATAACAGCGACAATTGGCAAGAGAAAGTCATTCATTGGTACTCCTTATTGGTAAGTCATCTCTCTTTTAGTGTTTATGTGTTTAGGATGGCACCAGAAGTTGCGAATGTAGAACAAGGTGGAGGTTATGGTGTGGAATGTGATGTTTGGGCAGTTGGGATAACATCGATTGAGCTGGTCGAACTACAGCCTCCTTTGTTTGATCTACATCCTATGCAAGTGTTAAGGATGCTAACCAAGTCTGGGTACAAGCCTCCAAAGCTAAAAGAAAAGAAGAAGTGGTAAGTAGATTGTGTAGAATCATATTTAATTTCAGTTTAATATTTGGTTATATTATTAATAATATGAAATGAACCTTAATCAGTTGTTTAGGTCTCCAATGTTTCACGATTTTGTAAAAGCTTGTTTGGTAAAGAATCCAAAGAAACGCCCTAGTCCTTCAAAACTGTTACAAGTAAGTCAATTTTTTTAACAGTAGAGTTTTGTGTTTTATCGTACGTGTTTTGCACAACAATTCAAAATATTTTTTTTATAATTTAGGTAACATTTATTTTGTTTTAGTCTCATCACTTTGTTTGTGGCTCTTTAAGCTCGAGACTAACTCGAGAGTTACTTGACCGCGTAAATAATCCAGGGACACAACATGTACAACAACAAAATCGACCTTTAAGGGATTCTATCAGTAAGTTTTTAAGGTATTTGGCAAAGTCTAACTTGGTGTTTATACTCTATAAGATTAATTTTTTGGCTATGTTTTTTAATTTTTAACAATATTTCATTTCAGATGAAGCAATCGAAGCTGAATTCGAGAAAAAAGACAAAAAACAGTTTTGCGAATACATTACCGAACTTTCTGATACGTAAGTTTTCAAAAATAATCTTATGTTTTAACTATTCTTTGAAGGTTTTTATTTTCAAATTTAGAGAATCAGATTCGATAGGTGGATATCAAGAAAGAGAAACCATACCTCTGGAAGAGAAGTTGGATCGCTCAGGGTTAATATCATGTCCTTTGGCTCATGTAGAGTCTTCTACCGACGAAGAACAGGACGATTCACCCTGTACATCTTCATCTCAGGACCTCTCTGACATTCCTCCGCCAAGCTTTCCCGAACGCATTGTGAGTCGACCGGTAAAGAAGAACCATCTGGACCTGAAGTTGAGTAATGTGAGGATAAAAAGCGACCGGTCGGCTTCTCTAGAGCCGTATTCTCAGTTACTGAACAACTCCATGAACAAGTTCAAATGGAGGCCGGGACAAGATGGTCAGACTCCGTTGGCAGCCAGGCCAACTACTTGTTATGGACTGGTACCTACACCACAGGTCAGTATGGGAGCTTGTTTCTTCAACATATTTCACGATTGTACGCTGAATGTGAATTGTGTAGCGTCGTGGATTCATCCAGCTAATCATAGACAATATCTTTTGATTGGAGCTGAAGAAGGCATCTTCACGCTGAACTTAACTGAACTTCATGAAAATACACTGAATCAAGTAGGTTTTGTTAATTATCATATTTTTTAGGTAGTTGTACGTTGTCTTATTGATTTATCAATTAATTTTGGCTTTTGTTTTTTAAATATTAGATACACTGATTTTGTATGAACATGTTGTTGTTGATTTTAAACGTATTCTCTTTAGATACACGATCGAAGATGTGTTTGGATGCATGTCATAGATGACGTTTTGACTGCTCAGCAAGGAAAGACGTCGTATTTGTATCGACATGACGTGTTACAACTTCTGAGTCAGCAGTTGATTGTGCAGAAGGCTTCGAAAAAAGTGACGAAGCTACCTGAAAAACTGAAGCCGCGACTGTTTCAAGCTACGATACGACTGCCGGAGACGAAGTAAGGGTTTTAAAGATCATATAATTTTAATCGACGATTATCTTTTACATTGTGTTATAATTTACATTTTTGAACGGAAATTTTACCTAAAATTTTTCCAGGGATGTATATCAGTGTAATGTGGAGAAGAGTGTGATCAACGGTAACACTTACATGTGCTGTGCCGTTCCCAACAAGATCCAACTCTTCCAATGGTTTGAACCACGATCTTCTTTCATCTTCTTAAAGGCGGTTGAAGTCAGTAATCTACCTCGACCCAACATACGACCATTCCACCTTGTCTTTGGAGCAGGAGCATTAAGCGCTGACTATCCTCAAGTGTGTATAGGTGTCTTCAAAGAATCGGCTACATCTTCAGATGACTCAACGTTAAAAGCGGAGACTTCGTTGGATGATGTAGATCAATTCAGCTTTAAATTTGCTGATTTCAATGACAATGGCAGACTGGAAGACTTTGTATCTAAAGGATGGAATGCTGACTTTTATGAAACTCTGAGGCCTTTGGGCACAACCAAAACACTCACGTTGTCAGAGAGAAACAAGTGTGATGTTGTTGCCTTCAAACAACTTGATCGAGACACATACTTCTTGGCTATTGGCAATCAGGTACGTGCTTGTTTAAAGATTTTTAGTCTTCTTGTTGATAAGGTTTATTGTAACTTTACCTTGATTTTTGTTAAGTGATAAGGTTTTTTTTGAATAATAATATGTTTTAGTTTACTTTAAAATCTTTTTTTTAGATTTTCATCACAGATGTAGATGGGAAAGTGAAGAATACAGATCTGATGCAAACAAGATTCAAATTTGACTTTACATTGTCATATGCCATTCCCTTGGCTGATTCAGTACTCGCTTTTCACAAGTATGGCGTGGAAGGTCGGTCATTCTTTAATGGAGCCAAAACTCAAGATTTGAAAGATGAATCCAAGAGTTTCGAACTGATTGGAAACGACTCGTAAGTTTATTTTTTACGATAAAAGATATTATCTTATTTATGACGATAAACTTAAGCTTGAATTAAATTTACATTGTGATTTGCAAGAAGTAAGTATTTAGGTATCTTTTAATCAAACATTGAATTCTTGTGTTTTACTGAACTCTTTAATTTGCAGAATGCTGGTACTGAAGAGTACGCCCCTCGAAAAACGACCTCAACCCCAAACTCCGACCGTGAACACGGCCAAATCATTTATCTCGTTGCCTGCTATTGTATCTACCATAACCTCGAGCTCTGCTACCGCTGCCGACAAGCCTCTGGTGGACCCGTTCGACCTCTGTATATTAACTGGACACGTCTCCACTCTCGCCGTACCTTAAACGTATTACTTAGTTGTACATATTAATCAGGGCTTTCCGTTTATTTCGTCCAATTTCGTACTATTTACCGCTTTTCATACTGACTAATACTCTTGTGTTACTATGTACAATTTAATAAAGTATTTAACGACTAAATGACCAAGTTGTAATCACATTATCTTCAGCACGACATCCTAATATAGTTACTTTTTTCGGTTTTTGCAAGGAAATGGGGTCTTTTGGGTTAAAAAACAGGTCAAGTTAAACTATAAAAGGAGGTTTTGGACTGTTTTGGACAAAAAGTGTACTGAATGGGAGTATCAGTAATATTCTCGGGATTTTCTAGTTACATTTTTAAAAAAATGTTAAATGATTTTTGAAAAATGGAATTGATATTGTGCGGCAAAATAATATGTATTTACTGCAGCTTTCTGTAAAACTGAAATATCTTGCTTGATAGGTTATAAAATAGTGTAAAACTATTCTAAAGCCCTTCCAAGTTCCTTTGCCCTACATTGTCTTTGCGGTTTATGGGTTCAGTGTAAAGAAACAGGTGGAGCCGTTTCCAGTGAGAGTCTGGCAGCGGCCTCCCCTCCCCTAACTCACTTTACAGATCTCTCGAGGGATGTTACACTGTATTATGGCTTGTGAGTGTAATAAACGAAGGGCCTTCCTCAAATTCAATCATTGTCGATGGAAGTTGTTCCCCTCTCCGAAGGGCCGCTTTCGGCCGCCCTTTCTTCGTGGCCAGATTTTTGTTGGCTCATTTTAATTAGGTGCCGATTCAGAATCTAGTTTCTGTGTTGTCCACACTCCTCAGGGACTTGAACACTTGTGTTTTTATATCATATTCCGTGCGTGATGACCTCCCAAGTAATTATGGATGTATATCGTGCATAAGACTCATTTCCTCGATTCTATGAATTTTTTCTGTCTAGAGTAGGCTTATTTTGGCGATTTTTTTGGCTTTTCAGGGAAAAAAGAGACATATTCATAGTGAGGATGAAGAGCCACTTTTTGGGTAGTAAAGGGTGGTAGTTAAGTTGCAATTTTATTACAGTATTTACTTTAAAAACTTTTAGGAAAAGCATAAAGTTTTTTGGTGGTAATGATAAAATGACAAATTTTTTTGTTTTTAAATTTACTTTTAATAATTAAAAATATTTGTTTTAATTATATACTTTTAAAAAACGAATATTTTTTGAAAGTTTTATACCTATGTTGACAAGATAACCTTTTTCTATTAGGGGTTGAACTGACAAAAAATTTTGTAATTAACGTATTATAAACGTAGCGTATATCTTTATGAATACATAATGGAAATAGGCTCAAAGGCGGCTCTCTTGATATGTTATTTTGATTTTATGCTGTTTGGTGATACGAAAATATTGTACCTGCATAAGTTTAACTGGTTGTGAAAGTCTTGGTTTATTTCTCAAAATGTATTATTAGGTTGTTCACATAATTCTGTGCCCAATAACCCCAAACATTTGTTATAAGAAAGGGCACAGAATGAGTTGAACAAGCTAATAGATCAATTGTTCTGTACACTTTTTAGTGTTCTTGCCATTACTTTTTGACCTAAACCTTATGTTCTACTTCATAAGATATACTCCCTACTGACTCTTTGACCAAGGCAGTGTAAATTAGTCGTATAAATGACTCAATTGCTCTTCTAATCCCTCAAAGACAACAGATATTGATGACGCACCAGACGGCCTTGTTTTATGGCCTTTGATCCGTCTCTTACCTGGTTTAAAACCGGCCTTAAACTGAACCAAGTTGGGTCGGGGGCGGAGTCTGGGCTTGGCCAAGTCGAGAAGAGTCCTGTTCGATCCCTAAATCCCCAAGTGACGGCATCTACTGTCCAGAAGGTTGTCTGGGCAACGGCTTGGCCTGTTTTCTTTAATTTCCCTCTGACTTTTGAGCAAACTATTGCGGCTACAATACTGTCATACTGAGCAGTATTTACTGTGGTATTCGATTTTATTGGATCTACAGATAAGGGTGATACCTAGCGTTATGATTACTGTATATTCAGGCTACTTTGGTATTGTACCAATTCTACCATACCTATTATAGTATTTACAATTTTCTGCGAAGACTACTACAAACATATTACTGTAATACCTACCACAACATCGATGAGCTCAGTTCCATACGGATTCACTTACGCTGATCTTTCGAATCCGGGCCGTAAGTGAACCTTCGGGACTCGGCTAGCGAGTTGGCGCTGACTTATGATGGTAAGTTTAAATCCATGGTAATGTTTTAATGTGTTATTTTTGTGAATATATGTTTAAAGTAGAGTACCAGTAGATATTCGTCTTACCAGCTGTGACGTTTTGTTGTTTTAATTGCAGAAAAGAGGATATAACTAGCAATTAGTGTATAAAGTGGTTTTTTAACCATTTATTTTGTCTTATAAAAGAGCTAGTAGGTCATTCTTTAACATATACTTAACTCTAAAGTTCGGTAACTTGTATTATAAAATCAAAACAACTAGAGTTTTCAAGACATTACTATAACTTTTATTGATATTACACCTTTTCCTCTCAACAACTCGACCTTGTTCATGTTTTGACTGCTACAACACAGTCATTGTGGTAGCAACAAGAACATAAATCACTTATCATGAATAACATATTGCGCAAGGTTTAAAAGGTCCTTCCGATTCCGCGACTAAAATCATTTTGTTTTGAATGAAGTCGCTTGTGTTTGCTCTCCTTCTCTTGAATCTCTTCACGGAGGCTGAAAGTAGGTGTCGGTTATCAGTCACATTACTTTACAGATTTGTCGGCCTCGGTCGATATCCATAAGGCTGGTGACAAAGAGCCTGGAGAGAAGATCGGGACTCTCGAACTGACTCAAGATGGCGACAAGTTGAAGGTAACAGCGCTTGTTTACTGAATTTTGATTGATTTTGTTGTTCTTTGGTTCTTTTTACAGGAAATTTTTGTTTTTTAAAGTTGATTTTAAACTGATTTTTGGAAATTTTTTTACTAACTTTTAATTTTAACTGATTTGGAATGATCATATCAGACGTTTTTTAAAAACTTAAAAGTCGGTAACATTTAAATATACTTTTAGATCACTGGAAAGCTGACTGGATTACCTCAAGGCAAACATGGCTTCCACGTGCATGAGAAGTCGGACCTTACTAACAAGTGCTTGAACACTGGAGGCCATTTCAATCCCTTCAAAAAGAACCATGGAGCTCCAACTGACACTGAGCGACATGTCGGTGACTTTGGCAATCTTGATGTTGGAGTAGGTTTAATCTTACGAGTTAAAACATTATTTTTATTTTTCTTAAACTTGTTGGATTGTTTCGGTTATTTTTATTATTATTATTAATTGCACTATATTCCACTATGTAGTCGTTAAAACGTTTTGAATCACACCGTAAAAAACCTTTGAAAGCTTTGAAATTAGTTGCAAAGTACATTAAACGTCACAATCATCGGATTATGAATAATATAGCATCAAGGTCAAGTTCAAATTTAATGTACTGTTTTTTAAATTGCAAATTTTTAGTTTTTTTATTGCGTTTTACGAAATTTTTAGTTTAATTTTTGATATTTTAAAAATAACGTCAACTTTTCGGGTTTTACAAAAAATTTGTACACATTTTTCAAATTTTATTGACCTTTTACACAATTTTTTAATAATTTAGGTAGATTTTACTTTATTTTTAACTCCTAGAGAACCGTACCAGATGTAAATCGACTTTCCACTTGGGGCGCTTCCTTAGTTAAAAGTAATTTTAAAGTTCAAAAAGCAAATTCTTATCAATAATTTTACTTCACCGACCAATAATGTCAATTTAAGGCCGATGGCACAGTAACCCTCAACTTCGAAGACCACTTGGCTAGCCTTCAGGGCGAGACTAACGTTCTCAACCATGCCGTAGTCATCCACGAGAAGGCTGACGACCTCGGCAAAGGTGGAGATGAAGGCAGTTTGAAGACTGGAAACGCTGGAGCTCGAATTGCCTGCGGCCTTATCGGTAGAAAATGAAATTTCCGAAACCGCTTGCTTCTCTTTCTGTCGCTCTTTCCCTGCACTTTTGCATTTGAAACTTTGAAACGTTTTTAGCTTCTGGAACTGGAAGTGTTATCGTATCCCTCGGACTGATTGGCCTCTTCTTAACAATGTACAAACTCTGATCAGTGATCAAATTATATTTTTAGCTTTGAAACCATAATCGACCTGATTTTAAGTTGGATTTGCATGATTCGAGTAGTGTTTTTTGTAAATTGACTTTATTTTAGATAAATATACAGCTTTTGGCGTTAAGAATTATTTTAAAAATCTAAACTACTTACTTTTCGATAGTTCAGTAAACCCTTCGATCAACTCTCTCACATATTGTGAATGGGAGAGCGACGAAGAGAAAGGGAAGAAAGCGTCCTTTTAGTGCAGTGGGTAACGGGTTCGCTTTTCGTGAAAAAGACGTGGGTTCGAGCCCTGGCGAGGCAGAGTCGCTGTTTGTGCTTTGTGCATCTCACAGTGCTAAGTGTTCATCGCAAAAGTAAATCCTTTCATACACTCCTGGCACTTTCCAATTCAGGCGTGTTGGGCTGCAAGGCATTGGTACAATTTGTCTTTTTTGGTAAAAAAAGTACTGTAATATTGAGTTTTACGTCTTTAAACAAGGTTTTAGGCTAATGTTTTTAATTTTAACATATATTACCTCCAAATATATTTATAATTTACTTTAATATATGTCTTAATAGTGTAAATGTGCTGTTATTACGATTAATTAGTTATGAGAGAATCCCGAGATCGCGGAGTTGCTGTCGCTCTCGTTCCAGTCGCTTCCTATTGTTCTCCAGAGTGTTATATTGTGTTGTTGTCAGACCGTACTCGTCCGTTTCTTCGCTGCTTACTACAAGCACATCTGAATCCTTGTGACAGTCGGAGAGTTTGCTCTGCATCTCTTGGTAGATTATGTTCATGTTCTCATTGTTCTGAAAGTTATGTCTTATAGTTGTACAAAGCGAAAAAGTATCCTTGGTATAAGAGTACAATATAATTGGTCATAAAGGCTTTTCTCTAAACTTTTTGACCAAATTATACTATTTCTCTCAACTTTTTGACCGAGTTACCATCAAAATAATGTTTACCGAGTTATCGGGGCTCTTGTTCATCATCCTCAGGCTTCTGTTGCTCATTTTGGGCGTCGGAATCTTGGTGGCGTGTCTGCGGGTTTCTTCGTCGGAGCCGCTTCGTCCGCTGTCTGAAGCCTGCGAGTTTCTGTTCGATCGTCCGGAAATAGGTGAAGCCGGTGGAGAGCTGGTCGGAGGTGGAGGAGAAAGTTCAGGAGCTTCCACTTTTTCTTCACTTTTCTCTGGATCCGCTTTGGCTTCTGTATCATTGTCACCGTGTTCGTCAGGGTGTGAAGTTGGCGGTTGATGTAGTTCAGTAGCTGATTTTGATTCCGTTTTCAATTCTGGAGTCTTTAAATCATATTTTTTGCATTCTTCTTCTGTTACGGCGTCCTTCTTCAAGACTTCATTGTTATTCTGTTTCTCATCAGAATCCACACTGTCTACTGATTCCATCTTAATATCTTCTGGCATCGTGACCTCTCCTGTAGAATCATGTTCAACTTCAGCCTCTACAGAAATCTCGGTCTGATTCAATCTCAGTGCTTCTACACTAACATTGAACGGTGCGAGAAGCTCCAGAAGTGCGGTAACTTTCTCCAACGGTAGCTGCTTCAGGTCCAAGGCTACACGAAGAAGCGTGTCTCCAGGAATGAACTGGGATTCACTTTTTTCTACAGATTCCACCTTGAAGTTGTTGTCTGAAGCCTTGGAGATGGTGATTCCGAGTTCGTAGAGCTTCGAGAATCCGTTTTGGCCTGTAGCTTCTTTGTAGACGGAATGACCAGTGAGCTCGATCGACTTCTGGGTCATCGATGGGTTGCTCGACATTGAGTGGGGTCGTTCTTTCTAAAGTTTGCATATAAAATTGTGGACATACTGACGTAAAGTTAAAATACATAATATTACATCAGACATTATATTAAAGAAGTAAAAGTGCGAAAAGATATAAAAAAGACATAAATGACATAAAAGTGGATATTACCTTGCAAGATTCTTTGTCTCCATCATCTTCCATTTCTATCGGCGTTTTTCTGTTGATGTAAAACAACTTTCCATCTGGAAAAAATACAGTAAACTACAGTAAAATATATTAACAAGACATGAAATCTTAAAATTTCATAAAAATTGGTCAAAAAATGGTTTTTGGTGACAAAAGTGAATAAAATTTACAAAAAAAAATCATTTTTCTCTCTCTTACACACCTCTTTTCTTTTGGCCATACTTACAATATGACCATAAATAGCAATAAAACAGATAAAATTACCAATATCACATCAAACTAGTCAAATGACCTCATCACCACCACTTACCGTTGCCATTCTTCCTCAAGTAAAAGAACCAAAACGCGACGATGAAGCCCACCACCAGTAGCAGGGTACCAGTTATGGCCGCGAAGATGAGCAACGCGAGATGGCCGCTCTGAAGACATGTGCTGCTCATGTTTGGGTTATTGCATACCTGAAAGACACCGGGATGAAATGACTTGGAAGGAGGCGCGTCAAGGTCGATTGATCAGATAACGGGCACCACGCCGAAACGGGATTTATGTAACCACAGGGCAAGGGGGGGTGATTAGAGATTCATATTATAGAATTATGAAGGCTTCTGAAGACGAAAACCAGACTCGCGCCTCGCTTCACACAGTTAATGGGGATAATTCCGATCCGAAAACATTCGATTGCGCGCGGCTTCAGCGCCATAGCTCCAACTAACGGTGGTGTTCATTTGAGGGCTCGACTTCAAGGTCTTAAGAGCGCGGAACATTCGACCTGCAGCGTTCCGTTTATGCAAACGCTCCTTTATTAACTGATTTGCTTGATTCGTAGGTCAGAAAGTTTGTGGAAGTTATATTTTGGAAAGTTTAAGGTAGCGGGGGTCGAAAGAGGGAACAATATAGTTACGAGTAGTGTTTATGTGACCAAAGAAGTAGCTTTAGGCCTATTAACATGCAGTTGGTTATGTTTTAGAAGCGTAGGTGTTTGAGGTGGCTTTTGGGCTGTACTAAAACTAGATACAGGTCTGACTAGCATTAAACTGTTCTTGGCGGCTGGGCTGTTAAAAGCTAGCCTAAGGTAACAAAACTTTGATTTTGTCCATTTACTTCTTGACCACAACCTTTTTCCATGAACTTTTAGACCAAACCTCCCCCCCCTATAATTAAACCCTTTATACAAAAAAACTTATTAGTTGAAACGTTTATTCATTAATCGCGATTATTCAGAGCGATTGGAGAGCAAGTATAATATGAGTTTGATGGATTCGAACCGGTTCCAAATCGCTTTCACCGCCTGCCTCCAGGGCTTCGATCCGCTCTTGTACGGATAACATGGCCGCTTTCGAGATCACCGAGCTTAATTCCGCGCCGCTCATCGTTTCAGGGCATAAGCGAGCCTGCAACAATATTGTTTTAGGTTTGTAAACAGACTGTAATTGGGAGATTGGAGGGCCGGACGCGAGGGGGGGGACGGGGGGGGAGAATTTTTTGAAAAAAGTTGAGCGTGGTCCCGCCTGTGGATTTACGGGAAAAAAAATTTCGCAAAAAATCGGCGCAGGTGTTACCTGTGCCGATTTTTTTGGACCCCTGCCCCCAGACCAAAAGTCCCTGCCCGGCCCTGGGGGTTTGTATTGTTAATACTGTGAGTGTAGGTATTGCTGTTTACTTTGATTTTTTGACGTTATAGTGACTTAAAATTACCGTTTTTAAAGTTATATTACACTAAAGATACGATAAAACTATAACTTACAACATCCTCCACCGTCAACTCCTGATGCAGCTTCACCTTCTTGCAAATCGGATTCAGAATCCTAACCTTGCTCTCAAAGTCTGTTGCCAGCTTCACTTCAATCAGTTTGTCAAACCTGCCTGGCGACAAGAGACAAGGGTCGAGAAGGTCTGGTCGATTTGTAGCCCCCATTACAAAAACAGGGGAATCCTTGACAGTTTGTAGACCGTCTAACTCTGACAGTAGCTGAGACACCATCCTGTCCATCACACCTCCAGAATCCCCGGCTACACCACGGCTTGGGGCTAGGGAATCGAGTTCGTCGAAGAAAACGATGGAGGGAGCGGCTGATTTGGCACGTTCAAATACTGAAAATGGGTAGTCAGGCATGAAATAGTGGCTTCTACTATTATATAAACATTTACAGATACCATGTTACTCAAATTTTGATAAAAGTGTTATAGAAAATTATAATATAACATGCAGTTTATCGCTGATTACAATAAATAAAAGTCATATAGATCAAAGTTTTAGTATCTTACCTTGTCGCAAGTTCTTCTCGGACTGCCCAATGTACTGGTTTAGAAGTTCAGGGCCTTTTACACTCAAAAATGTCATTTTAAACTCATTGGCAACAGCTGAAATCATTAAAATTAAATTTTTAAACTAAACAAACAATATACCAAATAAGTGATAAGAAAAAATCTTTTTAAATATCCCAAAAAAAATTTTTTAAATCTTTCTTTAGTCCCATATTACTACCAAAAACCCATCCTTACCCTTAGCAATCAAAGTCTTTCCACAGCCAGGTGGGCCATACAGTACCACTCCACTTCTCCTCAAATTACTCTTTTTGTGGTCCAAATTGACCTTCAAGCTTTCGGATATTAACTGTTTTACATCTTCCAGACCTCCGACGTCGTCCCAACTAACGTTTGGTACCTTTGGTACTCCGACAGCTTCTCCAAACGCTTTGTTTCGAAGCTCTAGCGCCCAGTTTAAGTCTTCTTGGTTAATGTTTGACCTGAAAATGAAAAAATCACCATATTTTAAGGCTACTTTAAACCCAATCACAACATATTCTTGAGAGCAATATCTACCCTAAGTTTTAAAAAAGCTTATTGAAACATTAACTTACCGATTTTCTTTTAAAGCACTTAAATTGGCTTCTTCTACCAGTTGATTCAACTCGGTTAATGTCATGCCCTAAAAGTATTACAATATTTCAAATATAAGAGTTACGTAATGTAAAATTGAGCTATTACATTATATGATTGCCAGTATAAGCATCACGACAAAGTAAAACCTACTCGTACAGATTCCAGAATCTTTTCTCTGTCAAACTCAGCGTTTTGTTGTACTAGATACTCAGTAAACTCTTGCCTGTCATGAGATTTCAAGTCATTGACAACAAATTTGAAATGAATTAGTTTGGTAAACGACTTTGGCAAAGATTCCAAATCAGTAGATGTGCACGGTATAAAGACTACAGCGTTGGCTACAAGATTCTGAAGTGTTTGCGTCAAGACTTCCAAGATTCTGTTCCCTGTAAATTACAGTAGTAAAATGTAAAAAATTAAGTGTTATAGTCGTATGTAGAGTACTAGATGTATTATTGTGTACGTAAGCCTAGTTACAGTATGACCTACCAGAATCCAAATCGACATTTTTGTTTCCAGCCAAAATATGCATATTCTGAAGTCGTACTACACATGGTTCGAGCTGTTTAACTATAATAACAACATTATATTCATTTATATTATATAGTTAGTATATAATGACATTTACAATATAAAACCATATAACCCCTTAGTTACCGTACCTTTTTCGAACCACCCATTGACTACAGTATCCGTCGGCTTGCCTTCTGTATTCCAGAGATCGTAACAGTTGAATGTAGCCAAATTTACTCCCAAAACATTGGCTGCCATCTTGAGTACCACATCTTGGCTGCAGTTATCATTACTAACCAAGGTGTTTACAGTAACCCTTGCTGCCTTTTCCTTTAAAAATACAATCTCAAAGATTGACACAAGCTCAGTTACTGTAGTTTTAATAGAAGTCGGAGTAAAAGAGGTATCAATGTTGTTGTTCAAAGGTCTTCGTGCTGATGCTGTAGCGCTTTGTAGTAAACGCGTAGTTGAGTTGACAAAGAAGTACTCTTTTTGATGCAATACCTACAAATGTTAAAGTAATTGACAATCTTAAAAATTCGTTTTTATCAAAAGGAGCTTTGTCCTATACCTACAATCACATCAAAGCATACTCTATAGTATATTGTATTTACTTTACACAGTACTTACCTTGTAGTACACTGTAACCATTTTGTTGCCAAAACTAACATTAACGCCAATAAGATCACTATTGTACAGTAGCCTACTCCCACCAAAGTAAGATACCAAGCCGTAGTCTAATATACTGTTGTCAATGTTAGGCATCAACTGCTTGACTGGACTAAGATGAACTTGTTCTAGCACTTTAATGTCATTTGTATCCGCTCGTATGTTCTGAAAGAGTAGTATTATATTAACATAACAAAAAATCATATTATAGTAGCTTTAAAGAATTCTAAACTTTAAAACTTTGACAATAAAAATAAAAACTTACAGTAACCCTAATGTCTAAAGTCTGATTTGTTTTAAAGATGTTAAACTGTACAGTTGAAGTAATGTAAAAGGTGGTTTGTCTACATTTCACCGGATATAAACGTAGAGATCGTGTAGTAGACGTATGTTGAGATTGGAAGTTTACTGTATATACATCATGTAGATAAAGTCTACATAACATGTAGATTCTGTAGTCAACAAACAGAGTGCTAAAAATAAGTAAAACCATACTTAATGTAACGCTATAATTGGAATTTTGTGTTTTAAAAATATTCCAAAAATATGTTATCCACCCCCAATAGCTTCTCAAGTTTACCCCACCTTTTTAAAATGGTTCAATATACAATCCAAAGCTATGTCTTACCCATGAGCGTCAAAACTCCCGTTCTTCAACTGATTTTCGTTAATAACCTCCACTTTACCATCACATTGAGATCGTACATAGTTTTCTACAAAATATTTTAAAAAGTACATCTTATCATACAGACAATAGACCTTTCCTGGTTGATTTAATTCAGTAAAACTTCATAAAACATTAAAGAAAATCAACAAAAAAAGAATACAGAGTTTGTAGTTTGTGTAACAGCGCTAAGACAACAATACATATACATTTTCCATATATGTTATGATGTGTTACAAAGCCAAGACTCATTTACCCTTACAATACTAACAAAAGTAAATTTTTAAATTTAGCATAAGTTACAGTATACACTTAAGCCGAAAGCAATGTAAATATCATAATGCCTCCTACTATAACACGGTAAAAAGATATAATTACAGTAAATAACTTGATCATTGCAGTAAGCACATTGTAAAGCAATAACTGTATAACAGCAACATGTAAATTAGTAATGGCGGTAAAATATGAAAGGTATTTTATTTGCCCAAGGGTCTGTCGCTGATAAGACCCAAAGTGTTTTAAATTTCTTTTTATTTGAATATACGAAATGACGACAGAAGATACCAACCGCAATTACCAAAGTTTCGACTTTCTGAATGTGCTGGGCCAGATCTTCTTGGCCGTATTTGTTGGAAGCACAGGTAACATATGATTTTACCCATACCATTTAAAGTAACATGCCATTCTAGTTTACCATGTAACATAATTTCACTTTGAAATAATTTTCGGCTTTATTTTAAATTCTTTAGTTATATTATCTAACTCAGTAATCTTAGCATACTTTAGCGTTCGTTTTTGGCAGTACAAGTGCAGACATCGAGTACGGAAACAGTACTACAACAGTGCACGTCTCAGATGTCAATCCAATTGCGGTTGATTTTTATGCCATTTTGACAAGTATTATTATTGCCGTCATTCAAGGAGAAAGTAAGTCTTATTACAATCCCAGTAATACATTTGGTTGTCTAGCTAAACCCTAGCCTAAAATGTTCCAGAGCGTAAGCCTAACTTTTGAACACTGTCTAAAATACTTAAACGTATATAAAACAAGAAATTAAAGTATTCTACAGGTCTGACAGCCTTCCGAGTGTTCCGCCATGACACAAAACTCGTCCCTACTTTATATCGACTGCCACTTAACATAGCCTCCTCCATCTTTGCCATATTACACTTGATCGCTTTAATCAATCACCCCACCACAGAGAATGTGAATGCTTTCACCAACTTCTACTCCTGGATATCCATCATTATAGCCGTTGGCTATGCCATTCAAGTAAGACAACACTTTACGATAAAAAGCTATTCAATATACATTACAATATTCCATTATAGGAAAGAGAGATTTTGCGCCTACTGCGTATCATCATGATATAACAGTAAAACGTTTAAAAATCTCATGTTTGATTATAAATACCTCATTTTAGACTCTGTTCACATTATTTTCCGTGTTTTTCCCGCGGAATTCAAAACATTTGAAAGAAGGCTTCCACCCCGCCCACAAAGTCTACAGTAACTCGCTGTTCGCACTTACAGTACTACAGATATTCATTGGAATGGCGTTTTATAGTCAAGCACTAGGCGAGTAAGTACAATATCATACATAAGATCATGAAGTGTATTATAGTACAATAAATTATATAATAATATATTACACATTGTTAGTGTACTACAGTAAATAAGTGTCAGATACACTGAATAAGAAAACTCATCATTTAACAAAAAAACAAATAACAATTGCAGGTGCTACGCAAACTTCACATGCGAAAACGATGTAGACGTACTTCTGAATGTATCAATGATATGTCTTTTGGGATACGGTCTCATCACATCTACAGTATCCATCAACAGCCACTGGCGAGTGAGTAACAACGATGACTAACAGTATTAAGCAATGTCATAACATGTCATCGGCATCCACATCGATTGACTCTCATGTTCTGGTACTTCTTCATCACAATATTGTTCTGGTTGTTCATGAATAAAATACTTTGTTCCCTCATCTCTGTGGCTGCACATTCCGCTGGCTGGGTACTGTAATACCAAAGTCATTCCAAAATATTTAAATTTCTCGGAATGGGACACAATATCCTTTTGAAAGTGAAAATATAAAGGTTTACAAGACAAAAATACTTGCCTTTTATCGTCTATCAAGTGCAGCAAACTCTGAACTACAGCATGATTAGATGGAAACACATCAGCGTCAAGTGGAAAACTACATTCTCCTTCACAGTAATCTGCCTGATAACCTGATGGAGCGATCACCCAGCTCTAAAACAATATTTTAATTATAAACTCCTACCAAACAAATTTCATCTTTCATTCTATTAAACATTTAAAAGTACAATGTAAAAAACTTACATCCCATCCGAGATCTTTAAAGTCAACGTAAAGTGACTTCAGAAGACATTTGCTGCGCGAGTTGCCCATAGGTAATGTTAATGATAGAAAACTAGATTCTGGTTTGTGAGAAAAGTCAGGCTGATTCTCTAAATCAATATTTCTCTTCTGACGTTTGGCCACAAAGCCGTCTGTAAAGAAGAATCCGACTCCGAAGAAGTGAATGCTCGACAAATCATCTTCCTTTATGTCGTCTGGAATGCCAATGGTTAAGATTAGGTGTCAATTCTGTGCTATATCATATAATAGTTTTAACTATTAATACTCGTTTTCTATTTCGTATCTGACAATAAACAGTCTAATAAAAGTACAACATCTTACGTCCATGAAGTTGCAATACTATCCTCTTGTCTACTTCGTGTTCCCCAAACCATTCAGTAAACAGATTAGTGCCATTAAAAGAAGCAAACATAACATTTTCATCAGAATCTTGCTTCAGCCTTCGAGTAGAACAATAGTGCTTTCTAAACAAACTATCATAAAGTCTACTGTATTTGTTCTATTCATTTCCAAAATGTTATTCCTAACAAGAAGTCGCTTTTATCAAAACATATTTCTATGTTATATAATAAGATATCTGCTCACCTTTTATGAGTATAATGTATGGTCACAAACTCAATGTCTTTCAATTCCTTTTCCAATACTATATAATATATACCAGCAAATATTTCCAGGTTTTTGTCCTTGTTCACTTCAAATGTTAGCTCTGTCACATTCAGGTCATCCTTCACTATTATATCAACTTCTAAAATTTTTTTGAGAACACATAGTTACGTAAAATTACAAAAAGTATCATAACGTTCCCTTAACACGCTACTCAAAATTTTGTCACTCCTCAATACAAAAGCCCTAAGGTATGTAACTTACCAGTAGGAACAAAGCTGATGATAGTATCTGATGCAAATATCTCTTCTTCAATGTTCCGCGAGTCAAACATAAAGTCTACATTTCTAAAAAACTGTAAAACTAGATAGAGTACTTGCTTCTTACTGTATCTCGTCTGTTACTCTGTAGAGCGACGCCATAAACTTTAAAACAATCTCATCTTTCGACCTGACATCATTTGACGGCCTTTCTAGCCCCAATAACAACAATATCTGGCTCTGAAACACCTGGGCTTGCTCTCTGAACAACTTCGTGTTACTGTTTGGTCAAATATACATTTACAATTGTAAACTGCTATTAAAAAAACCAATTTTTAAAAATTTGATAAAAAAACACGTATTGTTGCAAACCTAAATGCCAATGAATAACTTACAAATCAATAAGAAATGCCGTCGATTGTTTGGACAACTCGTAAACGTAGAATTCTTCACATTTGAACAAATAAATTAAAAGAAAAATAAAAAAGAAACGCATCGGAACGGCCAGAAACAACACAAAAGGCTTCGAACCAAACGATCCAGATGTTTTATTCGGATCTCCTTCGCCGTTCCGGTTTCACAGAAAACCACAAAATCCATAAAAAACTACAAAAATGTCAGGGTTCATACCTATTTAACAAAATGTCCTTTTTAACTGCAACAACGTTAAGTTTATTATTATAGTATGCTACTGTAATTCTCTTTGAAAAGTAAAAAAAAACAAATCTGACTTAAAATGATTAGACATTAACAAAATAGAATCCTTATATACAAAAATAACAAATGAGTTAACAATATTTCAACTACTACAACAAACTAGGAAAGCTTGACTATTCCTTCTTCGAATCAACATCTAAACTGACATGCAGCACTGCAGTCAAGTCCTCTTGAACAGGGTTGACCTTAGGGGTGAAGAGCTTCTTTACAATAACATCATAGCCGTCGCCTTTATGGACGTGCTTCTTCCTCCAATCCACATTTGTACTAGCTCCCTTCATATTGGGCCGAGTGTTAAGTACCGCAACAACTCTGTACCTGAAGTCGAATGGCGGTTGATTCTCGACTATTGAATGCAACACCTTGTACAACTTGACTCCTTCTTCACACTGCACTACCACTTCTTTAGAATCCATAGTGTGTGTCGTACTGAACGAGAGATGAACTGGCACCAATACCTAAAAAATAGTGATGACAATAAAAAATTTATGATGAATCAGTAAAATAATAAAGTAAATGTCTCAACTACTTACCGAGACGGGTTTCTTTACCTGCTTCACCTCAGGCTTCTTAGTTTCTGTTTCTTTGTCACCAAAGACACATTTCCCAAAATAATATTCCAAATCTTTCACCTCAGCTGAAGCCTTAGCTGATTCTGTTTCCTTGCCGCATTTCCCGAAATAGTATTCCAAATCCTTCACTTCAGCTGCAGCAGAAGCCTTCGCTGTTTCAGATTCCTTGCCACATTTCCCAAAATAATATTCCAAACCCTTATCTCCTTCTATTGTAGCCTTAGGCTTCTCTGCTTCTGTGTTTTTGCTAAGGTTCCCAAAATAATGTTCCAATTCCTTGTCGTCAAGAGTCTTTGTGGTTAAACATGTCTAAAACAATATCGTCAACGACAAAATTCCCTTTAAAAACTCAAAAATCAGTAAACCAGAATAATGTGTCTCCAAACTTACCGGAACAGTTTCCTTGGTCTCCTTCTCATCAGGCTTCTCAGTTTCGATTTCTTTATTACCAAAGACACTCTTCCCAAAGTAATGTTCCAATTCTTTAGAAAAACCTGTGGAATCAAACTTGCTACTCATTTTACAACACAAATTCAACAGATTTTTAGAAAAGCTGGTAAAATATGCATAATATTATATAAGCTTTTTTTAACAATTTTTTGTTCATTCCCACAAAAGAAGTCACCGTGACCATATTAAAACAACAAACTTCTCAAAATAAAACGAAATGTCACAAAATAGAGCGGGAAAACGACAAGTTATACGCCGGAAGGTGTTCTTTTTTCTTCTTTTCTAAAATATTTTGGGAATTTTACAAATAAATAGCAACTGTATGCTTATTTTTGGTATTTTTATGTTTATTTTTACATTTTAAAATTTTTTTAACGTTTACCATCTTTATCTTGTAATTTTAGATGGCAGGTACTTCGGCAGAAGACACAGAACTGAGATGGGACTTAGGGGATGCGGATGTGGATTCAATCTGGACGAGAAATAGGATTTACGTGAAACGGGGTGGAAGTTTGTTCACCTATAAACTTGCTGGTTCTGATTCCAAAAAGAATTTTAAAGCTCCAATCGGTGGAGTTATAAAGATCAACCACGACGTCCTCAAGAATGGTGGGAGTTTGAAGAATGGAGATCTGTTGGCCTGGATAGGAGGGGAATGTCCACACGAGATGGTTTTGCATGGTAGTTGCGTAACATGTCATCAGCTTATAGAAAGGTATGTTGTTTTTGTAATATTGGTAGTTGATATTGTCAATAGTTTGTTTTTTGTTTACACGATTAAGGCTATATGCTACTTGAACCTTATGATGAATATACAGTGTAAATTTAAAGCTTTATTTATGTTTAAACTGACTTTAATTTAAATTGGTTTTAGAAAACCGAACTCTGGAGAAGAATATGTGTCAATGGTTCACAATAAACCAGCATTGATGGTCACGAAAAGGGTAAGTTTAATTTCTTATATTGTTTTATGTTTAGAAAGCGCATCAAGAGGGTAGAGAATCTCAACTAAATCTTTTGGCTGTGAGAAAACTGGTTTTGATGGTGGATCTGGATCAAACTGTCATCCACACGACTAACAAGCCTCCGACAATTGAAGAACTGATGACTGTAAGTATAGAGCACTTTTTTCGATATTAAGTTAACATACTCTGTTAAGTTAATTTAGAGTTATGACGTTTTCACTGACGTAATAATGTGGGTAATGATTGTCAACATCAATTATTATGTAACGTTTGTATATTAAAATGTCATGTTTTAGAAAATCTACAGCTACACAATTCAAGGGTTTGGCTATCACACCAAGATTCGTCCTAATGCTATGCAGTTTCTGGAGGTTATGAAAGAGAAGTTTGAACTTCATGTTTGTACGTATGGCAAGAGAGAATATGCTGATCGAGTCGTTAGTCTACTTGACCCCAAGAAGATCTACTTCAACCAACGAGTCCTGACAAGAGATGAGTTGAGAAGTCAGCACGATAAGAGGTCTAACATGAGCTCGTTGTTCCCAGCTGGTGAGGAAATGGTGTTGATGGTAGACGACCGTTGCGATGTCTGGGGATGGTCTGATGCTCTAATCTGGGTAGGACTTTTTCTATGTTACATTTTTTAATTTTTGTTTATGACAATGTTATTTTTTATCCTACATTTCAGGTTCAACCCTACACTTACTTTGACAATATTGGTGATATCAACGATCCAAAATTGATAAAGAAGAAGCAAGAGATAGGGAACAAGATGGAGGATGAGGAGGAAACAGAAGCCGCTGAACAGATTCTGGAGAAGGAAGAAGCTGAAGCGGCGGAAGAATCCAGGATGCTTGATGATGAAGGAAAGGAAGAAGGCGAAGTTATTCCAGGAGAAGGTCAGGTTGTTTCGAATCCTGAGGTTGCTGAAGAGACAGAGAAAGTAGATGAGGTTGAAGAGAAGACAGAAGAAGGTATTGACATTCATACAGTCGAAGAAGAAAAGACAGAAGATCAACCTGGAACGAGTAAACAAGGCGATTCAGAAGCACCGACTTTAGCCAAAGCAGAAGTCAAACCTGAAGAAGTGAGACAGTCAGAGAAACCTGCATTCTTAGTTCCACACAAGCCCAGAGTGATTAAAGAAGACACTGTATTGCTCAGTATTGCAGATGTTTTGACTAAGATACACACCAGCTTTTACCGACATTACACTAAGCACGGAAAGGTATGGGATTGTCTTCTTCTAACAATTTGTGTACTTTAAGAAAAATTTTAACGTTAAAGGGGCAAAAATGTATAATAGTGATATTTCAGGTACCTCATGTAAGAGAAATTGCCAAATCCTTGAGGCTAGGAGTTCTGAAGGAGGAAACGATTACGTTCTCGGGTCTGCCAAAGTTTGGCGATCTCAGGAAACACCCTTTGATCAGCTGTGCGGAAGCTTTTGGAGCTAACGTTGAAGAAGAAGTTACAGATAAAACCACTGTGCTTGTAGCTCAAAAGATACGAACATCGTAAGTTCATTTTTTATCAAAAATTTTACAATTTATCATGATTTATATTACATTATTACTTGTTATTTCACTGCGTTTTCAGCAAGTACTTCGAGGCTACCAAACGCAATATACCTATTGTGAATCAAAAATGGGTGGAAGATTCAGCCGCGCATTGGAAGAACATGGACAAAAACAACTACACAGACCCTGACTCTTTAGTACCATCAGCACCATGCGGGTTACCACAAGACATATCAGACAAAGGCGACATAGCCACACTCGGCCGAAGTGACATAAAGAAGATGGCAGAAGAAGTGGATGACTTTCTGGATGAAGATTCTGAAGAGGACGAAGAAACAGAAGGCGAGTTGAAGCGGAAAACAGAAGACGAAGAAGCAGGAACCTCATCAAAGGTGCCCAGGCTAGAAGAACAAGAAGATGATGAAGACAAGGAAGATAACGAAGGAGCAGAAGACAACAACTCGGAACTGTTTGGAGAGGAATCTGGAGACTCCGAAGACGACATGGCAGCCGACCTCGAGAACCTACTCAACAACTAACGTTACATATTATCAATTTATTACGGGTAACAAGTGAGATTATGAAATTAATAGTATTATATCAAAGTAAATAGTATTTACCCTTGTTGTGTCGTTTACACGTAGCTGGGTGTCATTGTTGCACGAACCAAGTACTTCATTCTGACTTGATTGACGTTGTAGACGATATATTCGTTGTACAGTAGATGGTAATCTTGAGACTTGGACATGGTCTTGGCCTTTCCACAAGGGACCTTGACACCATCAGGTAATGTCACCATGCCTTCTGGGTTTGGTGCGGTTCCTCCCAAACCTATAAAATAAAAATGAACGTTTGGTAATAACTCTTATGTTTCAAATGGTAACTTCAGATTTAATCCAATATATGGAAACTTTAAAAGTAAATTTACCTTTAACACTGTGGTATCCAGACTTTGGCTTCTTAATTTCTGTATTCGCTTCTTTTTCTTCTTGAATCTTTCCTAGAGCAACTTCACAAAGTAGCAAGAATCCATCCACTTTTTGATTTGTACCACAATATTGAGCAGATTTCGAGATCATATCAGCAAAGTAGATACCTTTACCGAACATGTAGCCATTCTAAAACAATACAGACTAGCATTTTGATGCTGTGACAGCAATAGCTTGAATAAAGCATATGAACAACATAAAATACTACAGAAAGCCTTATAAGCATACCACAGGAGCTTCTGGAGGAGCGATTCTCAAGCCTTGACTCAAGATACCGGCAAAGTTCGTGACCCTGGAACCGTGCCATAGGAGTTGATGGTTCGAAATGTCAGTAGTGAAGTGTTCGTTCTCGTCGTGGCGATTGATTTTGAATACCTAAAATTGAAAGTTCATTAAAAACTAAAGATAACATACCTCTTTGATATCGAGCTTGAAGTCGTGAGTCTTTCCGTGAGTGTTTTTGGCGTATTTCTTGATGAGTTCGACTTCTTTGTCATCGCTCTTGAGAACTGTGATGTCACAATTCAGTTGAGAGTAATAGTTGTCGAAGGGATCAATTTTATCTCCCTTCTCTTCATCTTTGTGTTCTTGTTTCACCATTCTGTAAGCAGCCTCCATCTCTAGAAGTGAATCCAACATCTCGGTTTTTTGCTGAAAATACAACATTTCAAGTTGTAATAAAATAACTCTAAAACCCTGTACATTACCGTGATGACAAGTCGTGACACAAGTCAATCTTACCTTCAGTAAATCCATGCTATCAATAATAGGAATGTTTCGCATTCCAAAGTCATGTGGCATCAAGGTGAAGAATCTATTGGACAAATCCAAGAACTGAACCTTCTCCGTACAGCCAGAAAGAATAAGCTAAAAGATTCCATTATAACAACGAAATAACATTTTAAACTCAAATTATTTTTAATTCTAAAGCGATAAACCAACTACCGTACCTTTTCAATAGAGGAAAGTACAGAGTGAGCGTTCAGAAGATGTTTGTACGACAGTTTACCCAGGGGCATCTTCTCCACGTCCAATTCGAAGTCCTGTAGAGCAGAATCCATTAGCTTCATATCAAAGAAGAGGCTGATGATCTCCTTGACTGGCACCGGTAGCTTCGACTTGCTCTTCTGTACATCAAGTGTGGCTGTAGGAGCATCACGGTCATCAAAATCAACCTCAACCATATCCATGCCACTTAAGCGCTTCTTGAAGTTGTGACGATCCGCCCATTCGTTCTTACTCTTTTCCAAGAACACACTACAACAAAATATTATTAATGAACACACTATAACACCATAGAATTATAAAATAAAACTTTTAATAATTTAATCGTATGTTACAGCAGAAGCAATATACCTAAAATACAAATTCTTCAAAGATAAACTTACTCTTCGAATACCTTCTTCGCTGCCTCAAGATCATCTCCGAAGGATTCGGTCTTGTTCCCACCGATGGTTGTGCCAACTCGACCCCAGCTTCTGAACACATAGTACTCAGGAAGTCGGTCGTGTTGGAGTATCTGTAACTTGTAGAAGCTGTTTTTTCCAGTTGCGGCATCTGCCGTACTTAGCAACGCTTGCCATGGTTTTTCTAAACAAAAAGAAAATTATAGTTATCTCTCTATAATATCCAGAAGTACTATAATATAGCAATAAACTTACTCTTCTCGACGTATACATGAACTGATTCTGATACCTCGCATTCTGGATCTACCACACAACCATTCTTAACTTGGCGACGCAATTCTTCTTCTGCCAACTTTCCTAAAGCCAACAGTAATGAAAGATCATATAAAAAATGTAAAAAGTCGAATAATATTGTCTAAAACCTCACTATACAACTATTACAATAAGAAACATACTCTCGTATCGTTTCTTATCAGCATTTGAAGTGGTAGGAGTCTGAATCTTTGTCTTTTCAACGACTGAACCATAGTAACGGCTTTCTAACTTCTGAAAAACCATAAAGTATGTCTAGATTTACATCGCAAATACATAGAAAGTAAAATAAATACAGTACCGGTTTCTTGTGATACTCCTTCAGAAACTCGTGTTCCTCTCTCAACTCTCTCGGAACCTTGAAGGAAATTCTGTCTGGGTTTCTACAACAATGTCTACATCTAGTGTATTCACTCAGACTGCCAGTACATGTGTATCCGTGAGCACTTTCACTGTATCTAAACTGGCCTCCACAAGTTCTGCACGGTGCAGTATTGCCGAAAACCATCTTGTCTGCCAGCTGTTCCAAGTTCTAAACATATTGTCATAAAAATGTTTATTAAGTAATCGTACGTATCATACAGTAAAAATGTATATACTTTTAACAACCTTGAATCTACATATTATTACAATAAAATAAACTTACAGCTTCAACGCCATGTTTTGTCCACATGGAGCCATTCTTTTCCAACAAGGCAACAACATCCTTCTTTGGCAGTGTTCGCAATTGATCCAACACGTCCCATAAAACTTTTGACTGAGTCTAAAAACAAACTTAAGTTACCTAAAAATTAGAAAAATGTTTCAAAAATACCTCAACCTGTATACTTTAACTAACAATACAGGGTGCGCCGAAACTTCTGTTACACGGTTTTTTAATCAAATATTTATCTTAACAACAAATATAACTAAAACGACACCTAACAATAGTAACATACTAGTTATAACATAGTCAATCGGTTTCGAAGTGTCCCCCCTTTATGGCTTGGCACAAGCGCCTCAAAGTACTTTCTTTGATTCCCGTCTCTCGGGCCATTTTTCGTACTGAGGTCTGTGGATTTCGCTTGAAGCGCTTCTTGATCATCTGACGATTAGCCACGGTGTTAACAGATACTGGACGCCCACTTCTAGGTCTGTCACGGTCATGTCCAAGCTCTTCAAAACGTTTTACGGCTCTGCAGACTGTCATTCTTGGAATATTCAACAATTTTGCAATTTTGGAGTTACTTTTCCCTTCATTATGTACTTTGATGACGGTAGCCCTCATGTTTGACATCTAAATACAGACAGACGGTGGGCAATGAAGACTTAACTTTTTTAATTATACAATAAAAAAACACGAAGAATAAGCTAAAAAAATTTAAATAATTTAACCGCAACATAGAGAAAACGACCGGTAAAGTTTGGTAACAGAACCTTTGACGCACCTTGTACTTTAACTAACAATAGTCATAAAGTTACCTTAAGCTTTTCACGTTCGCTGCTGTCGAGCTTGGGCTTCTTGAGTCCAGAAGATCCTGCTTCATCAGCTTTTCGCTTTTCTGGCTTCTTCTCTTCATCTTCACCCAAATATCCTTTGATCGTTTTCTGTTCCTCTTCTGTCAGACTTTCAAAGCCGTTTATCCTGAAACACACATCATTAAAGTTTAATCATACCTAAAAATAAACTTTTGAAATAAATATTTAAGTTTCATATTATATTTTATAAATTGATTGTAATTTCCTTTTCAAAGTTAAATTGTAAAAAAAAATAAAAATTAACTTACTTATCCGCATCTCCAGTGTACAACTTCTTGTTGAAGAAACAAGGAACGTGATAGTTGCTAGCCCTGAAACTAACTCTGGGATCTCCCTTTGGAACCTTTTCTTTGCAATCAAAACATCTTCCAGCTCCAGATTTTGCGTGTTCAACCTTAGGTACTGCGCTCTTCGGAGTAGCCGCCAAACTTGGATCATCTGTAACAAATAATAAGATGTCATTTTAATTCAAAGATATAAGGCAAATAGAATTTTCAATGTATTCATCACGCAGCTTATTCTTGATTCTATCTTAGCATAAAAAACTAACCAGCAATCATTTTGCATCTGACTCTGATCTTCTCCTGATCTTCCCATTTCAACCAACTGAATCCTCTGATTGTAGCTTCGTTAATATCACTCTTGGTTCTTCCCCAGAAACAGTCAAAGTGAAACCAGTTGTCCTGAAGGCCATCAAAGTGTCTAGATTGCAATCTCAGCGACATTCTCAAGTCTCCCTGAAGCAAAACAGCAATTTTAATAAATAAACTGGCAAAAATACTACTGTATATACAACAGTATCATAGCCAGACACAAAACATGTTATTTTAGATATACGAACTGTTACCTAAATTTTAAAAAACCGTTTTATCAAAGATATTACCTTAGAGATAGAGTCTTTACAAGATTTGCATGAAGATCGGTTACTTTTCGCGTATTCGGCTCCATAAGGCAGTTTTTGGTTTGCAGCTTCGTCGTCCATATCTGTAACTAAAAAGCAACTATTTTATGAATTCAAAGATTTAAGATAAACAAAGTTCAGCAACACGTATATCTTTCCAACGATAACTCAATTATAAAACAGATAAGATGAAGAAGGTTGTTGAAACAATAACAACAACTTGGAAACATTTCTTTTTCCTGGAAAAACAATTTATTTACATTTGTTTTCGCTTTGAAAACAGAAAAAGAGAAAAACAAAAAGATTTTGCGCTTATCTTTTTGGCATTCCGCTACAGACGCGCGGGAAGCATTTTGAAACTCAACAATAAGAAAAAAGGCAATTAATTGTAAGAAGATAATTTTTGTTGGGTATCATTTGACCGTGTTTTTGACTAATCTGTTTATTGTTTATTTAATTGTTATGCGATCTTGTAAACTTCTCAATCTACAATTGTCTACTTGGCTTGAGTTATGATGTTAGTTCATAAAGTTTACTCTTCTCTTATTTTTAAAATTTACAAAATTTTTTTTATGTTTTATAAATTTAAAATTACTATATATATTACACTTTATTTATTAACATCAACATTGACTAGTTGTAAAAGTTCATATCTGGTTTCGAACATTTTAAAGTATCAGCCAGCCTGGTAATGTTCTGGAAATGACCACAACAGTTCATGGCACCTATCTTCTCTGCTGCTTTTGACTTTAGGAAGGGTTGGATATAACACGGAGCGATGAAATGAGTAATGGTAAGGCCGTGGACAGCCGAGAAGGTAGCTGCCATTCCACCGAGAATCCCAAAGAAAATGATGAAGCAACAGATGTAGAAGTTAACATCGTGCTTTTCTATGGCTCTGAAATAAGAAGACGTATATTAAATTTTTTAAAAGAGCCGGGAGATTCTACTTTTTGAGGTTATTAAAATTTAGGTAACATTTACTAAAAATGTCACTTAAAAATCCAATATTCAGTCATAAAATTAGCTTTAGTACCACTTACTTTCTCCATGATACTCTTCTCATAGGAGCTTTAGGATCATTCTGTTTGGCATGTTCTTCTTCAGCCGTCTTTAGGAATGTGTAGAATATACACGGTAACAAAATTGAAGACAATGTTAATGTAGAGCCTCCTACCAAGTCCAAAAGAGGACCAAAGTTTGGTACAGATTCAGCCACAAAAACGAGGATACCCATAACTACTGTTCGGACCACTACTCGCTTCATTGAAAAGTCTAAAGCACCATATTCAGATCAACGTAGTTTAACAAAAAAACATTTTTTATATACACAAATTTTCCAAGAAGGATGTCAAGCCTTACCTTGAGGAACATTAAACATTTCTTCGGCCTCCTGATTCAGAGGATTGATGACAATAGTCGTGGTTAATATACAATGTACTGTAATCAGCATGTTCACCACCCTCTGAATCCACTGTGTCTGGATGTTGTTGATGATGGAATCACGTAATGAATCTCCGTAAGTAAAGTAAGCTATTATGCAGACAGGCATGTACATTCCCCAAGTACAAGCAAATGCCAGTATGGTACTCTTCGTGAACTCCTGAGGTCGTTTCATATCATGTTGAATAGTCGGGAAAGCGGCGTGACCTCCGTAAGAGAAGATTACTGTACCCAAAGCCAAGAAGTAATTGGTGATTCTAAAGTCTGGCATCGCTCGTTCAGCTGAACAGGTACCACTGTCGATAGCAGCACCAACAATGATAAGGATGACGGCAGCTGCTGTTGTGAACATAGCCAAGACTACAGCCGCCCAAAAGTCTTGAGGGGACTTGAGGAAGGTGACTGGTAGAAGGGCTAGTGACACCACCAAGATGACATAACAGTAGCTGAGTTCGGCGTCAAAGAAGGTTTGCACAAAGTCATGGATGTTCTTGGAGGCTAACAGAATATATACAACAGCTACACCGAATTGAGTCACGGTGATGCACAACGACACCAGGTTTCTGAAATGACATTCATTACTTCAGTTTTCTTACTTTATCTATCAGCATCTAAAAAAGTCAAAGATTATTGTCAAAACTATGTGGTTCTTCATGAATATTTACCTAAAAAATTTTTAAAATATAAAATTATTCTTACCGTATCCTCCTTCCACACGCTCTGTAGCCAATTTCTGGATACGGTTTCCTAGTATGACTTCTGTACTCAGGCCAGTTCTTGATCAATATCATCCAACTCAAGCCGAGTACATATGATGTGTACCCGGTTACTAGGGTCATTATGAACATTGCTAACATACCCACCCAGAATTCTGAAATTCACTATTACTGACGTACTATATCAAGTATAAAACGTTTTGGAAAAGGTACTGTACAAACTGATCTTTTTGAGCTATAAGACATTACTCTCAAGAATATTGATGTAAGACAGCCCCCCCCCCCCATAATATTATAAAAATATTATGAAGTTTAAAAATTAACTCACGAGACTGTATCATTGCCGTAGGCAAGGCGACAAGCCCCCCTCCGGCTATGTCTCCGACCAGAAAAAGCCCTGTAATCACCCAGTTCAAGCCATGGTGCTTGATGTATTCTCCTCCGGGTGTGAAGTAGCCATCTGCGTGATCGATCTTCTCCGTGTATATTACACTCACGCTGATCTTTGGGTGGTCCTTCTTGTCGCTGGCCATGATGTCAATTGAATCAACTGCCAACCGGCTAGCTACTTTTGAAGTTGTAATAGATAAGGTTTCTAATATTGTTCTCGTTATCGCATTGTTCCCATTCTTGTGTTATAATTACTAATTTATGATGAAAAGGTTTCGGAGTGTCATTTCTTATCATCTTATTGTGATCTGAGAGCTCTGCAAGCTTTGTGTTATTTGATAATGCAGATCAAGCAAATTAGCCACATCTTATAATCTTATAACATTTTTTAGTTTTAAGATTTCATTGCTTAATCTTTGTAGGTGATTTTTGTTTATTAAAAATTAATAAGACTTTAGCTTTTAAAAGGTATTTTTAAATAGAACGTATTTGTTTACAGAGTTCTTTGCAATAATTTTCCTCTTCACAAATGAAAATAAAACAACATTTGTGCCAATGTTAATCTACGTCAAAGTCGGTTAATACAACTCAAAGATTAAAACACACAACAAAAATGTAATCCTTAAATGTTCAGGTATAATGAACTCCAAAATTCTAATTTTACGATTTTTAAGCTTGGCAGAATTTCATAAAACGTTTTAGATACGAGTAACTCCCACCACGAAAATGTTTGTATGGCGTTCCGATATTTATAAAATAATTTATTTCTTTTTGGCAAAATAGTACCTATATTTGTCATAAGTTACAGGAATGAGCTTAGAAGTAGAAGAGGAGAAGACTGTTGATATTAACGAGTCTTACGACAGTGATGAAGAAGATAACAATGTTGTAAGTCTAGTTTATGGTTTTCGAACGGTTTATTTCTTGTTTATGCAAGTTAGTTATCTACGTTTAATTTGTTTTATTCAAATCAAGGTTTACTATTAATTAGCATTGAAGGAAAACCATTTTGTTTTGTTTTCTAAGAAAATTTTGTTAAGTTGCACTTTATTGTTAATGTACTTTAGGTAAAAACAAAGAAGTTGACTAAACGAAAGGCAAAGACAGATGATTGGGCCAAATTAGGCCATAAGAAACCTAACTATGGTGAAGAACGAGAAAGAGAACGACAGTTGACAGCGATCGCAACAAAAGGTGTAACTCAATTGTTCAATGCAGTATCGGAACGACAGAAGATAATCGACCAGAAGTTGGAGGAGATGGAGAACAGCAAGAGTCGAACCAAACGACACGAACTTCTAAGCGAACTCAAGTCCAACGACTTCCACTCGCAATTATATAAAAAAGCGGCCCCTGAGGTGAGTAATTACTTGTTTTGGTTTGGTTTAGTTTTAGGTGTTATTGACTATAAACTGGCATCGTATCTCTCGTATTTATTTCTAGGGGCCGAGAAGAGAAGAAGATTAGGGTTGTGACGAAAACACCGACACTAGGTGTAATTATATGACTTTTTTGTTGGAGACCTGGGGACCTTCTTGTTTTACACAAACTTGGATTAATTTGTTAAATTTTAGGTAAAGGAGGATGAAGTGAAGGACGAATTAAAGGATGAACCAGCTGAAGATACCGAGGTTGATGAGGACGATATTATCCCTATTTGAATTAGTATTTTTATGCAAATCGGAATGTTATTCTCCAAGTTATTTAAGGATAATATTTTGATTTTTTTATTGTTCAAGGTATCGTGAAGATAATATCTGAATACTCTTACCATCTAATGTGAAAGAGAGTAGAAGGGTAACATCAGATAATTTTAAACCACTCAAATTGTTATTTTTTCGAAGCTGTTATGTTTTGTATTTTATTGTTGAATTTCTTGGTATAAAGCGTCGTAATTACAATTTATAATATTTGAGTAGCTATTTGTTAACGATGGTTTTAGAGCCGATGATCGGTTTACGGGATTGAGGGCTTGGTCTGTGTCGGTGCGTCTGTTTAACGTTTTCATCTTTCTAATGACAAGGATTGTGTAGATGCCTTCGATTCGTGGTTTTGCAAGTCGTATCTCGTCGCTGGTCCCATCATGTCGAAGACGCTATCTTGATCACACAGATCAGCGTTCTCGGAGCTCTCACAGTGAGAAAAAGAAGTTGCCTGAACTAAAATCATATACTAGTAGGACGAGGAGTGTGGAGAAACAGAATTCTGAAGTGAAGGAAGAGCTGAAGGAGGTAGTAGTTGAAGAAAAGACATTGTCAAAGTCTTCCAGTATATCTGATAGTATGGCGATAGATACTTTTGCGATTCAGACATCTGTAAGTTCTTTTAGCGAAGATAATAACTTGACCTAGGTAACGTTTGATATAATTTATGTACTTAGGAGTTTACGATAATGTTAGCTTAAATAACAATGTGGTATGGTAATTACTATGCGGACATAGTAATGGCCATAAAACACTATGTTTAGTTACTGTTTTGTTTTAAAAGGGCGCTTTTTGTAGAAATAAATATTTATTATGGCTTTTACCATGAAAAACGAGAACAAAGTATAGATAGGGTATTATAAGAGCTGGCTTATGTTGTTTAATACTTGTTTTTGATTACTCTTTTTAATGAACCTGCCTTGCCGCCCCAATTACCACCTATAAAAACATTATCTTATTCATGAAGTCAGAAATTGTCAATTTGATGTTCGAAATAAGCACAAACTATCATTTAGTACCTTTAAATGTGTTTTAGTGTCTTTAAAGTAATCAAAAACATGTTGGGTTAGATATTTCATAGTAGGCCGCATTTTACTATGAAATAAACTTGTACTATAATCTGTTTTAGACGCTTTATAGTACCCAGTATTTGTTATTCTGATTAGCTTTAAAAGTTTTAAAGTAATCATATGCTTCATAGTATTAATCTTGATAACAAACGGTGACTTAACATGCTTTCAGACGGTGGAAGAACAGGATATCAAGGAGAAGATACCGGAAGTGCTGGTAAGTGCTGAGGTAACGAGTCAGGATTTGGGGACGTCAAGGATTAAAGCTGGAGATGAGTTCGCGAAGAATCCGGCCCTGGGGACCGTGTAATTAGGGCCCAGATGCAGATGTTAATGCCAAATCCGCAAGAGAGTAATAGCGAAGGTGTCGTGGAGAGTAATAGAGAGGGGGAGGGAGGGAGGTTGAGAGAAGAAGAGTCAGGAATTATTCACGGCAACGTTTTCCCAACTCGCTGACCCTATGCCGTACAGTAGCCAGCCAGGGGGACAGTGCCCGAGGACCGGTCGTGTCCTGTGCGCGGGAGCTGCCAATGTACCGAGTAAGTGAGGGTAGGGAACGGTAATTACCATCTCCATGTTCGGTTTGTATCTTTTATTGGGCCGGATTTCGACGAGGCACGCGCTCTCGTTAAAGGGGTGGGACTGGCAGGTAAATGAATGGCCGACTGCGTCACAAGTGACACGACTAAGCGGATCTCGCGGATTCAAAAGGGTTGTCTTGAGGATTCTGGGGCAGTCTTTAGTTGCCAGTTTGCAATCGGCTTATCTATCTGATATGTAACTAGTTGAGGTTAGGCCGACAATTGAAAAATATAAATAGTTAGTAACTTAGCTTATTGGATCTAGGTTAATATCCGAATTGAAGTTAGTTTAAAACTGAATTTAATTTTAACTTTATGACTGATTGAGTTTAACCTCACCTAACATTCTGAATTCAGGTTTACGCAAGCACGCCACAGTGTGATTCACGAGCCTCAAGTCCTGTCAAAGAAGAAATCCTAGCTACCGAAGCCGAACACGTGGAGCCGGATTCTGGGTTCAACTCATCAGCTACAGGAAAGGAATCAGAAGCCAGCACGGAGACGCTTCACAACTCACAGATGCCGCCAATCGAGGCAAAGACCGATTCACAAAATGGAGCCAATCAGGTAGGTCTTATTGTGCCTAAAAGTTGTCTTGTTGCTGAGAAAGTTGCTGAAGTTGTCGTTATGGCAACATGGCAAACTTTTGTTTTTGAAATTTATTTTTAAAAGTTAAGCTTCAAAGTGCTTATCTAATGTTTTTTAGGTAGTTATAGAAAAGGTAATTAAAATTTTGAGAAAAATAATTTTTTGCAAAAACTGGTAATTGTTTGGTACTTTCTTAATCACAAGATGATCGTATTTCACTGTAAATGGCTGTTACGTCTTCTTGTTGCCGCATGTTTGAGCTATTTACACCGCTCTATTGGCACACTTTAGACATCATAAATTACCATTTTCGGACATTTTTAATTTTAAATTGCACGTGGTGCTGAGGACAAAGGAAAACAGAAGAATATTAATTCTGGAGTATATTGCTTTAGTTCTCTATTGTAATTCTCTTGGCATCCTTGCAAGTTTTCTTGTAGTTGGAGGTCTACATATTATATTTTTAAGCAGACTTGTCTCTCCTTCACTATCACTCAGCCATGCACAATATAGCTGTAAGTGTAGATGGCTGTTGATATTATTGTGAGCTTTGAGCATGTTTTTGAAAGTGTATAGTTATGTTATTTTGAAAGACATAAGACATGTTCATTTTTAATTGTTTACACTTTGCTCTTAAGCTGTAAATTTGATTAGAAAAGGGTAATAATCTGGGGAAAATTACACTCATCTTCACATAGGTTGGCTCTGTTAATCTTCAGATTGCCATTCATTTCTAGTCGGCGGAGAGTCTAGAGCAACTTTTGAATTGAGACTATTCGGAGGGGTAAAAAGGGGCTATAATACTGTATTTTAAAATTACTTAAGTTTATGACATGTTTTTATAATGTAACAGCCTGTTATATATTTTGGTCAAAAACTTTGTAGAGTTTAAAAAAATTTTTTTAAAATTTTTCGGCCGAATGTAAATATGGAAATAGGAAGAAGAAGTAGACGCTACCACCAAATCCTTGGATTAACAAACTTATAAATATTATTGTAGTTACGAAACTCGACCAGCAGTCCGCTTGGGGGCTATCAGCGACAAAAGTCGAATTCGTCGGAAGCGGAGCGACGCCGTCAACGTCGCCTTCAGATGCCATTAATGTACAGGATGTACGAGAGTCAGGTGGGTTATATTTACTTTACTGTCTCTAGAACTACTTTTTAAAGATGAGTTATGGTTACTTTACTATCATTGTTTTACATTGTAACATTTTTGACAGTTACTATAACAACGACTGCTTAAAATGGCAACTTCAGTCATTGTTAATTGTTACCATTAAAAGCTTAAATTTTATTTTTAACAATAGTAATGATTTTAAAAAGTAACGTTAAATGCGATATTATAAGGTAACATGGTAATTATTTAAGTGGTACTATTGTTGCTAAGTAGTAGTGTTGCTTTTATGTGTTATAGTACAATGTAAAGTGTTAGAGGATGTTATTAAGAGTACAAGTTAAAGAGTTTTAAGGCCAATTGTAAATGTAATTGTTACTTAAAATGTTGGTTTAGTTAAATAGTTTTACCTTGATGACTTTACTCATACTACAATAAAATCGTACGTTCAACGACATAGCCGTGCTGTTGTGAAACAGTTAATTAGTAGTCTTGTGTCATTTACATTGTAGTAATCGAAAGTTGTTTATGGTAGTGTTATCTAATTGTAGAGTAATATTATATCTAATATTAAAAATATTGCAATTACTTTACTTTGTAAACTTAAAATTGTATTCTATTAACTTTAACAACTTCTCTATATTACTGTAATAGCTGAAGTTATATGGCTGTAAGCTTTCAGAGTGAAGATGTTCGTGGCACGGTGAAGGGTCCAGATGACGATTCCTTCAGACCAGAGGAGGCTAGCAAACGCCTGAGGGCAGCGTTAGGGGGAGGACTTCGTAAGTCATCATTTCGTGTTAATTGATATTGTTGTAGCTGTAGAAGCCGACGACAAAGCGATAATGCAAGTGTTACTGTCACACACCAACTTCCAGCGACAGAAGATTGTAGCTGCTTACGAAGGAATGTTCAATAGGGTAGGTCTAGTTCCATATATAGGGTAAATATCGTACTATATAAAGAGTAGGTATTGTACTGTTTATATAGGTATAGTACTATTGAGGGGTTAATGTTGCAAAAGTGCATGAACTCACTATTAACTAGCTACTACAAGTACTATCTAAACATACATCTGTTTCGACAGATTTAATGTACGTTTTGGCTAACTCTGTAACTGGAATTCGAAAGATTATTTTTCGTACAGTGCTGTATGTTATGTATAATACTGCGGAGGTGCTTCATTATAAAAGTCGGATTAAGAGTAACATAACTTTCGTAACAATATTACGTAGCCAATGTAATCTCTAGTTTAAGTTTTTCTAAAAGCTCTTTATCTAAATTGTATCAAAATTATATTGTAGTACACAGAATACAGATATAGTGAACATTATTGTTATTTTAGGTAACAAAAAGTTAAAATCACAGGATTAATGTTAATATTGTTTCAGAAGTTGTCTGACGACATTGAAGAAGAAGTTGGGGGCTTCTTTCTTGATGCTACCTTGGCTCTACTGCAGCCAGCACATGTTTACTCAGCTCGTATCTTGCACAACAGTCTATCGATTCGGTCGGTCAACCGGTCGATTGCTGTGGAAATCGCTCTCACTAGCTCGTCTTCGGTAAGTTTCATCTTGTGTTTGTAGTATTGTCTCTAAATACGTTGTTGCATTGTACTCTCACGGTACTTTTTTGCTTGCAGAGTAAGACAGTACGTATACAAGAGTTATGTTAGGCTGAACTTAAGGTTGATAATGTATATTTTAAGATTAAAAAACATGTCAATGTTCACACATGGCATAAATATAGTTATGGAGGCAGTAATTAGCTCTATTCAGGTCGAGTCTCTCTAGTACGTGACATTAACGAGCCAACATTCGGGTGGTCATTTAGGTTATTTATTGGCAAGAATACGAGTATTAGATGTCCTTTTCATATTACCTTTTCAAAACAATACCCACATCTTCTTTAACTACATAATCGCTTGAACATACGAAATATACGCTTTAACATACGAAGTATAATAACTTTTTAACACAATATAGGCTTGTTTTACAATAATTTTTTGAGTTTTATATGATAATCATAACATAACAGCAGTTATCCTACCTTGTTATTTATGTTTATATTATATTGCACATGCTGTCTTTACCATACTTTAATGATGTTGTTCTTTTCAGCAACTGAAGGTGATTAAAGACGCCTACTTTAACGAGTATCATGTGAGTTTGGAGAAGGACCTTGGCCTGAAGGTGGAGGGACTGTTTGGCAAGATGTTACAACATGTTTTACTACGTAAGAGCGACCCTACTGACGATGTGGACATCGAAATGGCAGATAATGCGATCGCTGAGGTCACAAAGGTAGGCTTGGCAGTAGTTTCTATAATCTTGGTATAGCTAATATTAACATCGATTATCTTATTATTGGTAATATAATAGTAAGTTTGATATCTTGGCATGGATAATATAAGTAACAGAAGTCATAATCTTTATTCTGAAGTGTCTTCTAGTAATCTGCTTAGTTTTAACGTAAATTTAGCCAAACTTTACATTGTAAAGTGTGTTGGTAATTTCCTCAACTTCGCTTTGTATGTATATATTATAGTAATCTTGCTGATTAAGTATGAGTGACAATATTAGCTCACTCTTAAGTTGTATATGGCATTATCTGCCCTATAACGATAAATATTATATTTTCTTATGTATTAACTATGTTCGTATCTTGAGCTTACGTAGTACAGTCTTTACGCTTTATTTATTAAGTATACTATTCCCTCACTTTTTATGTATTAGCTACTGCAGTATCTTACTCTTTATGTATCACCTATAGCAGTATCTTACTGTCTATCTACAATAATATTAGTATTGTGGCAGATTAAGTTGTTTAATCGCTCAAGTCTTACACGTAACTTCTGTTTTCCCTCGGGGGATTTGTGGGCTTAAGTTGCATTCAGATTCATTAGAATACGATATTAGACACTGTTTACTGTGGTGACTACCTTACCGGATATTCCCATTGGAAATGTTACAAAACATATACAAGATTAAGATACGTTACTTGTAAATTTTAAATTGAATAGGCTTAATATGGCTTTGTAGATGTCAATTTGTTATGGTAGTCTTAAGCAGCAATACAGTGCTTAACTTGTTTCATAGTACTATATAGCACTATGATCTTGAAGTGTATGAAAGATATCACTTTTTTGATAAACGACAAAAAATCAAAAAGATATGACATAACGTGATAAGACTTAAGTTAAATACAACCATATCATGCAATATCACTATACAATTCACCGTCTTTCAGACAGAGCACGGTGTAGAAGAAATTGGCCGGAACCTGGACTTGTTCTCCAGAATCTTCGCCAATCAAGGCTTGAATCAGATTCGCTGCTTTGTCGACAGATTCGATGTTAAGATGAACAGCGCTCACCAAAGTAACGAAACCATATCAGAGAAGGCGAAGGACTTCGAGTCGATCGTACGAAAGAGTACCACGATACACTCTGAGGTCAGACAGATGATGTTGATGTACACCAAGATAGCCAGGAACATGCAGTTGTACTTCGCCGAGAGGATTCACGAAGCCATTTCTGGCACGAGGCCCGATCACTCAGCCATTATCAGAATCTTGGTCACCAGAAGCGAAGTAAGTTGTATTTAAGGTGTTTTATATGTACGTAGAGTACTGTGACGTTTAAAATTAGTTTAAAAGTTACTGAAGATTGTAAAATTGATACAGTTACTGTAAAAAGCATTTATGTCTGTTTAGGTCAGTTAAAGTACTAGTTTTAAAAATTTTACGAAAGTACAATAATTACAGTAATCACCTTAACTTTTTAGTACAATACCAACTAACATAACATCTTAATAACTATGTTCTTTTTTAGATTGACTTACACGACATCTGCGACGAGTACAAGAAGAAGTACGGTCGGCACGTGGTGCTGGACCTTCAGCAGACCTGTAGCGGCGACTTCCTCCGCCTTCTGAATCTGCTCGTGGTGCCCGTGGAGCACAACGATGACGTGTTCTCCTGAAATAAATCTTACCCTTTATGTGTACATTTATCGGTGAAATAAATCTGCAGAGGCACCGTATGCCGACCGCTGGAAACTCGTTAAGTTTGGGTGGTCTCATCGCTCAAATCTCAATTAGTCCCTTCCTCAACATTAAATTAGGTACAGCTGTTTTTGGGCCACACTTGCCATAAATCATATGTCATCAAACGGTCATCGAAATGGCATTCGGCTCCACCACATCCAACTTTGCTTTGTCATATTTTGGTGGTTACATTGGGGTAGTTTTGGGGTTACTGTAGGTGGTGGTCATGAGTTGAGCTAAGGGTTATGTGGCATATTTTTGTGTGTAATAACCTATGTTTTTGGCTCATAATACTAGTATAGAATATAATTTTCTTATTTGATTATTTGATAGGTCGGTTAAGATTGAAATTTGAGCGGTCAAGAAGTTCTTAGAACTTTGTTTTTTTTTCAAATTTTGCAGTATTTTCGCTTTACTTTTTGACCTAATTTTAATTTTCTAGTCCAGCTATGTTATATAAATCTTATTTTTATCAATAAGTTAACTTAGAGTACTGTAACTTTTTAAATTAAAAAAATACAGTAACCTCTTCAAAGATGTCAAAAGTGACTAAGCCCTCAGACCCATCTGAACGTATGCCTCACTGTCAGCGATGTGCCCAACATAATGTAAAGAATCGTCTACGAGGGCATAAGCAGATATGCCCTTTTAAAGACTGTCACTGCCCCAAATGTTTAGTTGTGATCGAGCGACAACGATTAATGGCCGATCAGATCAAATTGAGAAGAATGCAAAAGAAACAAAGGAACAGGCTGCTACAGTCGCAGAAGGAACAAGGTAAATTAAAATTTTTTAGATAAAATAAGTAGTCTTTTCAATTTAAATATTGCTTAAAACAGTTGTCTAAGCTCTGTAGTAGTACACATAGGAAGTTTTTGATACATTATGTTGTTATAAAATGGTTTTTAGCACTTAAAGGAGGTAGTAAGCTGCAAACAGATGATAGTTTTTGTGTATACTACGACTTCTTAACGTTTTTCAAATTTAAATTTCTTTAAAAAACCGAAAACAAATCAGTTTAGCACCAAGCCAAACATTCCAAAATTTAAAATCCAGCCACAGCTTTTACTGAGCTGGTTATTATGCTAACCTCAATTAGGCTATTTTATAGCTACAAACGCTATCGCAAGAAAAAACCCAATAAAACTGTCACTTACCTTTTGATTGGGTTTCGTATAAAAGGGAAAACAAACATTGATTTTTTTTTCTTCTTTCTCTGCCCTCTCTTCTTTTATAAGACACTCTATAAAAACGCAACCCTTTTTGCATATTTTAAATTTTAAAACATTATAAAGCTTTTTGTCATACACACATTTTTTAAAATTAAAAGTAAAAGGGAATTGCACAGTGCAAACTTGCGAAAAGTCTTGCTTTTCTTCATTGCACCGCGCAGAATTCTCTGTAATTGGTCAGAAAACAACTGCACAGTGCAGCTCTCTTTCAAGGAAATTTTAAAGACTGCACAGTGCAACCATTAGAGAACTCAAATCCGTTTTTTGTTTGCACTGTGCAGTCTTTTCTGCAGCGATGGTGGAAAGACTGCACAGTGCAATGCCCATGAATCATTGTGCTGTTGTCGCAAAAGCTTTTTTGCTTGCGACAACCAAAGAAATTTTTGTCGCAAACGCTTTCGGTCGCAGAAAAAACCGCAACAACGTGTCGCACTGACTTTCGAATTGAATGCGATAAGTTTTCGCGCAACTTTGAATCTTTCAAAAGTGCTGCTCGGTCTGCGAGTCGCTAAATGCGAGCGATTGTCGCAGAACTCGCCAACTGTTGTCCAAGGTTTTTCAATTCTTGAGCGATTTCCGACATTTCTTGGGTGTCGCTGTCGCGTTTAAATTTGAGCGACATCAAGAAATTTGTTCTTTTGAGGCATTCGCGACACTTGTTTGCATTTGCGACATCAATTGAATTGTCGCGAGCCAAAAGCTTTTGCGACAAACCGTTGTGTTGGAGAAGCGTTGCAATAAAACTGTCGCGTTTGTCGCTGAAAATGATGGAATGCTTTTTGCGACAAGCGGCTCAGTTTACAGTTTGCACAGCGCAATTTTGTGGTGTAATCTCTAAAGAACTTTGCACTGTGCAGTTTCCGGGAAAGGAGGGATTTGCACGATGCAATGGTTGTTTAGACTTGCACGGTGCAAATTGAATTTTCTAAGGTTTGCACAGTGCAGCTTAACAAGTTTATGATTGATAAGGGTCACAATTGGCGAAATGAAAAAGATTTTACATTATTGAAAGACGTATATTTTATGGCGACAAATTGCAGTGCAGTTAAGCAACTTAAAGTTTTTTGAAATTTAAGAATTTGGTATTAAATTTGTGGCTTTTCGTCATCTAACCTTTGAAACTGTGCGTTTACAAAACAATATTTTGCCGTTTTGGTGTCGTACGTACGGGTCAGTAAGTTCTAAGAAGTTATCCAGATTTTAATGGTAAATACGGTAGAAAGTACGATAGGAGTGTACGGTTCGTAGGTGTGCTAGTAATTGAAGTCGCATGACATTGTAAAAAGTAGGATTTTCAAAACTCTTTAAACTTGTTTTCGCTACAATATTTTACATTTTCACTTTACTGTAGCATGCTTATATCCTTGAATTTTTTTTGAAATTTTGAAGTTTAGGTACAATTAGATGACTTATGGTATAGTAAAAGATATACTAAAGCGTTACATTGTAGTATTGTTAAGTTTTTTGCTTTCTAAGTACCTTTAAGTACGATTACTTGCACTTTTAGCTTGTTACAGTAACCTTGATTGTATTGATCCTGAAGTGAGTACAATAACAAACTACCTACGTACTCTACTGCCGAACAATTGCAAGATATGTACGTATTAATACCTAAAACAATGTTTTTAATAGCTTTTAATTCCATTAGCGATAGATGTCATCAGCTAATTCAGTCAGCATATTGTAGTAGATAGATGTAAACAGTAGCTGCTGCTATTAGAGTATTATCAGCATCACATTGTCAACATCAGAGTATTAGGCATGTTGATTGTATTATGTTGTGGTAGACAAACCAATGTGTTCGGATTACCAAGATTAACGTCAGATTATTTGCGACAAAGGGACAAAGAAGTTGCCATCTATTTGAGGCCGGGTACTGTAATCTGAACGAACGATAATCTATTTGAATCTCTAGTCTTGGGGGTACCGTAGTCTTCACAAAGGTCTTTTATGTTACCGTATTCTGACGCTTTTTAAGTGTCTTATAGTGCTCTTTAAATGGCTTATGGTGATGTTGGTTTAGATGAGCAAGAGATTGCAAAAAGTGAGAAAATTGTTAAATTGCACGTGTTAGTCTGGATTGCATGATAAGAGGGCGCTGGAAGTTAGTGAGAAACAGTATTTATGTCAATGTTAAGTTAACATGTTTTTGTTGGTCATACGTATAGGGATTGAGGATGAATGGATCACTCGTTGGAATAGGTCATCCTCAATGTAAATTACAAAATATACTCATTTTAACTCTATCCCTGTCCCTTTTAGTCCTACTCGAGCCTACCCTTGACCAAACAAAAAAAACTTGATATTTTTCAAAGGCGGTTTAGCTATAACTTTAAAAATTATTTTTAATGCTTTTATTACCTAAAATTTCTAATGAAATTATATTCATAAGGTCAAAAATTACCTAGAATTTACTTTTGTGGCCACATTTATTACTTAACGAAACTTTGTACTTTACTGATGTGAGGTACTGTATATGGATGGGGACTTATACTTCAAATTTTTTTTCTCAAAAATAATTTTTTTCTCAGTGAAAAACAAAAAATGGCGCAGAAAAGTACAAAATCATGCGCCACCTGAAAAAAATATCGTTTGAAAGAGAGAAAGTCTTTTCTCTAGTGTCTCTCGTTTTATTGTGCTCTCTTGTCAAAATGGCGCAGAATTTTGCATTTTCCTGCGCCATTTTTTGGTTTTCACTGAGAAAAAAAATATTTTCGAGAAAAAAAATTTGAAGTATAAGTCTCCAGCCATATATGATAGATGATACCATACATGGTCACGAGACCTTCAGTGTTTTCAAAGCTTTGCACATACCAAAGTTCATGTTTTAATGACACTTTCGTATTTGTTATTCTCTATAAAAAGCCTTTCTTACCGAGTAAATGTTTGCTTACATTCTGTAAGATTTAGATTACTTTGTTGTCGTCATATTAATATTCTTTTCGAAATTGCGTTAATAACTTTGTTTTCCGAAGATATTTTTAATTAAGTACGGTAGCACAAATACTGTGATTGTTAGTCCACTACTGATAAGACCCTAGAGTTTAAACTTTGAAACTTCGAAATTGCTTCGGAGCTTTTAATTGATTTTCAAGTTTGAAAGAGTAGGTAATTACTTTTAGGAATAGAAGGAAAAAATACTGTCAGAGATTGAGTATAGTACAAGATAGTATTGTTAGAGATTGAGTTTAGTAGTAGAATACTGTAAAAGAGTAAGCTTAGTACTATAATATCTGGTTCAATAGTACGTACAAAACGTTACTATGGAATATAAAAATTATTATTTTAGGTATAAATGTTAATAAATAACTGTAAATACCTCATGTACTAAATTCATTTTAATTCCCGACACTACCAACATTAATATTGGCATTTTCAGAAGCCAAGCAATCCCAGCCTTCAGAATCCGCCCCTCCGAACGCGTCGAACTCTCCAGAAGACAATAATAACCTATTTTTATCGTTCCTTGGCTTCAACTCTTTGTTTACATCGCGGTAATCACTGTACATTGCTAATTAATCCTGAAATTACTGCGAATAAACTTGCAAATTTGGATTTGTTATTTTAAGCCCACCAATTAGGCCAGCTGTATGTTGAGGATGGCGAGCATACTTAGTAATAGTGTATTCAGGATGACGTCACTGGTTTGTCGTGGATTTGCTGTTTACAATGTATACTCTACTATACGCACAGTAAGACATTTA